CTCCTCCTCCTCCTCCTCCTCCTCCTCCTCCTTTTTCTTCTTCTGTTTCTTCTTCTTCCTGCTGTCCCTGCGACGGCGCTGCTGGTACTAGAGGTAAAGCAGGCGACGGCGTAGTAATAACACCCACCGCACCATCATCCCCAAGCGCAACCTGCGACAGAATCACAGCCTCCTGCTCTCGTTGCCGGAGGAACTCCGTAGAAGACGCTTCAACCTGCGGAACAAGGGCCTTAAGAAACTCAATCAATTCATCCTCATATCTCTCTCGATATCCCCATTCACAGTACATCGGGACCCGCTGCATCAGGAAATCCGAGGTGATCACGAGCGGCTTCAACTTCTCGCGCAACAACAGATCAGCGATCTGCTCTAGCACTTCGCTGTCGATTATTGGATCAGGTACATGGCGATCTGGGTGGTCGAACTTTTTTGCTTCTGCTTTGTCCACGGCCCAGTTGAAGAGGGATTCTAGGGCGGGGTTTGGGGGGGGTTTCCATTCGCTTTCTTCCATTTTGTGGGTAAGTTGGGTAGGTAGATAGGATTTGTGTTCGAAGGGTGTCCGTCCGGTGGGAGGCTGAGTATACTCCGTACTCAATGCAGATAATAAAGTACCTAGTTGTTTGATGCTAAGGTGCAGTAGTTACTGGTGAAGCAGCGGACCGCACCTCGCACTAGACACCTACTAGTAGGTAGGTACCTACCTTAGCTAAAACACCCACCGCGGCGGGCGGAAACTACGGAAACTACTGCGCCCATTCCGCGAATCAAATTGATAACCCCATGTATCTGTATTTCCGTCAGTGACCATACGGGGTATTTAACATCCTATCACATGATCCGTCACAAATGCGTCTTTCGTGACCGGAGAAACCAGAATCGTCGTGTGTTAAGGTTCGGTTGATCAGGGATCCTCCCCTCGCAACAAGATTCAACGCGCAGAGTCGCGCATCGTGGGGATTGCTCGCATATGAGATCTGCTGCCTGTCCTTGGATTGTGTTGACTGTTCAGTCTATGCTTCTACCAATTGAAAGGTGTATTTCAAGATTCCATACGAGATGGTCACCTGCCGGCCCTGAACTTCTGAAGGACAGGTGACTACACACTAATCAACTACTGACTGTTCCGCGGGATTGGCCGTGGCGGTGATGGACCCGTTTACCAAATATTGGGGCCTGGAAAAGATGGAGACGGCTCCACTCGCTGCGCCATTGAATCTCCTCACCGGGGAAGTAGTTCCCTAAAGTTCTACGTGGATGCTGAAAAGCCAAGACCTGGTGTCTTGGAAATATGCTCATTGCTCATGAGATAGAAAAAAAAAAGTTTAAGATATGTCGAGAATGGTAGGATGGGATAAAAAGAAGAGAAGAATCTACTGCAAGAAAAGCTGACCCGCTGCCCCTGCTTTTATCTCTCAAAACGCCCGCGCAATGATAGAAGAACTTCAGGACATGTATAGCACCAATTCAAACACCGCTTACCAGCCGCGCTTGGCCAGCTTGTCGGTCTCGGGCAGGTGCGCGACGTTGATACCGACCATGGCCTCACCCAGACCCTCGCTCACCTCAGCCAGGACCTTAGGATCCTTGTAGTGAGTCACAGCCTGGACAATGGCCTTGGCGCGCTTCTTGGCATCACCGGACTTGAAGATACCAGACCCAACGAAGACACCGTCACAGCCCAGCTGCATCATCAGCGCCGCATCGGCGGGCGTAGCAACACCGCCAGCGGCGAAGTTGACCACGGGAAGACGGCCCTTCTCGGCGGTCTCACGCAGAAGCTCGTACGGGACCTCCAGCTGACGGGCATAGGCACGGAGCTCGGGCTCGGGGTCCGCAGAGGACTGCAGGATGGCGCGAGCGCGAGCAATGTCGGCATTGACAGTGCGCATGTGCTTGACAGCCTCCACAACGTCACCGGTACCAGCCTCACCTTTTGTGCGGATCATGGCAGCGCCCTCGGCAATACGACGGAGAGCTTCACCCAGGTTCCGACAACCACAGACAAATGGGACCTTGAAGCCGTGCTTGGTAACGTGGTAGACGTCGTCGGCAGGCGTGAGGACCTCGGACTCGTCAATGTAGTCGACGCCAATGGCTTCGAGGATCTAAGAAAACGACCTGTCAGCTGCCAATCGTGGAGCCAGTGAGAGAACGGCTCATACCTGACACTCGACGAAGTGGCCAATACGGGCCTTAGCCATCACAGGAATGGTAACGGCCTCCATAATCTCCTTGATCATGCCCGGGTCGGACATGCGCGCCACACCACCCTGTGCTCTAATGTCGGCGGGGACACGCTCGAGGGCCATAACGGCGGCGGCGCCAGCCTCTTCGGCAATGCGAGCCTGTGCAACTCACATTAGCATCACGGAATAGTTGATTCTTCCAGGAAGCAACATACCTGCTCGGCATTGACAACGTCCATAATCACACCACCCTTCAACATCTGAGCCAAACCGGCCTTGACAGTAAAGCTGTCAGTAGCACCGTTCTGTTGAGCAGTCATTGTGAGAGGAATTGGAGGTGAGCTTGGCAGGATTGCTGCAGGGAAGGAAGAGAAGTTGGAGGATGACAGAAGAACGGAAGAAGAATAAGGATTATCTTTCTGGGCACAAGCTTATATATGAAAGGAAGGCGACAGAGAGAGAGAGAGAGAAAAGGTTTGGCAGACATTGAGTTGAGTGAGTCAACGAAGGATCAACGGATTATCTCAGCTTCGCCGCCGAGAACAACAGACCAGACTGTCAGCGTACTGTACCTTGGGAAAGTCAGTGTCTTCTGCTCCAATCCGACTTTACCCCTCGTCCTTTTTTCCGACCCCGCCGGTTGCCTTCGGTGAAGTCAATTCTCGCACCCATCACTGGTAGAGCGGGCATCTGGGCCAATCAGAGTGTGGTTGTGCCTCTAATAGCGGGTTGTTGTTGACAGATTCTGGACTTGCCACTAACTTCAAAAGTGAGTTACCTGGGATAGTCACTCAGGGTACATACTCCGTAGTAGTCCACGGAAGGCGCACCGCCCCTCCTTTAGCTTTCCGCGGGCTTTTGGCTCCCGCGGTACCGTACCGTCAGACTTTGCAGTGGCAGGTCACAGACCAGGTTACAGTGACTGTTCCAGACGGTCGCTGTGAGTAATACGGAAACGGCCTTGTCTCGATGCCTCAGATTCTTGCCTCAGGCAAAGGCAAGGGTCTGTGTCCGCATCATTAACACCGCTACACATGTATTATACTAATTATATACTATACTAGAGATTAATAGCCCTTCAGATAGATAGACCCCTCAATTCAACAGATACAACTTTCCTACGATCAATTGACACTTGGAGATCTTCCATCACCTGCATATGAAGTCTCCTACTACTACCGGTACTCGGATACAGGCCTACTAAAGAGTGCACATTATAGAACCACCCTTCGAACCCCAGTGACGTCAGCCCCGCATCTCAACTCACCACCACCTGCACTTCCTCCTCTCTCCCTTACTTTCCCATCCCAATCACCAATTCACGACTCCTTCACAGTTCAACACCGAACACAATCCCCTTTCCAAAGCAACCTTGCGGAGTATACTCAACCTCACCACCCGCTACCAAAGTCCAAAGACAAAAGAACAACAATGCTCCTCTTCTCCCGCACAACCACCACCCTCCTCGGCACCGGCCTCGGTCTCGGCCTCACCCTCTCCCTCCACCCGCTCTCCCCCTTCCGCGCCGCCCCAATGCAATGCCAGTACTCGGCGCCCTACTCGCGGCCAGACTCCCACGCCAGCCCCGACTCTGGCTGGACCATCCCCTCGTCCGACCCATCGCTCCTTAAACAGGGCACCACCGGCCCGATCCTCACCGCGTCAAACATGCGTCAAGTCAGTCTGGGGAGTGTGCTGGGGCTGGTGGTGGGTGTCGGGTTGCGGGCGTTTTCGCGCGTGTTGGTCGTGTTGATTGGAATGGGGATTGTGGTTGTTGAGGTGAGTTAGCCTTTCTATTCTTTCTGTGTGGGGGCTGCTGGGGAAAGTGCTAGCTGGCTGTGAATTGACATTCAAATCACTGATTATCATGTACAGTGGGCTGCCGCCAAGGGATACAATATTCTGCCTGTCAATACCCTCCAGCGATACGTGAAGCGTGTGGACTTGCAGGGTGCCGTGTCGAAGCATATTCCGTTTAAGCTGAGTTTCGGGGCGACGATGGGTTTGGCTGCTTTTGCACAGTTCTAGGATATGAATGAAAACACTGCAGGTTTCGTGCGGGGTTGTGGGAGTAATAGGTTAGGTAGTTAATGAGCAGGCGGGCAGGCAGGAAGCAGGCTTCAATGTAGAACTTAGATGGAGAGTTGATACACCGCCGCGCGGCATGAAGGACAAAATCCCAATCCAACTTCGAATTATATAGGAATAGCACTTCTTTCCTTATCTGTCGTATACAGGGTATCATATCTTTGTTTACTCTTTCACGTAGGGATGTCCATCTTGATCAAGCATCAGCACCACACCAAAGCTTAGCTCAAGCCAAAACCAGATCCTCCAAAACACCCTCCATCTCCTCCCGGCTCAACGGCACGCCGAGAATCTCCATGCCGCTCGCGTCGATCCGGGAGGTGATCATCTGGTGGTCGTGGAATTCCTTGAGCAACGTGCGGAACATCATCTCGGAACTGGCGATGAACTCCTCGGCCGCCTTCTGGTAGAGGGTGCGGAATTCGATACCGGCCTCTTCCCGTCCCTCTCCTCCGGTGGCGAGCCCGCCCATCTCGTCGTCTGACAGATGGCCCTCGTCCGTAGAGGCGAGCAGCTCCGTTAGAAGCAACTGGTACAAGTTGCGGGCGTTCTCGGGAAGACTCTTCAGGACAAACTCCACGCCCTCCTTGCCGCCGACGCGCTGGCCCTTGCGGCCCAACAGGGCGCTGACTTCCTCGACGACGTCGAACTCCGCGTCGAAGGGTACGAAGGTCGTGCAGTCGTGGAAGACAAAGTTGAATTGGTCGCGCAGGCTGAGGTCCCACATCAGGAGCACGTTCGGCGTGTCGGCTGTGGCGAGGAGGTGGATCTGCGGGGTGGCGGCCAGGCGGGCTAGGAGGGCTTGGTTGGCGGCGCGCCGAAGGGAGGGGGCGTCGATGGAGTTGATGAGCACGGTAATTGGGGGATACGAGGGGCCGCGGGCGTTCAGACTAGACTGGAGAAGTTCCAAGACCTCTTGCGGCTGTGAGCCCATCTTCGACGGAATGTCGGCGCCCAACACCGCCGTGACGATCGTCGCGAAGATGGTCCGGATCGAGACGCCCGGTGTGTGGCCATTGACAATGACAACTGAGGGGTTCTCACTGTCGTCGTTGTTGTCGTCGTCGTTGTGGTGTCGGCAGTACTGCCAGTCGGCAAACGCCTGCAGCAGTCGGCGCTTGGATCCGTAGCCGTACAAACAAATATTGAACCCCTGATCGAATTCAAAGTCCCATTGAGGGAAGGACCGACAGTGGAGGTCCAGCAACAGAGCCTTCTCCTCCTGCAATGGGTCCACCCACTGCGCCATCTTTTCAAAATACTCCTCATGCGTCAGGAGATTCACCTTGCTCAGATTGTTGTTTGACGTCCGCGGCGGGCCTGCCCGGTTCTGGAAGAAGTAGCGTTCATGTGCCGGGAGCTCGCCCTCCGGCGTTGGTGAGCGTTTGTTTTTGGCTCCCTTCGGTCTTCCGGCTCGTCGTTTGGGGGTTGGCGCTGTTGTATCTGCTGCTGCTGGCTCCGACCCTGCCTCGACCGATGGTATCACCCCGTCTCCCTCCGCAGCCGTCGGTATCGTGGTGTCATTGTCGCCTAGAATTTCCTCGGCGAGCCGGTCGGCTCCATCCCATATTTCGTCCTCGTCCTGTTCCAAGAGCAGGCGAGCGCTCTTCTTCTTTGCAGACCGGTCGGCATTTCGAGCCTTGGTCGGAGAGACAGGCGCAGCGGTCTGTTTCGCAGGCGTCGAGAACAAAGCTTTCGCCTTGTTCTTATGTGTAGGCGTCTTCAGACCCGATGCTTTCAGGGCAGCTGGGGTATCAGTGGCAGGCTTCTTGGGCGTCGACTTGATCCTCTTCGCTGGCTTGCCTTCAGGGGTCTTTTCTCTGTCGGCATGCCCGTTCACGGAGCCATTGGGGGCTGCATCGGTGGTCCTTGGTCTCTTAGGCGTCGAGACAGGACGCGCTTCATCCGAATCTGGTTGCTTGCGTTTCATTTTAGTTAACTTCGTCAGGTGGAAGATGAGCGGAGATCGGGTGGGTGAAGAATTACCATTCAGACAAAACACGGAATGATTGCCCGAGTAGGGACGAAAGAGGACACAAAACTAAACTGACGCAAGGGGGTGTGTGGCCTTTCCGGGGAAGCTCCCAGCAGCACGCAAATGATCTATATTTTCTTTCTCAACCTTCACAAGGACTGAGGAATGTTCTGGTGTCGAGTTCAAACCTCATGGCTTTTGCTCCGGGCGCGTCTTCGCAGGCGCGGCCGATAGGGCCGAGGGTTTCTCCGACTCCGCGATATCGGAAGCGGCATCTCATCGCCGCGCATCGCATCACTGCGGGACCGGCCTGGAGAACCACTCGCCGATATAATTCACGCAGCGTGACCGAGAGCTCCAGTCTGCCTTCCTGACTGACAACTCTCGTCGTGAACATCTGACAGTGGTCTCGCGCGTCCACTTTGACTGACCAGGAGCTAGCTGGAAGCTTCTGATACGCCGGGTGAGTGATTTTGTTTACTACTGGTCTGAGTCATTTTCGGAGCTATCTACTGCAAGTCCTCAGTATATCTACCCAATCGCCCAGACCACGTACCCTGGGTTCTTGGAACGAGGACCAGGCTCACAGCTATATCAATTGCGTTGCTGTCACCTCGCTCGGCTGGGATACTCATACTAAATTCTCGCTTTCTAACCTAGGAAGCCCCAATGGCTATTCCTGCGCAGTCCGCGGCCACCACCACTATGGCGACCTTCACCCGCATGGTGAAGGGCCAGGTGCGCCATTACTCCGCACCGCTCGACATGGCCATTCCTGCCTCCAAGCAGAAGTACATCCCTTCGTCCGGCTCCTACCCCAAGGGCTTCTCTGTATCGGGGACCCACGTCGGCGTGAAGGCCTCCAACACCAAATTCCCCGACCTGGCCCTAATCTCCTCCGAGACTCCCTGCTCCGCAGCCGCAGTCTTCACCACCAACAAGTTCCAGGCCGCCCCCGTGCAGGTCAGTCGCAAGATCCTGCAGACACGCCAGGGCCAGGGCATCCGCTCCGTGGTGATCAATTCCGGATGTGCCAACGCCGTGACCGGCAAAGGCGGACTCGAAGATGCGACCAACATGGGAGCCAAGGTGGATGAATGCCACGGGCTCAGCGGCGAGGAACCCAGCACGCTAGTGATGAGCACCGGCGTAATCGGACAGCGGTACATCCCCATCCTCCTATATCCCCGATTCCCTAAATCACAACCTCACTAACCTCGTTCTCTCCCAACGCAACAACAGTCTCCCGATCTCGAAGATCCTCGCCAAGATCCCCACGGCGCACTCGACCCTCTCCTCCACGCACGACGCCTGGCTCAGCACCGCCCGCGCGATCTGCACGACCGACACCTTCCCCAAGCTCCTGTCCACGACGTTCACGCTCCCGTCCTCGCCGGGCCGCACCTACAACCTGGCCGGCATGACCAAGGGCGCCGGCATGATCCACCCCAACATGGCGACGCTGCTGGGCGTGCTCTGCACCGACGCGCCGATCACGGCGCCCGCCCTGTCCGCCCTCCTCAAACACGCCGTCTCGCGCTCCTTCAATGCCATCTCCGTCGACGGCGACACTAGCACCAACGACACGATCGCCATCCTCGCCAACGGCGCCGCCGGTGGCGCCCCGATCACCCACCCCAACCGCTCGGACGACTACACGGCCATGCAGGCGGTGCTCACGGACTTCACGCAGCGACTGTCGCAGCTGGTCGTGCGCGACGGCGAGGGCGCCACCAAGTTTGTGACTGTCCGCGTCCAGAACTCCCCCTGCTACGACTCCGCCAAGCTCATCGCCAGCACCATCGCCCGCTCCCCACTCGTCAAGACCGCCCTCTACGGCCGCGACGCTAACTGGGGCCGCATCCTCTGCGCCGTGGGCTACACTCAGGGCGTCAAGGATGGCGTCGTCGTCCCCGACCGCACCAGCGTCAGCTTCCGGCCCCTCGACGGCAGCCCCGAGCTGAAGCTGCTCGTCAACGGCGAGCCCGAGCAGGTCGACGAGGCCCGCGCCGCTGTCATCCTCCAGGAGGAAGATCTCGAGATCGTCGTCGATCTCGGCGGTGGCGAGCAGGGCGACAAGGGTCGCGGCGGCGAGGAGGCCGTCTACTGGTTCTGTGATTTCAGTCACGAGTATGTCACTATTAACGGCGATTATCGCACTTGAACGACCCAACAAGATTTGAGGGCAAGTTGAGAAGGTGGATGAGGGATTGTTCGATGTTTTTGTTTCATCATGGCCAAAACCGCAGATAGAATGCTGGAGTCATCGTTTCTTATTTATATTATGATGCGTCTTCTAATATGACTGATGCCCCACCGTCTCCCTGAGAACTCCGGTTTGGTACTGCAACACGACTAAAGATTAAAGTCAGAGTTTGTGCTAGTACACCTCATAAACTCCACCAACAACCAGAGTACGAAGTTACTCAGTCCATTCCATGCGAGTCATACCCAGATGCTCAATGCACCTTCCAATGCAATTTTCAGGTCTTTGATCGAATATGGTTACAGACCAGGTAGTGCTATGTACAGCTGTGGCTTTTCTCAACCGACCTCCCCATAGGGAAGCAATTGATCTCCCCTCGACAAAAAGAATAGGTGACTAGCCATACATTCATCAAGAATTTCAAACCATCCAGACTGCAAAGCCACAGCCACACACTACCTGGAGAGAATAATAAAAAGAAGATATAAAAACATAAAATCCCTCAATCCCTTCTTCTCATGCTTCATCAGAAACGGTCCCAAAGCCTCATTGCTTAGTTACCGGGGACGAGGCCACGGAGGCCTGCGCCGATGTCACCCTCGCGGGCGGCGATTTCGAAGTATCCGTAGATGATGCTAGAGCTTGGTTAGTGATGTTGTGCAGATGTTCAGGTGGATTCTTTAGACTTACGTCACGGCAAGAAGGATACCGGTACCGCTGCCAAGAGCACCGAGAAGGTCAGAGGCGACGGACAAAGCACCAATGCAGGCACCACCGAAAGCGGCAGCAGTAGGAATGACACGCTTGAGCTCCTTGTACATGCTCTGCTCACGGTGACCGGCCATCACGAGACCCTGATCCTTAAGCTGCTTGGCAACATCACGGGGAGCAGAGCCGGAAACCTCGATCCAAGTCTTAGAGAAGAGGGCGCAGGCAACAAGCATGAAGGTAATGTAAACGGCAGTGTGGATGGGGTCCAGGAGAGCGTCCTTGAAGTTCAAGGGAGGGGACATGTAGTAGGCGATACCGGAGGAGGCGTGGAGCTGGGCAGTTCCGTCACGAGGCTCCCAGACACCGAGGAGTCTTACAAGGAGATTGTCAGAGAAGCGGGAGTAGAGCATCTGGCTGATCAAGAAGATGTTGGAGCACAGAGCAGACTGCAGCATAATGGGCATGTTAGAGGTGTAGAACAGACGGACGGGGTAGGAGCCACGCATGCCACGCTGGCGGGAGGACTTGACGGGGATCTCGACACGGAAGCCCTGGAGGTAGATGACGGCGGCGAAGACCAGGAGAGTGGCCAGGAGGTTCATGATGTTGGGAAGGTTCTGGCGGTAGAAAGCCTCGCGCAGAGCACGCTGCTTGTCGGACCAGGTCAACAGAAGGTGGAAGAGAGCGATGATAGCACCCTCAAACTCGGGACCACGGCCGGTATTGATGGTGGTCGGGGAGAACGCCTTCCAGACGATGGACTCGCAGATGTTGGTAGCGATGAACAGAGAGATACCGCTTCCAAGACCATATCCCTTCTGGAGAAGCTCATCGAGGAGGATGACAACCAGGCCGGCAACGACAAGCTGGACAATCAGGAGGACACAGATACCGGCGCCGAGGTCGCTGGGCTGGCCGTAAAGACCAGTCAGCACGTACACACAGGCCTGACCGAAGGACAGGATGATAGCAAAGAGCTTCTGAGCAGTCTGGTAGAGCTCGCGGTCGGTCTTAAGGTCAAGGTTGACGTCGATGAGGTGGGTACCAGCAAGGAGCTATGACACCGCATTATCAGCAAGAGCCCAGTGCCAAACAGCGCGATTGAATTGAGCTTACCTGGAAGACCATGCCGGAGGAGATGATAGGGGTGATACCCAACTCCATCAGAGTACCACGGTTACTGGCCAACATCATACGAAGCCAGTACAGAGGATCGGAAGTATCCGAGGAGACAATACCGTACAAAGGCATTTGGCTCATGACAAGGAAGATGAGCAGAGTGAGCTGCAGCGAATGATTAGCTCGGACCATCTCATTAATCCTTTATAATGTGTCACATACACCAGTCCACATCAACTTCTGGTTGAAGGGCACCTTGGTCTCGGGGGCTGCCACCTCCGGGAGGAGGGGCGTAAATGGCTTGATGAGATCGAGAAACCGGACTAGTATCGAAAATCAGCAACTGTCGAGCCATTGAAATGGTCCTTGAAGCGCTATCGCGAAGATGAATGCGATCGCGTGCAGAACTCACGTCCACTCATTGTGACTGTCTTTTATCCCACAATTACTGGGCTGAGACGGTACAAGAGAAAGGAAAAAAGAGAGGAGAAGCTGGAGGCGAGAACCAGCTGAAGGAATGGGAGGGAAAGAAATACAAAAGAAGAGATGGTAAGAGAAGGATTGGGGGGGGAAGGGGAGAAGAGGGAGGAGAGGAGAGGAAGCAATGATGAGGTTCGGGGAGCGGGAGTTGGAAGAGAGTCGCCTCGCTGGCCACTTTCTCTCGCCAGCCACGCTAACCCGTTGAGGCCACTTGGTCGCTTTCACCACTTCTCACCAACTGGAGCTACGGCGCTTTTACCCCAACAGGGTCCATCCTCTTGTATGTACGGACTACAGTTGCTTCTCAATTGTCAGTGGTTTGTTTGGTATTTCATTGAGTTGTTGCTATATATGGAATTCGTTATCTATCTTTAAACACAGGGTATTGTGTAAACCTTCCAGTCGCAGCACGATTGCGGTCGCAAGGTATCATAGTAAAGCACATAGTAAAGTACATCTAGTAAATCCAGTCCTCCCAACTATCCAGTAACGAGCAAGCAGCTGCGTTTCGCCATGTGTGTTCCCATCATGTACGTTCGCCGAAAATATACCCCGGACTAAGGCAAGTTCCCCAGAGAGGACCACGAAAGAGCAGATGATCATGGGCCTATCAAACATAAACAGTCATCTACCACATTCTCCAACTCACCCAACCTTTCCTTCAGGCCTCTATTCTCTTCCTTGAGGATGCCCAGGACGCTCCAAGCTTCGGAGGAAGGAACACCGTGGCAAATGTTGCACTTGGACGAGTTGTTCCAGCTAGTAATTCCCTTGGGCGTGAGACCCTTGATGACCCGATCGTAAGTCGATTGGCGTGCTGATTGGGTCGGAGCAGGTTTCAGCTCTTTGTTCGGACTGGACTTTACAGGCGCTGATGTAGGGGTCGACAAAGTGACTTGCGAGATGTTTGGAGATGGCGCAACGGTTGAAGCTGGTGATTCCAGCACTTCGCGACGAGAAAAGACACTCTCCGCGAGACTTTCTTCCCCCGAGTCAAATCCAGAGTCGCTTGTGAAAGTGCCATTGCTGGCCCGTTTCATGCTTCGCTTGGGTGTTTGAAGCTCCGCCCCGAGGTCTGAGGTGCTGTCTTCGTCGTCACTCGATCTGACGAGCATAATACTGCGACGGCGGGCCTCTTCCTCCTTGCGACGCAGCTGCCTTTCCTGCTCCAACTCCTCTGCCATGGCCTTCATGGCTTTTTCCTGCTGGATGACCTTCTCCGCCATGCCATCCAGTTGTATTTTCAGATTCCCTATGCGTGTTCTTGTTATTTCTAGTTCCTCTTGCTTTTCGCTCTTGTCGGCCAAAACTTCGTGCAGGGCGAATGTTCGTTGCTTATAAGCCACTTGCAGCCGTCTAAGAATGGTATCTGCATTGCTCCGTAATGCGTCGAAAGCATCTCGGCCTTCTAGGTTGCTGAACCCAGGGGGAAATAGAGCGGCATTGATGTCAAGGTTCAAAAATTCATCATGCGCGGGTTCAGGGAGCTCGAGTCTAGCTTCGCCTTGGCGTTTCAATCCGAAGAACGAGAATGGACTCGACGAAGTGACCTGCTTCAAGGGCGAGGGTGCCGTCATCCGCTTCTGTGCTCGGCTCGTGAGGCCGGTCGGAGCGATTGGCATCACGTGCGGCTCACGAGCACCTCGTCGCTCCATGGCGTCCTCTTCGTCGTCCGGGTCTTCGGGCTGATATCCTACACCCAGGTTTACAGGCTGCGATTTGCCCTGGAACCAGCCTGATAATCGTTTCGCACCTTCTTCGAGTCGGCGGCGAGCGGTGTTCTCGGTCGGGGGGGTGGGACGAAGTTTCGCGCTGTCGAGGTCTTCGAATGTCTTTGACTGGTCGGAGAAAAGCTTTCGAGAGGGAAGAGGGGCGTGCCGCTGTATAATCTCGGTGTTTGACCGACGGTGGAGGGACTGGTGCGAAGGATATTGCTTCGCCGGTAGTGGAGACACGGTATCCGAGCTCTGTGCTAATAAGGTTACAGGGATGTCCAGGTGGAACGGTCGAAGAGCAGCATCGTCAGTCGGGCGACTCCCCTCCTCGGTTTCGATTGGGGCCATTGCAGTCGACGAAGGTTTCAGGCCGTCAACAGCAGGCGTGGCTGTAGATGACGGGTGTTCGATGTCGTGGACCATGACTGAGTCGATACTCGACTGGGCAGTAGGAAGGGATGGGGACCTGGAATGATGAAGGGATGTAGTCTGTCGCACCACTTGGACACGGGCTGGAATGCCACGTCGATATGTTGTCCACTCCGATGCACGGGTCACGTATGGCACACTTGACAGTCAGCTAGGAAGCAAAAGGGGCAATGAAACGAGCAGCTCCTGAAGCACTCTCTTTTTCTCCGTTGCAGCCTCTTTTCAGCTTAATGCGGGCAATGGCAGACAAAACTCCGATGGATTGGCGGCGGGCAGCAGCAGCAAAAGATGCAGTCTCGATTATGTATGTATGTATGTATGGTGCAGGCGGTGACTCCTGGGGAAGGGGCGCGACTAGGGGAGATGTTTATTGAGGATGATGGAATCGGCCGCCGAGCGATAGCGATAGTGGGCAGGCCCGCACGTGCCCCTGTCAGCGACCAGTGCTAAAGATCCTGCACGTTAGACAGTACGGAGTAGTCGATGGATCAATACTATCGTTAGTATGGGGACCAAGACTGTGCTAGGGTGCAATGTCAATGTTCGAGGTGGTCAATATCTGAGATGAGGCCGAAAACGGCTGTTTACATCCAGACGGCGCAAAATCTCACGAGGTTGGGTGTATATTCTTAGCAACTCTCAGACTTCCCAGCCAACCAGAAAAATCACGGTGGCTGAACTGGGAACTGCATATGAGTCTTACCCCACTATCATAATGAGGCAATGGCAATAAGCTAGCGAGTCAGAAATGCAATATGAGTCGATCACGCAGTGACAGGCTGTGTTGGGCCGTTATTGTTGTTGTCGGGACGGTTCCATTGGCTCGTGGAAAAGAGTATCGATCGGGCGAGATGGATACCACACAGTTACTCCGTACTTCAATATCCACAATTCCACATTACACTGCTCGATTCAACGACGTCATTATCATGGTTTCTGTGACGACTAAGTAAAGAACCATTGACGCCACCATCAACGCGGCGACGAGAGGGCACACAGTCCCCCTTTTCTTTTTTCATCTTCCAAAGTAGTAGGCCTGACGAAAAAGGTCTGGATCCATGGGGTCCAGGTCTCATGCACTTTACTCCGAAAGGAATTTGCAGCCCCTGAAGAGAGATTAACGCAATCTCGGGGTAACTGTGGAAAGTGTCTGCGCGACATACAGGAAAGGAGGTGACCCATGCATCAAGGGTGGCATCGACTGTCGACGACATGACTGGCCAGCTTCGGAGAATATGTAGGTAAATCGCCCCAGCGTGAATTTTACTGTACCTTGAATCATAGGCGTGCGGTTCAAGATGTAAGCCATGGGAAGGTCAAGAAGTTTGGCCTTTCCCTCCTGGACCATGGATGATTTGAATAGACTTCTGCCTAAGGCGAGGAGGGTCACATGTTCTTCGGTTATCTCCAACTACATGCTTTCTCGAGCTTCCTCGAGTTATTGCTGGACTACACTGAAGGATGTCGAAAGTGATGGAAAGAGTAGACTTGCTACTACCAGTCCGACTTTGACTGAATGACAAGTGTAAGATCAGGCTTCTTCTTGCATTTGAGGGCTGTTGATGAAACCACACTGATTAAACAACCTTTCCCACGCTAAGGCTTGCTGTGCTGCTGTCATCACACCGACATCCTCCTCTCTGCCTATCGTTATATCTGGGGAACCCAAGATATCTCTGAAGACTTGGATGAACAGTCTACAGCATGCTCGTTTGGCCGCTGTCTGTCAAGCCTAGCAGGGCATGCAAGTGATTATTTCTCCCCACCAGAGCATTTCCCCCCTGAGCCAGCACCGTGCACAAACTCGATAATCGCTTTACTGACTGTCTCGCTTAGTTAGTGTCAGCTGACCTCAGGAGTTATCTATACCCCTTTCAGGTGCAGATTGTTGTGCACATGTGGGATATCGCTGAAAAGTGCCAGGCGCCACATTGATACTCCCATAACATGAAAAGCAGGTGCGGACCTGTTCCAATGAGCTCGTACAGCCAGACCTGTGATGCTTTGAGACTTCGACTCTGCACATACTGCCATGAAAATATGATACCGGGCCAGTGAACCTGATATTCGATTCATCTGCGCAGCCCGGTAATATTGCGGCGGGGTTCCACCATCATAGTCGTGGCGGACCATTTGATCAAGCTCTTTCAGCGGATACAATTGCAGAAGCCTTTCCTTCGCTGGCTGAGAAAGACCATGTAGTCAAAAGCCCGTAGCTTCCCAAGACGTGTTCGTTCGTGGATGTCTGTGGAGACGCAAAATCAAGCATCGCCATCGGCTACCCATTATCCTTTCATAAGGATGCCATTTGACGACTTTGCCTGCACGTACTATCTGAGAAGGCCCTGCCATTGAGAAGGACATGGTTGTTAGCGGGGTAGAAGTATCCTTCGCCAAATGCAGGTCAGGCTCACCAGGCTGCAGTGACAGATATGTTCATCAGTTTTGCAAATGGGACAGGAGCAGCAGGCCCCCGCACTTCAACTGGGCGGGCGGTTCGCAAGCTCAGGCACTTCTCGCTGATATGGTTTACTTGACTAGGGATACAAATCGTCGTTTTCCGATTGACCCGATGTCGTTGGTCCGTTGAGTGCTGACTGACCAGAACGCCCGCGCGGGTGTCTTTCTCCCAAGGACCCGACAGTCGTTTCTGTCTCATTTGCAACATCGGCCGCCCCTAGGCAGACGGCTAGTGTTCATGATTAGGAGAAGCAGCCTTGCTTGGAGACAGATTCGAAGCCAGACATAAATGCGAAGCTGCATAACCACAAGGCTTTCCATCTACACAAGGTATTAGGGTTCTCAGGTGTAGGAGCTTCTGCGGCGGTAATAGTCCTGGTTATTGTATGCTGACCTGTGCTATTCTTTCTGATTGGAAAAATAGTGTCTATGTCTAGAAGTAGAGTTTAACTAGCTTGTCCTGCATTCATGCTGCTCTAAATGATAGATATATATATAGCGTCTTTTAAAAGTACAGTCGCGGCAGATTGCATCTACAACACAGGCGGCCAAATTTCGAATTACCTCGTTTCTTGATAGACTAAAGCTGTTAGGAGTTCATAATATCTACCAAATCACCTCAATCCACTTGTAGTTGATTCATTCACTACTATCATCTCAGGGACTAACTGGAACACTTCAGACCAGGCTTTCTGGGCCCATCAGAATGTCTACACAATTTACAGCCCCAACTTACCCAATAACAACTTACTCTGACGTATTCAGATTCACTAACTAACCAAAGTACTACAAATACGCAAAGCTAAAGGCAATTGCATAGTAGACACCCTCAATGAGGTCATCTCTAATCCTTACATAAGCAGTAGCATCAAGGCGGTGAAGCAACAGCTATTCTGCCCAGGCAATCTCTCGACTTAACAGCTTCATCGGTGCAACAACACCAAGAGAACAGCTCTGCGTCGCCAAACAATCTCTAGCCGTGCTGCGCGGCCATTAGGCACACTCAATTACATTGCTTCCGATAGAATCTGCTCTTTCATACAGTCAACAATGGCAACGCCAGCCTCCAGCGGGCTCAAATTCCTGAGCAATGCGCTCGCGACCCCAGAACAACTCTCCACCTCGTCCTCCTCCATCGATGGCGTCACACCCGACCTAGAAGCCTCGATCCGGTTCGCCGGTGCACTCCTCACACAAGCCGCGGGGGTCCTACTCCGGCTCTCGCAAGACATCATCGCGCAAGCCATCGTCACATTCACGCGGTTCTGGATCGGAGCTGAGGGAGGCAGTCTGCGGATTTACAATGTGAAGGTAAGAAATTCCAATCGCAACAATCCCCAGATTACCGCAAAGCCTGCACTTTTGTTCTAGAGAAGAGAGACAAACTAAAACATGATACGCCACGCAGGACGTCTCCGCCGCCTCACTCTACCTAACCGCCAAACTCTCCTTCCAACCGACCTCCCCACGCTCCGTCCTCAACGTGTACGGCTTCCTGCTCTCAAAGCAAGCCTCGCCGCTATGGTGCATCAACCCCGACCCCTATCTCGAATCCTCCTCCTCCTCCTCCACCTCCTCCGAGCACCCACCCCCCAACCCGGAGACCTACATCCTCACAGAAGGCGAATACCAGACGCGCCGGGCCGTGCTGATGCGCACGGAGGCGATCGTCCTGCGGACGCTGGGGTTCAACACGCACGTGGCGCTGCCGCACACAATCTCTCTAACGTACCTGCAGACGCTGGGGGTGGCGGCGCCGGGCGTAGCGCGGCGGGTGTTTGGGCACCTTAACGCGGCGCTGCTGTCGCCGCAGCTGTTGTATGTGACGCATCAGCCGAATGCGCTGGCGGTGGCGGCGATCTATCTCGCGGCGCGCGAGGAGGGGGTCAAGCTGGTAGGGAGTGAGTGGTGGGAGGTGTTTGATGTGGATCGCGAGGAGTTGGGGTTCTTGGTCGTGGCGATGCGGAGTATGGAGGGGTTTGCGGAGAGGGAGTTGCGGGTGTGGAAGGGGAAGGGGGTGCCGATGACGGTTGAGGAGGTGGAGGAGGAGATTGAGAGGAGGAGGAAGGGGGTTGAGGAGGAAGTTAATGGAGGCTGAGGGAATGTTGATCTGCTATTGAGAGTGCTCTACTGTACAGTTTCCTGACTGTCTCGGTCGGATCGATGTCTTGGCTGGACATGCGCCTGGAACCGGGTTATAAGGCCCGGGTTGCAAAGGACAAGGTCCCATGAGAGTCCTCACTATTGCTGGTCGCGTTGCACTGCTCTGAGGACTTCTAAGCAAGGTCGGAGCTGGTCTCTCAGACCTTCAGGCCAGCCAGCCCAGAATAATTCCTGTGACGAGTGAGATGAGACATGCAGATGAACACACAACATAAAACTGATAGTGTAAACTGTGCACTCTGGATATACTCACGTGAAGAGTGACCAGCAATCAGTCACCGCCACATGATACGATAAGCCCCGCGTGCCGAGTCACCGGCTGGCAGTTGGCAGTTAAAGATAAACGTCATCCCCTCTTTCTCCCTAACTTCCCTTCACCGCCAACCTTACCATCGTTACATCGTTCATCACTCAGCTTCGACATATCAACACTTTACAAGACACCAGCTGGACAACTCAAAACCGTCATTACCTCTATCCGCAAACACTAAACCTCCATAACAAGAGGAAAAAAAAGCATAGAGCAATCAGCCAAATCAACACCACCTACCGAACTACACCACATCCATCCACCACCCAACTAACACAACCTACCCTGCCAAAGACAAGAGAATGAACATCCTCCACTCAACTCTAAGCACCTGGCGCGACCGCCTGGCCCCAATTTCCCGCACCTCGACCTTCCGCACGACCGGCCAAATCACGCCCGAGGAATTCGTGCTTGCCGGCGACTACCTCGTCTACAAGTTCCCGTCGTGGTCGTGGGCGGACGCCTCGTCCCCGGCCAAACGCGTCAACTATCTACCAGTCGGAAAACAGTTCCTGGTGACGCGGGGTGTGCCGTGCCACCGCCGACTGAACGATGACTTCGCCGGCGACGCGGGGCGGGAGGAGGAGATTGTCCGGGACATGCTGTTCGGGGATGGCGGTGGTGATGGGAATGGTGAGGGGGAGGAGGAGGGGTGGCTGAGGACTGGTGGTGGTAGCTCCAAGGATTCTGTACATGGCGGAACAGCAAGTGGAGGAGGGGGGAAGATAGGGGATATACGCACCGTGGATGAAGCGGGGAATGCAGCGGACCAAGCGTCCGAATCTGAAGAGGAGGAGATTCCCGACATGGAGGATGAGGATGATGATGAGGAGGCGATTATCAGGGAGCCGGTTGCTGGGAAAGGGGGGGATCTTTCTCAGTATGTTCATCCTATACCAAACCCATACCCAATACTCAAACGAATCCCCCAAACCTAAACTAACCCGCCACCACCAAAACAGACCGACCAGAACCTACAACCTCTACATCACCTACAGCAACTTCTATCGCACCCCGCGCCTCTACTTATCGGGCTACCTCTCCCCCTCGGAACCCCTCCCCCCACCCCTTATGATGGAGGACATCGTCGGCGACTACAAAGACAAAACCGTCACGCTGGAGGACTTCCCCTGGTTCGACGGCGGCGTGAAGATGGCCACCGTGCACCCCTGCCGACACGCCTCGGTCATGAAGACCCTGCTTGATCGCGCGGACGCGGCGCTGAAGATCCGGCGGGAGAAGATCCGTGCTGCCCACAAAGCACAGCAATCGGCGGGGGCTGCAAATACTGTGCAGGGGTTGGTGGATCCTGTGCGGGGGCTTTCGTTGCACAACCAGCAACAAACAGAGAAACACGGGGATGAGTGGGAGGTGCTGCAGCATGAGGAAGAAGAGGATGAGGACGAGGAAGAGCAGTTTGCAATCAGGGTGGATCAGTATCTGGTGGTGTTTTTGAAGTTTATTGCTAGTGTTACGCCGGGGATTGAGCATGATTTTACCATGGGGGTGTGAAGTTCATTTCCTTTTTATATGAATGATTGAAGTTCTCTCTCTTTTCTTTTCTGTGTGGTGCTCGGTGGGAAGGAGGTGTTTATGGCGTGGTTTCTGCTTTTTCATTTTGTTCCAGATCTAGGTAGTCAGTTCATGGATGGGCTTTGCTCGCTTGATTGTTGATCAATTAATGGTAGGGGGGGAGGGGGGTAAAGGCCGGGGTAAGACCGGTATTATTTCTGTCTAGGTACGGTGTCAGGTTTGTGCTGCCAGCCTGCCTTGATATCTTCTCTTTACTCGAATCCTGAGCAACCACTATTTCTTACAATTAACTACCGGAACCTTTTGCTTACGAGGCATGAACCTTTCTCCTCTTCGAGGGATAAGTTCCGCATGAAAGATAAGCAACTTACTGTACGTTCATTTCAACTTGAGTACATACTATCATTCCATTCGATATATTGAACACAAGATCAATAAAACACAGTTTGAGCAAGGTCATTAAACTCCATCTAGTAACTAAATCATACAATGCAGAAGAGAATCTAGACATCAACTAAGTAAATGAGAGAGAGAGTAAGTGCAGTGCGCTCTTCGAAAAGCAACCTGACTCGTCAGTAATTTGTATAAAGAAGGAAAAGGTAAGGAAATGACCGCTGATGCAAACGAGGAAAAAGTTCAAAGCACTGCCGTTCCAAGACTCCACACATCCAATCCACCGAAGCTTAGGCTGGACACTTGCAAGTGTAGGCAGGAAGTGCGGGAGACACAGGCGCTGGGGCAGGCTTGTTCTCCGCGGGCTCGGGAACAGCCTTGGGTTCGGAAGCCGGGGTGGTTTCTGGCTTGCTGGACTCGGGCTCGGGCTGGGACTGGGCTTGGGGCTCAGGCTTAGGTGCTTGCTCACCAGAGGGAGCGGACTCGGGAGCAGAAGACTCGGGCTTCGATTCAGGAGCAGGAGCAGGAGCAGGAGTCTCAGGAGCAGCCTCAGGCTTGGTCTCAGAAGCAGGGGCCTCAGGAGCAGGAGTCTCAGGAGCAGTAGCAGGAGCAGGAGCAGCCTCAGGCTTGGTCTCAGAAGCAGGGGCCTCAGGAGCAGGGGCCTCAGGAGCAGGGGCCTCAGGAGCAGGGGCCCCAGGCTTGGTCTCAGGAGCAGGGGCAGGAGCAGCCTCAGGAACAGATGCCTCCTCAGGCTCAGGACAATCCTCAGTGGGTTCCTCCGCACCGGGTCCCTCAGCCTCGGGAGCAGGAGCAGGGCTAGCAGGCTCCTTCACAGGAGAAACATCGACTGGGACAGCCGGGGCAGCCGGGGCGGGGACGGGGGCAGGGGCAGGACCAGGCGCAGGCGAGGCAGGCTCAGACGGAGCAGCAGATGGCTCTTCGTGGGGAGAAGCAGGAGCAGGAGCAGGCGCCGGGGTTTCAGGAGCCGGAGGGGCAGGAGCGGGAACATTTCCCGGTCCCTTCGTGGGAGGAGCAACGGCAGGAGGAATGGGGGCGGGTGCTTCCGAGGTCTGGGGAGCCGGTGCCGGAGGGGCAGGAGCCGGCTCATTATGCGGCGGAGGAGGTGGTGATGCCGGCTCTGGGGTATCCGAATGCTGGGGCGCCGGCCGAGATTCAGGCGCTTCCGAGCTCTCATGGCTTGCATGATAGAAGTTGTTCATGTTGAAACTGGGTCCATCAGGAATCCCAATGTTCCAAGATTGGTCTGCGTCGGTGCTGTCCGATTGATGCGAGCCAGCGTTCTTGCCACCGTCCTTGCCACCGTCCTGGTCGCTGCCGTCGTGGGAATGAGAGGAGACGGCGCTCGCCGTGTTGTAGTAGGGTCCGCCGGGGATTCCAATCTTCCAGCCTTGACCTGCAGCCATGCTGCTGTCGGTTTCATGCGAACCTTGGTTCTTGTCGCCGTCCTCACTGTAGTGAGAGGAGGCAGCGCCCGCCGTTCGGTAGTAGGGTCCGTCAGGAATGGCGATGTCGGCGTCGCTACCAGCAAAGCCATCAGAATCAAACTGTCTTCCAGTCAGCGTTGTGCTCTGTGACATGTTAGCTTTTGCCCGACGGAAGTCCACCAGAGCGTCTTACCTTGGAAGCAAGAGGTGCTGATAGAGCTGAAGGAGTGACAAGAGCAAGACACAAGAGTGCCGAAAGGCTCTTGGAATTGTACATAGTACCGGATATCGATCAAAAAGAAAGAAGAGAAATGAGTGTGAATTGAAGATCAAAAGAGAGTCAGCGAGTGTCAGGGTCAAAAGATGGAAGAAAGAATGAATGCTGTGATGATTACAGCGGATGATGGCTCTGATGAAGATCCAACTCGACCAGAATCCATCAGGTCTTTATACCCTGAAGCTGGCTCTACAGATTGTACCCTTGGAATAGCCCTTTCTAGGAGGTTGTTGTACCTTGAACCCATTGCCAGGCAACCCATAGGCCCATGCAAGGCCCACGAGACAGTGGCGTCAACTGATCTCAAATCTCGATCCAAATAGCTTTCATCTTATCACCAGCAGCCACAATCTCACCAGTCCCCTTTAACAATATCGACCACAATCCCTTCTCGCAAAGGAGTTGCTGCAGTGATTGAAAGATGGGGGGATACGGGCTCGGTCGGGCCGAGTCAATGCAAGGAGCCAGAGACTCATTTCTACTGCTCACCCAATACATCAATTCAAGACAACCAGTAGTGAGGCACCATACAAGAAAGTAAATTTAGTAGTTACACATGGTTGCTAATGCATTCGCAAAAGAAATAAATCAGCATCGTCAACAGTCATCAGTCATGGTATCCAATCCAAAAGCAAAGTTCACCCAAATAACACCGCAGATGGTGAATGGCTCCGAGCATCTACTGGAACACAATCCAAGCACCAAGAAGGAAAATCATCATACTTTTCCGCAACCCGAGTTTCCAAATGCTGTTCCAAAATTGGTGGTTTTCTTGAACCTCAATTCAGGTTCCTCGGTCTCACCCTGGCTAGGAGGCTCAGCCTCATCCTCATCTTCCTCCTCCTTAGAACCCCTGCGGTGGTGGCCAAGAACCTGCTTGACCTGGTCCAAAAGCCTCTGGTCAAGCTCTTTCAGGAAGCCAGTGTCGTGTTCTTCCTCGTTCAACAAGGAGAGGGGCCCCTTCAGAGCTGGGTCTTCCGGCAAGTCTGCAAAGTACGAATCGGATTTTTCTGCAGGCTGCCGAAGCACTGCCGGAGCAAGGGGGCTGGCCTCATCGGGCGCCTCCTGCGGAGATGGTTGCTCCGTGTCAATGTCGCGGTCGATTCTGGCCATGGGAGTATGGCCTGCGTTCCTGGTCAGATTGAATTCGGGGGGGCCTAGCTCGGACAATCGCAGTTTCAGACTGTTGCGACGCTCGTTGGAGGGACGGCGGGTGGACGAGGCTGGTGAGGTTTCGAGTGACGACGGTGATGGTGGTGTGATCACGCGGGCAACAATTTCAGGAGGCAGGGCGGATGATTTGAGAGTGATCCCATCCAGCTTGCTGTCCAGCTTCTCAATTGGTACTGGAACACTGGCGCCTGTGGCGGAATCGACCGCATGTGATTTGGGGGAAAGAGCAGCGTCCAGAGATGGCGCAGAGACATATTTAGCTCCTTGCTCCGGGATCGACGATAGAGTGTGGACGTCCGTCCTCTCCGCGTCAGGAAATACCCTGGTGGGCCGACTGCCAGGGCTAGATCCCTCCCACACCTGCGCACTTGCGTGGATGTGGTCGGCGAAACTTACGGAGAGGGAGTGACCGTACGGGGCATTGACGGCGGAAAAGGAATTTGAGGTAAAAGTGCCGGTCGGCACGGTCGCCGATGTGGTGGATCCTCGCGCTTTTAGCAATGCCTCTAGTTCAGATATCCTCGACTTCAACAACGCCCGTTCTGTTTCCCACAGTTGTCGTTCCTCGTTGAACAATTTCTTTTCGTTCTCAAAGCTTGCCCGTTGCCGGTCTAGGAGCGATCGCGCTTGGTCAAGATAGCTAGCGCTCAGACTCGAGTAGGTGACGCCAGCGGCACCATGGGTACTCAAGACAGGGTGCGCATTTGGCACCGACTGCGTGCGGCGCACGGGAGTGGGAGTAGGCGAAAAGCGCACCTCCTTGTAAACACTCCCATGGCCATTGGGGGATTTGATGGCGGTTGCTGACTTCATGTTGTTTATTGCGGGTGATTCACAAAGTTCGGGTTTCTGAGACACTTCAAAGGAAGGAGGGGAGTACTTTTCTGGGTCGGTCGAGGGATGATCGCGCCCTCATATATAGGGATGAGAGGGGCGCGAAGGAGGGGTAAACTAGGGCGAACTGAATCAGAGGCAACAATAGAATGAAGCGGACAATAAGGCCGTCAGTCGATCAGTAGATCAGTGCCTTAAGCTTAGTTTTTCATATGGTGAAAACAGAGTTCGTTGGCTGCACGAGATGACAACCAAACAGCTTATGATAATGCACGGATGCAGCGACACCGCTCCGATGACAAGTAGGAGTCAGGGAACCACGACAACGGACCACTTGGGCGAAGTGGCGAATTAAAGCAACACAGTGAGCGCACTAGGTTGGGGTGGGGTTGGGGGGCGCTGAGAGAGGGGGGTCAAAGCTAGTTGTCTGCAGCGGTCAACGGGACTGTCGATTAAACCCCTGATCGATAATGTTTGGACGGTGCCTGAAACACTCCCAAGGAGCTGTGAGGCGAACTGTTGAGAGGTGGAGGAGGAAATGTTTCGAGTGGACGAAAATGGTGGTGGGACGCAGGCGACCACACAAGGACGGCCAAGTGGACGATGCGCTCGACTTCAGCAGCGATGCGATGAAGAGAAGTAGGGGGTGGAGTCGGTGGTGATTACAGCCTAAAACTATTGTTGCTGAATGAGCGACATGGTCCAACTGGTAATCGGACGAGAAATGGTGAGGAAGAGGGGGAGAGGAGATCTTTTGGAAGGGAAGAAGAAGTAGAAGAATGAAGCGAGGCAGAGGAAGAGGAAGACTTGTAAGAGGAAGAGTGAGAATGAGAAAAATCCCCACCACTCTAACTATTGGCAGTAACCACTAAGTAGTAATCAAGTCAAATGCGGGGAAGAACAACAAAACTGAGTCAACTGTGGTTTTGAATGCAACATCACTTACTCAGATTTGGTCCAGGAACAGAGAGTAACAGTCGACGACAACACAATCAACAAGCAAGCAAGCAAGAACAAGAAACAAGAACAAAGCCCGGAGACAAATCACTTATTAAGTTAGAAAGGAGAAGAAGAATAATATCCCCGAATGACATACAACCCGAACAATAAAAAGCAGAACGAGAATAGCAAGACAATGAGTCGATCACGAGGGGCTAATGACGTTATGGTCTGCCTTCTTTCTCTGCCTTTTCAAGATTCACTGCAGTCATTCTCCGTTGCAAGAGGACACTAACACCAAATTCTCCGCTCATTCCTGACTTCAGACCAAATGATTTCATGGTTTCATGATCTATTCAGGTGGGTGGGACTGGCGACTGTGCTTCATCATCTGGCATGTTAACCCGATAACGTAGTCTTCCTGTCAATGCACCTGCAGTCGGATACTCATATTAGTTGATCAGAGCCCGCGCGGAGCGGGTATAAGTGGGATGGATTCCTTTTGATAGATAAACGCGCTATAGTAAAATGCAGAGATGATCATGAATGTGAAGGTAAGTCTATAGAATACACACAGCAACTACATATACAAACCGCAGATGAATGCGAAGATCTCTCCCGAAAATGCCCCCAGAAACTCCTAACTATCCCTGCTAATCCAAAACTCCGCCCACGATGAGCAGCAGCCGGTTTATCGCCATCCAAATTCCCGCCGCTGGCGACCGCGCGAATCTCATAATACTGACCTATATTATGAGCGGAGAGTCCCCGAAACCAACTAAGGGAGTTGACCTTACGGTCAATCCCTCGGTTTCATTCGGGCCCTCAACGTCATCCTGCAGATGATTGTCCCGGCGGGCAACCCTGGAGTATAGAACACTGCCAGTTGGACGGCACAATACCGAAGGAAATAATAAGCCCAAGCCCATATGTATATGCACCAAGAGAAAAAAACCTGAAAGAAAACAAGGTATGAAGTTGCCGATCGCAAAACATGATGAACCGAAACGAAGGAAATAAGTTTCAACCACAAAAATAAAGACACTAAGGGAAATGCACGCCAAACAGGACAAGCCGGCATCCATTCTTGGGGATCCCCTAAAAAACGAGCTTCTGAGGCGGCGCCCGCGTATGCGCCTGAAGCATCTTCTTTGCATCGTCCATAACATATCGATGCATCGACGGCAAAGGGAAGAAATGGAGATCCTTGCCCAAGGCACCGAACATCGTGGCTAGAGACCAGATGCCCCGAGCCGACGACTGCAGGCCCCCGACGGAGGCAGAAGGGTAATAGAACCGCGGATCCAGATAGAACAGAGTGCTGGTCCAGTGCGGCAGCTTCTCGCGCAGAATGCGAGCCGCCCGTTCGTACTCCTTCAGCGTGCGCTTGGGTACTCCCGTCTGCGAGTGGACGAAGAAGAAGATTTCAAAGCCGACGCTGCGGATACGGTCGCGCGCCGTGGCACTGAGAGTGTCCAAAAAGGCAGCCATGCGGTCGAGGTTGAACGAGTTGAGGAAGAAGAGGGTGTTATGCGAGTAGACATAATCCTCAACCTCGTCGTGGATCTGCCGGTTGACTGACAGGAGATTTCGGACTCGACCGTTCTCGCCCACCCAGCTGGGACACATGGAGAGGGCTCGATACCGTCCGCGCGCCGTGAACACATTGCCGCGATCGTTAATCACAATCATCGGTCGGTCCATGTAGTCGTTCGGAACGTCCAGCGCATATTCATAAATCATGAGACGAAGCTCAAGAGGCAGTTTGAGGAAAAGCGACGACCTAGTCGCGGGCTTCTTCTGAGACGCCATGATCGGTTCGTCTATATGCTGAGGCACCCCCATTGCTTGAATTCAGTAGAAATGACAAAGATGATGATGATGATGATGATGGGTATGCGAAGATATTCAAATCATATATATAAGTAGTCGCGGTTTAGTAAGTAGATCGCCTGAAGAACTTGGTGTGAAGATAGAGCTAGTGTTGAATTAGATCAGACCGGGCAGTTCGATCCGTCCAAATGCTTTATATTAGTAGTATCCGATCTATGTTAGCATCGGTTATAAAGATCAGACTTGAGACGATCCACGTCAGGCAAGGCGTGGTTGAAGCCAGCAGACAGGTCCGGGCACCACTGGATAAATCGAGGAATCGATCAGATCATGCCAAGTGCCATACAATAATGCAAAGGGGAGTGTAAGGACGAGATCCAGGTCGACAGCAGCGCCAGCAATTGAGAGCTAGAATTGGGGGGCGAAAAGGCAAAGAAGGATGAATATCAGACCACCCCCTCTCTGGATTGTTTTAAAGACATCACCTCACATCGGCATCATTGGAAGATAAATTGCAGAAAGACGGCAAAAGGGGGGTTTGACATAGAGAAGGGCACAGACGATGACGAGACTCGGACCGGATCAAGACCGATCGAATTTTTTTTTTTTGCTTCTTTCTTTCCTTTGTTAGAAATTTTCTTTCATCGGCCCAGAAGTTTATTCTTCAAAGTTTATCACCAGAGGACAAGAAAAGAGGCTCTCGGGATTACCCGTGCCAGCCGAATGGCAAATTCATGCACCTGGATTCAACCAGGCCATGTCACCTCCGTTGTTGCACTACTTGTTTGGTCTCAATGGATGCGTATGTACTATCTCGATCCTGGAGGAGTCAGTGCCAACAGGCTGACCCGTAAGAACAGTCATAGTAGTAGTCTTTCGGTCATCTTCGACTGGCAGGTGATGCAATTTCTTTCCCCGCGTTTGGGGGAATTAGTTGAGTAAGTAGTTCCACCTTTGCCCGGTCCTGGATTTGCCACCCCGATGACGGTATGCGCTCTCCACGTCTACGGAGTACGCATCCGCCCTGATGAAGACAACGTCAAGGCGCACAAACTACTAATTCAAGGACAGAGTCATATTAATCAAATTTATCACGATCTCAGACCTACAGATCTCGTGATAGGCTGAGATCGAATACGAATCAGGTGCGCTGGTAGATGCCGAGCAACCACGCGGCCCGCAAAACGGCCAATCCCCAGGCCATGCCGACACTATCGCGCACCACGTTCAATTTACTCCCCATAACTTCCCGCCAGCCCACTGGCACTTCGGCCACTGGAATCCCAGAAAACTCGGCCAACATAAGCATTTCCACATCGAAGATCCATCCTTCGGAATGCATGTACGGGATGATATACGGCAATGAAGCTCGAGTGAATAGCTTGAAGCCGCACTGGGTATCCTTAATCGTGGCGGTCTTGGATGGCGTCAAAAGCCAGAGAATCAAATGAAACGAATGCATGAGGAAGTTGCGCAATTTGGATCGCTACAGTCACCAGTCAGCATAAAATCCTCTAGGAACCTCGAGATGGACTCGGGCATCAAAGGCACAAAAGCCCTTACCTTGACCACCGCCTCACTTCCAACCATATGGGCGCGGGAGCCCACGGCCACACCGCGACCCTGGGAATCCTCAACGCCTTGACAGGCAGCGACAAGCTTACCCAGATCCTCAAACTTACTGGCGCCATCGGCATCCGCAAACACCACGTACTGCCCGCGAACATGTCTCATACCATGGGTCACAGCACCGCCCTTGCCTCTGTTTTCCGTCAAGGTCACGACCCTGATAGTCCCCGGCGGGATGTGGACACCTTCCTGCGTTCCCGGGGTCCAAGGTCCCTTGTAACCCTTTGGGTGCAGCGAGAGCTGATGATCCCGGGCAAACGTGAACGCCGTCTCTTCCGTCTTGTCCTTGGACCCATCCGAAACGATGAGGATCTCCCAGCCCTTGTTGTCGTGTACGGGGCGGTACGCCGTAATACCATCGGTATGCCCATTCGCCAACTTGCGCTGTCGGAGAGTCTTCTCCGCGGCATCGGATGCCACGCCATTCGGGATGGGATCAGTTGCCGTCCCATACATCCGCTCTAGATAGTTTACAGCCTCCTCCAGCATCCCCCCGAGTCGGTCTTCTTCATTGTACGCGGGCACAACTAGGGAAAGGAACAGCTCGGGTTCCTCCACCGACGGATTGTCGAGGATTCGACCGGGACGCTTCTTGGCATCCCAGGCATCCTGCCAACAAGGCAATTCCTGGGGTTCCGTGATTGCTCCATCCTTAGTCAGGGTTCGATACTGTTTTTCTTCGGGGTATGGCTTCCGTGGGATGGGTGCGACCGCGTAGAGGGTGACGTAGACCTGTAGATTTCGAAGAAGCACTTAGCTACAGTTCGAAATGACTGGAATCGATAGAGCCCAGTGCAGAGCACCAAGGGAGTCAAATCAGATGAGGTGTACACATACCAGCACAAGGAAACCAATAAATGTCGCAGCAAAGGTGATGAGCAGCACGGAGAGCGGAACACTCGCTAGAAGCTCAACACACTGGAAGCAGACGTCGGACCACGCTTCTTGAGCCATGTTGCTATCCAAGAGGTCGGGCGGGAGGAGCGACGAAGAAACGATAAAGCGGTAGATAGACGGGACACTCGTCGCGGGAGGAACGAGCTCAAGTGCTCAAAGGGATAAGAAGAGGGACGATCCGATCCTGGCCAGCCATGCGACACGGAAACTGTGGAATGGAAGTGGTTAAGTGAGAAAGGTGAAGAAAGCAACAATTAAGAGGGAGAGGGAAGTGATCCCAGAGTAAGAGTGAGGGAGATGGCCATTCTATTGACAATGGAGGGGGAAGAGAAGTGGAGGCAACGTGGTTGATCCGAGCAGGCAGTCAGTCCGGCAGGGCGGGTTTAATTACGGAGTACACTAAGTACTAACTACTAAATACAAACAGTAGCTAATTCCGCTCCTCCCGCCGTCCCGAGACAACTAAGTTGTCCTTTTTGCGCGGCCTCAGTCGTCACCCAGTGGAGACTTTCCCCGGGAATTATTGATTCCAAAACTCCCTTCTTTGGCCTTGCGACTTCTCCTAGGCATTTTACATTTTGGAGAAACAAATCTATTTCTATTTTAAGTTAAGAATTGTGAGTTCTGTCCAATTGAAGATATATTGCTCTTATCCGAGCTATAGATACAAGGCCCATCAAGCCAAATAGTATGTCGTTGACATGCAGTCGAGAACCTCTGTCCCCAACTACATAAATCAGTAGACCACCAATGAAGCCACACGCCAAATAAAATCAGTTGGCCGACTTCCTGCGCGCCCGGTGAAGTTGCCTGTGAAGATTCTGACACGCTTCGATAATTTGGGCGGCTGCTCAAACAACTGCCTTCAACCTCTCATGACATTTGAACACCTAGTAGGTCAAGTATGAGCTACGAGACCACAGCTTCCATTGCGGAGCAGTGTATTATATATCGGAGAGCGAGCTTGAAGGCCACCCTTTCGTGTTAGTGCTCTATGATAGAAACATCATAACAAGCATATCTTCCTGTCCCGTGGCCTTTCGTGTATGCGGTCCTTAGAGGGCCAGAGTAACTTGGCACCTGCGTATGTGCGTCTATTAGCTTGTCTGGGTTGCAAATGGATCGTACTGCTCGGCAAGCCGTTCTAGATCCGAGACGAAGCTCGTCGTAGAGAACGTGCGAGTATCAAAATCGTAGGTAATCCATCGTTTGAACTACTTTCTATTAGTATGACATCGTCGTTTCGGGTTCATTGTGAGCATACCATGGAGAGTCTGACGCCCAGCCATATGCACCTGTACATTCTCGTGATATCACGAGACGGCAGCTCAACATGTCTTCCGTCATCCGGACTAGGTGCACCATCAAAGAATGACGGAGGATACAAGCGTTGGCTCCAGCATTGTCCCCTGATGAGGAAATCTTCGGCTACCCATGTCGTTTCCTCAGAGACTGGAAATTCAGACTTTTCGGCGATGTCTGGTTTGATGTAGCTGCGAAACAAAGAATTGAGGAAGATTGCAATTTTTCGCCACGGTACGACGGCCTCCATATGTTTCATCCCGTTTGGAGTCAACGCAAGACACCATAAAAAGGCAAGATAGACATGACAGGCTGCGTAAATGTGACGGTCTCCAATTCGATCAAGGAGCATCGATATAGTTTTGTATGTCATGTATGAGCCGTAGAACAGGGTAGGTGTCAGGTCTGGTGAGTCTCTGGAGGCGAGAAAGTCTGTCTTTATCTTCTCAAGGTCTTCGGGCGGAGTCAATAGAGAAGCGACTGATGGTGGAGTCTCTCTGGGATTGAGTGGTCCAAGCTCATTCGATGCATCAAACTCGGGTGCTAACAGCGAATCTTGATTCCCGTACCCCAATATTGCCGCGATGTTACAAGCTGAGATGAAGAAACCTTGCATCGTAAATGTCTGGCTAAGATGGGTCACATACTTATTGAAATGTGACAAAAATGTGTTGACAGATCGGCAAAGTTTGTTGCCAAAGTCTCCAATAAAGAGAAATGCGTGGGCAGCAATGTATGCGCCAACAGGTGGAATGCGGTGCATTGCTTCAGAGTCTTTAAGGAAAGGACTGAATATGTCGAGGATACTTGTCACTGTACCCTGAAATGGCTGCTCGACAAGAAGTGACTTTGTGTAATAGAAAAGTTTCTGGTTGATATCGTGTCGAGCTATGACCCCAAGGTGATGGTGAAATTTGCCCACATCCGGGTTCCGATCAGCTGCTCGGCTGTACCACGCCATTGCAATGCCAGCCCACAGCTCACGCTCCAGCGCATCAGTGGTTTCCACGGCCATTCTGTACCTCGAAAGATCGCCCAGGCACTCCATCCAGGTCTCTTCATATGCAGGGGCTTGTGCTAGCAGATTAGCCAGCATGGAGTAGCTGTGATGGATGAAAAGTAGCATGTAATCAAGTGACTCCGGGAGATGGTGACGCATTATCTCTAGGTAATCATGGATTCCGTGACGCCACAAGCGAATTGTCAGCATGTATGTATCAGGCATGCTCTTCACTTTGGGGCCTGCTTCTGAGTTCGAACACAACGACAATAAGTCTTGGTGCTCTTGCAGTAGCTGAAGATGTACATTTGTGAAAACTCGAAATTTCTTCATCAAGTCTTCGTCATCTGTGACATCCTCGGTGGAAAATTCCTTGTCATATTTCATGGTGGCTTTCTCGCACATATCTAGACCAGAGTATGTCGCTAAGGCCTCGTTGTGTAGTTGTTCTTCTGTGACACGTTTGTAGTTAATTTCTGGCCAAAGGAAGAACTTATGCAATGCTGTACCTCCGACCTTTCCAGCACCAAGCCCTACCTGCGTCTGCTCCTCGCTCAAATGTCTCGCGGCCTCTTGACCGTAGTTGATATCCTCTGAAGACTCACGCGCCGAGCGTGGCGAGGAGGGCGCCTCGTCGTGGCTGACACTTCGAGTCTGAGGTAGTCCATCAGAAAAAGTCGGACTTAATTGGAAATTCTCTAGTTGCGGCTGTGAGGGCACTTCGTCGTCGTCATCGTCGTCCTCGTCATCATCATCATCCACACGCAGGCCATGTGTGTTGGATGTTGCGAATGAAGGCAGGTCCAAGCCTTTGCTGGTCAGATCAAGGTTCTCGGTTGTGTCTTCCATGGCTACTAAGTTTGGTGCGCCAATGAGGGGGTTCTCTTGACGCCAATTTTCTTCCCAGTGGTATTGACGGTGCTCGCTCAGTGTGTTTGTCAAATCAGTGCCAATGCCTTGCTCAACCGCGCCTCCGATGTGCGAACATGATGCACTAGCCGAGTGAACAGCTTGATGTGTATCAGCGGGAGAGCCATCACCGGGAATCGATGGTAGAGATGAGTTACTACATAGAAGGTCAGAAACTCGCTCACAGTCCAGGCCGCTCATGCATTTTAAGACGAAGTAACAAGGGCAAATCTGGGAAGGCATGAGAAGGCATGCGCAGGCATGGACTAATTCACATTGAAGAATCCGCGGCGCCTCCCGCAGAGGCTTGGTGCCGCAATGACTGAGGTTCCTGACCATCAGTTCCTTCACTCATTGTGGTGAAAGCTTAGTTAACAACGTCATCTTGTCTTGAATCAGTCAGTCTGTCGGTGGAAAAAGATGAGGTGGAACATGGCAAGTTCCTTAGTCTAGGGAGGGGTAGAGAGCCATGAGATCTGGAAGTACGCACGAGATAATATACTGCAGGAAAGACCGTTATTCAAGCGACAGGCACAGGCAGACTTTGTACAGCAGACAACACTGTTTTGTGGGGACTAAGGCTTGGTAAGAAGAAGGGGGCAGCAGGTAGAAGTTATTTATAATAAGCGGTTTAGGTTTCTTTAGGCAACTAAACCCATCTCTGCCTGGGACGCCAATCCGAACAGACCAGAATACCGAGAAAGGTGCACGAACACACACGCACAAACCAGGTGGAACGAATTGATGAAAGGATGATGCTGGGGGCAGGAGGCTATTGCACGGTACCTCTGGAAGAATAGATGTGTCCCAGCAGGCGACAGAGGCTAAAGTGAGTTGGGGTTGAGTGGAGTTGTGGTGATGGAGGGGGAGGAAGATGATTGAGAATGAGAGAGACTCAGTGAACTTCACCTTTACCGGTAACAACTAAGTTGGTACGGTAAGGTAAAGAAATGCTGAGGCGGAAGTACTGTGCAGTTGCAAGGGTCAGACAGAGCACTGCACGAGCCAACCGAGGCTACCGTAGGCTAGGTAGTTAGTTAGTCTACAACTGGTACGTAATCCCTGGCATTTCTGGTAATGTTCCGGTCATCAAGACCAACGGGAAACGCACCTCCGCCATCGCCGTTTCTCCTCTCAGTCTGGGTTGCCTGGTTGCCTCGTCGTCTTTTTCTCACCACCAAGAAATCCTGATCAGGATTTATGAACCCATCTATGCTATGACAGTATCACAGGGCTCTCGTCAGACTTCACTTCATTCATCGCTGCGATCCTCAATTCCGTCTGGCTAATCGCCTCTGCCCATCAATCGCCCTTCCTCCGAACACATACGGAAAAAGCAGGAAAAGAGAAAAGAACTTACCCTGGTGTATTCTCACAAACATGACATGCAACCGTTAATATACTAGCGACTTAACTTTCGACACTCGCTGTGATCCAGAGGGTTGTCAAATGTTCTCCCCGTCAAGCACATCTTCATGCACTAGTGCATTAATGCCCATGTCTGCAACTCCACAACTCCACCCGAACTTTAATCAACATCAATGAATGGTATGATTCCAAGAGAATGCATCAAAAAAGTGTCCTCTCCACACGAATCAATACCGGTGGTGAGTTTCATCACTGAGAGCCTCATGCAGGTTGATACTGCGACGTTGATGCCGAACCCGACAACTTGGGACACCCACCTACACTCCCTTGCATGCAGCAGGCTGCCGACATCTTTTAATTAAGGCCTCGTCTTTACCACTCAACTGACAAGCTTATTTTCAGGAATGATAATGGCGCTGCCCTTGCGTTATAAGGTGCACTTCGGCTTTTCTCGAACAACTTTCCAGGCGAATTCATTGATACTCACCACTGATCTGCAGTCTAGGGCGAGGTCATTTGTCGCCCATGACATCTCAGTCATCTAAGAGTCGAGACCTTGCGGGATGAGCATCAGATCTAACCTCATTTCAATACTTCTTATGACTCGTTGTCGATCAAGAGAGCGCGTGTAGACGATTGTTCGCCTGGCCTTTTTTAGCCCCACAACAATGCTGCTCACAGCGCGGATGATGCTCTGGCTTGTCTTTTGATCTCTTGATCTGAGAGGAGTCTTCAGAGCCGAGAGCCGCAGTAGCTGCTTTCTGGCTCCCTCCCTCAAATAACGGCATTTATCCTTGCATGGACACCGCTTGTTCGGTCTATTGATAGACACTGCCCGAATGCTGCGAGGTATCCATGTGGGCCCGCTATTGTGCACCGTTCTGGAGTATCTAAGTCGACGTTTCTGATGATGAGAGTGCACGGATGAAAGGACTACTGGCGGCCTTGAAGTGTTCGCCGTGCCACTATAAACATCCTCTTGTTACACTACTTCCATCTAGGCAAGTCTCGCTTGAAAGAAGATCGGCCTATAGTCATCGTGCCACGTTCAAAGTACTGTACAGTACCAACGTTCGAGCTACTACCTCCATTCTGGGGGTTTGATCACCCACGCTGTCCGAGTAAGGCTGGTGGTGTCCGGCGCTTCCGCCCTTGAGACGAAGACTACTTACGAAGAATAGCAGTATTCCCCGGCGCAACATGCTGTCCCTCAATTTCTGGGTCATTGGCGTTCGTATATGATAGTAGTTAGAAATGGAGTACTTCCAATCACCTCCGCCATCCACACTCGACTCAGTCCGAGCGTAATAGCCCTGGTATCTGATATGTTTATGGTCCCACAGCTCGTATAGCATAGGTGTCAAACACGAGAATGTCTCTGCAGTTCTCGATGCCTGACTATAGTTAGGCATGCTATAGCACCGGCATCCAGTGCGCAATTGATTATTAGAGTTATCTGCCCGATTGGCACTGGGCCAGAGCCGCAGACCGTTATGCGGTCCTCGAATTAGAACGCATTTGTGCATTTGTGATTGAGGAAGTGAATCATGTCCAAGTTGTGTATTTACTCGAAAGGGTACTCAAATCCGAGGCTCGAGCGGATTGTGCCGTACGCCCTCGACTTACTCAGACAGATTATAATCATAGACGGAAATGATCTCATAAAGGCACTGATTTGAACTCTGTGAGTCGGTCAACTTATGTCCTCCGTAACTTAGTTACCTGGTGCCTGATTTACGTAAGAGGGGTTCGCTCTTTCCTGACCAGGAAAGTGAACTGAACAGCCTCGCCGCGATACAAACCAAAACACGTTCTCTACTTCCTCCGACCTTTTGGAAAGTGCAAGACTCTGCGCAACAGACACCGCCTTCAATCTGTTCTCGTCCAGCAGTATATCTCAATGAGAGTTGCTACAGAACATATATGATGCAGTGCTATTGTGGTCCCGCACCAAATCAAGGCAAACAGACATGCGCTCTCTAATTTCTAGACTCGCCGTCCCTCAAAGCATCACCGACTTTACCATTTTCTCAGTATCGCCAGCAATAGCCATCTCCAGTGCCCATGCCCATTAGCTCAATCTTGTCTGAACGGGGCCATGGTATCACCAAGTAATTCGATACTTCCAACAATCCTAGCACAAAGAACCACTAGTGCTCTAATTCAGTGGTGATCGATGCACCTAACGGCCCGTAAGAAGAACCGCTAACTCATTGCTGCTAACTTCAATATACTGTGATACCTGATCGATCAAACTGAGTTCGATGGTTGCCTTCTTCCGTGCGAGGGAGCCAGACCCAGTTATGCACATTGCCGCTCCTTGGCGCATCCCTTTTCTTGACTCCGCAGTAGATTCTGCCTCAGTCAGGACAGGCCACCAACCATGTTGAAGAGGAGATCTCTTTCGATCCCTCTACCCATTTCCCAGTACGGAAAACAGAGAACAGTCGATCGATCAAGAGTAAGGTGAGCTCCCCTTCGCCAAAGTGACAATCGCCAATGTACCTGACCCCTGTATCCCCCTGAATGCCAACCATGCAAGCCACGTCGGTTGACAACAGCGCACGGCCATGGGCGATACAGAAGAGCTCGAGCTCGGACAAACGAGGAAGAGACTGTCAATTGCCCTTGTTGTGCATGTCCCCGGTCACAATTTCACCTTTGTCTCGATTCCCAACTGACCTGATCACCCCACCAGAATACTGGGATTCGAGTCAGGACTGAGTCACTGACAGACATGCGAATTGACCCTCTTCAGAATCAGTGTCGAACCATCGAGCCATGTATGAATCATATTGGTACCAGCATCGGAACTGTTTCTGGGGGGTTTTCCATGCAGTCTCATTGGTGGAAGGCTAGCCGGTTTAGACATGTTCACAGTGGATACTTCGTGTCAATTAAATACAGTCTGTTGGTTCGAAGCTTCTTCCGATGCATATGGCATGTCAATCCGACCAACCAAACATACCCTGATCCAGCAGACCTCTTCCTCGCCACCGATCTCAGGTTAAGAGCGGCTCGGAAAAGTTTTGTCTATATCGACGATCTGAAACTCAATTCCGAAGCAGAGGGTGGCCTGCAAGTTCCTCGAGTGAGAACCTTCGAGTATCTTGTGGGGTTCGGCATCGCTTCAATCTTCAAGATACATGCTACGCATCCGCACATCCCGGTTTTACTGGGCTACTCCATCAATGATGATCGAGGCTTTCGAACGGGTGGAACCACGAACAGCTTCCGATCAAGGATAAGAAGCTCAGAAACTAGAATTTGCGCGCAAAGACAATAGTATCGCTAGACTCTTGCGCTCTACCGGTACCTGCTCCCCAGCGCCAACTCGTCAGGACGATTCGGAGAGATTCACAGCTTTGCTTCCTTGTCGCGGCTTGAGACCTGAAATCTGCCTTTCTTTTTTTCTAAATGCTGCATAGAGTTATTGGCAACAACTCGAAGCAGACTGCTCTGAGTCTTGTTCCGGCTTGGAATCGATCGGACAGAACGTCAACACTGAGTCGGGGACTTGTATATGCGCGCAACAGCAGGGCGAGAAACATGGTCAAGAAGCTACAGGATCACCGAGTATAGCCGTTTCGCCAGCAACCTCCAGTGCTGAAACCTGCAATGTGGCCGGAGAAACGAAAAAGAGCAGGAGCCCTCATATGAGTGAGACCAGGAATAGCTTTGGCGGGGACAGCGGCAAGTGGGTAGCGATCAGATCCTGAGCATTTCCAGGAAAGCTGGACAGAAAGCAAAACCCGAATGGGAAAATCAATCCTCAGCAACGGGTCCATCTAAACGCTGTTCGACTAACCAAGTCATGTTAGCACAACAAACAAAGGCCGGGGACGCAGCCGAGGTACTGAAACATTAATACAGCATAGACAGGCGAGGTCGTTCGCTACCAGGGTTCAAGGCAATCTGATGCACCCTCTCAACAGGGAGGAGATGGTCTCATCGCAGAACAGGTTGGTCAGACTTGAGTGGAATGGCAGCGGTGAAGATACACCACCACCACCACCATCATCACGATTCACCATCGAGTCATGTCCCCCGGTCTCGACCGCGCCTGAACGACCAGGGATAGACAAGGAGGCAAGAGAATCTCCATGTGACAGTGACAGTGACAGTGACGGACCTTCCTGCGACTACAAGTCTCGGAATTCCACAGTACACATCTAGACATACTACTCCTTAGGTAGGTAATTGTAGCAAATCGGATCCGAGTATCATGCCGAATCGACAGATCTTCAATGACAAGACCACCATTAAGCCTTTCTCAGATCTGCCAATGAAAGGCTTTCGATCAGATCGAATCGGTTCACAGAGCAGGCCCATTGGCTTGCATTGTCTTGCAGAATTGAGTCTAAGAACTTAGCCGTGAGTAAAACTGGCTTTTACTCATGCTACAGTACGTAGACGGGGAGGTGCCGGCTCGGGAACCGGGGAGAGATCGCTCGGGAGGGAGGGAGGGAGTGTCCCCGTCGGGAAATTGTAAGGGTGACTGACAGGCTCTGACAGCTGATAATTGGGAGGGGGTATGTAAAAGGGAAAGACGCAAGCTTAGCTCCCGGAACAAGCAGAACAAGCAGCAGGTCGATCAAGTAATTATCATCCATACAGCGGGATAAGGCGGTTTAGGATCCATGGTTTGGTTGTGGCTGGCTGAGCTTTGGTGGATCAAGGGGATCAGAGGGAGATGAGGTGCATATTGTGAGTACGGAGAGTACTGTGTATTCACTCTCCGATGTCGGGTCGATCTCTACTTCTTCTTGTTCTGGGTTTGCAGGATATTGCCGTATGGGTCGATTTTGCCACGCAGCTAAATAGTCCTGTTTCCCTTTCCATGCGATGGGGCAGAGCGTATCGTGATAGGCTTTTGATCGGACACCCCCCTTCGATCCGGTGTTCTCGGTGATATCAGTTTTCGATCTAAGGAGGAAAGACAGCATCTCTCGATCTGGGTATCGCTTGTTGCATATTCACTGTGTGTCTAGTATTACATCACGGCCGTACTTTAACTCGAGACTTGTATTCTACCGGCTACCAGACATGCAGTTCCAGGTTTGGGGATTTGATAATATTCTTATATTCTCTCACGGAGTGAGAACCAAACAACGTAACACAGAAAGAGTCACTGACCGAAAACCAGACGTTGCGAATCTAAATAGTACTCATTGGGTCACCAAACGGAGTGAATGACATGACATCTCACTCTTTCATCCATATCGAATGCCGTGTCCATCACGTAGCAACGTATCGCGTTCCCAAGAAAGCAAGAACGGTGGATGCAACGCGCACTGAGAGAGTTTCCGCACAACGAGCTACGAGAAGTAAATGCGGCCCTGGGAACACATTAGCGGGAAAGCCTTTTTCTTTTTTGTTTTATTTCGCCCAAATCAGACTCGTTGAATAGTAGGTTTTGCCTGATCCGATCTGACTCACCTTATGTCTGACCGTCCCACGACAAATCGGACAACTCGGATGACCCTCCAGGCGAGTCGGGTCGTTCCGACAGGTCGGCAAATGGGTGTCTGCACACCAGCGGCAGAGGACGGCGTGGCCACATGGCAACAGGATGGTGTCGACCAATTGCGTGAAGCAGACCTTGCACTCGAGGTTGACGGTCAGGTCCTCCGACTCCTTTGGGTCTGGACGGCCGTTGCTTTGGTTGTCCAGACTCTTCCCCCCTGGAGAGTGCAGAGTTATTGGGTCTGGATTGATGACTGGCTGTTGCTGCTGCTGCTGCTGCTGCTGTTGGCGAGAGCGTTGATTCCTGCTTATAGCTTCGGCATACCTCTGCCTGGCTCGAGGGTCACCTCCTTGATTATTGGCCCTTTGCCGCGTCCTCCACGCGATCTGTTGACGGTATAGTTCATTGATCAACTGGGCGTCCGTTGGCTGATTTGACGCCACAGCTCCTACACCATGCACCGACGCGCCTGTGCCATAAGTCATCACTAGCTGAGGTGGCCGCGATGGACTTGCAGCAATGGAGACACTTGGCATAGTCTGCGAGGAAGGTAAATAAACTTGGCGTTGCTGCTGCTGCTGCTGCTGCTGCTGCTGTTGTTGTTGTTGTTGTTGTTGTGATGGTGGTGGTTGCTGCAGCGGCAGCTGCGGTGGTCTCGTAGCTGCCGCATACTGAGGCGTCCAAGTCGGTACGGATGATTCCAATCCTGGGATAGGCGTTTGTGGCACGCCATTCCGGGGGTCTGATACAGCTGGTGGAAATGACATACGAGCGATACTCTGTTGTTGTCGCGATTGCAGCTGGTCGGATGCATGCACGGATCCATTGGGCAGATTGATCTGAGATCGTTGCAGTGGTCTGACTCCCAAGGGTAACTGATGAGGTTGTGCAGCAGCGCTCTGGTAGCTGGTCCTAGGCTCTAATGGGGTAGGATTCAGCCTATTTTGCGTTGCCGATGCATTTGACGGTTGAATACCACTCATTGGAATATCCATGCGGTTTGCCGGCTGTATAATAGCAGTTGCTGCGGGCGTCGTTGTGTAAAACGTAACCTGACCACTGTCGATCGCCTGATTGAGAAATAATCTTTCCTGTTCCGCCGAGAGCTGATTGTGTATCCTGCGCCGCTGCGGTGCCAACCGAGTGCGAGCGTCGTAGTCTGCAGGAGGCTGCTGGGGTGCCGGGGTCCCTCGAGGCACGAAGCTTTCCATCTCGTGACTGTGCTGAGGGACATATCCGGACATTACCGTGTCGCCATGGCTTAGACTTGCGGATAAATTTGGGAGAGTTCGCTGGTTGTTGAGCGTGGTCAAGGCCTGAGTAGTGGACTGCGCGTTAGTGTCAGAAGACGTCGCATAACCGCCCCAGGTGCCTAGATTGCACGGCTCTGCGACGGAGGAAGTGGATGGACTTTCCATCTTTTATCAACACACGCTGTCACGCTGAGCAACTTGTGTTGTCGTGTTCTAAATCAAATGCGGTGCCCAGACTTGAGAGGGCGGAAGATGCTATGTAGGTAACCAGAAATGACACAGGTGAAATTGCAGAATGTGGTATGTCCACAGAAGGATGCAAAAGATCGAAATCGACAAAGGAGAAGTCGGGTCAGTATTAAGTAGGAATTTCAAAGAAGAAAGAGGCAGGCTAAGAATAAGCTACTCTATGAACCTAGAAATGTTAAATTCACTGAAGAGGACTTCAGATAAAAGCTCTGGTTGATATAAACCGTGGCAGCGAGAGGCCGATTTAGCACGATCATACGTCAAAGATTGGTTTGGGCTCCCAGCAGGACTCGATATTAACCACTGTTGTTTCGGTTGCTGTCGGGGATGAGAACCCAGAAAACGGGATACGGATCGGTTCAAATCCGCATGGCCTTCATCGCATTGATCAGAGCAGCTCGGTCCAGGAAATTGGCAAGGTAGAACAGTCATAATTCACAGTTGGCTCAGTGTGAGTAAAGGCGATGAAGTAACAGGTGTAGATGCCCTGTGCACTTTGTCATGCTCTTGCTCACTTTTCTTTTTGATAACAAATTACAGTTGTAGCCCTATGGATTTTTTGCTTCAGATAAGCAGCACGGATACTGTTCGGTGCACCTATTTGTTCGAGTTTCGGACAGGAGCGACCATCTCCAGATATTGTGGAACGACAATGGACTCGGTTTGCCTACCAAGGCGTCCGCAACATTTCTTCTGTTGCCTCTCAGTAACAGATACCACTGTACGGTTGGAGAAAGCAACGGCGCTCGAGGCGATGCAGAGACAAAACAAGAAATCGAGTGTTGCCAAGTCAAGCTTGGATGCTTTCAAATCCAAGAAAGGTGCTCTGGAACGCAGTCGGGTTATTGACTTTTGATGATCTTGGATGCTGCCTCAGCTCAACCGGGCTTACACAACTTCAAAGGGAAGAAGCCAGTCACGCACCGCCGCGTGGTGTCAAATGAGGAGAATGATACAAGATCGACGCCTGTCGACGGAAGTTTCATGGAGTTGGGAGAACAAGTCAAGGTATAGCTAGGAAGAAAGAAGAGGATGGGCCGGTGTAAAGCAGAGAAACATCGCAAAGCACGACCCTCGGTATTTCGAACTGCGGCGGCGGGTGTGAAAGCCTGGCTCACAGACAGTAGACTAGCAACTAAGTTGCAGGGGAAAAAGGAGCAAGCAGAAGGAAAGCAAACACGGCGAAGAAAGGATGCGTTCTCCGGCCAAGCCAAAGTCACGGGGGATGAGCATCCACTCACTCACTCACTCAGTCGCTCAGTCGCTCAGTCACTCAATCGCTCGATCAATTATTCACTCAAATCACTGACTGTTCTTGTCGGTCTGACTGACCCCGCCAGAGACGAGGGGAGAAAGCGAAGGCCATGGCATGCGGCGCAGCAGACCAGGAGCAGCAATTTGATCCGGTCCTGGGAGCATCGACCGTGGAATGGAGACAATACAGCATGAGCTGCAGGAGTGATTGGTTCCCTTGGGAAAGGCAAAGTGCTAGAGGAGAAGTCCAGTCAGGGCCAGCCCACAGGGACAAAGCGAGGATTGTGTTGTCTTTTTCAACTTCCGGATCGCCAGTACTCCGTACAGAATACAGGAAGTACCTACAGGGAGGAGTCATGAGTGAGGTGAGCGAAGTTCGAATGGTCCTGTTTGTTCCCCTCTTCTAACTAAGGTAGGCGCTCCTCCGTGAGGTATTGCTCGCTTTTTCCACCAGTTGACACTTCCGACTCCCGACGTCATTTCCGCCATTTTCCTTATCGCTTGCCCCATCTATTAAATTCAAGTTCACCTTCAATCCTCTCTCCATCGGCCAACAACATACGTACCCTGTCTCTCGTACCTAATCATTCCAGCCTTCAACAGCCAGGCTAGTGAGACAATCGGCCAGCTCACTCACTCACTGACGCAATCAATCAACCAACCAACCAACCAAACAACCAAACAACCAATCAACCAATCACCCGCCGCATTCCTCCTTACCCCCCTGCTAGTCGAGCTTTCAATTGTTGATGACGCCCGCCCGGTGGCTGTCCGTGCACCTCCGACGAACGGTTCTCAGGGTTCCCAGGCCAGTGCTCCTCGCACCCAAGAAAATGTCCCTGTCCAGCTTCACAATCCCCCGCGACCTCGACCGCGACACCTCCGAGCCCCTCCCCGTCTCGTCCACCGCAGACCTGAGCCGAGATGCTCTGCTGCGGTTCCCCGCTTTTCGCATCTGGCTCAGCACCCTGCAGCGTTCGCTGAGCCGTCAACAACAGCCATCCCACGAGTTCTCTGAGGATCCCTACGTCTTGCGCCGAATCAACATCCAAGCTGTAGACTATTTCGGAGGTGGTCGTTTGGGCTTTGTGAAGCTGAAAGCAGAAGTCTCCAATGGAAACGGCGAGACACTTCCGGGGAGCGTCTTCTTACGCGGAGGCAGTGTTGGGATGCTGGTAAGTATTCACCCTGCCACTATGCTGCTCCGTCTGACAGGGGGACTAATCATTTATGTGCCTTGGTTTTATAGCTTATCCTCCAACCTGATGATGTCCCTCCGTCCGATGAAGAAGAAAAGCGCGTTGTCTTGACCATCCAACCTCGAATCCCGGCCGGATCCCTGGCTTTCACGGAAATTCCCGCCGGTATGCTGGACGATAGCGGGTCTTTTGCGGGAGGTGCAGCGAAAGAGATTCAGGAGGAAACCGGTCTGACAATACCCCAAGAGGAATTGATCGATTTGACTGCCTTGGCGCTGGAGTCGAGCGTCGTCGCAGATGACGAGGAGTCGTTGCAGAGGGCCATGTACCCCTCGGCGGGCGGCAGTGACGAGTTCATACCTTTATTTCTGTGCCAGAAGCGAATGGCGCGCAAAGAGATTGATGATCTGCAGGGTAGGCTGACTGGGCTACGGCAGCACGGGGAAAAGATCACGCTGAAGGTGGTGCCATTGAAGGATCTATGGAAGGAGGGTTTGCGAGATGGGAAGACCCTTGCCGCGTGGGCGATTTACAAGGGGCTCAAAGAGGAGGGCAAACTCTAGAGCCAGAGCAGATGTCTCTCCGCGCACGAGAGTTGTCAAGCCCTCACACCTTCGAAGTTCCGTAGAGCTGGACGTAGACCATCCGTAATCCGAAGCCTTTTACAGCTACCTCAAAGCTTAAACCTCTTTGCAAGTTCAATGCCTTCCGCTATCGTACCCACCCGGGCATCAATAGCATAACCTTCGCGCTCGAGCCTCTTCAATTCGTCAAAGAGCGTCGACAGGGGCACTGTAAAGCACTCGATGAATTCGTTATCCTCAAGCTCCGGCTTCGGGTACTGATTCTCAGGCAAGGACATATCCACCCGCACATGGACCATGTTCAGATTAGTGTTGCAGAACCCAGGATCTGAGTGAATCAGCATCATAGGCATTGATAAGGGGAAACTCGCATCTCTGTTCTGATGCAACAGCACCAAAGAGAACCCACCATTGAACATGACACTACTCGTCTGCTCCGCCACACCCACATACCCCGTCTCCTCCTTAAGCTCGCGCACCGCACACTCCTCCACCGTCTCACCCGCATCAATCAAGCCGGCAGGCACCTCGATGACGACCTTGTCAATCGGGGGCCGGTACTGCTTCTGCAGGAGCAGCTCTGGACCGGTCTCCTTGTTCAGGATGGTCACAATCCCGACGCCATCGATCTCACAGGTTGCCGGGCGAGTCTAGACTCGAAACAAAGGATTTTGATGAATGGTTTAGTCTTTGCAAGGTATGTTTGCATGATAGGAAGGAGATACATAGTGCAGTGCACATTCGGTGCACAAAAGATAACTTAAAGTTACTGCGTAGGAAGAGGCAAACTCACCGTCCGTTCGGAAGACTCCCAGGTCCGTTCGACGCCGTTGGGATCGGCGTAGGTGGTTTTGACAAGTCGGGCCCATTTGGCTTCGGAGGGGTCCTAGAACAGAAAAATGACGTTATTCTTAGTGGACGAACGGAGTTTGGAGTCTAACTGGGGTCGGAAACTTGGGGAATTTGGTGTTGTGCCACCACTAGCTGAGTCGTCTTGTCTGGCTTCTGTTGCGCGGGAAGGAGGGGAAGGAGGAGGTAGGGGGGGTGGTACAGGTCAATCTTACCAGCGGGCCTCTCGAGATGATCTTGGATTGTGTGTTCTTGGACATGGTGTACATGTGACTGTCTAGGTAGGGTTTAATGTTCGGCGTATTCCGTAATGTGTATGCAAAGAGCAAGAGCAACTGGGAATGAATCAAGGCAATGCTGATCTATGATATCTAATATTGCAGAGCATGTGTTGTTCGATGTGAAGCTGAACTGACGTCGATAACTGTATTGCGGGGCCGCAGGACACTTGCCTATTCCGGTCGCAGGGCTAACCCTTGCCTCATCGCTGTTTCCAGCATTACTTATACTGTGTCCTCCGTACAAGATGCACTGTTCGAATCCAATCCTCAATTGCTATCTTAATAAATGCTGGATTATGGCTGATGGAGCACTCTTGAACCATCTACTGTGATCCCGACTTGAAATATACAGATCATGTTGGATACGAACATGTTAGTACCATATTATATGGACCTGTATAGATTCACCACCGACGTGGTCCCAGTATTTACACCTTGTCTGCAATGGCACCGGATCTTCTGCTCGATTTGAACTTCTCAACTGACCCAGGTACAGTGTGTTGTCCCAGGGGTCACAACATCCCCGTCATGGCCTTGAAACCATTGGAGCATCCGACGAGCCCTCTCGCGCGCACGTCGAGCCAGTTTCCCTGCCTATGAACCAAAATCCCTAGACCTGTTCAAGACAACTCATCCTCACCCAGGCATTTACTTATGCTCAGTATCTAGAGGATTACAAGTAACAATTGCACGAAGGAAAGTAGACGGCTGAATTTTGTCATTGCCATAAAATGTTGCAATTATACTATCATAGAATGTCAGTAGGTTAATTATTTCTAGACGGCAGTGCCGCAGAAAGGCGCTGGGAGTCTACGACCAACAACAACAAAGACTATGATCACTTCACACAACCATATCGACCAACAAGGCATCAAAGCTCGGCGTATGAGATCGTATAGTTACTCTGCTATGGACTGTTCCAAGGCCAATGGTATAAGTAGTCATTTCAAATGGCATACATGCACGCTCACACTGCCCGGGGAGCACCGACCTAACTCCGGCCCCAGGGGATCACCCTCAGGATCGAAACTACGGAGCTACGTCGGTAGGGGACATGCTTATTTGCGCACTCTATCTAGTCTAACACGCCAGAACACAAAGACTGACCGTGACTTAATACGGAAGAGGATTCGGAGTTCAGCGCGAGTTTCGGCTACTAGCCCATTCTCTTACAAAACAGGCAGAGGAGTGAGAGCTGCAATGCCGATGTGCTGATTTGGTGGGATGAGAGGTACTCCGGAGTAGTTAGCTCAGTTCACACAGTATGCATTTCTCGAGCAACTAAGGTATCCACTCATCCAGAGCCGGGGCCCGGACATCAGTCCGCTGGGACTGAAGTATGAGTAGGTCGCATCGAACGCCGACATTGTTTGGGTGAAGTGGTAAACATGGTAAGCATCGCAGCAACAGGATGAGGGGGTATAAAGGAGTCGAGATTCTTGCGAGGGAGTGAGAGATTCAGCTTCGGAGTCATATTTATAACTCGAGACGCTTCTTCTCAAGTGCAACATGACGATAACTATGCTCAGAGCCAGCCGGGCAACCACCACTGCCTCGGCCGTCAGATATGGCATGTCATCTTTAGCACGCTCAAGCCAGAGCACACGTCCGTGGATCTTCCCCTTATTCTGTATTGGTATACGAGCTAACAATCCCCGGTCAACTGCAGACGACGGTTCTTAACCTTTACCAATAGCGCAAACCATGATAGCCACAGCCATGCCCTCAACCGTGAATCCTCCAAGATCACACAGCCCAAATCTCAGGGCGCCTCGCAAGCCATGCTCTATGCCACCGGCCTGACACCCGCCGACATGCACAAACCCCAGGTCGGGATCACCTCCGTTTGGTTCGAGGGTAACCCGTGCAACATGCACCTTCTCTCGCTGTCGGAAATCCTGCGGGACTCTGTCACGCGCGCCAACCTCGTTTCCATGCGCTTCAGCTCAATCGGCGCCTCGGACGGTATTAGCATGGGCACCTCGGGGATGAGATACAGTCTGCGGAGCAGAGAGATCATAGCGGACGGGATTGAAACGGTGATGCACGCGCAGTGGTACGATGCCAACGTTTCGTTACCAGGGTGTTATAAGAACATGCCGGGCGTGGTGATGGCCATGGGCCGGGTCAACCTGCCCAGTTTGATGGTTTATGGCGGGAGCATCAAGCCCGGGCGGTGCAGTAGTGCACCAGGTAAAGGGGGAGGCCAGAAGCTCGATCTTGTTAGCGCGTTCCAGTTCTACGGACAGTATATCACGGGCCAGATCGACGAGGCGCAGCGCATGGACATCATCCAAAAATGCGTGCCCGGGCGCCGGGGCTTGTGGCAGCATGTATACAGCGAATACGCTGGCCACGGCGATCGAGACAATGGGGATGACGGTGCCAGGCAGCAGCAGCACGCCGGCTGAGGATCCGCGAAAACGAGCTGAGTGCGAAGGGGTGGGTGAAATTATTTGGAATCTGCTCAAGGAAGATATCCGGCCCAGGGATATCATGACACGGCAGGCGTTTGAGAATGCCATGATCGTGGTGACTGTACTTGGCGGGAACACAAATGCCATCTTCCATCTCATCGCAATGGCGGATGCCGTGGGCATCAAGCTCACTATCGACGACTTCCAGGCTGTGTCAGACAAGACACCCTTCCTGGCAGACCTCAAACCGTCAAGTCAATACGTAATGCACGATTTGTACAACATTGGAGGCACGCCGGCCTTGCTCAAGTTCCTGCTGAAGGAAGGGCTGATTGACGGCGAGGGAATCACCGTGACAGGCCGGACGATACCTCGCCTCCTGGCCGGGTTTCCCGTCGAATCAGCCCATCATCCGCCCGCTCAGTGATTTAGTCAAGCCCACGGGCTATCTACAGATTCTTCGTGGGTCTCAAGATTACCGGCAAGGAAGGGCTGCGGTTTGAGGGCGCAGCTAAATGTTTTGACTATGAGGATGCGTTCATTAGGGCGCTGGAACAGGGGGAGATCAGAAAAGGCGAGAAGACGGTGGTGATCATCCGATATGAGGGCCCCAAGGGCGGGCCTGGCATGCCGGAGATGCTCAAGCCCAGTTCGGCCATTATGGGCGCGGGCCTGGGCCAGGATGTTGCCTTGCTTACTGATGGGAGATTTTCGGGTGGTAGCCACGGGTTTATCATCGGGCATGTCGTGCCCGAAGCGATGGAAGGGGGTCCAATTGCCTTAGTTAGAGATGGTGACCGCTTAATGCGGAGAAAAGAGTGATTGATTTGGAGGTCTCCTCGGATGAGTTGGAGCGGAGGCGAAAGGAGTGGAAGGCACCGACACCGAGGGCGACCAAAGGCACTTTAGCCAAATACGCCAAGCTTGTCAGTGATGCGAGTCATGGGCTGCGTGACTGATGGGCCTATCTAGCGTTTGATTCAATTTTCTCATTTAATGTACGATAAAACTGGAGAAAGCATCCTTGAATTCGTAACAGGGGGAATATGGAAGTACAATGCTTTCGCTATCATAACATCATGTCAAAGATCCAGCATAATACTGGTGACTCGTTGAACCGCACTCGCGATTCGTCTAAGCTTGCTCGATTTGAGCCAAGCAGTTCTCGAATTCACTCCAGTCCTTCATGATCACCTTGACACCAAGGTCCTTGAGAACTTTCTCCATTTCCTGCTGCTTCTCTTCGCCGTTGTAGCTGCCAACGTAACCGATGACCGGAATGCCGGCGCGGATGGCACTCATGGAGCCCGACTTGCTGTCCTCAATGGCAACCACCTCCTCGGGCTTCTTGTTGCGCTCTTTCAGGGCGTGCAGGTAAATAGCGGGGTCGGGCTTAGAGGTGGGCTTGGGGAGCGAGGTGGCGGCGCTGTACACAGCGTCCTCCTCGAAGAATCTGTCCTGTCCAACCTTCTTGATGGAGGCCTTGACACGACGCAGTGCGGACGACGACACCACTGCGAGACCGTATTTCTTGGACTCGTAGAGTTTCTCCAGCTCTGGCATGACCCCGACACAGGGCTGGGCCTTGGCCTCCAGCTTGGCAATCACGCGATCCTCCTCCTCCTTCACGTAGCCCTCCAGCTCTTCCTGGGTCATCTCAAACTTGTACTTGGCCTGCAGCGAGACCATCATTCCGCGGAAGTTCTGCCCGACGAAGTCCTGGATCAGCTGGTCGCCAGTGTAGCGCTGGGGGATGTTGTGCTTTTCCAGGATCTCATTGGCGAGGTCGGCGCAGGCCTCGAAGGCCAGTTCCTCCGAGAGGACGAGGGTATTGTCGCAATCGAAGAAGATTTCGGTGATCTGGGACCAGATGATCAGCAAGTGAGCTCTGCGGCAACGTTATGTAAGTGTGGGGTAGCACCCACCTGAGGCATGATGGGCGATGGAGTTTTCTAGAAGGATACAAAGCCTTCTATGAGATCTGAGAGATTTGGGAAGTATGGAGGGAGAAAAGCGAGAGGCGTAGAGGTGAAGGGAGGAGGGATGTATGGAGGGGTAGGAAGGTGAAAAGGCGGGGAGATGGTCTGGAGTGATGGCTAACTATTTGAAAACAAAAAGCAAACGGGCCATCCACATTATTTAAATAAGGAAAGAGACTGTTAAAAGTCAAGTAAGCGGGCAAGGCTTCAATATTGACCAGCCTTTTCCCTTTCTTTTTTTTCTCTTTCACTGTCTCACTACGTCGTTGAACTACAGCCGGTGGTACTGTTTCAAGGCATACCAATGTTTTCTTTTGGCACGAAAGGGAAAAGAGCGGGGAGGTGAGATCATAGCCTCTCCTCTACCGCTCGGATGCCCCTCCGTCTAAACCCGTCAGGGAATAGCCTCAGCCCCAGATGGAAGACCACAGAAAGTCACAAACATGCGACGATGGCTTTCTGTAGTCTACTGACCATACATAGTATCGATTTCAAACAGAGCCCCTCCTTCTCGGTCCCTCCCTCGGCAACTTCGGGGGTGACCTTGTTTATGGCCCGTTTACATTCAACATCATGCCTTGAAGTCACCGGGCGCCCTCACGCAAAGGATATCAAATCGGACAAGATGACCACTAGGAAGCACTCAAAGTCAAATTGCAGACTCCGGAGTACAGGATTCTATTTTCTAGCGCTTGTACATCTTATGCGCATGGACGAGAACCGCTCTTTGCCAACCCCGAGGCTGCATATCAGCCCATCTTATACCATCCATCGTCGTGGGGAGTGAGGGAAAGTCGCTCTCGAGAGCCATTGCGACAACCGCCAAGTGGACTGCCCCATATATCATATTCCATGCTACAACTAATGCTTAAAGCAAACGAGCATCCTCACAGTGTGATAACCAACTACAGCTGGGCTAAGTAAACGCTGGCATGTCCTACTTAGAGTTCGAAGGCTGTTTGCGCACTGGTTGCAGATGCAGTAATCCTTGTAGCGTCGCTTGCGTGACAGCCCTTCATTTTTGAAATTTGAGGAGGTTTCCCCGTGGTAGAATCAGGTTGTGACCTGTTTCGCCAGTCATTCTCCCGCTTGCTTTCTCAACCTGCTCTCAAGGCACCGTCTCTGCTCGCTGCCCTGACCTGGTGGCTGTATCTTTCTGCGTCACAGCTCGGCAGTCTGAAACTAATCACGGGCAGAGGACAGCTCTCGACCCCTCGACTCTCTCATAGGCCTGATGCCTGTGCGACTCCGCATGATGCATCCTGCGCAGCTTACTTCTCAATCTATCACAGGTTTCAACATGCAGGTGGAAATCATGAGTAAAATCAGTAACAGATCATATTAAAAATAGTTTGCGAGGATCTCTAATCCTAGCTTGCGTTATTGTCGTTAAATGCAGGTCTACTCGTTCTCGACGGCCTCCACGATGGCCCCACCGCTACCCTGGTCCAGACCATCCAGGACTTTCATATCCTCCTTGCTGATCTCGAAGTCGAATACATCTGCATTGGCGGCAATGCGCTCTGGGGTCTCCGACTTGGGTAGAGGAACCCACTCCTTCTGGAGTGCGTAGCGAACCAACACTTGCTGAGTGGACTTGTTGTACTTCTGAGCCACCTCGACCAGCGTAGGGTCGTTGGCTTTATAGTTGCGGACGAGCGGGCAGTAAGATTCGACGATGATTCCGTTCTGCTTGCAGTAGGCATCGATTTCGCGTTGTTGGCACCAGGGGTGAAGCTGGATTCAATTCAAAGTCCCGAGTAAGTAAAAGAGTGCCTTTTCAAGACAGTATCAGACACAACCCGGCATTGCAACTTACCTCAATCTGGTTGACGTGTGGCGGCCAGACCTTGGCGAATGACTTCAGTTCCTCGATGTGCTTGATGCCGAAGTTGCTGACTCCAATAGCCTTGGTCTTACCCTCCTCCAACAGCCGTTCCAAGGCCTGCCACAGCTCCTTCCGACCCGCCGAGCCGGACTTGGAGCTGTGAATCAAGAACAGATCCACGTATCCATCCTTGCCTCCGATCTTCTCGACACTGGCCACCAGCTTCTCGTAGGTAGCTTCGGGGGACCCGGCGGGGCTGAGGATCTTAGTGGTCACAAACACGTCGCTGCGGGCCAGGCCCGACGAGCGGAGCGCATCGCCGACCTCCTTCTCATTTCCATAGAATTGCGCGGTGTCAATGTGCCTGTACCCAACCTTCAGGGCGTGAGCGGTGGAGCTGACGCATTTGTCGGCGTGGGAACGGTAGACTCCGAAACCGAGGCGGGGTATCTGGACGGAGGAATTTGGGAGGGGTAGGAGATCAGTGATGGTATATTTGGGTGACATGGTTGCGAACTAATATAGATGTGCAGGTAGGGACTAGGCTTCCAGAGATCGTGGGTGCTGTGATTTTATTGTGATCTCCTTCTTTGCTGATTATGAATCAGATAAGCGACCGGGAGGCGAAGAGAATTGGATGGAAGAGAGAAAAAGAGAGCTTGCTTCTTTGGAGCTGAGTGACTGTTTTCCGCCGCGGGCCCCATTCGACCCGGATGATATCATCACGCCAGGCGGGCGCTAGCCCCGTTTTTGCGATGGTCTCATCTTGTCTTCCCGTCCTTTACGCGGCACACTTTGTGCGTTTGTATGAATGTTTGAGCAGTCACCGAGTAACTACAATGGTGTGCGAGAATAACACTCAACTAGCAAGCAACCTTGAATCTATATGTGTCAAAAGTCAAGATGACCTACGCCCATGAACCACGAGCAGGCGTCGTGGCCATAGCAGGTCTTGTCATGTGAGCAGGTTCACCACGGGGCAACAACAAGGCACATCAGCGACAAGAGAGCCGCACCGTACAAGAATGGATCGAAATTCATCCAATGTACAGCTTGGAGGCATACCTGCCCAGTAACTATGCCTATCGCTGACAAAACACATCTTCTCGAGCAAGTGCCGGGCCCTAGCGTTCTATGCCTTCTATAGACCATGTCCAAAGGGGGTGATCTACATTGCCGTACCCTCTTGAAACCGACAAGGCATGCGCTAGCAATGGAAATAGACATCCCAAATCGTTCAAAGAGGATCTTTTGAGTGGACAGGTGCCGTTCGCCATGGACTGAGGTGGGTCGGCCAGAGGTCAACGATCCCGATCAGCGTTTCGGAGAAAGCCATTGCCAGATTTCCGATGTCGAGAATGTACGGAGTAACTACTATGCAGGAAGAGATGGATGAATAATTGGGTGGAGTGTAGTTAACTAACTGGTACTCAAAGACCTTGATATTATCGATTGGCAATCCAGCAACCCATTGATCGGGCAACTTTGGCGAAAGTCTCAAAGGCAGGTATGCATAGATTGAATTTCCAAGTGCCGTGATGCTAAAAACAGAAACATGAAGAATGTCGAATTTGTCGGACTCGGCGCCTACCGTCCTTCGAGACTAGGAGCTGTCAATGGCGAGTCATGGTATCTTTAGTCTGTACAATTGATCCATGTACTTGTTCAATGTAGGCAGTGAGTATCGTATCCTAATAGTAGTTTCAGTGACCTGATAATGATGATGGATGGACGATAGATAGGGGATGCCTGGTTCGACCGGTAGCAGCCGACTGGTTCCAGCTCCCTTTTCTCAATCCACTGGTTGCTGTGGGGGTCAAAGAGGGGAGAGAAGAGGGGAGGTCGACATTGAATGCCACCAAAGCAACAGCTGCCAGTCAAAACCCCCTTTTATCTGCTGCTGCCAATTAGTCGGAGTAGTAATTCCAACCCGTACTTACTTGTACCTATTCTTCTTTCTTTTTCTTTCTTGAACCAGAAAATAACGGGTTGCCTGAACCAACTTATTCTTTCAATCTTCACCTCCCAAGTCTCCTGCTTCACCAAACACAATCACACCGAAACTCCCAGCGAATCGAGTCTTACAATAGACACTTCTAAATCCTTAGCGCCGCTGGCCTGAAGATCCTGCCTCTTCCATTTAGGGCGCCTGCATTGTCAGAAGCGCCTCATCTGCCCGATTCTCTTCCGGCAACAGACAGCCGCCGCTCGCTCAGTCCGTGCTTCCATCTGCAAAAAAAACCGCCCTTTTCCGCCCACGCCCTGGATGATTACTTCCTTCTACAGCATTCACCATGTTGGCGGTTGAGAAGCACTGGATCAACGTACAGCAAAAGACCTTCACAAAATGGTGAGTTTGTCCCCTTGGAGCCTCTCGGGAGACATGACTGCGAGGGAGATTCCCCTCCCTCTCCCTGCCGATCGGGCATTGATTGCTACTCGAGTTTCTTTGTTGACTTGCACTCCACCCCGCCACCTAGTCGCATGAACTGACACAACCCCCTTCTTTAGGCTCAACGACAAGCTGAAGGTCCGAAGAATCTTCATCGATGATCTCGTCGTCGATCTCTCCGATGGTGTAAGTCTAACTATCTATACATATTCTCATGCCGCGCGGAGACCGCTCCAACCCGATCGCAAATGGAGAATCTATGCGAAATTTGACTGATTGACATCCTTCCCTTGCTAAACTCTTTAGGTCATTCTTATCCATCTCCTCGAGATCCTTGGGGGAGAATCGCTCGGCCGCTACGCTTCGAAGCCCAAACTCCGTGTACAGAAATTCGAAAATGTCAACAAGAGTCTTGACTTCATCAAGGGGCGGAGGATTCAGATGACCAATATCGGTGCAGAGGATGTTGTGGATGGTAACAGAAAGATTGTGCTGGGCCTGATATGGACCCTTATTCTCCGGTTCACCATCAGCGACATCAACGCGGAGGGTATGACCGCAAAGGCGGGTCTTCTGCTGTGGTGTCAGCGGAAGACAGCCTGCTACGAAGGCGTCCAGGTACGCGATTTCTCCACCAGTTGGAACGATGGTCTGGCCTTTTGCGCGCTTCTGGATATTCATCGCCCTGATTTGATCGATTTCGACGCCCTGGATAAAAAGGACCACCGCGGAAACATGAAGCTTGCGTTCGACATCGCTTCCAATGAGATCGGTATTCCTGATCTACTTGATGTTGACGACGTTTGCGATGTCGCTAAGCCGGACGAGAAATCGCTCATGACATACATCGCATACTGGTTCCATGCCTTCTCGCAATTAGAACGGGTTGAAAACGCGGGACGTCGGGTTGAGAAGTTCATCAACAACATGCATGGTGCCTGGGAGATGCAGAATTCCTACGAGCGGAGGATGAAAGAGCTGCTACGTTTGATTGCTGCACAACGCGAGGAGTGGAAAACAGCCTCCTTTGAGGGTACTTACAAGGATGCGAAAGAGCAGGCCCACCAATTCTCGCTCTACAAAAGAAACCAGAAGCGCCAGTGGGTAGCGGAGAAGTCAGATCTGGCTGCTCTCCTTGGAAACATCAAGACGAAACTCAGCACATACCGTCTCAAGCCATACGAGCCTCCGGCCGAGCTCAGCTTGGAGGTCTGTGATGAACAATGGGAGGGTCTGACACGCGACGAGCATGAGCGTAGTCAACTCATCAACGAAACGATCCGAGATATCAAGAATGCACTCCGCCGTTCGTTTGCGGACAAGGCGAACGACTTCGCATTGACACTTAAGACGCTGTCTCTGGCTATATCCGGTCTTGATGGCGATGTAGAAGACCAACTAGCCCATGTCAAAAGACTCAATGACAATCTTCCTCCCCTCGACGCATTCTTAGATACCATCGCGGCGTTGGACGAGCAGTGTGCGGAAGCCAACATCGAAGAAAATGATTGGACGACATACACATTAGATGAACTATCATACGAGTTGAGTTTGGTTAAGTCAAGCATCTCAAAGAAGCTGGCTTTCCTCGACAACCAACTCGTCGCGCGCAACATGACCAACTTGACCCCGATTCAATTGGAAGAATTTGAGTCAGTCTTCAGACATTTCGATCGCGATTCGTCCAATACACTTCTTGAGCTCGAATTCTCAGCAGCACTAGCAAGTTTGGGTCTTGTTTATGATGAGGAGGAGATGCACCAGGTGTACCTTGAGACGTGTGGCCCAGCCCGGTTGGCTCAGAATGCGGGCGTCAGCTTTGAGCAATTCATCCATTTTATGGTTAGTGTCGTTGAAGACCAGAATTCCGCCGAGCAGGTCTTGCAGAGTTTCCGCGAAGTTGCAGATGGCAAGGTATGTGTATTCCCTCCTCTCCTTGGTGGTACTTCTTCAATGCCATTGACATTTGACTAACAATCCGCAGCCGTACGTGACCGAACTTGATCTGCGACACTCCCTCATTCCCGACGAAGTCATTGAGCATCTTGTGCAAACGATGCCACCACACCAGGGCCCTGATCTGCAGGAAGATCGTGACCTGCCCAAATATGACTACATCAGCTTTATGGGCAAGATGATGGAGTACAACCAGACCCAGCCGCATGCACCTGCCAATGGTGACAGCTAATGACTCAATTCCTTCTACTGCCTTCTCAGTTCTTCTTTATTGCATGATTGGCTGCATTGCACACCCGGTGTTCTTCGGCTTCGCTTTCCTTTTTTCCATGATCATATCCTCTGCCGGATGTTGTTGTTGCTGAAGGTTGCGATCGGTGTTTTCTGGAGCACAAAAGGGAGGGTCTAGGGTTCGTTGTCATTCCAGACTTGTACATTTCTGTCTTTGTATGGGTAGAAGTAGTTTTTCTTCGAGCCGTGAATAGAATGGATGTCATGGTTGCACTACATACAGTGATGTCACGTGCGCAGTCGCCCTGGGTCTAGTCCGGGCGGTCTGGACAAACGAAACAAACGAATGTTGCCGGCCTGCGATCCAATCCCGGGCTGCAGCTTCCGCCAACCCTTCTTCGCCTTCTCTCTCATTCAATTCTCCATTGCTTAAATCCTCAAATCATTCTGCAGTGCAGGCGCTGTTCTTACCTGCCTGTTATTCATATACTCACCACCTCTTCTCAACATTTTTTTGTCGCCAACAGCATCCCACTATGGATCGTAGTCTCGACGAGATCATCGCCGAACGTCCGGTAAGTGCCCGGGGATGAACTACCTCAGCATGCGACCTCTGGCTCTGGCTTGAGTGTTCACCTTCTCTTGACAATCCGCTAATGGCTTGGTCACCGTCTACAGCAGAAGCAACAATCTCGGGATCGTGGTCGTCGTCCTCCTCAACCTCGTCGCCGTGATGGCGTAAGAAAGGTAATGCCGCGCTTCATGGCATCTCCAGCCAGCACCTCGCAACACGGCAGTCCCTCTAAAGATCAATCCTTCGCAGGTCCTTCCTCCTTGTCTCCTTCCGAACTCTATTCGCGCATCATGATAAGCAATATTCGTTGGCCTCGTAGCATCGTCTCGCACAGACACACGGCCACGCAGCGCTGCAAAAAAAAAGATGGAGCTTGTTTACACGAGTACATACTGTGACTTTCGAGCTGACCTTGCCTCTCTATTTTGATCACCGCAGTCTCACAGAGAAGAGCGCCCCGACTTGGATCTGTAACTACACCCGTCTTCCACTGACTGCAGTGGCCGCCGTCAGCCATCCCGGGGAACTTATCCGCTAACCTGTTGTTTCCGCACCTGCAGCGATTGGGTCCATGACAAGTACGAAGACGACAGAGATGGTGCGTCCTGAATCCCGGCTACTCCTCCTTCTCTGCCTCCCACACCGCCAAGGCAATTGCTACGACATGCTAGTGTTCATAAACGAGAACAAGTCTTAACTCAAATTCTTCAGCCCGCCCTTCCCGTGCCTCTCGACGCCCGCGCGGTGACCGCTACTCCCCCGAGCACGAAAAGTATGTCTTGCATATTCATCATAGCAAATACATGGTCTGACCCTTGGCATTAGTGCGTCTACTGGAGCCAAACTCCGTGTCGAGAACATCCACTACGATATCACCGAGAGTGACTTGGAGGTAAGATGCTGCTGCAACCACCGAACTATCTACATGCGTGAGCATATCTAAGACGTACTTTCTTCTTCGATCATAGGATCTTTTCACCCGTATCGGACCCATTAGCAGCGTTTCCCTCGTCTACGACCGCGCCGGCCGTTCGGAGGGTGTTGCCTTCGTCACCTACAACCGTGTCAGCGACGCCCGCACAGCTATCAGCGAATTTGATGGTGCCAACGCTAAAGGCCAGCCCATCCGGTTAACACTGATTGGCAGCGGCAGCGGCAGCGCAAGACGGGACCGCAATCCGTTCGACCACGTGGAGCGTCCCAAGGGCAGCTTGTTCGACCGCGTGGAGCGGCCTCGCGATAGGAACGCCCGCAGTCTGAGCCCCGGCAGCAGAAGCGGTAGCCCCGACGGCGGCGCCCGGCGTCGTCGTGGCCGTCGTGGTCCCGGTGGTAGCGCTGGTGGTGGAGGATACCGCCGCAGCGACGTCACCAAGCCGCCTCCCGATCACATCGACAGATACGTTCCTGGCCAGAGATCGCCCGCCCGCAGACCCGCGAACGGTGGTGGTAGACGTCAGCAGGAGCGTGACACTCGTGGTGGCGAGGGCCGTCGCACAGCCAACGGTCGACCTCGCAAGACCCAGGAGGAACTCGACGCCGAGATGGACGACTACTGGGGCGGCAATGCCAATGCCAGCGCCGGTGTAGCTGACAACCAGATTGTTCCCGATGAGGCGCAGCAGGTCGCCCCTGCGTCTGCGGCTGCTGCTGGAGATGATGATATTGACATGATTGAGTAAAGCGCAGGCTTTGGATGAGACGTGTGTGGCGAGAAATGTTCACTGATTAAGTCATAACCGCTTGCTTTCTGTAATTAAGCTGATGTTTGAAACTTGGTGTGTCGCATAGACACAGGTTCCGACGGAACTGAAACTGGAATTGAAATAAAGCGACCAAGAACGCTTTTTCGTCCCATCTTGGAGGAATGGTGTAACTATTGGCGGCCACCGGTTTGTATTTGCTAATCATACAAAAATCCTCTATCGTTCATTATGTTAAGATTTCACCTTTTAAGGTTGGAAACCCTCCAGCGTACGTTATTCCTACCAGATGTTCTCTTAAACAGAGACCTTTTAACCAGTGGTTCTTTTCACAAGAAGTTCTTCTGACCAGAGGTTCTGAGATATGTTTCCATATTTTTCGGTATGGGAGGCAACTAGGTTATAATAGATAGTAATGGAAAAGGCAGTAATGCTATGCCGAGCCTCTCGCCCTTTCCACTTGTCCTTCAGCCTCAGCAAGAATCAATACCCTTTGTGGGTGAAAAAAGGCAGCAGCGCTGTGCGTATGTGCGTGTCTTTGTCTTTGTTAACTAAGACAATTTCTATCTTCCTCCGTTCCCAAGCTCACCCATCTACCCAATCGTCCTTCTTTGACCATGATAGTCAAGTAAGTGAGTCATTTCATATAGGCGCTGATGCCAATGCTTGTTAATGCTTGTCTTAAATCGATTTGATCGCATCATCGCCCTCTTATCTTCTTGCTAGCATCTCCGATTCTCTCGCGTCCGTGATGTGAGGAGCTCTGGGCCTTTTTTTTCTTCTCTGAGGGCACATGAAATCGTCGTCTAGGGGAGGCTAGGACTGGGAGTAGATCCCGTGCTAGTGTGCTGAACTAGACTGAGCAGCATGAGACCAGAATCACCGCCACAGACCGTAGGGTTCCCTGCATGCTTTCCAAAGTTTGATGGTTCCGTCCTCGCTTCCGGTACCATAGAGTTTGCCGTCGGGCGAGAAGCTTACGGACCATATGGGGCCGTGGTGGCCCTTTTGGACTTCTGTTTGGGAAGGGTTAATGCCAAGATTACTGACTAAGAGGCGGGGTTGTGTGGGCAGTCGGGTAAGGAGAAACAAAGGGAGAGTGTGAAGATAGTGAGAGGAAATGGAAGGGAACTGTACCGAGTTCTTCGCCCGTCAGCAGATCATACACCCGAGCCCAGGTATCCTCGGCACTTCCGGTGACCAGGCGACTGGTCTCGTTGTTGACGGCCGCGCTGGCGACCTCATACCGGAAGTCAACCTTCTTAAGGAGTCGGCCTGGGTTCAGGCCGTCAAACAGATACACTGATTTGCCGGCGGCAACGGTCAGAATGCCTGCGTCGTTGGGACGCACGGCCAGGGTGTTGAGTTCACAGCTGCCGATGGGGCCGTCGACAATGTACTCGACCACCGGGTGGCGGGAGCGGAGGTCCCACCACCGGATCTTGCGGTCTTCCGCCGCCGTGGTGAGGATGTTGTAATCCTGGTTCCAGACGATGGATTTGATGGTGCCGCCGTGCACGCCGGGTCCGATCTCGTAGCTGGTCACCGCGGATGGTTGCGAGGCATCACCTGGCGCTGAGGGCCCGGTAGCTAATGTTGGCGACGAGCTGTTGCTGTTGCTTCCGCCGCTGCTGCTACTGCTGCGCGTGAGGTCGAAGATTCGCAGCTTCTTCTCAAAGCCGCCGGTAGCGAGCACGCGGGGCGATGGCTGCATGGGGAATGCTACAGCCCGGCAGATGTGCGAGTGCTGGAGCGTGTGAAGACATTCACCCGTGTGGGTGTCCCATACTTTCCTGTGGCAAGAGCGTTAGTTTGGAAACACACGTCCTCTTTGCTTAAGATGGATGTGGTGACTGGGAACTTACGCAGAGAAATCGGCAGCGGCGGTGGCGGCGATGGTGGCGTCAGTAGATAGACGTGCCTGCCAGACTGCACCTTTATGACCGAGGAAGGTTCCGATCCTGATTCGGTGAACATCAGTTGAGAGCTCAGGGGTCAGCTTCTAGATGTGCTAGTTGGACGAACCAGTCACCAGTAATGCCGTCGCGCAACATGGGATTATTATCTGTGCAAATGAATCAGCTTGCAAAACTTGGTGAAGATTCAAGGATTTGCACAGCTTGTGCAGCGTACCTTTACATGCGGAGATAAGGTAGTACTGGTCATCCTCCACGGTGGAGGAGAAACTGATATGCGGCACGGGACGAGAGTGTCCGTGACATGTCAATGGCACAACCTTGGGAATATCTATGAGATGTCAGCCATGAAGGAGCGGCTTAAGTATGAGTTGAGCTTTATAAGTTACCAGCAGCCATGTTTGGCGTTCTTTCAGGGATTCCTTTTTAAAATTTGAAGATCTTGGGGTATCAATGTCGTGGTCGGTTGCGGGCGGCCGTTAATATCAGGAGATGAACGATTGATAGTCTTCAACAGCGGGTACAAGCTGTTCAGCAAGGCATACAACCGGGGAAACAGTAAATGGAATTTGAGCGGAAGATGAGAGAGATGAGCGGATGTAAAAATACAAAAGAAGAGTCGTCGATCTCGTCAAATCATCAATCAGCCCAAACAATGTGGAAGAGAGAGTGGGAGGGTTTCTAAGGACGGATTGGAGAAGTTGAGGGGGGAGAGAATAATGAGGTGGAACTGTACAAATTGCACACAGGAGGGGTTCACGGAGGGGTGGAGACGGGCGGACGGACGATGACCACCAGCTCACTTCTACAAGATAAAAGAAAAGAATACTGGGTAGGTTTGAGAGGGACTCGAGCCCAGCAGGAGGGAAAAAAGGAAGAGGAAGAGTCGGGATGATGAGCTCTTTTTTTGATATGCGCAGATCTCCTTACGATTAATTTCCCCTTCCATCCCCGGGCTAGACCCAGTTGGGTTTAGCTTGACTACACGTGAGAGATCCATTCTATGTATACAGCGTATATGATATCTGAGTATGCACTATACAGCATACTACACAGCATGGTTTATAGGCCTCGTTTGCATAGCATATTTTGCACTAGATATAGGACAGAGATATCGCTCAAGTCGAGTACATTGTATGCACAATTCTTCTTCAAATGTGACAGAGTCGCAAGGGAACGGCCGTACTACTATACATACGTAACAGCTTGTATGGATCTACTTGGGTTCAGTGATGATAGTCTGTCTCTGCTTTGACTATGCAATAGTCCTTCTCTTAATCATATATATTCTAATAATTAGCCCATCTCCTGATAACTACTACTTATATACACACCGTACACCCCCTGAGTCTCTCCTATCCACCCAGCTTATCAACCACCCCGATTCTAGCAACTTCTTCCCGCCCCGATCGCACACCCGGCTGAGCCACCGCCCACGTGATTGCCCGCGGAGGTACCATGGCCTCCTTAGCAACAGCTACCAGGTACGCCTACCACTAACTACTGTACAGGAACCACCAGGGTGCTGCTCTCTGGAGGTTGATCTTTACACTCATCCTTGTCATTTTCTCCATTCAAACCCACCTACTCCTTCCCACTTCGCAACCACCAGGCACTCTCATTCTTGCTCTCCCCTATCCACTTTATCAGTTCATGTATGCCTGAGTTCAAGATCTCCGCTTCTCTGGAGGGCCACGGCGATGATGTAAGAACGCCCCCCCTCCCGCCTGTTGACGCTGACTTTGCCCACATCCACCCTGCCCCAACCTTGGCGATCATCGACCGCTGACCATTTTTTTCTATTATTCGTCGGTATCATAGGTTCGCGCTGTGGTCTTTCCTCACCCAAATGCCGTCTTCTCAGCGTCTCGCGATGCCACAGTGCGACTATGGAAACTAGTCTCTACCCCGCCTCCGACGTATGACTACAACATCACTTGTCATGGCTCAGCCTTCATCAACGCCCTAGCATACTATCCCCCAACACTCGACTTCCCCGATGGCCTGGTCCTCTCCGGCGGACAAGATACAATCATCGAGGCGAGACAACCCGGTAAAGCCGCTGATGACAATGCGGACGCTATGCTTCTTGGCCATGCACACAACGTGTGTGCGCTGGACGTCTCACATGAGGGTGGATGGGTAGTAAGTGGAAGCTGGGACTCTACCGCTCGGCTCTGGAAAATTGGCAAATGGGAATGTGATCTCGTGCTGGACGGTCATCAAGGAAGTGTTTGGACGGTGCTCGCTTACGATAAGGATACTATCATCACTGGTAGGTGTCGAGTTGTTTCACTTTGATTCGACTCATAGCTGACACATTACTAGGTTGCGCGGATAAGATGATCCGTATTTTCAACACCTCAGGGAAACTCCTGAAAACAATCAAGGACTCTCAAGATGTTGTTCGGGCTTTGTGCAAGGTCCCTGCTTCCCACCCTTCTGGTGCGCACTTCGCTTCTGCAAGCAACGATGGTTTGATTCGACTCTACACCATCCAAGGACAACTTGTTGGAGAACTTCATGGGCACGAAAGTTTCATCTACTCATTGGCCGCCTTGCCTTCGGGTGAGTTGGTCAGCGCTGGTGAAGACAGAACGGTCAGAGTGTGGGACGGCATGCAGTGCGTGCAAACGATAACACATCCCGCGATTTCGGTGTGGAGCGTGGCTGCTTGTCAGGAGACCGGGGATATTATCACAGGCGCCAGTGATCGAGTCACTCGCATCTTCACCAGGAGTGAGGACCGGGTCGCTAGTGCTGAGGTGATACAACAGTTCGAAAGGACAGTCAAAGAGTCTGCAATCCCTGAACAGCAAGTCGGCAAAATCAACAAGGAGCAACTTCCTGGTCCCGAGTTCCTGAAGCAGAAGTCGGGCACCAAGGATGGACAGGTACAGATGATTCGTGAGACGGATGGTAGCATCACTGCTCACACATGGTCCATGGCATCCCGAGAATGGATTGCAGTTGGCACGGTGGTTGATTCCGCTGCCAGCAGTGGAAGGAAAATTGAGTATCTGGGACAGGATTACGACTATGTCTTCGATGTCGACGTGGAGGACGGCAAGCCGCCTCTCAAATTGCCATACAACGTCTCTCAGAACCCCTACGAAGCAGCAACGAAATTCATTCAGGACAACGAATTGTCCATGAATTACCTGGATCAAGTTGCGCAGTTTATTGTTCAGAACAGTCAGGGTGCCAGCCTTGGCCAGTCTACCCAAGGCCCGACACCTTCTGGTGCCGACCCCTGGGGGCAAGAAAGGCGTTACCGTCCTGGAGACGGTCAAGAATCACAACCAGCCCAGCCTGCGCCAGCTCCAGAGCCCCGTCCCAAAGTCCTCCCTCAGAAGCAATATTTGTCAATCAAGTCCGCCAACCTTAAAGTGATCGCGAAGAAACTCCAAGAGCTAAACGAGCAGCTTGTGACGTCTGGATCAAAAGAACTGTCTTTGAGTCCATCGGAACTCGAAACTGTGGTTTCTCTCTGCACCCAGCTAGAATCGTCAAGCTTGAACGATTCGCCCATTGCAGGTACCGGTGTCGTTTTACTATACAAAGTCGCAACTCTCTGGCCTGCTTCCAGTAGACTCCCTGGTCTGGATCTCCTCCGACTGTTGGCGGCTGCTACTCCCGTGGTTGCAACTGCAGACTACGATGGTAAGGACCTAATCTCCGGGCTCCTTTCTAGCGGCGTATTCAACTCTCCGTTGAATGTCAACAATGCAATGCTATCGGTCCGAATGCTGGCGAACCTTTTCGAAACAGAAGCTGGTCGCAATCTAGCTATGAGCCGGTTCGATGAGACATTGCCAGCAATCAAGTCAGCCTTGTCCAACAGCGGAACAACGCCGAACCGAAATTTGACCATTGCTGTCGCAACCCTCTATATCAACGTCGCAGTGTACCTGACTTCGGGAGGCAACGAATCAGCCCCGGAGTCGTCGGAGAGGGGACTGGTGCTTCTTGCAGAGCTCACGCAGATGCTGCAGGGCGAGAAGGACTCAGAGGCAGTCTATCGCAGCCTTGTTGCAGTCGGCACGTTGGTCAAAGCACTAGGTGAGGAGGTCAAGGCTGCAGCAAAGGAGGTCTATGATGTTAATGCTCTTCTCAATACGATCTCGAGCTCCAGTCTCGGGAAGGAGCCGAGAACAAAGGGCATCATCAGTGAGATTAAGGAGGCGCTGTCGTAGACTGCGCGTTTGCTCGTAGGGCCTGTCACGGGCTTAGATAGGGTGGTTCTACTATTTTAGACCCTCCAAGGATTATAAATATTGGCTAACGATAGCGAAGCACACTTGCATGGAATCAACATCGACTGACTAGCTGTCATTCACCAGAGTACATACATGACTTCTTCATTTCCTCCCCACTAGTATTATAGCATAATCAATGCTCTCAGGGTCCTTTCCCTATCAACAGGCGTATCCTTCCCAGCACTAGCTAAATACCCTTACCAATCTCAGCGCCAATCAGGGTAGATTTACAACCTTCCCTCAGCATCAACCCCCACCTCCAACACCTGATCCACCCCTTGATAATCTGGCACATCCAACCCATACTTCTCCGCAATCCCCCGCGTCAAGAACCGGCCCCCAACAAAATGCCGACCACGATAGAATTTAACGCACGGCTTCGGCGCCGTCAAGCTGATCAGCGCTTCAGGCATGAATTTCGCTCCAGGCCCCTCCTTGGGCGGTCCGCTCTCAATATCCCACGAGCTGGGCGCGTCGACACTCAGCACGGGAATAGTGGCTGACTCAATCTGACCGATGATTTCCGGGAATGGGTCGCGGAGGGGCCCGCCGAAGGAGAAGCCAAAGATGGCGTCGACAAGTAGGTGCGAGGACTTGATGGCTTCCGGAAGGTCGGTGATAAACGGGATGGAAAGGTTCTTGAGTTGAGTTGTAAGGCGCTTTTTTTTTGGGCCTGTTAGTTGATGGTTTGTGGTTTGTGGTTTGTGGCGGCAGTAGGGGGAGAGAGTGTGTTGGGCTGGGTGATAGATGTGGCTTGGTTTACCTACCTGGTAAAGCTCGTTTTTACCTTGCTTGGGGTAGTAGATTGAGGGGGTGTAGCCGTAGTGGTGGAGATGACGAGCCGCTACGAGGCCATCGCCGCCTAGTTTTGTGGATGTTAGATGGGCTATTCGAGAGAGAGGGTTGGTTGCAATTGTTGTAGGCTCTGGGGGGTATGGATGGAGCTGTAGAAGGTGGGGATCGGTGGAATGAAGGATCACTCACCATTATTTCCGGGGCCACAGATGACGAGAATGTTCTTCCCTTTGCTTGGGGGGTGAATGCGGTACACTAACAGTTCTCTGTTAGAGAATTTTTGTTGCTGTGGGATGAGTTGAGCGTGTTGAGGAAACGCACCAGCTTGAGACACTGATAGACCGGCTAGTTCCATGAGTTGGTCGAGAGAGAACCCGCCGGTCTCCATGAGATCCTTGTCTAGCGCGGCGGCATCTTTAGAGGAGAGTGCCTGCGGGGTGGTTTGGTTAGTGTGCTCTGAAATGAGAAAAAGAATTGTGGTGTAGGTAGAAGGTCTGACTTTCAACGACATTTTGGCTGATGTGCTATACTTCCGGAATAAGGCCGTGATAGGTTTCCGCCTTGAAAGTGAGGAGAGGAGCATACAGGCGTGTCAACTGATGGTGATGACGTGCAGCGGAAGAGATTCTGTCGGCTCGATAGGAAGAGATTCAAGAGATATTTTATACAGAGCTACCAGAGCTACAGCATCATGTTGATAAAGTGTTGCATCCATTGCATTGCATCATTGTTATCGATGTTCCCCACCGTCCGGTGCTAGTCCGGATCTGGTCTCTATCCGGACAAACATATTCTCCGAACACGCTGGAATCTGCCGCGGAGTCGGGGATCGCGAGCTCGTTCAGTTGACCTCGCTTTGCGCTGGCTCATTGAAACCCTCATTCTTCTCACTTGATATCCAGTATCCACTCAAGATGGTCGTCCGTATTCGTCTGGCCCGCTTCGGGAACAAGCACCAGCCCTTTTACAATATCGTTGTTGCGCAAGCTCGGTAGGTGAATTTTTCTCTTATAAATCCTTTCCACAAAGCGCATTGAAACTGCCACATCGGAGCCCTGCAGCAGTTGCAACAAGCGCTTCATCCCCTGGATGGAAATTTCGTGCTAATCCTTCCGGATCGTCCAGTTCGGCTCGCGACTCCAAGCCCATCGAGGTCATTGGCACCTTCAACCCTATTCCGCAACGCCCCACGGGTCTCTCCGACGAGCAGGCTATCACGGCAAGATCCTACAAGGATATCGCGCTCGACCGGTCCCGAGCCAAATACTGGTTGGGTGTAGGTGCGCAGCCCAGCGACGGTGTCTGGCGATTACTGCACATGGTATGTCCATCGTCCGGGACAGGAGGTCTTCCCGCAACGGAAAGCAACAGAGAGCTGACTTGGATTGCGCTGTGTCTTAGGCCGGCCTAATTGAAGCGAAGAAGGTCCCCAACAAAATGAAATGAAAGACGAGCAATGAGCGCTTCTACATTGTTCCGTGATATCTGTATATTTGCATGAGATACTGGAGTCCCCGCCGACGACCAGATTCTCCTTCTTTAACAGCTGTGGGCCGGTAAACGTCGTCCTCAGCTTTTGATGTGCGTGAGAGAAAGGAGAGTTGGACTCGAATAGTTCAGAAAAAGAATATCCCTGAACGTTACCCTCCTGGCATTTACTTATTGGCGTTTTATTGAGAGAGTGATACATTCGGAAACTTCTGGGTCAAGAATTCTGTACATTATGTGTGCTGATTATGTGCTGCATCCTCGCATTGTGATTAAAATCGCAATTAGCTTCAAATCTCGTGATTGGCTTTTAGCCCCGTCCACTGCACTGAATTCTGTGGGATCGTCTTGGGCATGACTCTTGGGAGGCAGGCTTGAAGTCGAGAATTGACCTAGGGTAGCACTTCTTTGCGCGAAACTGCGGGCTCTATTGGCGAATGATGAATGGCCTCGAGACAGAACAGAGAATTCTGGAAAACTATGGTCTGTCACGGGAGCACCTCTCTTGCATGAATCAGCCTCTTGGAGGCGGCCATCGCCGCGGAAGAAAGGACCCGAGTACTTTTTTGCTATGCACCTTGCATTGAAGGTCTAGCAGGTGACCAGACAGAGCCTTCAGCTTGAATCAGCACTGCATTCATCTGTATAACTTTCCGACAGACGATGATATCGATATGTCAGATGCAAATCATCAACGTGACTCAGAATATGCTTCAGAGGCGGCTACAATCCATGTACTGGCTTCACAAGGGCCAGCTGATGGTGACGCTGAATTACCTAATATGCATATCGGCATTGACCTCAGGTTCCAGGCAGCAAAGCTATCACCGCCACTGTTTCTGGGTGTAAATAAGAGGCTTTCAGACTTTCAGACATGGACCTCCTCGGTGTTCACCATGATGGGACATGTGGAAAGGGTTGACCCTGCCCCTCCATGTACATGTCTCTGTGTAGCAGATCGACTTGACTGAATAGGTAATTACTTGCTTATTCAGTCAGTACTAAGTCCTCAAAGCCGGCCATCCTTCCCCCTCCCCCTCATTTCTTATTGTTACAATTGCCGCGCATCGAAATCAGACCTGGACCAATCTAATCCAGGGGACAGGGACAGTCCGAAGGGCCCATCTGTTATGACGGACCGTGATGATTGGCTTTTTGTCGGAATGCTAGGTAGGAAGATCATCATCAGAATTTAGACATCCTCATTGATCCATGGGGCAAGCCACACAATACTCCCTCACCAGATACGGTGGCTCACAGGACGCCTATCTTCCTCCCTCCCTCCCACCCCCCCACCAACCTCTGTGCAATTGGAAGTTTGGAACTAATCCGCCAGATGTCCTGAACTATCGCTAGTCTCTCCTCCTGTCGCCTCATCGGACTATATCGTGGTTGGTCTATCGGAGCAACTAGTGGCTCCAAAGAAGGTCCAGGAAGACCATCCTGGCTTGGTTTAAGTATAGGTACTGTCGGCATATGGGCAGGGTCTATAACAAACTTGGTGGGGTGGGGGGGGAAACAAAAAGAGAAAAAGGAAAAACAAGACACCGGGCTTATCTCGTCGTCGGGAGAGTGAGTGGGTAGTGATGGTGGTGGCGGGTCTAGAAAGAGGAGAAAGGCAGGCACCCTCACTGCGCGACCCAGACTTGCTTACTGTTCATGCCCTGATTCCGTCTTCTTCCTTGTTGTCAACAACAACAACAACAACAACAACAACAACGCGCCTCTATACGATCCCATTCGCAGCACATGATGGGAATCTGGCGTGCGTCTCACTCTGGCAGACTGTAGCTGATTACTAACTAATCATGATTGATTGATAGATCTTCCAGACTGATTTTTGTTCGGTCGATGCATGCGTCTCGGGCCGAGTTTCTAGACCCCCAAGAGAATTGAAATCGAGACCATCGGTTTGGGTCATTCTACTCACTATTTGATCCCAAATCACAAAACTACCATATGTCCCGGTCAGTGCTATGGGAGCTGGTCTACAGGTCTGTCAGGGGCACGTATTTTGACTCCGTTTTTCCCCCCTCTACGGAGTGCTCTCTTCACTCTTTCCCAGTACTTCGTTGGAGCCGCACAGCAAGAAGCTCCTGGTTGACCGGTAACCACGGGTCAAATCCGTGTGTCGCACAGCGAGTCTTGCTCGTGATCAAATGGCAGCGGGATTAGGGTTCTCCTTTGACATGGTTGGGGGACGGTTTTGGCTTTGGCGCATGAGGGAAGTATTCGTCATATACGAATTGCAGAAGCGCCCGCCGTTGGGAGGGTAGGGGTAGGAGGGAACAGGGGTAGGAAGTAATTTAACCTAGCAGCAGTTATTTAGTTAACTACTAACTGTACGTAGTCTGAATAGTTGATTAGTTGATTGACTGATTCTTTTTAGTTTGGTGTCCCAGCAGGCAGCCGGCATCTAGAAAAAGTTGCTTGCGTGCTAGACCAAACTCACTCGACTTAGCCTCGGAATGTTGAACTGTCGGTGGTACTCTGTACTTTAGTTGGAAGATTCAGTTTACATCTAAGTTGTCATCAACTGTCGAGTCATGCCGCCACGGATAACGCGGGGTTCATTCGAGGTTCCGAGCGTTTGTTTCTTAGGGTGTCGGGGAGCCTGAACCCAAATCGACCATGGGCCTCAGGGTACAATATTTGGCATCACTTGTTGATTCTTCCCTGTTCGCGACGCGTTCCCCTCCTGATCGCGCCAAAGACTCCTGGGGATGGAAGGCCAGGCCTGGAGAGCAAGATACATGACAATAATTGTACTTAGTCCTGATAGTCCAGTCCAGTCCAGCTAACTAACTAACAAGATTCAATTATAACTGCTTATTCAGCCACGTCCTGCCGGCCTCGGCACACGCACCTTTTTCCTCCTCCACGTTCGCATCCGTCGTGGCGGTTGTTTGCGTAGATTAAATCGAGCTGCAATCGGCATCGCCCTTGCCTGCAGTTTTCACCTCTCCGATGGCAGCCCATTTGCACGCAGTCAGTGGGCTGTCGCAGCAAGCAGCCGCTCTGGAGGACGGGAGGCCAGACAGGCCGAGGAAAAGGATCAGTCAGTGGTTCCAGTTGTCTTTTACACCTTGCTGTAAGGAACTGCTCTTCCCGGGGAGATCGGGGATATTGTACTGTAGCTGGGAACTGTGCCCACTGCCTACTGCCCACTGCCCACTGCCCAGCAAGACTAACTTAGTCCCTGGTTTTAATATCAGCTCGCGCGTGTCGTGCCATCTTAAAAAGCCGGGTCGCGCTCTTGTTGGATGAGACCAAAGGTTCGTGAACTAATTAGCTATAGTAGTAGTAGTACTGCGTACTCCATAACTAACTACCGTAGGTAGTTTAATGCATGATGATTATTCATTCGAGTACTCCGTCCTTTCCGTACCAGAATCCCGAGCAGTTCGAGCCAGCCCCAAGGGACTTCCGATTGTCCATCATCTGCAGACTCCTGGAACGGAAGCAGACTGGATCCGTGGATGAAGACGAGAACGAACACTCACTTCTCGAGAACTGATCCATCGGTCATCCCCCCCCTCCCGGTGGCTAGTCTAACTATCTGTCTCTCTCTCATCGTCTCTTTCCTCCACCACCATCAGCTTCTTCCCCCCTAAATGTCCCAAGGACCGTTCCGGACTTGAACTCTCTCAAGAATCCACCTTGTTCCCTCATTCATTATTGTCCTCCGTCTTGCTTGGGACGGACAGACGGACGGACTGTCATTCCCTCTCTATCTCTCTTTTTTCACATTCTGACAACATACAGTAGTACGTCCTGGTAATTATCCTTCCTTCATCTTTCTCCCACCCCCAGTCAATATCATCATCGTCATTTCAGGTCCACGACCAACTCCTCCATCATAGAAAGCCCAGCCTTATTCCAGTTTGACTTGATATTGGATTCTCGAGCATTGTTTGCAAGTCAGCCATCATCTGCTTACCATCGTCTTGACATTGTTGTTGAGGATCATTTCGACTTTGCACCCCAACTCCTACTTGACACTTGACTACATTTTACTACTTGCTACTGCTACTTAACGAGCACTTCTCCCTCTCGCCCCCTTAGCCTGTCTGCTTTCCCTCTCTCTTTCTCTCTTTCTGCCCGCACCCACTCATTCCCTGCCTTTTTCTTTCCCTATTCCTTTTCCTCCTCTGTCTCTCTCTCTCTCTCTCCCTCTCTTTTTCCCTCTGTTTCTTCCCTCCGAGAAACCGAACCTTAAACGCCATTCCCTCCCAATTTCCACTCACTCCCTGTTCCCGTCTTCGGTTTCCATACTCGTCATCCTCTTCCACCCTCCACTCTTCCCCCCCCCATTTCATCGTCCCCCTCTCCCTCTCCCATCTTCTTCCACCCACTCCATTCTCATTCTGCATCTTCATTCTTCTTCACCATTTTACCCTCCCCCCTCCTCTCCCTGTCTCCCACGTCTAATACATTACTTCTCTGATACCACCATTATTTTTTTCTTCTCATTAAGAAGCATTTAATCACTCCTTCAACGTCTTTGATTTGATCAGCTTTTGCCAGTTGCGCAGTTATTCAGCCTGAGTCTTGGTCTTTGTGTCGTCTCCATCGATCTCTCATTCTGTCGCATTATTGCCTCCTGAACGCGGCCGAACGCGGCCCTTCTGTTGCAGTCGCGCGCAATTCCACTGCATCGCCCCCGTCTCACTTCTTACCTTTGGCACGATCATCTGTCATTGAATCACTTATAAGTGATAAGTTAGTTGCATCATCTTTCCGGCTACTAATTGTTATCTCATTGCTGGGCCTCTCCAGCCGGTGCCGCCTGTCACCTATTTGACTTCCGCTCCCTTGCCTTCCTAAAGAGCCCGTGCTCTCCCGGTATTCGCTCGTCAAGTCTCATCGATCGATCGGCTTGTCACATTGATTCATCCCTCCGCAAGGCATGAGTGGCAGCTCGAATCAATCAACCCGCACGAGTCCCGGCTCCTTTAGCACCGCTCAGCGCACGCCCTCTGTATCCTCTGGCGCGTCGCCGACTTACCAGTCGCTCTCAGCTTCTCAGCCGCCCTCGACGGCCCAGAATGTGATGTCGACCGACGTGTACAGTCCGCCCGCGTCGCAGGCCTCTTCATCGCTCGCACCAACTTTCACTCACCCTTTCTCTCCACTTGCGCCCTCATCTTCCTTCGACACCGTCGCTTCCACCACCATGCGCTTCGCTGATCCGGCACAGTCGTTAAACGGCTTCGGCCGTCCTGCCAATGGAGCAGGTGGAACAATATTGATGCGAAAGCTTCCGCGCAACACCAGTCGCGAGGCTTTGCGCGCTATGCTGCTATTTGCGAAAGACCTCTTGGATACCGAATTCATCCCGTCTGACCACCCGGAAGATAATGGTTATTTATGTGCACTCGCGCGCTTTGGCACGCTGGCTGCTGCGGAAGAGGCGCGCGCTCTACTCCACGGAAAGCCAAACTCCAAGAATGACGCGACTATGGTTGTGGAGGTACTAAATGGTACATCTTTGGCACCCAGACGAAACACCATTGATCACACCGCAACCCGCAGCCTGTTGGGCGGTGTCAACGGGGCACTGCCACGCCAGTCGTCACGGTTCAATGGAACCTTCCAAAATCTCGAGAAACTCAGCGCGATCAATGGACCTACCACCGGTGATGGCTTGCCTGATTCGAGTACCCGTCTGCACAACATCTTCTCCCCCCAATCACCTCTTGGCAACGGGATTCCTGAATTACCTCGTGTCAGTGGTAAATCTATGATTGATCAAGATATTGACGAAGACACGGGAGAGTTGCTTAAAGATCCGGTCGGCTATGCCGAAAACGGTCACTCTGGTGCTGGTTCCGCCGGGCGCCGTGCGACTAATCCTCAGATTTTGAGTAATCAGTTTGCCGGCATGTCCCTGGCAACGAATCTGTCGTCGCCACCACTCCAAGCCTACACGCCTCAAGGCTCGGCACACATGGGAGTACCTGCCCCTGCATCCACATATCCGCAAGCGATAAGCAACATCGGGGCCAGTCACCCTTATCCTTACGGGAACCCACACATGCACCGCCACAGTCTGCCTGCTGCCAACCCCAACGATATGAACCCACCATGCAACACTCTGTATGTGGGAAATCTTCCGCCGGATACTTCAGAGGAAGAACTCAAGGCGCTGTTCTCCAAGCAACGCGGCTATAAACGTCTATGCTTCCGGAACAAACAAAATGGTCCCATGTGCTTTGTCGAATTCGACGATGTGGGTACTGCCGGCAAGGCACTCAACGAGCTCTATGGAGTCAAACTGTCGAACAGTATCAAGACCGGGATTCGTCTGAGCTTCTCGAAGAATCCATTGGGAGTACGCTCAGGACAGCCCGGATCCTTGAGCGCATCGAATAACATAACCTCTCAAGGCGGCGTGCCAGGAGGCAGCAGCCTTGGTGGAATCCATAATTCGCATGTATTTTCCACGGTCAGTGGCCCGCCCCCTGGTCTTGCAGCACCTCCTGGTCTTGCACCCCCCCTGGCATTGAGGAACAATGGTCCAATCCATCCCGCTAGCAACATGCATGCCCCCATCCCCACCAACGGCGCGTTCAATCCCAACCCTAACCCTGGCCTTGGAATACGGACCAATTCTATCCCCTCAATGGCCTCGCCCCCGCCGCCACTCAGTGGAGGGGGGCCCAATCTGGCAGGGTTCAACTTTTCCTACCCGGACTACATGATGGGCCGCTAGGGGTACAACGAACAATGTTACGTCTCTGTGGAACACTATATGTCCGAGATGCTTGATGACCAACTGGGCTACCTGGCGTATTGGGGATATTCTTTTTTTTAATAAGTTAGATCAGCATTTGGAGGGTCACCTTCCTCCTCGGAGTAAGGACTTGGAGGCCCCGGATACCTTGACTTGATTTCATGATTTCGTGATTTTACGTTCATCTTTGCACTCTGATAGCATGGGATTAGGGGCGCTGCTTACATGTCTGCTGTTTCTGGAGGGAGACCTTGCATCTGCATGAGGATTTTCCATTGATCGCGTTCCTGTCGTCTTGTTTTATGCACCATCTTCATACCCCGTGCTTAGGTTGTCGCGTTTGATTGGTTTTCTGCTAAAGATTGATTGATTCCTGCTTTTGCTTGTGTGCATTTTCCTGAGTCAGTTCCCATCAGAGTCGCCAATGTTTGCAATTGGGGCTAGGCGTTGACATGGGTATACACTTAAGACTTCTGAAAGGCTACTGTTGGCTAGCTGCTGCATTGTCGCACATTGCCCCATGATTCTCGTTTGCATTTCCCTTTACAGCGTCATCTGTTCTTCTATTGGTCATTGCTTGCTCAAATGGAACACTGGTTCTTTTTTCTGTGACTTGTGACTTTTGTGATTGTTTTGCTGTCTTGCTCCGGTGGACTAAACTGGTCAGAGGGCTCGGGTGTAAAAAGAGGTGTGCCTAGTGTTTCTATCATACTTCCGCTTTCTCTCTCTTTTCTTCTTTCTTGTTTCAGGTTTCACAGATTAAGACACGCCTGCATTCGCTTCAAGTGTTTTTTTCTTAGCGCTGTACTCCGTAGATATGTACAGACTCCAGGTAACTAATTACTAGTAGTTATTTTTGAGTCGATAGCCAATAGGCTTGTCTGAGCAAGTGGGACTAGGTCCGCCAAGGCTGTTGTGATCACGTGATATACCACCACTCCCGAAAAAGTTTCTTTCCCTCGAAGCCATCGCGTGCAGGTCTTTTTTGCTTCGTCAACAATTCTCCCTCCCCTTCATCTCGACCTTATTCTTGGCCCCTCCCCTGTCTCCTTCCCCCGTCAATTGGTTTCCTTTTCCTTATTTTCGCCTCCATTGACCTCTTCTCTCCTGAGCACACTTCTCTTCCCTTCCCTTGTATTGTTGCTCGCGATTTTGACACGAAGATACCCCCAAGATGGCTCAACGAATACAAAACTCTCTTCTCCCCTCCCTCTCTTCCTCCACCTCTACCACCTCCTCTCTCTCCAGATTTTCGAACACATGCACATCTTCTTCTCTCTTACCCCTCCCACAGCCTGCTTCTCGCTCGTTTTCTACCTCGGGATGTCGTCAAACAAGGCTTCGCCGTACCATGTTCAATTGGCTCGAAGGTAAAGGAGCCGAGTTGAAGCATCATGTTCCTGGTGAACTGAATTACCTCACCCATACCAATAAACCATTTCCTTTGAACGAGCAGTATCGCAGCGAACCCATTCTAAGCGAGGCGCTGCGAAACGAGATATATGACCGCGTCATAAGGAAGAAGCAGAGCGTGCGAGGTGTGAGTGTTGAGTTCGGTGTCGATATGAGGAGAGTGGGTGCAGTTGTTCGACTGGTCGAGTTGGAGAATAGAATGAGAGACCAGGTAAGCCTTGCTTTTCTCCCCTTCCCGTACAGCCTTTGCGCCCCTCAGCAGGAACCCTTGCCCGATGCAATGATGAGACAATTATAAAATCGATTAGTCTTTATGACCCATTTACTGGGCTTGATTACAACGCCTTTAAATCTGACATGCATCAACCCCACCGCATATTTCTACCAACTTTCACACACTGTGTATTGTCTTAGCAATGCTAACGACTCTCGAATCAGGGCAAATCCCTCGCGCTCCCATACGCCCGTGCAGTTCACGAGATGGTTCCCACTACTCCCTATGTAGAAGGCGACCGAATCAGACACGAATCCATCAATGATCTTCCAGTTCATCGCTTGACCGACCCTCAGATCTTCTATCCTGTGTCTGAATCTCGGGAATTCAACCGTTTCGACGCCGGCCGAGCATTCTCCGCTGCCCCTGCTCTTCCTCACAAGATCACAAGCGAGATGAAAGAACAACCCGATGAAACCATCCGCAAGATTACCCAGGGATTGTCTCCAATCGAGACTGTCGGCAAGCGCGAAGATGAGCAGCAGGTTCTTTTGCCTGCGGACGCGCGTATCCCTCACCCGCACATGATCGTCAACGACCGCAACCGTCTCACCATCGGCAAGACGGAGCCGAAGGAGGTTCGTCAGAGATATCGGGAGCGCCTTGCGCAGGAGTCTGAGCGGGATCAATACCGCAAGGACCGGATCCAGCAGCACCTGGAGCGGACGACTCAGAAGGTCGAGCCCGAGAACTCTCGGTTCGAGTTCCGCTTCAGAGATGTGGTCGTCAGCCGGGAAACCACCGGCCCCACTGGCCGGGGCCACCTGGCCCCTGGTCGCCGCTATGGTATCCCCAGCTACGACCGGAAGAAGGGCGAGGTCAAGATTCCTACTCGCGTGGATGTCTAAAAACCCTTTCCTTTTCCTCTTTTTCCCTCATCTTCTTGACTTCTTCACCTGGATGAGATCCCTCGCGCGGATGAATGCTGTACGGATATTATCGGTGTACCAATGATGGCTCCTTCTTCTCTTCTCGAACTGTATTATATGGGCATATAATTCTCTATGTCTCTTGTGTGGTGTCTTTCCAGCTTTGTTCGATGTTTTGTGTGCGTGCTTGCCTTGCGGTTACTTTTTTTCCGCCCCAGGATGGGATGGATCTATTTTTACAGATTCCCTTGAGCAGGAGTATGTGTATCTATCTACCTTTCTTTTCTTTCTTCTACTTTGTGATTCCCCGATCACGATCATCTACCCCTATATGTTTGGTGCACAGAATCATCTGGGCTACCTCTGTGATGTCGACGATGCCACAGCAATACAAACAATCAATCAACATCTCAACATCATATTTAAAACTACCACGTATGCATCCGGAACCATCGGTCTTCCCTCTCTTGCCATTCCTATCTTCCTCTCCGTTCACAAACCAAGGGTCGTCACGGAGCCGTCTACAACAACACAAACGAGAAATGCAGAATCCTTGACGCGACTGACAGCTGTACTCAGCTCCCAGCTAGAGCAGACATTATCTGGAGTCGAAAGCTGTATAGACTCCATCGCTAAACACCTGCGAGCGGTGTCTAGCTTCACCTACTTACTACCTTCCTACTGTCTACTACTGACCGGTAGCAAGTAGTGTGTGTACTTACTATTATCGTCTACCTTCTGTAGTTCAAGACACATTTAGCCTCGGTATCTACTAGTTTCACTCTGGAGACCTTGGCCATCATCCCCCCGTGCGTCTTGCTGCGGCACTCGTGACCCAGACTAATGAATGTACACCAGCAGGGAACCACCCTCCATGCTCACCTAGACTCTTGACTACTTCAAGCAGCGCGGAACGACCGATGAGAGAAGGTAGAGATTATATGCAGGATATATTTGTTATGTATATAACATGTACTATACTGTACGAGAAGTAGACTTGTTGGATTGCGGTATGTGGCTCTGAGGTGACAAGGAAAGCTTATAAGGAGAATCCAAGAAAAGCAAAGACGTTTCCCACACACACACACACACACACAAACTATACAAAGCAGATGCGATTCTCGAGTTCGTATACGTGAGAATGCATTTCCCCTGTAGTCTCTCCCTGTTCGTTCCTAGAATGATTAGAACGGGTGCTCTCCAGAGCGGGAGGGGGAGAAGATGAAAAGATCTTGAGATGAAAAAAAGAAAGGAGAGAAAAGGAAATGAGGACGCCCAGGTCCGGTCAAAGAAGAATCCAGGGTTGCGACTGATATAGAGAGCCAGACAGAAAAGGTGGAAACCGGAAAGATAGCAGACAGCGAATTTATCAAGCAAGTTGTAGGGCCAAAAGGAAAACAATAATCATCGAGCGAGAAGCAACAAGGGCTATGCTGGGTATCCATGGGAAGAGACACACAAAGTTGCGGGGAAGTAAGAGGCCGATTTGACTGCAGGTACAACGAAGATTGCGGATGCAGTGAACCAAGGTAAACACCATATACACACTATAGCTGGTTGCGGGAGGACCGCGGAAGACATATAGAGAAGGTGGGACAGCATGCTGGAGAATATACACGCTGCCATCAGGAAAAGAGGTAGAGGCTTTGCGTTAAAGTGCATCAGGATCAGCCGGAGTTCCCGGAACTGGAACGGACGTCAAGGGACTGCTTGGTGAATCCAATCCCTCTCCACTCCCACTGCCAGAGGAATCCTCAGGCGTGACATCAATAGGTTTGGGAAGGTGTAGAGCTTTGCGCTCCTTCTTGCCATTTTGACCAAGTGCCGAAGACGGCGATGGCGTGATGGCGGGAGACGCTTTTTTCGACGCTGTCTCGGGACCGGTTTGCATTGGACTTGTATGGCCTTCCGCTGTAGGGAAATAATAGTTGTCGTTGGCGTAACCACGCCACTTGCGCCAACCCTCGAAGTCAATCAGAGCTTGCATGCAGCCCCATTCCGTGACTTTCTGCTGCAACCATTCGAAACGCACGGGCTAGATGGAAAGGGCCGTCAGTAACAGTAATCGACTAGGGAAAGTCGGACGACATACCTTGGTCAAGAAGTCATTGCAGCCAGCCGCCAGGGCTTCATGACGATCGCTTTGCAAACTGCTCGCCGTCAATGCCACAATGATGACCGGGCTCTTAAACAGGGAGAGATCGTGCAGCGTGTCCTCTTCATTCAAAGGATCGCTGTTGCCCGCAATGGCTGGCGGTGAGGCCAGAGATGCCGTGGCCGCGCTAGCACGTCCATCGGCGGTCTTTGGAAAGACACCAATGCCATTCAACCGTTCGAGTCGCCGGATCTCCTTTGTCGCGTCCAGTCCATTCATGACAGGCAACTGAATGTCCATCAGGACTAAATGGAAGCCACCCTGTCGCCATTTCTTTACGGCCTCTGCACCGTTTGCAGCGCATTTCCACCGCACACTCAGACGCTTCATGAACGCTTCCAAAAGCCTTTGATTGATGTTATTGTCCTCAACAATCAAGACGTTGATCGGCGGTACAGTGCCTTCGATGAGACCACCAAAAGCACCACTCAATGACTGTGTCGCACTCGGTTTCTTCGGCTTTGCGGTCGGCGCAGACGGGCGGGGTCGCGGAGAAGCTCCGCGTGCAGGCGGTGTGAGCGACTTGGCCTGCGGCGACTCCGGGGGAGGGCCAGGCGGAGTAGGGATGGAAGGCACCGGCTGATTAGACAAGGGCCCTGGAACTCCATTGGGATCTAGGAGAAACGTCAGCGGGTTTTTACTGGAGAAAGGCAGAGCATGTGACGACGAGTTCAAGTGGGCACAAACCTTTCGGAGCGGACACCTGACCTAGCATCGTAGGGGAGTTTGTGGTATGGCGAGTGAGTGGTGGCCGACGCGGGTGTCGATTCCCGCGACTTCCTGGAGAAGGCAGCGGAGGCGCCATACCTGTGGTGAGGATTGATATTGACGGAGCCGGATGGGCGTTGACGCTGGTAGAGGAGTTGTTTGGGTGTGAAGGCGGTGTCGGGACAGTGGGATTTGCTGGCATCAAAGGAAAGTAGTCGCCGTGCTCGCCCGGTTCGGACTGATTATAGTAGACTTGAGGGCGCGGGGACGGTTTAGGCGTGCGTCGCTGGGGAATGTCGATGATGAGAGCTTCTTCAATGACTTGTCCTCCAGGATAGTATGTGTCCACGACATTCATGAGTGATTCCTCCGGGCTCAAGACTCGATCGGGTGTCTGTCGATTGGAGCCTTCCCGTGGCGAGATCCGGACAACGATGTCGGGCGCATCAAAAGTCTTGCCCAGGGAGTTGGCATACTTGTTGATCACTTGGTCTCGCAGCTCGTCCACCACGAAGTCATCTGTAATGGGAACCAGAGTGGCCGACCCACCTGGCCGCTTAACCCAGATTTTGCGAACCATGCCTGTGCCGTACGTATTGAAGCGACCGTTTTCGAGTCCGTCAGGTTCTCCCGTCGTGCCAGAGTCTAGCAGGCTGTTGATCAAATAATGGTGAGACGGCGCAAGCAGCGACTGACGGCGTGAACCAAGACTCGGGCGCTTTGGAAACGGTGCAGGTGTCGTTGAGGTCACTACCTGGTAAGTTGTGGATTCCCCGGACGGGTTTTCCGCAACTGCATCTAAGACGGTTGATTGGGGGTCAACGGCTGGAGACCCCAGGCGCTCAAGGCCGTGACTATTGAAAGCAAGCTGGAGAGACGGCGGGTTGGCGCGACCGGTAGTCGGCGGGGGAGGGGTTGGGGTCGGCGAGGGTAGGCGATCAGAGGCGAGGCTCGATACAAGTGGGGGGTGACCGTGCTCCGAACACAAACTGGAGGTGGGACGTTTGTTAGAAGAGGTGCGGGCCACGGGCTTGCGTTGCAATGAGCCTCGAGCTGCACTGGAGGATGCAGCACCTGATTGCTGGATGGCCGACGGTCGAGTCTCTTCACGCTGCTCTTCGACGGTATCCTCTGGTCGGGACTTTGCGGGTGGGACGTCGTCGAGAGGACCTTCAAGCTGTTCTCGGCTGGAAGTCGGGGCCGGCGGTCGGGAGATGTCGCCCACAACAGCAGCAGAAGCTATGGAATCACCGTGCTCCGAAGCAACCGGGTGGCTGGGAGGGCGTCCGTCGTCGGGAGAGGGTCGAGACAAAGTCTGGCGGAAGTGTGCGCGGCGGGCTGCTTGGTGATCGGCGGACGGAGAAACGTTAGCCGATGGGTCCTGCAGCTGTCCGTTGTCGTTGTCGGTAGTCAAGTCTCGCAGAGCAGATTCGTTAGGCAGGGACGATGGAGTCGGAGGGCTACCGTGGTGGTGGGAGGGTTGAGGAGCGGAAGGGTGACCGTGATCGTGGTCGTGGTCGTGGTGAGAGAAGCTGGAACTGAAGTTACAGTCGCTGGACCCAGCAGAACCATCGGAGCTGACCGTGGTGGTATTGGGGGTGGTGACTGTGGTGGTGGTGGTGGTGGCGGCGGCGGCGGCCGGAACGGAGGATGTCGAAGATCGCCGCCAGAGCTTCGCCTTCAGTCGAAACCACGGACGGTCAGGCATGACGCGTTGTAGCAATGGTTGCAAAGAACTGTAAAGGAGTGACAAGACATGGGATGGTAGAGAAGAAATTTTGAGACTTTTCTCCAATTGACTCGGTCGAAGGTGCCCGACGCCGTTGGAGGGCCAGGCGCAACAATTCTGCTTTGTCTTCGGCCGGGACGGAAATTGAAGAACAGAGAAAGAAGCAGAAAGCAGAAAAATAATAAGCTTCGACAAGAGATCGAGTATCTGAAACACACACGCCAAAACCCAAGAAAAAAGCAAACAAAAGAACGAATGTAGAATAGATGTTAATGAATGAAGGAACAGACCCGGAAAGGTTACCGCGTCCCTCGCCAGCTCAGTTGGCATACAAGCATCAATGAGGGCGAGGAATTTAAAAGCACCGAGGTGAAGCCACTCGTCATGACTTAAAAAGCAGAGAGGAGGAGGCAGTTTAAAAATCAACTCTAAGAAGCGAAGCACGGAAAAGCAGTAGTAGAAGCTGTCTGCCTGTCTGCCAATGACCTGTCAATCTAGTCAATTCCTGGATTAGCTTGGGATCGCTCTGCGTTGAAAGGGTAAATGAGGATGATGATGATAGCAGAAGTGGCACGATCAATGAGGTGGCAAACAGACGAACAGCCACAAAGGGTCACAGCTTAATTGATCTTCTGTGGCTCATCCCTGAAATGGACTTCTAATGGTTCTGCCTGTCGAGATGGAGGGGAGGAGGGGGAGGGGGAGAAGAAGGAGGAGGGGAAAAGGAATGAACTGGCCACGAGGAGAGGAGGAGGAGGAAAATGAAGTAAATCAATCAACTGTCAATGTCCCGACCAGGGGATTATGACTTACCAACTCATTTAAAATAGATTATGATGGTTTGCAGGGACGATCGGTTCAACTTAGAACCAGAATAAAAATAAAAATAAAAATAAAATAAACAAAACAACATTTGCTACAACGCTTGGACCCGACTGAGCGCCGGGCTTCGAACGGTATAATAAGGATGTGAGAAGGAGGGAGAGGCAGAAGTCAACGGTCGATTTCAATGCACGGTTTGTTGGCACCTCCCTTCCAATTCATCGATCGGTCTGTCACTACATCGAGATGCATGTATGTGCAGACATTACCTGCACCGCTATCGCCCTCACCGGCCGAAACTTTCGACCTTCTACCAATAGCAATCGAGTTTCATTTGTTCGAATCTCTAGACCATCACCTCCTGAATTTTCTGGGTGAGAGCCGGGGATGCGATAAGTAGTGAAAAGTGTGAAAAGTAAATAAGTAGAGCCCGCACAACAACAAACTGCTGCATGGTTCTTCTTGACTAGTACTATCCCCGAAGGAAATTCAACATGTACTTCCGACACTCATCACACGACGCAAAGCCGCCATTCAAACAGCAAGTCACTCACTCTCACTCTGCTCTACACTCTCCGCAGTAGCAACAACAGGACCTTTCAAGTTTTTCGAGATCAGTGGCACCCAGACACCGAGAACGTTCTTCCAGCACTTCATCAATGCTTTTTTTTTACCCGTGGCCTTGGCTTCCTTCCGCACTGCGCGAGATCGAATGCGCCCAATAATGTGGCTCGCATAAATACCACCCTCCAGGAAGACACTCTTCGAGCCACCAATGTGGTCAGTTCCATCGCCTGAGAGGAGGAAGGAATGATAATTCGGCCACTTGCACAAGAATGTACATCAACCCTCCCAGAATATCAAATGAGCCCTGTGCGGCTGCCACCAGTCAGTTTCTGCCCGGAGGTCATCATCTCAGTTCATGGAGGATGAGACACCCCCAAAGTGCGGATAGAGAAAACTAGCCCCCCGAACGGGTCGATGGAAAGGAAAACCCAACCTAAAACATGTTAGACAGCTCCTTTGTTGTACGGTATCTGTTGTGCAGCGGTTAGCGAGCTGCCAGGTGTCAGAGCCGCTCGGGTCCACATGCCCTCAGGGTCAGAATGGCCTCCATGCCACCAAACAAGACCGCAGCGGTGATTACTACAGCTGATGATGCTTTCAGGTAACTATACTCGCTGCAATACCCGGCTGGCTAGACAAACTCTTTGACAGGGTTTTACGAGCGCTTATTGGCCGTAATATAAGACTTGACCCCAGCTGACGAGAGAGAAGAACCCAGAGATCGGTGGCTGGCTCTGTAGTGGTAGATTCACTCCCTGGAGTATCATGTATGCTCCTATGGGAACGGCACCTATTCCGAGGTCATTGGTACTATTCGTCTAGACCACACAGAGGCAAGCCCCGTAGAGACAGATTGATATACAAGCAGCCCAGAGAAACATCATCAATGGTGGAAGCCCATTCGTCTTCTTCCTTCTCCAATTCTACAGAATTTGAGGAATCAGCTGAATACGTCAGAGCACCGTCCCAATGGTTCCCAAGACGTTGGAGGCCACCGTGACATCGTCGTCTCCTGCCATCGAGATGTACGGAAGTGTATTGGATCGAGATCCAATGCTAAAGCACAAAGGCTTATCCAGAAGGACCTAGAGCATGAACATGGCAGCGCCTGGCCAGCTGCAAACAGGAAAAGTGGTTTGAGATAAAAGGGAATCCCTTTATAGATACACATCATGATTTTTAAGTCAAGCACATCGAATTCGTCATCAATCTACTTTTTCCCTCTTCTTCGAAGAATGTCCCGCCACTCTAAATACCCTAGAACCCTGCTAGCGAACCCTTGCAATAAAAGTCATGATACGAGGTCAAGGTGCAGTCGGGATTTGAAGGAGCATCGGGAGTTGCCCTCATTCACTGATTGGGGAGCGGAGCCCATTATTGGGATATTGGGCGATGGAGTAGCAGCGGGACTAAGACCAGAATGGTCACTGAGATGAGGAACTCGGTCCAGGAGTAGTCAGTCGCATCAACTTCTCCCATCCGACCCAAATGCTCAGCCAAGTATAATTCGACCACAATCCCGAATATCTGGTGAATGCTTATGCACACCGAGGTGCTGTCGCGGGAATTCCAACCAATGACCAACCACTGGAGAAATTGGCTCTCCCGAGATGACTGACCATAATAGCCTAGCTCATGGAGGGATGTTTAGACTTGACCAAGTTCACCAGTGACACTGAGAATGCATACGGAAAAAATATGATCGCCACGCCCTGCAAAATTGTCAAAGCCGGTGACAGATCCACCCACAAACGAACAAAGGAATGATTTGTTGCCACTCATGTACCTGCTCCAACGCGACGCCGAGAAAGATATACAATCTGAGGTTCCATTGAAATGTATAAGAAACAGAGCACTGGCTTCAGACATATTCACATCCAGTGATAGGAGCAAAGGAATATACCGGCAAAATGGCCATATCAAAAGACGGGTTTGTGCAGTAGCGGCTCGCTCTAACATGTATGATATGAAAAGAACATATAGAAAGCAAGGAATGGTGGTGGACGTTTTCAAAAAATCCAACAAGAGCAAGCGAGGAAAACATCAAGACATGAACATTCACAAACCAGATTCGCGCCGAGTGATACAACTCGAAGGGTATCAAAACAAGAAAGATCTCTTTTACTTCTCGCGACGAGCCAAGAAGGCGAGAACCAGACCAGATAAGAGCAGAAAAAAAAGGACGTTACACCGTGACGGGACCCATGCCGAGCTAACATGATCATACAGTGGACCGATCATGCATAATGATCACAGCAAGATCAAATAGTTGGATGGAGCAATGCCGGTGTCTCCATTGGCTTTTCTGGCCTGCCACCATCTCCCACTCACATCCGATACCTCTAAAATTTCGTGTTTGGAGAAGCTGATCTCGTTGGCATCCTCTGGATTGGCCTCGTAAGAATAAATTGCCTTCGCGCGGTACGGATATTCGGTGGGTTGCGGAACTTCATCCGGGGGCACACCACTGCCGGGCGGGGCAAGATTCGTTGCTGACGGGTTGCCGAAGCGGGGCTGGGAGGTACGGTGTTCCGATCCGGGGGCTCCACCGTGGTAGCCTGAGACAGGGGATGAGGTTTCGAAGCCATTGAGCTGAGCAGAAGTGTACATCTGAGGTAGCTGGCTTGAAGTTGTTTCGGGTCGGGTCCCGAATGCAGTTGACATGGGTCTGCTGTTGGCGTAGGAGCCGGCGCCTTCCTTCTGAAGAGCGAACGAATCGATGAACCCGCGATGAGAAGCTTGGGGGCTCGATCCAAAGTAGAAAATCCAAATAATCTACATCATTGTAAGCATACGATCGCGGCCACACCACCATCTGGACTTGGGAATATGGGACCCACAATCACCATGGACAGGAGAATAAATCCTGCACCTGCAGCTTGCGCAGCGGCATCACTCTCATAAACAAGCGAGTTTACCGAGATCGTGGAGATGACTAGACCAGCGGATAGGTAACCCACAATCTAGAAACAATTAGTCTGACCCCTCTTTTGTACGTAGCGCTCGGGGGCCATACCGCGATATTATAAACAACGCCAGTATCCGTTCCAAACACGACGGCCATCCCCACAATGATGCAAAATCCGTATGCCACGGCCCACCACGAATAAGTGGGATAGGCGCCATGGATTTTGGTGATTATCGAAGAGATGAATGCGATCAACCATGCTAACTAAGCGATTGAGCGAAATTAGTCGGGATTCATAAATTGGGCTTCAAGAGGCCGAAACACGTACGACGGAGATGGACGTAGTAGCGAGCGCGAACGGGTCGCCAAGAATATTGCTGGCTCTGAAGCGCGCCATCTTGCGAGTGGGCTCTGGATATAGGTGTGGTTTGTGAAGCGAGGGCGAGTGGGAAGAGTATGCCACCATGAATGTGGTTCAGAGTCGCAAAGAATTTATACGGCGGACGCCGGAGCTATGATTTGTTGTTCACAAGGCAATGCGACTTATGACCTCACGCTCATTGGCGGTATGCAGAGCAGCAACGGCAGGTCCCCTTTGCTTTGATTGCGTTGATTGCTTCGATTGCTTTGATTTGAGCCGCCAAAGAGAAAGTGGAATGCGGATACGCGAAATGACGATCGTAGATTGCGGCACCGAGGGCACGGATATAGGGATAGGACTACAGCGCAGTTAGCTAATTTGTAGGCGGCGAACGTGAACGTTCAAATGAGCATGCAAGTCAATCGATCGGCAATGGTCGGAGGAGATCATGATGAGGCACGACAACAACACGGAATACCCAAGCCAAGTCATGCAGGAAGGAACAACGAGCAGCCGACATGAGGGTAGGCGGCGAGATTGGAAAAAAATAATAAAAGGTAAATCACAATTTTAACAAGTGTCCGGCAGGGGGTGATACATCACATACTTCTGAGACAGACAAAGTAAAATGAGGGTCGACTAATACGGCTGGAAATCGAAATAGGGCCGCAATTCGTGAGGGACGAGTCTTGAAACAGGCGGAGATTGATTCAAAAAGCGACGTGAGGAAGGGTCCTCTCAAGAGGCTGGGGTGATTGTGATGCGGAAAGAAGCTCAACGAGGAGAACCCCTTGCAGAAGATGGACGAGAAAGAGCAGCACCAGGCTGAAGCAGAAAGGATAAGTATGAAACGTTAGTGTCCGAACAAATTGATCGGACAGAAAGAGAGACAGAAGGTTGAGATCAAACGAGAGAGAGACTGGAATGGAGGGGGAATAAAGGTCAAACGAATGAACAAGTCAAGAGGGAGGGGAGGGGGAGGGGAAGGGGATAGACAATCCAAGGTGAGGGAGAGAGGAGAAGAGGAAGATGAAGGAGAGTCAGATGAGAGGGAGAAGAGATGGACTGGAGTCAAGGTGAGGCTCGAGGACCTAGAGCCGTGGAGAGAGAGAGAGAGAGACAACGCGAAGAAAGAAGAGCTAGAGGTGGAAAGTCAGTCAAGTTGCTAGCCGGCCAATGTGTTTTGGTGATGGGGACTTCTGGATGGAGACCTGAAGGAAAAGGAGAGAGACCAAGAGAGACAATGGATGAAAGTGGATGGGGGATGGAGCATATGGATGAATGGGGAGAGGGGTGGAGGATCTCACAGCGACACACAGACAGAGGGAGACTCCAGGCGCTGCGTGTTAACGGAACAATTGTGGTTTAGTGTCTGTTTAGTACATCTTTTAGTTGTTGTCGTACCTGAACTTGCTGAAGGGAACGGGGCGGCTTTGACTGCTGGCGCGGGAGAGAAACAGCCAATCAACGAGAGAAATTTCGCCGGACTGGGCCCGTTTCAGCGATGAGGTACCTCAGGCATTCCATCAACTTTGCTTGGCTTCTCCTGAATCTACAGAGAATTATGGAGTAAGGGAGAATTAAGAAAGACGGCATGAACTATAGATACAGCCAATTTGGCCCCTCTCCAACAACAAACATGTTATATCCATGAATCGCTTACTATAGACTACTTGGGTGTATTTGTGCGTTTTTGCAACTGCCAGTGACTCCAGTGACTCGTGCACTCGATTCAATGCTACTATTCTTATGCCTACGTACCACTATCCAATTCCCGGTCTCCACCCTCTGACTGCTGACTAGTCCACGGAAACTTCCTCATTGTTGACGACGAACGAACGAACAATTAATCCAGTAGCCAGACACTGCATTTAGAATCCGGTACCAGCCCAGTCCCGAAGTCCATGGTTCAGTTAGTGACTAACATGCCACATGTCATTTCTAGGGCCTCTCTTCCAAACCTTGCAAGTCTCCGGTACGTAGTTTGAATGGGTCAGAGGAGAAGATCAAAAAAGTCGGCCCGGGAGTCGAGGCCTGTCAAGAGAGGGGAAGGAAGGAAATCTATCAGAAAATGAAGAAAAGGGCTCCGTACTCCGTAATTACCCACGCTTCTCAAACGAAGATCGATGCACATGCCTGTGAAAACTGGGTCCTCTCTAAACCCGCTTGGAGGAGGGAAAATGGCCCCGGCACGACACACGCAACGCAAATGATTTTTTTGAGGGGCTGTTTTTTTTTTATTTTTATTTTTTTTTTTTAATTTATAATTTTTTTTTATTCTTTATTTTTTTTTTTCTATTTGCCTTGCCCCTCTTACGGTACTCCAGTGCCTTTTATTCTCTGAACTAACGTTCTATGTAGCCACGCAAGTGGAGAAGTCAGTTGCAAGGTACGGAAGACCAAGACGTCTGGCCCCTTTGAGGCTGAGGGTCAACCTGTGGCTTGATAAACAAACTTGAAACACGCACACACACTCTGACTCTCCATCCTTTGCCCTTTCCAGATTTTCGGGTTCGGCTGGAAGTTGAGGTCTCAGTCACCATCCGGTCATGATTTTAAGATGAGATGGGAAGGGAAAGAAAGTTAGGACTTTTCTTTCTACGTCTGCATTTGAGTCACTCTTTACATTCAAAGCTACAAGCCTTACCTTTGTCATAGCTAGACTTCGCCCCGCCTGATTCCAAATCTGACATAGTTTGTTCATCGCTTTGCATACCAATACCTTTTGGCTTACTATCAGCTGAATGCAATCTTTGACAACACCTACATATGCATTGTAGTAAGAACTCACAGCTAGCTACAAAACTTCAGCAAGATCAGACTCTTTTTCGCTCGAATCCATATGCCCGTACCCGACACTGTAGTTCATTCCAAGGGCAAAGGATGAGCAGACTTCCCAAGCCGCAGGCCCCGATGCCGTGCTGGAAACGGCAAAAGGCGGGCAACGCAAGGCTGAAGCTGCAGATACCCTTCGGATATGGCACAAAACGCTGACCAGTGAGAACAAACCAAATTCAAAAAAAATCTACAGTCAGAAACCGAAAATGTGGAACCGCTCTTCTCCATAGATCCCGGAAAGGAAATGTCTAGTGCCAATGCTTGATGCTGACCTGTCTCGGTAATTATAGTTACTAGTAGTTGTTATACAACTGAAGGGGAAAACCGGCTGTCATCCTCGCATTCCGAATGGCCCACTGCCAGCCCTGCTTTCCCTGTGTATGATACCTATATATAAGAGGAATAACGGTAAAAAGACAGCGACAAAGTCAAAAAGAGACTCGGGCAAGCCTCGGTGATGTTCAGGGAAAGCAACAGCAACAGCAACAGTAGCCACAATCAATTGCCTTTGAGACTTCCACCAATCTTATTTCACTTTCCCTTCCGGAGAAATGCAAGGGTTCAGAGATCAACTGCATGGCAAATAAAGAACCCGTTACCCGTGGGGACTAATGAGCGAGAAACGGCAAAGAAAAAGGATGATCCGCCCAGGGACATATGGGCTAGAATCCGGATCCTCTCTGGGAGTCTGAACTGAAAAAATGACTGCACGGAAAGTCAATCTCCTCTTGCCCCGTCCATCAATATCTTCTTCCGATATCCGGAAGAGGGCCGATCCTGATCTCTTCAGAGGCTCAGAGGCTCAGAGGCTTGCTCACGTTGGATCCAGGCCCAGTTCCTGGTCTCGGTGTTTTCATCTGTGTACATAGCTCATATCTTGCCCCTGCACAACTCATATGCCGCTGCTTGTTGTTCGCCCCCCCCCCCCCCCCCCCAAAAGGTTTGTCGGTTTGTCTCAGTGATGCAATGCAGTGTAGTGCAGCATACTGCAGCACAAGCTGCACAGCATGACTTCGAGTAGTAAGCAACCACTTTCCCTCCTCCCTCACTATCGACAGCGCCCACCTGAGCCGGTCAAGTATTCGTAGTTTGTAGGAGTTGCAAACCCACATAATTCCTAACGTGGAGACATCTGAGGCTAGATTGGCTTGCCCAGATTCATCAAAGAATAGTGAAAGAAAGCTAAAAAAAAAAAAAAAAAAAAAACAATGGTATCATGAAAAGGCCATGGGAAACGCTAATCCAGCAAACTCAATCACCCAGCGCAGCGAGCACAATATCACAAATTATGCTCACAATTCCTTCTCCCTCCTCTCTCTGACCACTTCCTCCCTTCTCACTTCCCTCTCCACATCCTCAAGCCTCCCTTCCCACTCCGCCCAGCATTCTCCGCCACTGACCAGCGCAACCTCATACCACCGTTGCAACGCCTTGGCCGATCGGACCCGTAACTCCGAGATCTGGCGCGCCTGATCTTCCTGGGTCTTGGATAGCTGGTCGAGACGGGGCTGGAGCTGGATCAAGGACGCAGAGGTCTCCGCGTCGGGGATAGGGAGGTCGTTCAATGAAGTGAGCCGAGAGGCGGTTTCGGGAAAGGCGGACGCATACGAGAGAACGACCGAGGCGAGGTTCTGGGTGGTTAGGTTCTCTGGCAGAGAGCCGGGCGGTGCTGGGTGAAAGAGTTCGGGGAAGCGATCGTCTGGGGTTTAGATGTTATGTTATCAATTGCCGCAGGTTCCTTGATGTGTATTCGGGGCATGAGGAGCGAGCCCCAAGTGGGCAACTGGAACAGAAGTAGACACGAAAAACGAATCGCAACATACGTAGTCTCAAAACATCCCGGACAGCAGAGTTGTTCCGACTCAGTCGTTCCAGGTCTTTCTCCAGACGAAGAAGCCGACGCGAGATACTGTCGTCCAGAGAAGCCGGCTTTGTGGGCGGCGTAGGCTCGCCGGTCCAGTTAGCATCACCGGTAAGAAGGAATGTGAGGCGTCGGAGACGAGTCTCCAGAAGTTCAATGGTGGCACCAGCCACCGTGTCGTTTTCGGGAGCCATGAAGGATTGAGAACAGTTGGTTATGCGACTCGGAGGTCGAGATCTCGTGGTTGTTCAGGGAAAGGAGACGGGAGTGCAAACTGGACATACACCGTGGAGAAGCTCTGAAGTGGCCGACGAAGTAATCTTATCGCTACACCCGATACGTAGTCCGATTCCATCTCCTGAACGTAGATTTCCATTCAATCAAGTGCCGCTCAATCAAAACATGTCATACCCTAGATATTTACAGTGTATCTATAACTACAAATCGGTGGCTGTCTCCGTCACGTCGCTTTGTCGTCGACCACATCCCACATATCGACATCTGAGGGAGGTGGTTGCACAGGACCAGTTGTGCTACTACGGCTAAGCAAAGGCCGCCCATTGCGCTGTTGCATCTCTTGCCCCGGTTCCTGTGTTTCGTTAAAAGATGGTACCTGATAATCGAAGACGTTTACATTCTGCGTCGTACGCTCTTGCTCTGGTTTCAGCGATGGCTGCCAATTGGCGTCAGCGATGTGCAAACGGCTCTTCTGCTTGAGGGAAAGACCCACGAGAGTGCCAGATGACTGATGCTGCGTTTCTGATTGCTGTTGTGCCATCTCCGCATCCTGGAGTTCCGACTCGAAAGTTTTGTTGTCCTTCTCGACAAATTTCTGTGCCTTCGTTAACAATGAGTATCTCCATCATTAGGAGTGCTGTCTTACCTGTAGCTGAGCAGGAGCAGGTTCAACTCCCATGCTCACTGCATTGGAATTGGCATACACAAGCAATACCTGGTTCGATTCTTCGCGGGCTGCTTGCAGCACCTCGGCCTCGTTAACCTTACGCGCGGTGTACCCAATAATATCCGCATGGTCAAAGTCAGTTTTGGCCCGGCCCTCCGACTCCGCTTTCCGTATAGCTGCATCTTCCGTCGAGAAACTAAATCGCCACCACTGATACTCTCCTGTAATTGAGGGCTCATCATCCGACCCGTGCTCGTCACAGCGTCGGAGAACGTAGGTCACATGTGGTTGAGTGCACACCCCTCGCAAGGTGTATTTATAATGGGGCTCGGCATCGGGTGAAGCTTCCGTCAGTATTTTGGAATATTCTCGCAGACCTTCTTTGATTCTTCGTCTCTTGTCCTCCAATCCTACATATCACAATCAGCACCAGTAGTAGACATGTGAACGATAAACATTTACCTCTTAAGTGCTTCTCTATCTTGGCTGAAACGGTTTTCAGCTCCTTCGCTACATATTCGGTATTGATGTCACCCGGTGCTGAAATGGCGAACTTCGATGTAATGGCAGAGGCGGCTGTCTCAAGAACGTCTCTGGAGCTCATTCCTGTCTGTGCCGTTAATTTAGACTGTGAGCAGCGCTTGATAGCCTTGTCTAACATGTCCATCTCTTCATAGGCTTGTAGCCGTCGCGTGCGGAATTCGCGGGCGACCTCTCTGCTGTTCGCCATGTACCGATCGGCATAGAACACAGATGGAATCACTACGTCAATTGGCTTTTGGGTGCTTTCCAGCTTCATGACTAGCACCTCAGCAACGGTCTCAAGCCAGGCATCTTCAAGCGGCTGGTCTGGTCTATCACACCACAAGGCGCGATCGAGAACATTGTAGAGTGTTTGACCAGGATCATGTTCCACCAATGGTTCAAGCAAGAGAAACTCTGTTTGGTCCATGTCTTCTGCTGGAAGCGATCCTTTGTAGCCAGTTGTGGAAAATATGGTCCCCAACTGGTTTCCCGGGTCCGCGCGGACCGCCGCTTCTTGCCATGCTTCCAAGAATCTAGAAACAGCATTATCGCGATCGTACTGGGAAACGCATTGTAGATTTGCCAATGCGTCTGAACTGCCAAAAGCACGAATTGTAGTATCCAAGAATGCCACAAGCCTCTGAGTTTCGTAGATTATGTCGTCCCAGTCAGTGTCACCCTCCTGGGCGTCTAGCATGGTCACTATTTTGGGAAGGTTAATCGGCTGCCCGTTCCACCATTGAGAATCATGACCGTAGTTGGGCAGGAAACGATTTCGTAAGAGAAGAGCCTCCCTTGCGAGAGGGATTGAGTGGAGAATCGTTATCAGCCCGCCTAAGTATGTGCCCTCTTGAGACGGGCGAATGAAAGCTGGTTCGTTTTCACGTCTTTTACGCTCGGCGGGGTCAGGGCTGATAATGATCTCATGAGCGCTGGAGTTGAAAAGTGTCATCGCCCATGCGCCTTCGTCATAATGATCACGAGTCGCTCGGCTAAAGCTCGAGGTTCCTGCTTTTGTGACGCCTGTCTCCTGCTGGCCGAGATTTTGACTCAGAGACATGGCGACAGCCTGCTGTAGCTCACGTTCTTCACGCTCGGCCAGCGTTAATCCTTTGCCATTATCGGCTAACGAACCGTGTCAGCTCGCCGCGCATGTGCCTTGTCCATCTAAGAGAATCTCACCAGAATTGTTCTGTGTGGATGCAGGGTCACCGGGAGATCTCAGATTAAGGGTTGAGGGTGGTCGGGAAGGAGGAGGACGAGATGGAGGTCCGGTAGGGCCGTACGGTGAGTCGACATTCTCAATCTGGAACGCTTTCAAATAGAAAAACATCAGTATTGCGAGCTCAAAGTCACGGAAGGGACACATACCGGACATATCAGGCTCATCTTGATACTGAGTCCCCTATCGCCAAGTGTGTTTCGCAGTCAGTTCGTGCTTTGTAGTGTTCAGGCATAACTCCGAATGTATCACCTGCGTCAGAGGGCCGGTCGGGTCTTCGAAATAGGCGTTGATCGCCTGATTTGAGTTGAGGTTATTAGCCTGTACATTTAGGAGATTAGCTATGGACAGAAATTTCAAGATAGTTGGATGCGGACTTTGAGAAAGCTTATGGCCTGTTCGCGCGACGAGCTGGTGAAGCTCACGAAGTTCGCGATCTCCTCCTCTGTCGGTTCGGCGGCCATCGTGCCTGCTGACGAAGGCACAATCCAGATTCGAGACTGCTAGAGGAGGCTGATCCGTCGGAGAATTGATGGGGAGCGAGGTCAAGCTTGGGCCGAGTCAGCGAGGAATAAGGCTTGTGGTAGAGTGGGCAGTTGTTCCAGAACCGAGGGGAGGGAAGATCATCCAAGCCAGCCTCGGAGCTTCCCCCGCCCTCGTCAGTCTTGATGGCAGCGGCAGCGCCAAGCTTTTGGCTGGCTCATTCTACAGTACAGTCTACGGCCTCTCGCAGACATATACTTCGTATACAACCAGGCTGCATATTGAGCGGCATATTTTGACTCTTACTTTGGTGGTGACGAAAGCTTAGACTCACCGAATAACACTCAAAGAGCTGACTTTGTTCCCCACCGATTTTCACCGGAAAGAACAACAAATATATATTCATTCTAGAATTACATGGAAATAACTTTCAGCGTAGTGTAGTCCCCCAAAGTGTTCTCTGACCTCTATCGTGTGTGTCGTAGGTCGAGAGAACCGGCACAAGGTTCTATTTTTCCATAGCCGGCCAGTATACTTTCTACTTCAAGTCTGCCGAGTAGCATGTTGACGATAGATCGTAGTTTTATACTCCTCTGTACATGGATCGCATTCTTCCGGTATGATGTAGATAAGCGGAGAAACTTCCGGACCGGAAATGTTTACCATACCGTATCACTGCGTTACTACTGGCGTCTATCCACGGAGTAGTACTTCTTACTCCGCTGTATACTTTAGTACGAACTCCGTAGACTCTGTCTCCTAAGTCTCATTGCCCCTCTTCTTCCTACGACCTGTCTCACCCTTATCATACCTTGGAATCCTCCAGATCGCAGACAGTTTACCTTCACGCGGCTCATCATTGACTTGATCAGTTCATCAGTAGTGCAGGGGTTTCCAGACAGCTGAGCTCTGCCCGTTTCCGCTCCTCCTTCCGCCCCGCTGAGGAAGCGCCAACTGGTGAACCGTTGTTGACTCTCTGCTGGCTGCTATTCTTGAGCTCTTGTCGCCCGCCCAACCCATCCCAACTCCACTTGAGCCAGATTGTGGGGGAGCGCAACCCGTCGACCTTTGCCTCCCTACCAGTCTCTATTGCTCCTTATTGGCTTCTACAACAACTTACCAAGAAGAACCCATTTCCCTTTGTAACAGAAACCCAGAAGCTCCCCCCTCTTTCGCTTTCTCCGCTCAAAATCCATCACGTCACGTTGTCCTTCATCTCACAATCAACCCCCGAACTCGCCGAACCGACGTCGGCTCTGATCTCCCACACCCGCCCCCCCCAAAAGGGTCACAATGGCTGCCGCCTTTGACGACGAAGACCTTTCTGTCTCCCTTCCTCCTTTTGAAGCCGATCGTCCTCGTGACCGTCGTCCCAGCTCTAACAATCCTCCTCCCAATCCCAATTTCCCTGCCATGGCGATGCCTCCGCCATCCCGCCCGATCGGAAAAGGCGGCGAGGCCTCGATGCAGTCCCCGGCTACCACCAGAGACATGCAGCGCCTTGATCAATACCAGACTGTGAAGATACTCGGTGAAGGCTCATTTGGCAAGGTGAAATTGGCGATCCACCAGCCGAGTGGTCGGCAGGTCGCGCTCAAGTTTATCTCCCGTCGCAAATTGCTTTCCCGAGACATGGTCGGTCGTGTCGAACGTGAGATTCAGTACTTGCAATTGCTGCGGCACCCTCATATTATCAAGTTGTATGGCACCCTATCAGCTCCCCAAGAGATGAGGCAGTTGCGATGATATACTGATAGATGTCCTGTGGTGATAGATACACCGTCATTGCGACCAAAACTGATATCGTCATGGTCCTTGAATATGCTGAGCGGGAATTGTTTGACTATCTGGTGAAGCGCGGTCGCTGCAATGACGCCGAAGCTCGCAAATTCTTCCAGCAGATCATATGTGCAGTGGAATACTGTCATCGTCACAAGATCGTTCACCGTGACCTGAAACCGGAGAACCTGCTCATTGACCGGGAGAAGAACGTTAAGATCGCTGATTTCGGTCTGAGCAACATTATGACAGACGGTAACTTCCTCAAAACGAGTTGTGGTAGCCCGAACTATGCAGCACCCGAGGTCATTTCGGGAAAGCTCTATGCAGGGCCAGAGGTCGATGTATGGAGCTGCGGTGTCATTCTATACGTGCTGTTAGTGGGAAGACTTCCCTTCGATGACGACTATATCCCTGCCCTCTTCAAGAAAATTGCGGCCGGGAACTTTCACATGCCTGCGTACATCTCGTCCGGGGCTGCTCGGTTAATCCGGTCCATGTTGCAGGTTCACCCGGTTCACAGGATCACCATTCCAGAAATTCGCCAGGATCCCTGGTTCTTAGAAGGGATTCCAAAATATCTACAGCCTCCGCCAGAGGAGTTCATTGCTACTGGCGTGGACCCAAATAAAGCTATAGATCCACGCAAGCTTGCACCAGGAAAACCCCTGTCCGTGCAGCATAAGATCCACCAGATCGCCATTTCCAAATTGGAGCGGAGCATGGGATACACGCGCGAGGATATTGAAGACGCCTTGAAAAATCCTGAGCCAAGCGCCATCAAAGATGCTTTCTTCATTATCATGGAAAACGAGATGATGCAGACGAACTGTAAGTCAGGTTAGCTCAGACGATGCTGGGCACGGTCAATAGTCTGCTATGGCTCTTGCATGGCTAATATGCTAACATTCTCCCGTAGCGCCAACAGACGACAATCTTATGGGCCCTTCTGTCGCTCCCTCTCCACCCCCGGATCGGATGCCTCAGCCCTCAGCAGCGGCTGGCCGCCCAAATATCCCGCTAAGCCAAGGATCTGCGTTGGATGCCCCCACAAGGCCGCGAAGTGGCTCACAGCGTCAACCGTCGCAATTGTCGCAGCACAGCAACTCCGATGATCTTGACGCGCCGCGAGTTAGCCATGTTCGAATTTTGCCGACAAGTGTGCCGTATGTACATGATCAGCTTATGGAACAGCGGGAACGTGAGCAGAGAGAACGAGCTGCGGAGCGGTCATCTGAGGAGCAGGGACGTTTAGAGTCTGCAGATGACTCGAACGGCAATGGTCAACCGGGGCGCTCGCTAGACGAGCAAGAGGTGACTGCAAGGGCACTCAAACCGCATTCCCGCAGTATCGTCGATCTTGACAAGCTCCGCCTGCAACCGCCCGAGGGTCGCAGCGCCCCGCACCAGCCCAAACGGTCGCGAAAGTGGCAGTTTGGGATTCGCTCTCGTAATCAACCATACGAGGCAATGCTCTATCTTTACAAGGCCATTTCGGCTCAGGGAGGCATCTGGGAAATTGCCCCTACCGGAGCAGGTGAGTTTACGATGAATAATTCGCATGGTTATCAGGGCTAACGGTCATTTTCATAGATGGCTTGCAAATAGGGGAGCAATGCCCGGACGAGCCTATGCCGCTGCAAAGCAAGTACCCGGATCTACCATCAGATTACTACATTCCCAAGGATCCTTGGTTCATCCGAGCGCGTCTCTTGAAGGAGGGAGTCAAGGCTCCCGGCCAGTCTGCCAGTGTGCACAGCAGCCGCAGTGATTTGAACCTCGAAGACTTGCGGCGACGGTTCAATCTATCCAGCGGTCCATTCTCGGCCGATGACAAGAGCCTCACGCCGGACCATCCGAGCATCTCGAATCCTTCTTCGGCGACTCAAGCTCACACAATCTCCCGCATTTCGTACGGAGTGTGGGTTTTCGTTGACATTCAGCTGTATCAGTTGGAAGAAAACAACTACATGGTTGACTTCAAATGTGATGGGTATCAGAACGTGATTCGTGGCGAAGGCAACGGTGATTGGCATCCCATCAGTAAAAGGTTCCGGAACAAGGAGAAGGAAGTGACCAGCCCATATCCGTTCCTTGACGTGGCCTCGGATTTGGTGGCTCAGCTAGCGACTGCTAGCTAAATAATGCTGCAGTTGTTGAATACTTTCTCAAGGCGTTCGTGGGGCTTTCTGGAGCATTTTATGGGTGGCATTTGGCGTTTGTTTCCTTGTCTAGCATTATATTTATCTTCATGCTGGCATCTCTTATATGAAGCCTATGAAATTGGCTACGAGGAAAGAACAAACCACGGTTTCTCGTTCAAATCTATTTTTCCCTTGTATTCTTGTAGCCTAAGGCCTGGCAAGTGTCGGGGAGTCGGTCTCCATCTCTGTTTGTACGTCGTGTTCCTCGTAACCTCCCCGCATCTCCCTCAGCCTTCTAGACCCAGAAGACTTCATGCTCGTTCACGGAACGAGGCCGCCCCAGCCTCTCCAGACATGCTCCGATGCCTCCAACCAGAGCATCCTCAACATCAACTCACTGGAGACTCTTCTCCCACGGACTGAACATGATTTTATTGGACGCTTCCAACATATGAGACTGGTTTCTTCCTGACTTTTGGGGGCTCCCTCGTCCGTCTCGCTTACCGTTGATGAGAAACCTCGGATCCATTCCAGTTACAGTCGCTCCAAGGAAGACAGGATGTCTGCCCCTCGATGACTCAATTGGAGGGCAAAGAAACTGGGGCTGGTAAAATGGAATTGGCCATGCAGCAAAGCCACCGACTCATCGAGGATCTCTCCCAAAACGGCTGAATGCTGAGTTGCACAACTCAGCCATCACATCCAGCTTTCCTCGACGCTGGTCTCCAAGAGTTTTTCAAACCGCATCTGCCCCTGTTTTCCTGCCCATTCACAAGCCAACTTTTGTAGCTCGTGAAACCTTTCTCCCACTTCTGCTGAACATGGTTGCACTTGGCTCCCTGTTCGTGTGCCTCCCCAACTTAGCGCACAAAGATGAAATGCTATGGCGTCTCGGCCACTTCGGACCACCGCCTTCGTCTGGCACGGGCTCGGTTTCAACTGGGCCCCGTACGTGTGGGATGTACAACGTCGCCCAGCTCCCTCCTGCCTCGAGCCTTCCTTGCCCTCCGCAGGAACTTCAAGCTCATGGGCACCAATGGATGGCCCTGGAAACCCAGGAACGTGCCATTTTGGGCCACTATATCCTGGACGGCCTGATAGGCTGTCGCTTCCTTCCTACCCTCCACTGAACTAGTGGTAGTCATGTCCTTCACATGCATTGACCAGCACGTGCACGTCCTTCTACACACCGTGTTGATGATAATTGGTTATTCTGCATTTTCCCATTGAACATTAGAAGAGATTATTCATTTATACTTCCATTTCTGATCTCCTCCATCTCTGTTCCAAATAAACTAACATACACAAATCAAAAATACCTAGCCGTACGCTTCCTCAGCCACGGCCCCAGGAAAAACAACGGCGCCCCCAACGCCAGCACCGCCCACTGAATGCCCGCAAACTCATAAAACATCCTCGCCAGCCCCTGGCGCATCATCCAATCCACCGACCCCTTACTCAACCCAAAGGCCACAACGTTCTTGCTCACGTTGACCAGCACGAGCGCCTCGCCGCTGGCGTGCGGGTACGAGTCGACCACATACGAGAGCATGACGGAGGGAACGAGGGTGAGGCCGGCGGCGGCCATGGCGGACCCCAAGGCGGGGAGGGCGTAGTGCATGGCGTGGGCGGTGGTGTAGCCGAAGACCACGAGCCCAACGGGGGCGATGCAGAAGGGGACGATGAGCGCGGGCAGGCGGTGTTCGGGCTTGTGAATGCCGTTGTTGCGGCGGCGGAGGTACTGGGAGAGGGCGTCGGTGAGGGGGCCGGCGAGTGGGGCGACGACGATGATGCCGATGAAGCTGCCGAGCGTCCAGAGGCCGAGGGCACCCGAGGAGAAAAGGTAGGGCGGGGCGCTGAAGATGGAGGAGGAGAGGGTGGAGATTGAGACGACGCTGATTGCGGGGTTGTTTAGTGGGAGATAGTTTGAGGGTGAGGAAGGAGGACAAAGGGGGGCACTCACGCGCCAAGTACCACTCCATACATCATCGAAGCCAGTAATACTCCTGGGAGCAACAGCATGGGAATCGGGAGCCAGGCTGCGTACCCCAGGAACCGGAGCACGCCTTTCTGTCGGGCTTCCGTCGAGATACCGAGTCGGAACAGCCCCTTCCAGTACTCGTTGTAGGAGAATGGCTGGGCCTCGCGGGCTTGCCGCGTCGCTGACGTGGGCAGACTCTCGATATGACTGTGGATGACCTCGTTCTTTCCTTGCATTTCGTCATCCTGCTCCTCTTCGCGGTCGGACTCGTACATGGTCTCGGGGAGGAAAAAGAAGGTTGTGACCAGGTTGACCGCCGCCACGATCAAGCATACAATGAAAAACCACCGCCAGCCGCGGGCAGCGACAAGGTAGCCTGCAATCATCGGGCCAACCTGAGAGCCGGCGGAGAGGAAGAGGGCGTACATGGCCATTGCGCTGGAGTAGTTGCGCTCGTAGAACATGTCTGTATATATAAGTGAGTGATTATGCGAGGAAGAGAAATGTGATATGAGCCGGGGACGGAGGGGATAGAAGAAAGAACATACCAGCGAGGATACTCGGTCCTAATGACTCAATCGAACCATAGCCTTCCCGGGATGTCAGTATGTGATATAAGAGTCGTCCTCGAGAGCGTCCTACCGAAGCTTGCAAACACTCTAGCCCCCATTAAACTGTTGTAATCCTTCGCCACCACCGTCCAGATGATCCCCGCCACAAACATCGCCATGGATATCAGCACTATCGGTCGCTTGCCGAATGTCAAGGCCAGTGGCATCCAGAAGAGGTTGGCAAGGCCCATGCTGAGAACAGACCACGAGATCAGATCGGCGAGCTTCTGATAGCTGACGTGCAAGTCCATGGCTAGTGACTCAAACCCTGTCGCTATGCCGGACTGTGTGCCAGCGTCAGCTCTTGTCCTCGATGCATGTCATTTCAAGTTGGAACACGAAAGCCTTACCGAGTACATATTCCCCATAAAGACAAAGACATTGACCGTCAGAAGGGCGGCATATCGCACCCGACGGGGATAGAGCTACGAGAGGAAGGCATGTCAGTTCTCAGCCAACCGGTAGCGTTCTTGATCCACAGCCTACCTTTGGATCAAATTGCGTTACCATGATGGGTAGTGTGCGTTTCTACACCGACGTTCTTCGTCGATGACTTCTTTGCACACGTCTGGAGAGCCAAGGCAGAAGAGCAAGGGGGGTAGGAGAAGGGAACTAGCGAGGCACTTATAGCCCCAAGGGCATACTGCAAGGGTTTTACCCCACGGGGAAATCCGCACCATATCTCGCTTGGTCCATAGCCCTGGACATCCCAGCCAGTCACCCCGGATTATCGCCCAAAGATACGCACCCCTTGACGCTCGTGATTCGTGCCCGGGATGTGGCGCCCGGCTTAGCCGACCAAGTCGGCTCCACATGACGCCGCGAAGACGAATCCAGACAAGATTATTCAAGCTCTGTCGCGACTCTGCCAATGGCGAGTGCAGGTCCGCGCAGGCCCACGCTTCTTATCGCCATGGTCTAAGCCTGTGATGGAGGGCGGTTCGTTGACTCAACGGGCGGATTGGCGTTGAGAGATACAAAATGGGAGAGTTATAGGCTCGCGCGCAGCATGGACCCTTCAGATGGCGGGGATCTAAAGTAGCGCTTATGCAAATTACCCTAGAAGTGTCAGTTCTGGTTGATTGTCGCAATTGGTAATCAAGAAGGAGGCGGGGAGATAGGAAGTACCGTCAAGGCTTGTGGACGGGCATGCAATGCATGTGGAGAGATCGATGCCAAGCATGTTCACCAGGTCTGGATCGCTGCATTCCCAAGCTCATTGAGGTCATTGGCTTGGTTTCTCTCGTATAAAGCCAGACTAGTCTGAATTCCTCACGTGGTTCCCACGAACTAGAGTGGAGTCTCCGCTCAGACGGCCCTAGCTCGCCATGAGGTGTCATGTTGGAGATGAGTGGAACGGAGCTGCAAGCGAGGCGGAGAATCAGCCACAAGTAAGTCTGGGGTACGTCCCAAGTGTCATACCAAGAGCGAGCAAAGGATAATCCGGGGACCTTTGAGACTCACACCTCGGATAGAAGCCCCGGATAAGCCGACTACCGGCAAAGCCGAGCAACCCCCCCCTCCCCTTCTCCTCGTCCGCGGACTTTGGCCTGCACGAGCGAGTAAATGATGGCCCAATCCAGTAACTGTAAGCAGTTTGCAGCGTTTTTGCCTCGGAATTTCAAACCTCTGCAGCAATCCTCAACCATCCTCTCCTTTTCCTTCCTCACTTGTTCAGCCTCATGATCTTTCTATCATATTTCACCACCCACTGATTCACAATGGGTATCATCAACAGTCTCACCAGCGGCACCTCTGACACTCCGAAAATGGTAAGCATCATATCCGAATTTCCCCCCATTCGACTCGCACCCACTGACTCCATGATGATGACACCGCAACAGCCAGCTACCGACTCCCACTTGAACATCATCATCGTGGGCGCGGGCCTCAGTGGTCTCGCCACGGCCATCTCGTGCGCCATGTCCGGCCACACCGTCACCGTCCTCGAACAAGCACAAGAGCTGGCCGAAGTAGGTGCGGGGCTACAGATCACGCCCAACGCCTCGCGCCTATTCTCGCACTGGAAGCTGCCCTCAAAGATCTGGACCGAGGCTGCCGAGCCGACTTCGCTGACGGTGCACCGCTACACGGGCGAGACGTTGGCGCACGAAGCAAACTTCGACCGCAACATCCGCGCCAAGTACGGGGCGCCATTCATCGACCTGCACCGCGTGGACCTGCAGCAGGCGCTGTACGCGCGCGCCCGCGAACTAAAAGTGACGTTCTATCTGGACGAGCGGGTCGATGCCATCGACTTCGAGACGACGACCATCACCACGCTCAAGGGCCGACAGGTGAGCGGCGACCTCATCATCGCCGCCGACGGGCTGTGGTCGCGGTGTCGCGAGAACTTCTACGGCCGCAAGGACGAGCCGCTGCCGACGGGCGATCTGGCGTACCGCATCGTGTTGACGGCCGAGCAGGTCGCGGACGATCCTGAGCTGCGCGCCTGGGTCGAAAACCCCACCGTGCACTTCTGGGTGGGACCAGGGGCGCATGTGGTGGCGTACTCGTTGCGCGGGGGGGCAATGTTCAACATCGTCTTGCTGGTGCCGGACACGCTGCCGCCGGGGGTGTCGAGGCAGGCGGGGTCCGTCGAGGAGATGCGCGGCTTGTTCGAGGGGTGGGATCCAGTGTATGTCTTCATTCCTCTTCTTGGTCGACGGGAGCCAGCAGGCACTGACATGCAGCCTTAGCTTGACCAAGTTCCTTGCCTACGTGAACGGGGTCGACAAATGGAGACTCATGCATCGTATGTCAACACTTGACTTTCTTTAGCTTCAGATGAGATAAGTACTAACCCAATGTAGACGCAGAAATGGACTCTTGGATCAACGACAAATCAAACCTAGTCTTCATGTGGGATTTCCTCCCCCTGTCGCACTTCACATGCCTCAGACACTGACAGAAGACAGCGGCGACGCCTGCCACCCCATGCTCCCGTACCTCGCACAAGGCGCCAACTCCTCCCTCGAAGACGGAGCCGTGCTCGGTGGCCTCCTCGGCCACATGACGAATAAAGCCGACCTCCCGCAGATTCTCAGGCTGTATGAGAAGCTCCGCAAGTCGCGTGGGGAGGCCATTGTGCGCGAGACATTCAAGCAGGTTCGTCATTCTTCTTCGTTTCTATAATCTTCCCACTAAGCGACCTCAGAGAAACGACTTCCACATGCACAACGGCCCCGAGCAAGAGAAGCGCGATCAGGTCTTCCTCTCCCAATTAGGCAAGGAACTGAAAGGCCCCTTCCCGAGTCGATGGTACATTCCCCGCCTCCCTTCAAGCTTCTTTGTCTCCAGATTGAGTAAAAGAAGCTCCCCGATTGAAGTCATAACAGCTACTGACCTGCGGTTTGAAACTACAGGACCTGTCCCGAAGTCCAACCGTGGCTTTACGGCTACGACGCGATCAAGGAGGTTGAGAACGTTGTGGCGGAGAATCCAGGATTGTTTGGCGCGCAGGTCACGGCGAACTTGTAGAACTGTTCCTTATGTTCCTTTTTCAGCATATACATCTTCACAGCGGGATTCTAGGACAGGTGTTTTGGATAATCTATAGTATATATTGATGTTGACATGGAATTTTCCAACTACTAAACTGGTGTACTCGACTACTACTCGAGGGCGATAAGAATGAATCTTATGTCTCAAATATTTCACCGCTGCATGGGATGATCCTCTGCAAGAGCATTACCCCAGTATAGCAGTAGTCGCAACACTCACGAGCCATGCGCCAAGTATACGCAGAAAATCCCGGCTCCCCCCCTCTACCCCTTGCATCCTACATGACAAGTCGCTTCTAAGAAGCCCTAGCGTAGTACTGAAGTCCAGCCACGACCAATCACAATAAACATTTCACGATTATCCCCACGGAGACACACATCCACCCCTTCCCCTTCCCGCCGTCAACATTCTTAGCACTGCACCTATACTGCAGGAGAGGTACGTATACCATAGTAGCTGCTCAGCATTCCAGAGCTACCGTACACACACGAAGATAAATGTATGGTCCACAAAGACAAACTAGACTCTATATACAATGCAGTCTTCAAGCAAGCTATCAAAGTATATAACCCGTCACGAAACCCCTGTCATCGTTCCCCACTCTTAGTACGCTGGCAATACATCGTGATACAGAGTCCCACGGAAAGCACCAAGACACTTCAATCAATACACCTCTTGAACCAGAATCCTCGAAAACTGCAACCCTCAAAAAAAATGAAACTCCTCCACCCCATCCTCCTCCTCAGCGGCCTCGCAGCCACGGCAGTAGCAGTGGGTCCCGCCTCCGGCCCGACGACTCTGGTGCAGAAGCCCGCTGGCTCTGCTGCTGGCTCTGCTGCTGGAGCTGCTGCTAGTTCATCTGCAGGGGGGGCTTATTATGGTGAGGGTATCAGCGGTGGTACGAATGCCGGTGCCGGGACGAAGAATTACCAGCAAGCGGTACTTATGCATCCCCCTACCCCTACCCCCGTTTAAAGTCATTGATGAATGGTCAATTGTCACTGCTTAGAAGATGCAATTGGTTGAACAAGCAGAAGGGTTATCTTTAATGGGAAGAGCGTCAAGAAAGAACGTTGACTAACACCAAGTCTGTCTCCCTTGCGATTAGAAACCAGATGACGATGATGTCTACGCCTCGGGCAAAGCACCTGCTAATGCTAATGAGAATGCTAATGTCAACGCCAATGCGAATGCGAAACCGAATACCAATGTCAACGTCAATGCAAACACCAATACGAAACCCGACACCAATGCTAATGTGTATGGCAATACCGACGCTAATGCTAACGGCAAGCCGAACACCGGTGTCAACGAAAACGCGAACACCAATGTGAATGCGAATGCCTACGCTAACCCAGGCAGCAACACCAATGTGAATGCGAATGCCTACGCTAACCCAGGCAGCAACACCAATGTGAATGCGAATGCCTACGCTAACCCAGGCAGCAACACCAATGTGAATGCGAATGCCTACGCTAACCCAGGCAGCAACACCAATGTGAATGCGAATGCCTACGCTAACCCAGGCAGCAACACCAATGTGAATGCGAATGCCTACGCTAACCCAGGCAGCAACACCAATGTGAATGCCAATGCCTACGCTAACTCAGGCAGCAACACCAATGCCAATGCCAATGCCTACGCTAACCCAGGCAGCAACACCAATACCAATGCCAATGCCTACGGTAACTCGGGCAGCAACGCCAATGTGAATGCCAATGCCTACACTAATGCAGGCAGCAACACCAATGCCAATGCCAATGCCAAACCCAACTCAGGCAGCAGCTCTGGCGGCACCCCCCAAGGGAACCACGCGCGGGCGCTGGACGCGGAGCTCCAGGAGATGGTTATGGAGACGGTGGAGCAGGTCATGGAAGAAGGGATGAAGGAGGTGGTTGAGGAGGGGCTCGAGCAGTAGTTTTTCAGCTCGATCGGGGGGGGGGGGGGGAGGAGGATGAGATGACGAGGACGACGGAGAAGGATTGTTGAGTCGTGTTGTCAAAGTGGTGTTGTATTGGGTCCATAGACCTTGTAAACACTGTGTCTTGTAGGGATTAACAATATCTAAAGTGAATTATTCAATATAACCAATTGAACCTTACTGGCACAGCTGTGGTGACTGTTTATCAAATCAAGCATAGATAGTAAACACTTGACCTCCCATATTCGGCTAATATGTACAGTAAAACGAACCATCCTCAACCTCGAATTTGGAGGGGCGGCCATGCGGCCAGGTCATAGCGCTCGCACTTCTACGAGCAGCCTCAGCTGACTCCTCCTACCCGCCGCCTCGTCAGAGTCAACAAGCAGCATCAAATAGCCAGCTCAATTATCCAGCATCGGCAATCCGCCCAAATCATCGAACAACCTCGCAATGCCCTCGAAGGAACAGTCCGGAAAGCCAAAGCCGTAGGCCCATTCCTAACCACAGGTATTATCAGCATGAACCCCGGAATAACACTCAAAAGGTTTTTGTTGGCAGGTTTCACGCCAATCAAGGAAGACCTACCGGAATATCGAACCCTGTGCCACTCGGACTGGTATCCGCATACTCTCCACTGCCCCCACCACCACCGCCGTTACTCCCCCCGTCATGGCTACTCGTGGACGAAGCCAGACTCTGCTGATGCAACTGGTGCTGCTGCAGGTGCTGCTGATGCAGATGCGACAGCGAGGAGGTGGAAGACGGCAGCGACCGGAATTCGCGCAGGTAGTGTTTGATGATCTCGACGGACTTGCGGGCGACGATGGACTCGTCCATTGCCTCGAGGATCTCGACGCCCATCTCGACAGATCGCTGCAGCGGGACGGTCTCCGTGCAGGGCCCTAGTTTGGACATGGGGAGGAGAAGAGTGGACGTCGCGAACATCACGTAGGTCGTGTTATACCACCTTTGCGCAGGGGTCAGCATGACCACTGACAAATGAAAGAAAGACGCCAACGTACCAGCACCGAAAGAATTCATGAATCCGGTATATATCATAGATCACCTCGATGCTCTTCATAGCCGCGTCGAGGCACTTGGCTATCGTCTGTTCGAGTTCCATGGGCGGATGGCGAAGCTTGCGGGTAAAGTGGCTTAAGAAAGGGCGGAAAAGAAGCATCTTGACGTTGAAGTAGCCTTGCATAACCATCAGTCTTGTGCGTGCCCGAAAAACATGTAGGTGCCAAGGACTCACGGATTCCCAGAACCAGTCGCTGTCGACGCGCCCACTTCGGATCTCTCAAAGCACCGCCGGTTGCTCGTTCCAACATATCGGGTTTAATCCGGTCTGGAAGTCGCGCCATCCAGCGGTCGAGCTCGGTTTCAATCTGGAGGGCTAGATGTAATTTCTCCTGCAATGTGATCCGTGAGTGATAGATCTGCACGGAAACTCTGCGGATGATCTGTGCAAAGTCAACCATCCAAGGTATGATGGCGTATTCGGAGTTGTCTCTCTCAGGCAGGGCTCGGTTATGATATTCGTCCATGCCTAGGGTGTCTGGCCGGCCAACTGAAAAGCTCATCTCACTGATTTGATGATTAGAAGACCATTTAAAAGCCTTGATACTGAACTTACATCTCTAACGAGAAGAGACCCCTACAGAAATTAGTCATAGCCAGAACAACTGTGAGATTGAACTTACCACCAAGTCTTCGAGATCCACCCAGCGCGGTGATCATCCGTGCTTCGCACTTCGCGATTAAACCCAGCGGCCAGGCACGTACGCACTGCAAGCCCCAAATACATATAGGCCACTGAACGGATCGATTAGTACGTGACTGGACTAGAAAGTAGCGATAATAGTCAACTCACTGTTCGGATTAAGTTCGTTTTGACAGATTTTGGCCTATCCAGGTTAGCGCGTAGTCTACACAGTCTTCTTCCAGCGAGCTCACCATGAGATACAAACATTGCACAGTATCCAGAGTATTCGAAAAATGGAGGTAATTCAAATACATCTGCGCCTCCCCAAACAGCTTTCGACTCCACTCAAACCTCGTCAATCCCCCAAGGCGCTCCTCATCCCAGACCCTCACCAACGCACCAAAAGAAAGGATACTCAAATAGAGGGCCACGAAGCTCGGCTCCGGCTGCACGTTCCGCTGGAACCACAGATGGTGCGCTCGCTGCAGAAAATCCTCCTTATCGATCAGCGGATGAATGAAGTGGATGTTCTCAAAATACCCATTTATGAAGGCGTGCGCGTGCTCGAAGTAATAATTCTGCTCCTGCATCACCACCGGCTGTGCCGGACCCGCCGTGCACGAGGGCGAGAAGCTTGAGTTGTGCAGGGTCGAGACAATCGAGTAACTCGACGTGTCAACGCCGCGAGGATGTTGGCGCTGTTCTTCAGGTCGGCGCGAGAGCGGTTCGCGCGCCTTCTGGAGATGGCCGAGCAGAGCGGCCGACGAGGTGCTGCCGTGGAACTCGATGCCATTTGTGTGGTGGTTCAGTTCGCTGATTTCGTCTTCAACGGAGTCGCCGGCTTCGTCGTGGTGGTCGTATAGCGTGGTGGGGGCTGGCTCTTCGCGATCACGAGGGGTGGACTCATTGCGAGGTAATGAGACGGGCGTCGCATCAATGGCAGCTCGAGGCACCGGTGGATGTTGGGCAGGGCCGGGACTTGCGAGAGTCGTAGGCACTCTCGGAGGTGGCTGCGGGGTGGTTTCCGACTCGGCCAGGCGGAGCTTGGCTGTGAGTTCGTCCACCTTTCGCTCTAGATCGGCGACATACCTGCATGGCCGTTACTGACCATCCACTTGAGATTGCAAGGAGCGAAGTTTCTTTACCTGGCGGAGCGGCTGCTCTCTCTTTGTCGGTAGTTCCCCTGGTACACGCAGGTAAGGTCACTTTCTGGGCATGCAAGTTAGAAAGAAACATCTCCTTGAACTGGACAGTCCGGCTTACTCTTACAATGCGAACACGGATACTGTTCGTCGCATTTGTACTTTTTGGATCTACACCTATCGCAGGCCTGGGCTGCGCGGGGTCGTTTGGCCCGAGGCAGGGGGATATCATCCCCGGCAGCCTGCGGTGCGGGAGATGGGCGAGCCTCAGCCTGAGGTTGCATTATCCATCTATACTCCGCACGGCATTGGAGTGGTAAGGCGTGAAGAGATAGGATATTCAGGGTAAAGTGTTGCGCAGACGATACCCAAAGGAAAGGGTACGCAGTGCAACTATGCGAAGCAGATCTGTGGGCAGTCTGGGCGTGAATGACGAGCGGTGGAGGGGATTTGTGGGGGCGTGTGTGTTTGTAGTGGCGGATGAAGTGGAAGTTGGCCCCAGAGTCAGAAATGCGCCGGCTTATCCGGCCATCACGTGCCAAGTTCGCCTCCCCGCGGGGTCCCCGCATCTTACGGCTTTAATTTATCCAAACGCGCTACTAATTTTGGACGGACAGAGATTTGCAAGATAGTAAAATCGCTGAGATATTCCATATGTACATATAATTCTAATTCAAAAAAACAAAAAACGCCGAACTCATGCAGCATGCACACGGAGGCTTCGTGTACGCGTCTCTCCCGCCCCACTTGGGGCACACACACACACACACACACACACACGCACACACTATTATCACAAAGCGATATCCACCTTCAATTCGGCCGCCACTGACTTGACATCGGCTGCATCCCACTCAGGTACCTGATCAGGAATAACCGCGCCCTCATATTTCTGACCGACCCGGTGAATCAGCGTCTCAATGCCATCACCATCCGTAAAAGACCACACCCGCACGAAGCGACTAGCGAATTTCAACGCGAACGCCTGTCCGGCGGGAATCACAGCTGTCTCACCTTCCCTGAACTCCGTATCAGCCTGGTCCTTCAGACTGACGATCAACGTGCCCTCCTGCACACAGAGACAGTGATCCACGGACTGGAAGGTCATGTACTTGGACAGAATGGTATCCCCGTAGACCTTGGAGGATTCGATGCTGGAGATGGCGCAGACACCGCTGCTCTGGGTGGTGGTCACGAACGGCCGGGACATGACACCCCCAAACATCCACTTCGGCCCCGTGTTCGCGCGCAGGAAGTAGCCCTGCGGACCCTCCGGCAGCACTTCCTCGTCCTGAGTCCATTCGCCGAGCTCGGGCGGCTGGTAGTGCGGCTGGAACACCACGTCGAATTGTTCCTTCGCTGCCATCACCTTCGGGATCAGGATGGATTTGAGGTCGCGGTCGTCGTTCTCCGGCACCAACACGCCCTCGTAGCGCTCGGATACGTATCGGAAGAAGTCGACCCAGTCGCCCGGGGTGACGACTCCGTAGGTCTCGGTGTGGGGGCCTATCATTTCAGGGTTGTGGACCACGGTCTAGAACCGCCCGTATTAGTCTTTCGGTGTGTCTTGTAGGAGGGACGAGAAGGGAGAAATCTCTGGCAGTCCAGCAGGCTTGTGACGGGTAGACATACAGGAGGCACATATGCGAAATCCCCAGGCCCCATGATGCGGCACTTGTCGCCGTTCCACAACTTCAGGAAACCTTTGGTTACCAGGAAGACATCGTGTGCATGGTTGTGATAGTGGAAGCCGGGAGCATCGGACAGGACGGCGCCACTCTGGAAGACCGACATCAAGCCATTGGTCTGTAGCGAGGAAGCTAGAATGCGAAAGGCGCCTTTGCTGCCGGGAATCGTGATGCGCTCGCCTTCCAGCTGAGGAATCGCATACGGGACCCTTCCCTTGGGAGGTTCGTTGGTCCAGGACAAGGACATGATGGAGATGTAATGTAGTGTCTTGTGAGAGAAGCAAAAAGGGCCAAGAATCCAAACAGAGAACGGTTTGAGGCGGAAATCAATGGGGTGAGCGCAGATGTGGCGAGAAAAGAAGAAAAGAGTTGGGTCGAGGAGAAGCTTCTGGGGAACTCAAATATAAGGAGCAGCGGGCGCGTCATCGGCAAGACTGCGGTGGAGACGAACTTCCCCCATACTTCCTTCCTCCACCTCCCAATTCTCCTCGGATATGCCGTGCAACTTGTGGAGGTCGGACTTTCCGATCCTCTGCTCCTTCTTCCCCGCAGTCAGATGATCTTACAAGAGGGGCATTCCGGGGTATGATTGTCCCGCCAAAGAATTGACAGATGAATGGCTGCCGAGGATGCTGTTCGAGGACGGCATTGTCCCGCCTACTGTACTTCCTATGCGAGTCATAACCGGAAACCTGGCATTTTCTCCCTCGATTGCAGTATTATTGTATGATCATTCGACCCACTGAAAATGTCAACTAAAGCAACTAAGCGAAGAATGCAGAAGAATTGGGCTCTCGACCCACACCAAATAAAATTGCAGGTCAAAACTTGGAAGGCCTCAATGAGGAATCACGGGCTTACTGCCAGGTATATATCACTGGGCTTGCAACTTCAATTCGCCACAGAAGAATTCAGGATAACCGTCGTAGAGGAGCACGGAGAGTATGCAGCAGGTCCATGTGCATCATAAAAACCTCAGACTTTGAGAGAAGCGAAGAGAAAAAGGGTAACCAGCACCCCAATATTCCAGAAAAATTTCATCTTTTGCGAAAGTTGATCATAGCCCGCGGGGAGTATTTGCTTGGGTTCCAATCCTTCCTCCTCCCGGGCCTTCATCGCTATCTCCAAAACGTCTCCAGGTCCTGATATGTCTGGCATCGCTCTGCGATGATACCGAAGTAGAAGAGCTTCGACTCAAAGATGCTGGGCTGGCAGGAGTAGAGGATCCCGGTGTGGTCATCGACACTGCCGTGGCACCAGTAGCGCTTCGAGCCGCGGACACTGCAGCTGCTGGGTTACAATGGGTGCAGACGTATAGAACGAACCCGTGGCCACTGCAGCTGCTGCAGATAGAACCTCTGCCGGCTGCGTTAGTGGTGACGCCAGAAACAAGACTTGTTTCGCTAGCGGGAGAACCGACCGTGGTGCATTGCCTGCGCAGCTGCGGCAAGTCTTCACTGTTTGCCCGCCAATGCACGAATTGTGATCCGGGTCCAGTGGGTGGATAGAGCCTGCTGAATGAGACATGGTTTGAGGTACGACAGAGTCGAGATGCAATACACGAGGATGGCAGAAGTTGAACAGTTGGAAAGCAAATGGATGGTGGTTCTCGATCCAACACGTTCAAAAGCCGTGATCAACTGAGACAAGCAGTACAATGTTGTTTCAGATGTTGAAATGTAATGCTTCCACTGAGGGGAAGCTTGATTTATCTGTTTTCCGTCAGGCATGGAACAATTCGAAACCAACTTGGGACGAGATGCAAGAAAAAGCAAAAATGCATGTCCGCAGTTAAGCCAGGCTGCTCCTTGCCCGGTGCATACGACAACCTCTCTGTGGACGGGAATCGTAAGACCTACTCGACCATCGATTGTGCCACCAGCTTGCGAGTCAAGGGAGCCCGTATCGGCGACACCGAATCAACTTCCAGTATTTGCCTCCGAAGTAGATTGCCAGCGCGAGCCCTCGGTCACATCCAGCGATACTTTTTTCGGAGAGCCGCTCCAATGACATGAGCGCGGCCAGTGCGGCCTGGTTCAAGGATCACAAAGCATCCGCATATTCAGCCCCAAAGAACTAGCCTGGGGCCTGGTCGATGTGTGTTGAACACGCCAGGCAAGTATGTTTTCCCAGTGGTTCAAGACGCCGGCGAATGAAATTATGGGGGAAGCCATCGACCCGTAGGGCCGGACCCAGTACATGATCGTTGCGCCGAACATTGATAACCGGTCCAGCGGCCTACATGTGAGGCTTGCTCATGCGTCTCGGAGAATGCTGATCTCTTCGTCGTCGTGGTATGGTATGGGAACGGGTCGAACCGACAGAGGGGAGCAAATGAGATTAGAAAGAGTGATAAAGCGTGCATAGTGCGGTTAAATCAGAAAGAGGAAAAAGAAAAGACGGGCAAGATGGAGGACGGTGTGATAGAGACCAAGTAGGACAAATAGCCGGGAAAAGACCAGAAGCATGGCAGCCACGGAGAGTTGTGCTACCCCACTGCCTAGGAATAATCAGCAAGATCGGAAAGCATACCAGATCGCCTGCTTTCACTTTGTTTTATAGGAATTGAAAAAGGGCGCGCATCGAAAAATGCTAGGCGGATAGGTGCAGCCCGTCTGGCTGGGTCGCATCTATCAGCAACACTTATCGGAGTTCAGATAACACGAGAAAGCGATTCTAGAGGGATTCTAGCTGGGCAGCAGTGACACTGGATTACTAACTCCTGAAAACCCCGAGTGGACTCTAGGCGGCTGTTCTCCTCTCTTGGAAAGGGTCCGAGGGTGTAGCATGCATGAGAGGGTGCATATTTGCTAAAGGCAATCCAATCATCGCAGTCCACTTCATTCTGCCTTCGGGTAGACTGAACATCTGAGGTCAAATCCCGTTGCATGTGAGAACCACCTTTTCCGGTCTCCAATGTGAATGCTTGCTGCGTGCTGCCTTGGGTACTGGATATCCGCCCCAGTGACGAACCAACGGTTGCGGCGTCAACGGGGCCGGCATAACTCCTGCACCTCGCTTCAAGAAGGATCACCGGAATCTTTTTCAAGTCATTGTGAGCATCATTGAATAAGCAACAACCACAACCGTAACCCCGCACCCGGGCCTGAGCCGCAGAGAATTTAGCCAGGGCCATAGTTCTCTGGGGTACCAGGATAGCCAAAACCCCGTGGTTGCCATGATGGAGAGAATTGGAGCGGCGTGAAGGTAGTGTGGTCATCAGATGATCTGATAGTAGGTTGCTGCGACACGGTCGTATCTCATGTCGGGAGGTTAATTCCCTCGGCCTGCAAGTACCCGATCGCATATGAAGCCTCGGGCGTCCATCGCGAAATAACCGCCGCAATCGCTGCTCTCCTCATTAGTAGTCAGTGCCTAAGGCACTGTTCCATTTCGACGAATAAATCATTTTCCCACGTTCAGCCAATGACGGGCTGATTTAGTCTGCTCGGAGAGACTGCGTGTCTGCGGATTGGTCTCAAGATATGTAGCATCCCTGTTCCTCATCTGAAACAGGACCATGTTGGAAAATGAACGGTATGACGCAGCAAGTGACGAGCTTGGCCGATCCATGTCCTCGTATACCAATCCCTATTTCGGCTTGACAGACTGCTAGAACGACAAGCGGCTTACAGAGCTGGAGCATGGACTTAGGACGCGCAAGGGGAGTGTCAAAGCGTCGTCAAGATAGTCGGATCCGTACGATGAAATGACAGGCGATCAACCCAGCGCCCACGCCCATGTGGGTACCATAAGCTCGATGCTACGTAGATTTCTCCTCCCATCTAGAGTAAGATTGATTGTTCTCCCGCACAGGTGGCTTGCATACTTGCCAGCAGTCGCCGATGGTCATAGGCTTGTCTGGTGGGAAGAAATAATCAGCGGCATGCAACTATCCGATGGGAAATCACGCGCTCACCTGGGATCTGACTTGGAGCCAGGCAATCGTTCATCATAGCCATTGTTAACTCGACTGACTTCAGGCGAGACAGTCAAGTATAATATATGATTATTTTTGATCGAGGGAACCCGACAGAAGGACACCAGGGGAGCGGAGGCGACCTCAGCTAGCCTCTACAGTGCCGCAGGGGTGGATTGAGTTGCTGAGCCGAGGGTTGCACAAGAAGGAACGAGTTGGAGGGAGCGAGGAACGAAATGAAAAGTGGCCGATCAGCTGACTTGAACCCAAGTCAAGTCTGACGCTAGACGAGAACCCATGTCCGCAAATCTGTGGGGGAAAGTGATATCAAGGTCGAATAAGGACAGCATTACGATAGGAAGGCAACTAGGCGATTTGGTAGTGATGAAACACTTAGTCTCAGTCTACTCATTCATGAACAGATGTCCAGGGTGAAAGACTAGGTGGCTATAGATAACTTGACCCTCAAAATTAGCTTAGGCAAATGAGGCACCCACCGAGACAAAGGAAAACTCGCTTGGATTATCTGCCGAAGCACTAATTACATTCGGCCCACGGTAAATAGGTAGCTATGGTGATGTTGAACGTTGGATACCGGAAGCAAAGAACAAACGAGAGTGTGTTCGCGAGCAACAAGAAAGAAGTTCAGCTGAAAACACAAATTGAAAGAAAATTCGAGAATGCCGACAACGCCATAAACTGTCATTCGTAAGCGTAAGGAAATCATCACCCATGTTATATTGGCAAAATGGAGGTACCATTCCGTCGCAGCAGGCCTCTAGACCAGCTCATTCATGAAAATAATCGGGAGGAAGGGAGGCCAAGGTGACAATAGTACCAAGAGCACCGATCGCGACTCCCAAAGCGGCAGTGGCAGCATGGCTGGCGAAGGTACGTGCAGACGACTTCTTAGCTCGCTTAGAGGGTCGTTCGGAGCTGGTACCAACATCAGGAAGTTGGCTGGTATTGGTATACTCGACTCCAGTGAGCGGGTTGGAGGACTCGACATTGCAGGTGCGCTCAGCCGGAGTATGAGGGTCCACAATCATGTCTTGATCGACCGATAGCTTCTGTGGCTGAGCCTCAGGCAGGTTTGTTTTGCTTTGAGCGCAATCCAGAGTTTGGGATCCTTGTGGATGGGACAGGTCGGTCAGGCTTTCTTCAATATGTTCTGCCTTTCTTTTCAATGGTCTGGCTTCCAGTACGTTAGAACAAGGATCCTGTGGAGAATGAGCGTCCGGCGAGAGCGACGACTGCAATGTGATGGCCTGTTCTGAGATCACCGTGGTTGCCTGTGCGTCTTGGACTTTCACCTCAACATCCTTGCCGGTAGGAATAGTTGTAGGCGTTCTCGCCACCGCAGGCTCAGCGATATTGCAAGTCAATACATTGCCACCAGCAGCAGTAGACTCATTGACAAAGGGGCCATCGGAATAGCTTGTCCTTGGGGGTACTGGAATAGGAAGCGTATAGGCACTTCCTGCATGCCACTCAAGAGGTGATGTCAAATAGTTCTGTTGCAATCCAACGAGCGAATTCTGGAGAAGTCTGCTGTGACCCGGTTGACACAGCAGGGATAGCGGCAGCATATTTGTCGGTTGTGGTGCTTGGACTGGTAGAACTTCGCTCGCCTCAACATTGTGCGGGACCGATTGCGAGGGATAGTGCTCGATGAAAGACGAGCCGGATAATCCAGCCTTAGGTTCGGACAGTGATGATTTGGTCACCCTCCCATCATTACAGCGAGGCTCGGTTGCAGAAATCAATTGATCAGCTGTCTCCCCGAAGTCGAAGGATGGGTCTGACGCTATCAAGTCACGAATGCCGAGAACTTGAGAAGCCTTCATACTTTTGTAGCTGTCAAAGATATATGGGTCCTCTTCCATATCGGAATCCAAGGAACACTGTGAATGTATTTCCTCTTCGTCACCGTATTCGATCGAGTCATCGTCCTCATCCCATTCTGAGTTCTCTTCCGGGGAGGAATCGAGGGAAGACTCGATGCCGGTCTCTTCTACAAAGACATCCATATGAGTGAGCTCCTCAGCGGGCTTTTCGTCGAGGATATCCACAGCTGGCGGCGGAGTCATTCGTGGAGTTACCAGAGGCTGTTCAAAGTTATCACAGTCAAGGTTGATGGGGCTCTCTTCAGATCCGCGGTAAGCAGCACCGTCACTGTCAGTTAACATGTTGGCAGATGAGTGAAGTGCAACTTTTGGAGAACCTTTCTTCAAAGGTGAGGTGAAGGGGGATGAGACCTCCACAACCGACTGATCGTCAGAGTCAGAGCGGAATACAGAGTCATCATCATCAGAGGAGCTCGCAGCCGGACATACCACCGGGGCATTATCCGTGTCAGCGTCATTATCGTCGTCATCCGGGACACAGAACGTATTTGAGGGTGTAGGCTTTTGCCTAATAATGGCGTCAGCGACCATGGTCAAGGACCGGGGAAGACCTTCTGGGAAAGACAGAATATGACATACGCGGACTGGAGCCAGTCGAGCTCAAAACGTACTTTAAGAGGAGGGAACGTGTCTATATGCAACTGTGTTAGTTGCATGGACGTCGAAACAACTCCTGAACCTGTGCTGGCAGCTCACCTTTGCCACGAACCACTTCTGTGCCAAATGTAATGATATCACCCTGATTGAGAAGATGATCCTCCTCGCTTGGGAGCTTCTTTCCATTCACGAAAGTGCCGTGCATTGATCCACCGTCTCGAAGATAAGCAAGCTAATGGAATTTCAATAATCATTAGCGAATATTACCCAAGGGCCAGAGACAAAGACTTGAACGGAACACACTTTCTTGTCCACACGAACAACGAGCCGAGCATGGTTTCTTGACATGACTCGAGAGTCGAATAACCCATTCTCCGGGGTGGGCACGAGATTCTTGGACTCCCGCTTTGACGCTCGGCCGATACAGGCATTAGCAGTATCCGATGTGAACTTGAGGGATCGGCATGGTATCTCGTCGATGGGTGCTAGGGGACGAAGGTGGACGATAGCTAGTGGTACTCAGGAGTTAGCCTCGCGGGTTGGGGGACAGTAGTCAACCGAATAAGGAAGACACATACCTTCTGTGGCGAGCATCATGTCAGTTCCTAGAGCAGATAGCTCTGAGCGCTAGTAACCATCCAAGCTAGATGAAAGTGATAATCAGTAGCTGTGGTGAGTCAGGTTGGGTGTCCTCCAGGTGGTCACACAAGCAGATACCCAAGCCTTGAAACGGAACTTAGGCACTCACCTGTCCAAGGGTTATGCTCGGACACGTCGATAAGAAAGTCCACACCAATGAAGGACGGACTCTGAGGTTCAGACCAGGTGAAGTGTCGACCAAGACGCTCAAAATCGGAGAGAGGAGAAGACAAAGACTCCTCGAGGAGAAATGGATAACGGGAGACTCGAGCAGGCTGAAGAGGGGCAGTTGGAAGCAGGCCACCACCCCCAACACGATGACCACTTACCCGATGGAATCAGCCCGAGGACAGTCAACAGGCGGTCGCTCCTTCAAAAAGAAAAACCAACTCGAACGAACTTGACTGAATGTCGGCCTGGAAGCTCTAACTACATACCAACTGACAAAGATGTGTAAAAGAAGCTTGGTGGTTCACCAAGACTGGTAGATGTCGTTAATATGTCGTTAGTAGTAATTCCTTTGGTAAGATAGCGAAGGGGAGGGGGGAAGCCGAGGGGGGTGTGGGGAGTGGAGATGATGAGCAAGACAAAAAACGATGAATGATCAGGACTGGCGAATTCCGGGTCTCGACGGAGAGCAGTTCCAGTATCCAAAAAGGTAGACTCGCAACCGGTGGACCAGGACAACGAGAAAGTCTAGTACTGTGTAGTTTCGTTATAGTATGAAGTTCCACGATAATGAATGAATGAATGACGGGGAATGGAGTAAAACGAGGCTAGAGAGAGGGGCGATCACTGATAGGCGGATAAGTGGGGGTCTTTCCCGTCAGGTGCCGTGGATTCGAGGGTCTAAGACGAATCCAGCTGGAGCCTGATCTGCCATAATACCGGCTTTACCTCCGTCCTGCAGATTCCTACCTGTCTTCACCTCTCAGCCTGACTCACTCACTTTTTATCATCCTTCAACCTTGTACGTACATCAAGAACACATAAAACAAGTCATCGTTCTTCTTTCTGTTCCTCCTCCTGCTGCTGCTGCTGCTGCTGCTTCTTCCGCAGTATTATAATACATTGTCAACCACTCCTTGTCCGCCTCCCTTAATGACATTCATCCTGCCCCCCGTGCCGACAGGCGGTCATACCGGTTACAACCCACTCCAGAAAGTTTCAAAACCGACACCCTTCAAGCCATTCGTTCTCGACAGAAGGGCTCGATGCGCAACCAGACATTCAAGGGGAATAGGAAACCCGCCCAACACGAGGAACATCCTTTATTGACACACCATGGCAGAAGCAGGGGAAACTAACACCAAACAAATGAAAGCCATACAATATATCGGTGGGAAGGAAGAGTAACACAAGTTATAGAATAAATACACACAGCGGTCGAGTGGCCCAGGCGCCGTAAAAATACCCCAAAGACAAAGAGGGGAGAAAACTGCAAAATCAGGCATGGATGCTGCCTGCGACACTCGGTAGATCGGAAGGAGATGATAACGATGGTGGGAAGAGATGGAGGACGCGGATTGAGTCGAGATCATATCAGGTGTGGGTTTTACAGACCGGGAGCACCAAAGCCACCAGCACTCATGCCCTGCAAGCGGGCAGCGAGCTGGGGGTACTTCTCTTGCACCTCGAGCTGTGTGCGGGTCGCCTCAGCATAGGAAATAGCGTTGATGATTTCGGCCTCAGTACGAGCAAGTTCGGCGGCACGCTCGAAATATTTGAGGGCTTGGGAAACCTTGCCCTGCTGCAACAGCAGCTGGGCCATGGTACCCACGGCGATATCGCACTCGGGGTCAACTGGTGTCGAGTCAGCATCGAGATAATATAGCTCGCAAATAATTACCGTGACACTTACTGATCAGAGCCTTCTGACAGAGGTTCTCGGCCTCCTGGAAGTCATGCTTCCATTGGAACAGGGCAAGGGCCTTGTTGATGAGGGGAAGGACATTAATGCCCATAGGCTTGCTTTGCTTCTCCATCTCAACAGCCTTGTCGAACTTCTCGATGGCCTCCTGGAAATTCTGCTGGTCAAGGAGAAGTTCACCGTAGTAGTTGTAAACATCAGGAACATCTTCAAAGTTCTTCACGGATCTGCGGAAGGTGGCCATGGCGGAGGCGACCGATCCCATCTTGTACTGGGTGACACCGAGCTGGATGTGCGAGTAGATGAAGGTACGGTCGAGATCGATGGACTTCTGGTAATCCTTAGCAGCCTCGGCGAACTCACCAAGGATGAAGTGGAGCTGGGCACGGTGATAGTAGATGTCCGGGTCGTCCTTGTTGTGGGTGATGGCAAGTTCGAAGTCATCAGCGGCAGCATCCTTGTTTCCTGTACAGTCTGATTAGACATGCAAATGACGAACCACTGACTATGACATACCAAGTTCGAGGTGCAAGCTGGCACGCTTGATGTAGCTCTGCACCAAAGAGGGCTGCAACTCAACACTCTTGTTGAGGTCCAACAGCGCCGCCTGGGCATTTCCGACCAGATAAGTGAAAGTGGCTCTCAGGTTAAGGGCCAGAGCTTCGAAGTCGCCGAGATCGCCAACCTCGAGAGCCTTCTCAAAGGACGTAGCAGCTTCCTCGTATCCATCACCAGTCTTCTTGGCCATGGCGATCAAACCCTTGCGCAGAAGTCCCTTACCAGAGTCCTCGCTCAAATCGGCGGACTCATCGAGACCCTCCGGAAGAGGCTTGGGGCGGAAGCTTTGAAGGTAGTTGGACACGAAAGTGGGGCTGGGTAGCTTCTTGCCCTTGGCCTCGAGGATATCCTTGCCCTTCTTCTCAGCAACCTTCTTCAGGAGTCTCTCCAGAGCGACGCGGCTAATTTCGTTGGAGAACCCATCGATGATGCAGCTGGCGGTGAAGTCAAGAAGAGCCTCACTATACTTCTCGAGATGCTCGTATGCGATGGCGCGGCGATTCAGGGCCTTGACGTATTCACTGTCCATAGCAAGGGCGGCGCTGGTGTCCTCGACGACCTTCTCCCACTCGGACAAGACGTTGTAGCAGGCAGCACGGTTGGAGTAGAAGACCGGATCGGGTTTGCAGATAATGGCCTTGCCGTACAAGTCGATGGCGCGGTTGTAATCCTTGGAGCCATAGGCCTTGTTTCCAGCAGCCTTCAGCTTAGCAGCGTAGGCTTTCCTGGTCTGCAAAGGTACAAATCAGTTAGGGCATTGAGCCTTGAATCAGCATGATCAGCATGATGATAATCCGCGCACCTCTTCAGACAACTGCTCAACAGTGGTCTCATCAACTTCAGGAATCTCGTCGGAAGGCTCTTCCGTCTTCTTAGCGGGTTGCTCTGCGAAATCATCATTAGCCCGAACTTCCACTACCGACCGAGATCGGACGAGGTCATAAGGACTCAACATACCCTCCTGGACGGAGGCAGCCTTGGCCTTCTTTTCCTCCTCAGCCTTCTTCTTCTCTTTCCGTCTCTGGTTCTTGCTCTTCTTCTTCTCGGGGGGGGCGGCAGCGGTGGCAGGGCGACCGGAATCGGAAAGGTAGTAGACGACACCTGCGCTAGTTACAACCACAGCGACACCGGCAATGGTGTAGACTAGAGCCTTGTTCTCCGAAACCCATTTCGAGATGCGATCCCATACTGACGCTGAGGAGGATGCGGGAAGGGAAGTGGTGTCGAGAACCACGTTCTTCGTCGTTTGGGGCAATGGTGGTGCGCTCGACATGATGACCCGGCAGAGGAACCCGTTATCTTAGTCTGGTCTCTTTTGATCTATAATTCTTGAAAGGGCGGAGGTTAGCCTGCGAAGATGGTAATTGAATGAAGGGAAGTGACGAGACAAACCGTCCTAGATGTAGAGCAAGAGCTCGTCGGCAGAGTTGACTGCTTTGCTATCTGGAGGGGGGTGGGAGATAGGGAAAAGAGCGAGGAGAGAGTGAGAGTGTGAGAGATGATGCAGTTTGAAAAGTTATGCCTTGCGATGTTCCGGCGACGCAGCGGGCTTCCCGAGCTCCTATGGGCCAATCACGCTCGCGGCAAGGGGATGCTCCGTCAGCTCCTGGTTCGCTCCACCACCGCGTCGTCATTTTCTTCTTCCTTGATCGAGCGCATACTGCTTTCAAGCGAGAATCTTCAAATCAATTGGGGTTCAGGAAATGTACCTGTTCTAGGCCTATATCTTGGGAACGAAATCAAAACCCAAACTGTTGTCGCAGTCACTAACAGTGCAGGATCTGGCGGAAGTGATGAACCACGCAATGAATCAGGTCAATCCCAGAATGCGATTAATGCCTTCCGATTCGGCCACAGAGGACTTCCAAATCATATCGTCTTTGCGCTATGATCCTGCGCTCCTGGATTTGAACACGAAAAAAGCTACAGACTCCAGGTTTCATCCTTCCAGCTCGCCATACTACCTACTTCCCTATCATCAAGCACGACTTTGTAACGCTGCAGAATGCTTCGGTTGGGCGAAGGCGCTGGCATTTCCACAACAAGACCTTGCGCAGTTTTCCCAGTTCCTTGATACCTTCATTTTGGATAGGACGAGACCCTGGCGCCTCCGTATCGTTCTTGACCGCGCCGGAGCCTGCGATGTCGAGGTCAACCCAACGGCACCAATTGACCCAATGAACTTGCTTGTGCCGAGCGAGAAAGATACACAAGAAAGGCTATGGGATGTATACGTGGATACGGAACGTATAAACCCGTCCGCGTTCACGAGGCATAAAACCACTGCTCGCGATATCTACAATGCTGCACGGGTGCGGTCGGGGATCATGGCTCCCTTGGACCCAAAGGAAGTGCTGCTTGTAAACCCTGAGGGTCAGATCATGGAAGGGAGCATCACCACACCCTTCTTTCGGCGCAGGCGACCTAGAAGTGAGGGCGGAACGTCAGGGAGGGGTCTTGACTCAGAATGGGTTACGCCGCCTCTCTCGAGCGGTGGTAATGCAGGCACAACAAGGCAATATGCTTTGGCCGAGGGGTTCTGCACTGAGCAGATTATCGAAGCTGCTGCTTTGGTTGATGGCGAAGAGTGTTGGCTCAGTAATGGAGTCCGGGGCTTCATCCGTGGCAGAGTTGTCCTGCAGAGACCCGATGAGCAGCAGGCCTAGGATCTCACATTCAACAGGAATGGGCTTAGGTGAAGAACCGCTCATCAAGAACATAGACATGTAATGTTCCAGTGAAATGCAACACCCTGGCGACTTATTCAGTAAGGGGGGTTGGCTGCCTTGTAAACAATGGCGGAAGCAGTATTTCGTGCCTGATTAATGTCATAGGCAGTCAAAGCAACTCATAGATGTCGATTGTGCGCCATCTTCCTAAAAACATGAAAAGTCAAGCGATTGGTGCAGTCCACAACCCATTTACTCCAATGAGGAGATTGCAATTGACGTCAGCCGCTGCACCAGTCGTATGAGACTGTCCTCGTGTCTCCCGATCGAGCATTGACGCAGCTGCTCGGAGACGTAGAGAGTATAGTGGAGGTCAGTCTCGCCATCTTCGATAGGCAGATCGCACGGTCGCAATATGCCATCGACCGCGGTTGATTGGCCGGGCAGGGGGGGAAATCAGATGATGCAAGGGATTGGCAACGAAACAGCCGATGAGTCAGCATCCCCGCGTTCTCAAAGCGGGTTAGTGGCAGTCAACCCGAGGCCAGAAGCTGACAGAAATTCTTCCTCCCAGGGCCGGAGGTTCGGCCAGTTTTGTCCGGCCACTGAGAAAGGGCGATTGAGCAGACGACCTTCCACTCAGAGAGCTGATCATCCCAAAACCTTACTGTGAGTATTTGAACTTAACAAGCAGCCCTCGCCCACCACCCATCGACGCCACCTCTCCCCCCTCCCCAGTCCAGCTCTCATTCCATTCATCTATCGATTGATTCAACCTATTATCATCTCACATATTCTATTTCCATCCCCTCATACTTTCACCACAATCCCATTCTGTATGCATCAGCAGCTGCAAGGATGAAATTCTTCGAGAACGTCTTTACATACGACTACTCTTTCCCCGCCGTGTCGCTGGCGTACTTCCTTCGCTATCCTAATCCATACTCTCGCCATGTCCTAACCACTGATGTGATTGACCGCTATGTCGACCCGGAGACGAAACGCCTTCACACGATTCGCCTGCACCTCAAGAAGTCTAAGGTTCCCTCGGGCATTCTCAAGTTGCTGCCAAAGGGGATCGGCGGCTCGGACAGCTCCGGCCAGAGCTATATCTTGGAGACGACCATCGTCGACGTCAATGAAGGCTGGATGAAGACCGAGTCGCGCAACATGGAGTGGACTGGGATCCTGAGCGTGGTGGAGAAGCAATTCTACCAGCGCCAGCCGCTCGAAGGGGCCCTCGACAAATTGCAAGGGCTTCACCTCGACGGAAAGTTGACCGAGCAGACGACAGTAAAGACGACGGTCACCTTCCACTCTCGATTCGGACAAGGGAAATTACTAGGCCGGAGAAAGGCTGAAGGCGGAAGTGACCAGGCGGGCGAGATTGAGGACGAGATCCCCAAGAGAGGATTCTTCACGTCGCTGTCCACGGCAGGCATCCAGCGCACTATCGAGCTGATCGGACTGAATCGCACTCGGGACGCTGTCGTCAAGAGCAAACAAGGCATGAATGTCGTGCTCGAACGGCTCCGCAGCGGTGGCATTGTCGGTGTCCTCGAGGGTATGCGTCAGGACCGGGAAGCCATTGTGGGGCCGGAAGGTCCGTGGAAGCGCGTTTGGCTTAGGGGTAACGCCGATGATGATGAACATTGACTTCGAGGCGGTTGAGCGAAGACGATTCGCTTTCAATAAATATATATGCGACATTCCAGCGTGGAGCTTTGGCGTTTGGGTTTTTTGTTTTCATACTGATACATCCAGGACACTCTCCCATTGGTTATTGTTTTCTTCATTCAGGTCGACAGGGATTATCGTCGACATCGCCGCCACAACAAGCATATTTGAGCACATTTTGGATGGGAAAAGGGCACGGAAAACACACGGAAAAGTGTTTTGTATACTAGGAAACGAACCACTGTCATTCGAGTGCTTGTTATCACACCGGAGGCATTTTGTACTATATCGATAAAACAGTCATTTATCAAACCCAGCCGCGTCCTCTGGTACAGAATCCATGCTTGGTGTTGCTTAGTTCATGCCCTGAACCGAGCAAGACTGTTCCAGCTGTAAGCGATCGCTTGAGGAACCCTTTGAGCCCCGGTTCACCCTCCATCTGTCTATGCAGATGATCGATCTGGGAAACAGCATAGCAGCCCAACTCCCGAGCGGAGGCCGGAGTATAGCAGCGGAGCCCTCCTTGTTTGTCGAGCAACCCTCGCTGAGCAACCTACCGAACAGAGCAGCCGCCGGTGTAACCCCCAGTATGGCAGAAGCACATCGACATGTATCGGGTGCATTTAAAGCAAGAAGACCACTACAGACCCCCCCTTCTTAAACATCACTACTGTACCCAATGCCACGGCACAACCAATCCCGGAAGCCAAACCCCAATGCCTCCAACAATTGAAAACCTCACCGGCAGCTGGACACTAGCAAGTCCCCTCCCTCCCTCTGCCTCTAAACGAACCATCCACCATCCCACTCCAACCTTACCATCTACTACCCCCTCCCCCTCTAGTTTATTCACAACCCACGAAGTAACAATCTACCTATTCTAGGATAAGTCCCTAACCAGTGACCTCGAACCCCTCCTCAAACACGTACGCCTCGCCCCATTCTCAAAACCCTTTCAGCTCTCAATCCAAATCCAAGCTCCAACCCAACATCCACAATCCAATCCAACTCCCATGTACCAATCCTACACCCTAACTCCACCGGGAATCTAGCAAGGCATCCCCTGGCTCCTCCGCAAACCCCTCCTCTACACCTCTCTGACGCTCGCCATCACGAACACCACCACACCAGAAGGAACCGTCAACTACACAGCCCGCCAAACGAGCATAAAAGCCGCCCCAGGCCCACCGGATACCCGCCGTTTCAACTGGGAGGTCTACGAGCAGGAGAATCTCTTGTTCGGAACGATCGTATGTCGGACTCGGTACATTGAGGGGGAATCAGTAGGCCAGACCGAGGGTGAAATGATGGTAAGGCCCGCAGTAGAAGTACAGAGCGTACTGAAGGATGAACGTGATAAGATTCTCGTGAGGAGGTTTCTTCGTGGTGAGGTGGAGGATGATGGGCAGACGGTGGGGAGGGGGTTTCTTGTGGAGGGGCCGAGCGTGGGGTCATGGTTGGAGGGCGAGGGAGGGGAAACCTGCCAGGGTGCCGGTGGTTGTGGGATATGGGTGCATCTTTTTGATAGGAAGAAGGATGCCGCGGGGTGGAGTTCGGAGCAAGTATGTACAATCTTCCCTCCCCCATGGTTGGGGTTGACTACGAAGCTGAGATTAATTCGTGGGGTTGTGGATAGGTTTGGGGATTTGAGATGATAGATGGGGAGAGGTTGCATACTCGGCGGGTGGTTGCTACGGATTCGCGTGGGGTTTACAGGCTGGCAAGGCTGGTTCATAGGCTGGTGGATGGGTGATTAGGTATGCTGCATCCTTGGGGCGGTTGTGGCTTTGGGGGAGCGTCGCAGTGGGGATGGTGCTGGTTGCTGTTTGGTTTTGGTCTATTACTTGCTACGCTCGTGGAGAGCAATGTGTTGAGGTGAAGTCGATGTAGAAGGGAAAGGTGTTAATACACGTTCGCCTTGAGGTAGAGTAGAGGGCACTTCAAGCAGCTGCTGTTGCGTGTATTCCGCAGGCCTCGCGTCATCCCACAGGAGTTATTTTCAATACCATAGGTATCTTTTGTGGCCGAGATATCAGCACAGAACACTTCGACTACGCAGCACCCATAACAAGAACATGAGCTCAGAACAGTGACACAGGCGTCGATCACCCGGCAATATAGTGGCCGTCTCAGAGACAATTGAACACCAACCACAATGCTGTTACTTATGGGAACCATGCGCCGATTGGTCAGGTCGATCTAAGAGTCTGCGTTGATCATCAGGTCTCGCGCAGAGGGCCTGCAGCAGATTTGAAGATCGTGTTTGGTTTCTACACACATGAGACTTAAATCTCCTCTCCCTAGATCTCTTTGGGATAAGATGAAGAGTAGGGGAGGTTTTCGAAGTGGTCTGCTCTCCGTGGAAGAGCTTCGTAGTCGTTGAAGATAAAGATCACGTGGCGCTAAGTATCAGTATACCTACTCCGTGCCAGACAATGTCCTCCTATCCGACCAATGATGCAAGGCTTGAAAGCACTTAAAGAGCACTGCACCTGCAAAGCGGAGGCTGGGTGGACTTGTCGGATATTAAGCTGGTTCCAATCGACCAGCATCCATGATTAGCATAGCCAAGACCCACCCAGGAAAAGAAGCAGAAAGCCGAGCATTTTAGGAGTAGCGTAAGAGACCCTGGGGTGTCGGTCAGCAGCCATTAGCTCCCTGCAGTGGGTGTGTTTCCCTTTTCATTCCTTCGACTTCCGGAATCCGACCAAGAAAGGGAGGTTTGCTCATTTTTAAAACGACTCTAGGCAGCAACCCGGCATTCTTTCTTGTGTACCGTAGCCAAGCTGCTGGTCTGCACTGGACGCACTGGACAACTGGTAGTCCAAGTCATGACCTCATAATAGTAGGAGGTCTCAGCCAGGAGACTTGGGATCTACTGTGTAAGTCGCGTGTCGGGAGGTGTTGGTATATTGGAAAGCTCCCGACGGCGCTCATCACCCGGTCTTCTACAACCCATATCGGTTTTACGAACAAAACGAACGAATCTTTATTTAGTTGACAGACAAACTTCTCACACAAATTGCGCTGAATACACACCGGCAAGCATGGCTGGAAGTGCAGCTTATCGACCGACTCAGATAGACGTCATATCGCAGCACCCCCGAGGGCGAGTAGAGTCAGGCGGCAGATACACTTCACCTGGCTAAACAATCCGAGAATGTTCTAAGTGGTACTCTGTACTCCGTATAATCTCTCGTATTCGGTTCCGTACGTCGCCGTTGGAAGCCGAAGAGGACCGCTCATTATCATCGGCAACATCATACCCAGTTACGGAGTAAAGAACCAGGCACTGCGCTAAGATAAGGAGGAAAAAAAAAAAAAAAAAAAAAAGCGGCGGGAGTTTCCTTTACCCGTACAAACCGCCAAGCTTTCAGGGTTTGGAGGGTGGTTTTCTATTCTCACCCTCATCACCTGCTTCCTGGGATTCATTTAACGTGGCAGGGCTCAGCAGTGTTCGCCGTACAAGCAGATTGAGCATGACAGGGGAAGCTTGGAAAGGGAGCTGAAGGGCTGCAAATGAATTGCTGAATGCATACAACTGACCCTGCCGTCCTGAATTAATGAGAAGAACCTTCATCAGCATCTGTACCGTAGTATTCAGACCGGTGGCGACGATGGCCTAGAATGTCATGTTGTGACATTTCCACACTAGCGCCAACCTCTAGCAGTATTAGAAGCAGTGGGTATGGTCTACACTATTTCATGGGCCACATGTAGAGTGCAATCCTGTCTCCAGCACACCAGATGAGGATATTCGCGTTAAACTGCCCCATAGCACGAACGCAGGCCGATCAAATCCTCTTTTGGCTCCTCTTCCTCCACGATATGACATAGTTGTAAAGACCCTGAGACCCTGAGGATATGACCCTTGGGAAGTGGACACCTGCTACTGATCCCTTTCTCTTATCGTTCATATTATAGGATGACGAGACGAGCAGCACCAGCAGACCTGAGTCTCGCTGCTGATACTCGTATCATAACAGGACTAAGTGGTCGAAACTTGACAGCCTAGTAGAAGGAATGCCAGATTTGCCAGAATGCGAACTTCAATGAAGTAAGAGAAATCCTGAATGAACACCTCGGTCATCTACAGTACGATAGGAGACCCACGCGATTGCTGGCTCGCTTCCGAGAGTACCGTGTTCCTTGACAGGCCCGAACCAACTCCCAATCCCATCCTGTTCCAAAAAGCGTTTGACCTGAATGATTTACATTGAGTGATTTACATTACGGTCCGAACAGAGATGCAAATCAATGAGATGACATAATACTTCCCACCAACCGACTCAATAATGGGAACGGGGCCCAACCGTAGGGGGTATATATCTGCGCTTGCTAATGCCTCCGAGTCACAGCCAATTGTCCTGAATTCTTTCAGAGTCCATGATATAGATATTGACTCCGGAATCCCTCGTACACTTAAACTAATTCGGGCTTTCGTTCGGGGTGGAATGGTTTCTGAGAGTAGATTTCCTCCAGCCATTTCTATCTAGCCTCGGGGTACTTGCCTGCGGAATAAATTGTCTCATGGTAATATCCCGGGAGACCCTGGATAGCCTAGTAGACCACAGACTCCCCCCATCACGAACTAACTACCTAGTCAATTTCCCAGGCTATGAACACGGGCGAAGGAATAGCCCAACGGACGACCGAGCTTGACTTCATAAGTTCAGTTCACAGCATTTACTGTGTATTCCAATGTGTGGCGCCCCGCTGTTTCTGGTAAAAGGTTGACCAGACCTAATCAAACATCATCCACCGTCTCGGCTTCAGCAGGCTGGGTCTGACTTGGGATCCTCGGCAGCCAAACTCAAGGGACTCTGTAGTAGTACCGAGCCTTAAGACAGAGTGGATGATTACTTTTTCGCACTAGTCCAAACATCCATCCACCCTATCCGGATAATCTCTTGGGATTGACGGCGACAAGTTGATCTGACCAGTGTGGGCGGCCACTACGGCAGGGTAATGGGACGGGCCCCAAAACAGTAAGGAACAATTTATTCCCTGCGTAACAAGAATAGACTAGACTAAACTAAGGTAGACTAAAGGCGCCGTGAGACCCTGAAACCGAAAAATGATCGTGGTATCATCAAACCTCTTAAGCCCCGGCAAAATTACGGGCATTCCTCAACGCTTGGAGTATCAGGCCAATTCCGGATTCGGGTAATCCTACCTTGCCTATTGCGGCGGAGTTGGGTAGAAGTCAGGTTACATCTTCCTCTCTCATTTGACTATCAGATTGAAAGAGGCTCCTCAATAGCTTTATCGTCGATGATCGCATCTCTCACAAATGGGCAGAAACATAGGGTAGGGGAGACTGTCCGATAGCTGTAACTCCGTACTGTAAGAGTACACCGTACTCTGTTCCAAAAAGAGAAAAAAAAAAGTTTTGATTAGCTTGGAAGCTCTCTTGAGGAGCACCTGCGGTGACTCGATGATAAGGCAAATCATTGGCCCCCTGAAGACAGGTGGAGGGAGCGGCGCCAGAACCGAGAAATGTGGCCATTTGCATCCAGTGACTGGCCATCGACTGTGACCCTGGGGCGGGATGACCCTACGGAATTACTGCTTTAGGAGGAGTTATGCGGGGACTGCAACCAGGTTATACCTGTTAGATTCGATTCTTCTACTCCGTATTGGTCTTTGTCTCCACTGCAACCACTGCCAAGAATACCTTCCAAAGGCCAGGGAGCAACCGAAAAGCCAGGTACCCTTTTGCCTGGCCCACACACGCCTTGTTTCACGGGCAAGACACCTTAACAATCTAGTACGGAGAGAGTACGGAGACTTCCTGACTAGACTAGAGAATCTCTTAAATACGGAGTAGTTAGTCTCACAGTCCTTTTAGGTGAAGCACAGGCAGGGGAAAAGAAAAAAGCAGATTAGAGAATAAAATAAGATAAATAAATATAAATATAATAAAAGATAACGCTGAATACATAACTAACAATCGCCTTGAAGGGCAAACTCACTACCCCCATCCATCCCAATCCCATCACCACGGACCCTACCTCCGCTTATATCGTCACACCCTAATTATCCATTACTACTACACCTAATAATAATAGTAATACTGTGACTACCTTGTCTCTGGCTCTCCTCATTCTTCTTCCACTCACTTACTCACCCATTCACCTTCAATAACCCTCCTCCCTCCCCTCCTTCTCTCCCATCTCTCAGAATCAACCAACCCTCCCTGCGACGGGTTACCCCCCCCGTCCGTCTCCTTCTCCTCACCTCCTCCTTCCGCGGGTTAACGCAGGCCTTGACGCCAGGGTCTGTTTGTTGCTCTTGAACGGCCGACTAAGCTGACTCAGTTCTCTCCCATTAATCTATCACGAAATCGCTTGATCAGTCCTCCACCGAACCAATTCCTTTCCCTCACGCTGGCTTAGGAGGATTCCCCACGGTCGGCTTTCTGTTCCAGACTGGATTGACGACTCGCGAACTCTTGCCAGAAATTGGATACCACGTAGCCATTGCTAAGGTGTCTAATCTCGTCATTGGACAGCAGCGGTCCTCTTAAATTGTTGGTCCGATCATCCTGTCTGGCCTCGTTCTGTCACCCATCAAGCGATATCTCTGGTATGCTATAGGGGCATTTCAGCTCGCATTTATCGCGCAGCTCGATTCGATCGGCCTCATCACGAAGGGTCGGGTTATCAGATCTGGTAACGAGCATGCTTGTCGCCTGTTCCGCATCTGTTCAGATTATCTGGTTGGTCTTGTGACGTAGTTAGGCCACCTCTTGCAGCGAGGACGTTGTCCGACCGTCGACGAGATCAGATGGCAGTCTTTGTGGGACGCGGGTCTCTGCTACGACCCTGCCTCATCATCTGGATAGTATTGGGGACCATCATCAACCCAGGAGCTTCTCAGTTTTGCTCTTTTTGGAGTGGTAGTTGTGTGGACGCGCTGGCTCAGACCGCTGTCTCTTTCCAATTCCCTCCGCTCTTCACCGATAATCTCAACCTTTACTATGGATTTGATGCCAATTCGCGCGGTAAAGGTCAACAGCCCATGACTAAGGTCAGTTACTGGCTTAGCTACGGTGGCAAAATTGACAATTCCATTATCATTGGCAACCACACCACTGAAGTTGGCTTGCGGGTGGGCAATCTCACTGGCACGCCTTCGGGATCCAACAATGGCTGCGACGGCGTCTGGGGCCCGCAGTGCTCCACCGACCTGAAGGCATTATTGACCGAGGCGCTCTACGGACTCACGAGTAGTGGGCAGTACTATACATATCCCCTACAAACCATCCTCAGCCAAATGCTTATCAATCGACCCCACCTCACGAGTTGTTTCCCGCAGCTGTTCGACGTTGTGGCCATCCCCACCATTGGTACGTTCTGTCGGCGAATCTGTCCGTGACTTTTATGTCGGCCACTAACCCACGTGTAGCATTTGTTCAAGAAACTGGTCCCGACCAGACTGCGAAAATTCAGACCGCCGGGTCCAGCAACAACCCATGGAGGACTTGGTTCATCGACAACATGACGGCCCATGAGCAAGCTGCGCAGGTCGCAGTGGCCATTATCAGTCGCGCGCCTGCATACGACGGGCTCCTACCACAACAAAGTGGTGATGTGCAAGTGGAACTCGTTTGCACTCAAGCTCCTTCATCTGGGGGTTCATCATCATCCAGTGAGGGTTCTTGATGCAGTTGCCATGGCTACTTGGTTCTTTTCTCAAAACTGTCTTGCGAATGCGAAGGCACGTACACACCAACATCGAGGCTTTAGCCTACATACTGGACAACGCACGGCATGAAGCCGTGCACGGTGACTTCGCTTGCCCTGCGGACTGGCAATTCTTGCGAATTGTCGCGGCAGAAATGATGCCCAACTTGACAAAGGGTCAAGCTTGCGACTTGAACATCGCCCTAGCACATGCATGAGAAAGCACACTCAAGGTGCTGATGGCAAGCATTGCGCCACTGTTGGTACAGCTGGCGGCTGCCTCCGTGAATGAATGGGAGGCACCGCTATGCAGGATCCTGTCGGGACTCCCTCATCAATGGCAGTCTAAGGACGCCTATATCACCCATAGGGATGGGTGCTTAGTGTTCCACTGTCACTATCTTTCGTGGCAAGACGAGACTTACATCTGCTCATGATTCAGCACATCGGCCGCGTCACAGCTGTACCTTTGTTACAGCCAGACAATAGCGGCTGCTGCTGCTGATCCAAAAACACTGGGTCCACGGCGATGTATATAAACATTGCAAATGCGATTCATTACCTCATGTCAGATAATTAACTATACATATCCACAACCTCAGATCGTCCATGACCTCCCAACCCAACATCCCATACTCCGTATCTCGTACACAACCCCATCCCTATCCCCCTGACCTTACAAAGTAGGCCACTCCATCTCAATGCCCTCCAAATCCCCCGGCCCGCGGAAATCCTCCACAATATCCGCCTGCTCACTCAGCAACACCCGATCCGTCTGCGACCCAATCTTCGCCAACCCCCTCCAGCGCTCCAGATCCTCCCGGTTGCGCTTATTTCCCTTTGCATCATCATTTCGCTCCCAATGGCCCTTGGAGAATCCCAGCAGCGTCGTAATCTTTTCTTGTTTGATATCGTAGACCAGCGAGCAGATCGTCCCCGTCTCCTCGAGCCAGTTGCACTGCCACAGCTCCCCCGGCCGGATGCACTGATACGTCGCGGTCTGGAAATTCTTGCGGCCGGCCATCGGTCCCCCGTGGATGGCGTAGACGATCCTGTCCGCATTGTAGAACCACATCTCGTACCGCCATTTCTCGGGTTCGCCGGCGGCGTTCTGCGCCGCGTAGTCGTAGATCAGGTGGCGGTCTTGGAGGTCGTGGGTGAAGTGTCTGGTTGTTTCGGGGGTGGAGGGTAGAGCTGGCATTTTGGGGGATTTGGTTGGTTGGTGTGATGCCTACTATAGGTGTGAATGCACGGCTTGGAGAGAATTTGAGGTTCAAGTTTAATCTGATAGAATTGGTGGGTATAGTATATTATGAATATAGTAGTAAATTGGAAGAGGCTTGCAATGGTGTTCCTAAGCTACTATATATATACATATAGAGTCTAATTGGTCCCACAGTGTGTATACGACAATGGGAATGGGCTAATTCGTATGCAATAGAATCTTCGATGCTGGTTCTTCGACCAACCGGCAGAAATTCTACGGCACGTTTTCGGTTCTTTGCGACGAGATTCAAGGCGGATGGGCTCAGAAGGTCATGCAATGGTGATGTCATGCGGTCCGAGGAGTCGGGAAACCGGGCGGACTGTGTCGCTGCTGTGTGGTCAATGGCCATAGGTGATAGGTGATAGGGCTGGTTGTGTCGACTCTTCTTCTTTCTTGGTGGGAGGGTCGTACTGGTATACCGCTGACGAGAGTATGGTGCCAGGTGGCGATGGTTTTTGGTATTCGGTTGAAGAGGCCGGCAGTTTGGCGGGGTTGTGCCTAGGCTCGGACGGGTCAATTGAATTCTCCCTAGGTTCGGGACAGTGAGTTGTATGTTTCGGTCGATGGTGCGATTACTTTGCGCATTGGGTTGATTGTATTCGACTTTAGACTGCGTATGGGGTTTGGGTGAGTGATTGACTGCGGCTCTGCGCATAGGTTGGCGCTCGTTTTGCGAGTAACGGGGGTTTGCGGGGGTTGAGTTGTGAGTCGGGGGTAGTAGTAGCTTCAATACATTGAGTGTTCTGCACCATTTCCAATGAAATTGGCTTTCATTGATCTGGACGATGATAAATGAAAGCCTCAATTCCTGCACAATCCCCTGCTTCAATTCTACACACTGTTGAATTCTCACCGCATCTCCTCAGCGATTCAGCAAGCGCACCACGTGCTGCGGCCAAGACAAGCTGATCCAGGCGCGGCGCTTGCGCCTTGTGCGCGGGTGCGGGGCGAGATTTACTGGCTGTCGATCATGCCAAGCTCGTAGTTTCTCATGAGCCAATTTGCTTCCTCTCGTTCCTGCAGATGATGGCGTGGGGTGAGTTTGGGGGGACTTGCACAGTAAATGAGTACTGTAGACTCAGAAGCATTAGAGTTTTCGCTTGGCTTGCCTGTCAGAAGCGTACTGGCGCTTGACTCAATGTGACTTATAAATTGCTGCCAAGTCTGTCAAGGTGGGGCTGGAAAGGAGATTTTCAGATGGTTCATGACACCTATTACTGCGTAGACTCAGTACTTTCTTTCTCTTAAGCAGGACTGATCATACCTATTCTACCCTCAAGTTCAGCGCGGTAAGGCTTCTTCCATATCCGAAGAATTGGATGAGGAAACGTTGAGAAAAGCGGTGCATGGGCTCGATGGTTCTACGCCAGACAACTGAGAATGGGCGCTTGCATTCTCTCGCTGCATCTATATTCATAACCTCTCGTTCGTAGCAGTCTTTACCATAGCTCATTCACGTGCTAACCTAACGGTCTGATTGGGGACTAGCGACAAGATAACCGACTTGCTTCAATCGACGCTTAGTCCTTCGCAACCATGGATTCGAGCGTTGGCAGAGGAAACACGATCGGTCGATTCGATATACGCATCGCAAAAGAATGGAGAACAATAGAGTCATAGATACGCTGCACTGGGGAGCACTACGACACTAGATTTCTCTCGCCTGGGTAGCTAGTGGCTCCCAGGAATTTGGTGGGACCATCCCGATGGATCCAGAGATCGGAGCACTCAGTGGTCCTTGCAGTCATAGAAGGATTACAGATCGGGCTGGTGACCTTGTTCTGTGACTGTGGACACAGCGCTTACTGCTGGTGTACCGCTCGGATAGAATTATGATCTACCTGCGCATCGACTTCTGCCACACAGACCGTGGCTGCCGAGTGCCTTAAGTATGGCGCTCCCGGTATAGTTCGACCAAACGAGTCATTGACCAGACAGGGCGATCATCCATCCAATACTACATGCGTCACTTGAGGACTAGAACGTAGCTCAACCAAGTGCAAGAGTCATGAGTCAGTCTATTCGAGCCACTGCTGCAACAGTTAAAGTTTGCAGTTCCACTGGGGAAGAGCAGTAGCTCAAGAGAGGATCGAATCATAAGTGAGGCTGGACTAGGTGCTGATCGCCGTCAGGTGTGACGGCATCAACGTTTCATATCGGATGAGGCCGGAAGAAATGAATGGCACTGACGGGCGGTTGATTGCATGAGAGCTGCCTGTCAGTGTATTGTGGTGTGTCGAATGGTTGGTGAAGCCCTGACCAGTGAAGGTGCAGTGAGAGCTAATTATACAGCTGCAGAAGCGCCCGATAACTGACTGCGGACCGACTTTTGGGTAGTATACTACATACATATACTGAGTATTTTCGGCGCGTGGAGTTTGACAAGATGCCCAAAAAAAATTATCTCTCTCCCCACTCTCGATACTACTGCACAGCTAGTTCAGTGGTTGAATAAGCGATTGACCCGAAGACTAGAAGTTGTGTGGTGGTGGTGATTTCATCTCCTAATCCCCGCGCTGGCTGCATGACGTAGCTAACCCTCGCTCGCCTTTTTCTCCCCTTCTCCTCTCGCTGGCCGCAGCATATCGTCATCGTCGGCCCTCCCGAACATTCCGCACATAAGAAACTATTCTCTCCGACCATCTGAAAAAGAAGAACCATCTATAAATTTTATTAGACGGATCAGAAATCCGCTGAAACACGATCGACAACTTCTCGAAGCTCGAAAGCCACTGTTGCTCGGGCCATCCTTATCGCTGTCTCATCTCCAGATCGAACTAGCCGATCCAGAATCATCCGGGAGCCTCTATCCATCTATACTTCAATATTCTTATACTTCTTACCAGCGTAGACTACTAAAATGGTCGGAATGGTTGGAAAGGCTGTCCCGCTCGGCCTCCGGCTCTGGGAGGTACGTTGCATGCTTCACGGATAGCAGCGTTCACATTGCTTCTGAACTAACAGCAAAATTTTGGGCTATAGTTCCTCTGGACTCTCCTCGTCATGGCCTTGATCGGTAACATGATCGCTGAGGCGTTCGCAGGCAACCCTGCCACGGTGAACTACGCCATGTTCGTCTCGGCGTTCTCGATGTTCACTCTCTTCTATACTATACCCGCCACGCTCAACTCCGACTGGGCCATCCACCCAATCTTCCTGATCGTCATCGATACCCTCAATGCGATCTTCTTCTTCACTGCCGGTATTGCTCTGGCTGCCAGGCTGGAATGCCACAGCTGCAGCAACGACGTACGTACCTTATGAAACGGAGCCTCAAGGCGCTTCTGGAGCAACATACGCTAACCCTAACATGCTGCAGAGCTACACTCTCCACAACGAGATCACCAATGGTTCCCACAACCGCGAAAAGCGCTGCCGTGAGGCGCAGGCCTCGACTGCCTTCCTCTGGTTCGCCTGGGCCGGCTACACCGTCTCGTTGGTCTTCTCAATCATGGGCTCGCGCTCCGCTGGCGTCAACCTCCGTGGCCGCACTGGTCCTGCTCGTGGGGCTTCTCGCCCCAGCATGGCGCAGGTTTAAGGGTGCCATGAGTGGCAGAGACAAGAGGAAGTCGACACTGTCCCCAATCTGTGTCGCCTCTCCGAGTCACGGAAGGCTTTGGACACACTGACTTACTTCGGCTATAATGCATAAGGGAAACTGAATGGCAAAAGACAAATAACTCACGACTTTGCAAAGGACAAGAAGAAAAACAAAGATGATAACGTATCTGGCGCAACATGGGACCATGACGCTGCGCTCGAGAATGACAGTCTGGAATTTCTTGTGATGGCTGCATAACTGGTATTCAAATCGTGATTGGTAATATCGGAGGTGTTTAGTGGTTATATTTTATGTGTATAGGGGCCCCGAGAGGAAATGGGGTGTGGGGTTTAATCGTTAGGATGGGGTGGACGTGGAGTTTATAGTTCTTATCTTCTTTTGATGTCTACTGTTCTATTATGTGACTGATAGTATGTAATACTTGGATCTAATCATTTTCGGTATATTGGGCAGATCACCTGCTGCTTTGACTGGGATATGTACTAACGCACTTGGAGAGTCGGTCTAAATGCGATCATACTTTTGCACTGCTGTTGTCCAGGTCAATTCGCAGACACACTAATACGATATGGAGCTACTACTTGACAGATCAGTGACGCATGATATACCTCAAGTTTTGGAGGACTAAGCGATCAGCTTGTAGAAGCACTTTTTCCGAGAAAACTGGGTTTTGAGTATTGTGTAGCAGTGATATTGCCGTACTAAATATATGTATAAGGAGAAGCTTGAGAAATTCATGAATTCACTATGAAATTGTGAGTGTCCTACAATCACTCCCAAAGCCACGCTGATGCCCTCATGGGCACTTGGCATATTGTTCGATGATTGTCAGAGGGTCATCATAAACACAACTTCTGTCCTTATGAGGCACGTTATTTTGAGACTGCGAGTAGTGGTGGTCTTCCACTTTGGAATTAGAGCCTTATGAATCTTCCAGTAGGAATAATCATGTTAGCGTCTCATTATCCTTCTTGGAATTATCATATTAGACTCATATGAGCTTCAGAAGTAAAGGGTCTCAATTAGCACGGGAGACCATGCTCGGGGTCGATGTCGAGGTTCGGCATGAATTGATGCATGCATTGGAGACTAAATCAGCTATCGTTCCCCCTCACCGGCTCCTTGATGACAAGAGTACAAGACTTATTTGATTTGGGTGATATGTAGCGTATATTTGTACTCAGCTGCCATGTCATAAGCAGCAAGCGACAGCAACAGCACCAACAATGAGGGCAAGCAAGCAACGGCGGGGCACCGGTGCGGCCCGTGCAAGAATTTCTCCAAAGGCGGCAGAATCTCCCTCTTCCATCTCCTCGTGGCCTTTCTTACCCCGAATCTCTGCTCCTGGTTTCCCCCTCCTCCCCTCTTCATACCTCCTCGCACCTACAACTATCCAATTCACCCGAACAATGGCAATCCAGTGAGATTGACCCTAGTTGCTTCTCTCCGGAAAGGCCGCTAACATGTTCCCCCCAGCTACTTGATCCTCCTGTCGCGGCAAGGCAAAGTGGTTCGTGGCCCACCCAACTTTCGAACTGGCTGGAATTGCGGACTAATCGAACAAATTTCCTCCCCAGCGTCTCGCCAAATGGTTCACCACTCTCTCCCCAAAGGAGAAGGCCAAGATCATCAAGGATGTGACCCAGCTGGTTCTGTCGCGTCGCACCCGCATGTGCAATTTCCTCGAGTACAAAGGTTTGTCGTCATCGCATCGAAATGCTCCCCTCCTTTTTCCCCAGTCACGCATCCCGCAGCTCCGATTCTGACTGGCGACTTCGTCTCTTCCTTCCAGACACTAAAGTCGTCTACCGTCGCTATGCCTCCCTCTTCTTCATCGCCGGTTGCGCCTCAACCGATAACGAGTTGATTACCCTCGAGGTCGTGCATCGCTACGTTGAGCAGATGGACAAGTACTACGGCAATGTCTGTGAACTGGACATTATCTTCAACTTCCAGAAGGCATACTTCATCCTGGACGAGCTGTTGCTCGCAGGCGAAATGCAGGAGAGTAGCAAGAAGAATGTTCTCCGGTGTATCAGTCAACAAGACAGCTTGGAAGACATGGAGGTACGTTCAAAGCTTATGTCTTTTGTCTTCATTCTATCCGCCCTCTTTCTCTTCACACGGGCAAGGGAAGGGAATGGAAGGGAGGGCTTGAAGCTGGAAGGCCTCAGGGCCTCTCATCTTGATCTCATGAAGCTTGCTCTGCAATCATGATCGTCTTCATCCCCCTTTCCCGGACCCCGCGCCCCTTTTCGCTGAGCCTAGGGAATGCACACCACGACCTCGGTTGTCTACCGCTGTTGCATTATCCCAGCCAATCCGTCCCCAACCATCCTCTCTTATGATTCCCCATACCTCCTCTGCACGAGACTTCGCCCTCGGACACTGTCTCTTATGCATGCTAATGCCCTCCCCTCAGGTCGAGGAAGACGTGGTTACGAAGATCATGTAGAAGCTTCTCCGGCAGTTAAGCGTTTCAGTGTTTCTCTTGTTTGGGATAATCATGATTTTCAAGGCCCTGGGGGCCAGCTCTCTTGGCGTTGGACGTACTATAGGCGTTGTCTTCTACTGTCACGACCTATTCTTCTGTGTTTTTTTCATTCTGACTAATATAATACCACCCCGATTGACACTATATGCTCGTCTTCAGGAATCCAAGGAAGTGCTCGGCCATCTTACCCAGGAAGGGTTGATCTGAAAGAGAGGACAACCAGTCTGGGGCAATCCGTGGTTCAGCCGCAAGACCCGTGAGGAAAGTGCGTGATATCACTGGCCGCACTGCCCTCTTCACGTGACTGCGGCCTTCCCCCTCCTGGGAACAACGCGACACCCCGGGCCAGGCCATAGCCCCCCCCCATCCCAGAGTGCCGTATCATTGCGACACCTCTCATCCCTCCCCCCATTTCCTCTCTTCCTTCGTTTTTTCATCTCCCCTCCTAGGATACGCCAATTTGGCCGACATTTCCTGCCTATTAATCGCCAGATCTTCCACTTCACACCTTGCCAGCGTAGCCTGGTTCCACCTGCCAGCTCACTGCGCTTATCGCTGCTTGCGTGACTCTCAGGAGACAAAGAATCCACCAACAAACGCATCTTCTTCCCAATCTGTCGAGGAATTCGCCTTATTTCTACTATCGCAGCTAGTTCTCTTCCACGACATTGATACTCAGTCTCGCACTTTCAGTCTCGCTATCCGGTCGCGACTCTTATCTACGTCATCCGCTCACCGCATATCTGGCCCCAGATGAAGGTACTTCCGTGATGCCTGCTGTGTCATGCAACACATTCGCAATGGGACATCAAACGCTAATCATGCTGTCTGCTGGAATAGTTCCTTCCTTTGCCCGAGTTTGAGGACGTGACGAGTTCGCTGAATTTCGACACTGCCGATTGCCATATTATGGGCGGCTGTGACTTGTACACCACCAAGGCAGCCCGCGCCGATCGGAAATTGTACAAGAATATTGAACAATCCCTGGAAGCCCAATATGAATCAGTCCTTCGCCTGTCGGCGTCGTTGTCGCCGCCTAATGCATCCGATGCGGCCGCGTCGCTCAACCTGTCTCGCTCGAGTCCCTTCGGCCCCCTGAGCGACCACTCGAGTCGTCGGACCTTTGCATATTTGATCGCAACCTTGAACGCGAGTCATCCTGACTATGACTTTTCGCATGTTCTGCGCCCTTCTGATTTTCATCGCGAGCGCAACCTCAAGAGGGTCATGAACACGATCGACTCCACTCTGTTCAACCTGAGACCGCGCGAAGCCATTGATCTGACGCCTCCCTCGCCTGTTACCGTTTCTGGATCTTACAATGCGGGCGCATCTGCTACATGGGGCCCAAGGATGTGGGGAGTTATCAACGAGCACATGTCGTTGAAAGAATGCTCGATATATTCCTACTCGCCGGAGGAGGACCCATCGGATGCCGATGACGGAGCGATCTGGAGTCTCCACTATTTCTTCTTCAACCGGCTTCGCAAGCGGGTCTGCTATCTTTATCTCCGAGCCATTCCGATCCTGAGTCATACGCCCAGTGAAGGAGTGGCTACACCATCAACGAAGCGCGCATATGATGACGGTTACCTCACCCCTGAACTCAGCTCTAGCAAGCGGGCTCGCTATTGGCTGGGCGAAGGCATCGCGCTTGACAGTGAAAGTGATGAGGACGACCACTCGAAGGCTCAACATGCTGGAGACGAGTATGATCCTTATGTGCTCAGCGACGAGGAGTTCCGATCCCGCTCTGGTAGCAAGGGAACTGTCCGGGCAATGAGCGAGGAAATCGCCGATTCGATGGAAGTATAATTAATTCTGCCTTTTGTTTGACCGTGCTTCTGCGCTGCTTTCGATTCTTCAACCTTGCTCGTGTTTGGCTCGTCGTTCAGTCGCCTCTACCTACCTTCGGTTCATCGTTCTTATTAGGTACTTTTTGTCCCTCGGCGTTTAGTTAGTTACTGCATTCAACCTGCATTTGCACAGGCTAGGGGCGTTTGAACTGGCGAAGGAACGGATATGGCCCCTAATACCTTGTGAACGGCCGTTATGATGATGATAACGATCTAGCACTGCGTGGCCCGGCGCGGCGCGAAGGGCAGGCTCCGCACGCCGGCGTTCCTATGGTTCCAATGGTCAGTTCGTGTATCTAATATAAATTGACTTGCTTGATGGTGCTCATCAAGAGTGCGTATGCATGACATGTAATATGTAGGAATAGGCAGTCTGTCCCTCTAGCTTACGGAGTAATGTGTTGTACTATGTATAGAGAGCCCGGGGCCCGACCCCAAGTGGCCCGTGCGCGGGCAAGCTGTCCGTTCCGAACAACATTCAATTCCCATCCTCCATTTCTCTTCCCCTTCCCCCCCCCTCCCCTTCCTTCGAGCATCCCACTGCATTTCCCCAAGGAACCCGACTCTCTTTCCCGAAATATGGCCGACGAAGAGGAGCGCATCAAAGCCGAGAAGCTAGCGGCTGCCAAGAAGAGGGTATGTTCTACCAATCTTTCTCCATGCATTCGCAATCCCGATGGGTTGGTTACCTCCGCGGAGTTCGTCCGCCCGCGACTACCTAACGTTGGTTGGGGTCAGGTTGCGAGATTCTGACCACGACCACAACCACCACCACAACGTCTTATATTCAGGCTTGCACAGGCTCTTACTGATTACCCTGTGCGTCTTTTGATAGGTCGCTCAGCTGCAGAAGCAAAAGAAAAAGGCAAGCAAGAAGGCTGGTGGTGGTGGGGATGCTCCTAAGGCAACGGCGGCAGCGGCAGCGGCTGAGGCCCCTGCGGATGCTGTGTCGCCGCCGTCTTCGGCGGTAGCATCAGATTCCCCGGTTCTTGCGGAGGGGGTAGAGGCGCCAGTGGGGGAGGATAAAACTGTCACTGCACCTGCTGCTGCGACGGGCGCGGTCGCAGCAGAAGCTGAAGCGGTGGTCGCAGCGGCGCCAGAGGCACCAGAACCAGTACCAGAATTTGTACCAGCACCAGCAGAAATACCAACAGAAGCAGAGGAGACAACCATCACTGAGCAAGTAGACGAATCCACGCCAGCGGGTACCACAGAACCAGAAGCCGAGCCCGAGCAAACAGAACTGCAGCCCGAAGACCCAGCACCAGAACCAGCAGCAGAAACACCAACACTATCACCACCGCCGCAAACAGTCTCCCCCACCGAGCCCATGCCCGACGCGCCTACATCCCTCGGTCCAATTGAAAGCGAAGCCCCCCCTGCCACTGCCCTCCCGACTCGTCCCGCCGGCCACGGCCGCCAACCTTCGCTGTCGATTCAATCCAAAATGCGGTCCTCCTCGTTCCGGAAGGCATCGGTGTCGCAGGGAAGCAACCATAGCGTATCGCCGTCGGCGGGGGCGGGGGCCATGCTCAAGTCGCCTTCGCTGCCGCCGTTGAGTGCCGATGGGGAGGCGGTGCAGGAGGTGTATCGGAAGCAGGTTGCGCGGATCGACGAGCTGGAGCGGGAGAATAAGCGGTTGGAGAAGGAGCGGGAGGAGGCCGCGGGGCGGTGGAAGAAGTCGGAGGAGCAGTTGGAGGACCTGCGGGAGGCGAGCGTCGATGTCGAGGAGTTGAAGGGGAGGTTGGGGAGGGCAGAGGAACAGGTTGCGCGGATTGAGGAGCTTGTGAGTTTACTTCATCCTCCGCCTTTGGGCGTATCCATCGGGATTGCTTGCTGACTACTGGCTCCGTTTACTAGAAAGCAGAGATTGCCTCCCTGCAACGACAGAACACGCACCTTCAGACGCGAACACACCGGAATAATGCAAGTGTGTCCGCTCCGGCGCAGTCCGAGTCACCGCCGGCCGATCTGGTGAAGCAACTCGAGTCGAAGGCGGCGACGATCGAGGCGATGGAGCTGGAGATCTCGAACCTGCGCGCGCAGCTCTCGTCGCAGTCTACTGCGAACAGTACGCATGAGGCTCAGATTGCGGCCTTGGAGGAGAAGCTATCGATAAGCGAGACCGCGCTGGAGAAGTCGCAGCGCGAGCTGGGAGATACCAAGGCTGCCTTGACTCGGGCCTCGGAGAAGGCGGTCAAGGAGGGCGTCGACAAGACCTCCAGCGAGACTCTGATCAAGAACCTTCAACGGGAGGTCGAAGAGTTGAAGCAGGAGAAGGCTGACGCAGACAAAAAGATCGAGACTCTGGAGAAGAAACTTGAAGCGATGGGCAATCTGCACCGAGAGTCTGAATCCCGCCACCAAGCACGTCTCCGCGAGAGCGAGAAGGTCGAGAAGGAAGCGGCGGTCTTGCGCAAGAGACTCGCCAGTGTGGAGAATGAGAATCTCCGGCTGAAGGAGGAACAAGAAACCCTCCGTAAGCGCGAGGCAGGCGGCGCTGACGACGATGCGCTGGACGAACTCGAGGACGAGGAACGGTCCCGGCTGCAGCGGCGGATTCGCGACCTGGAAGGTGAGGTCTTCGATCTCCGGCGCGGGGTGTGGCAGGAGAAGCGCGAGGAGCTCGCCGGTGGAGCAACCGCAGGGGACGAATACCCATCTCCCTTCAGCGGGGCGCCCGACTCGGCGGCCAACACGTTCGACGATGTGGACCTGACCGGCGGATCATCTGCAGACCACGCTCGCCGCCGCAGCATGGCTCGGAACAAGTCCCACGGACAGCACTCGTCCTTCTCGACCGTGCTGTCGAGTGGCATCGCTGCGTTCACGGGCGGGAGCAGCTTCTACGGGAACCGAGGCCGCGCTTCATCGAACCAGCAGCCCGCTGGCACCCGGGGGAGCCTGGAGCTTCTCTCGGAAGAGAACCTGGACGACGAGTTCGATGAGGCTGAGTTCGCGCGTGCGCAGGCGGAAGAAGAGGCGCGCAAGCGGGTCGAATGGGTGCGGGAGATCAAGCGGAAGCTCAAGGACTGGCATGGATGGCGGCTGGATCTGGTGGACAGCCGGGCTGGTGCGGAGGGAGCCGGTGTAGGGATGGGGGAGATTTTCGAGATCTAAGGCTTATGTAGTATCGAATATACCATGTTTCTTCGTGCAATTATAGTGTACTCTTTCTTCCTCGGCAGTGGATTGCAGACGGTATAGATAATTTGTTTGGGCGACCTTATCGATAAGCGCTTCGTGCTCCGCGTCGAGTGCGGAGTCGCACCGCGCAATTCGGACTACTTGGCCTTTCTTTCACCTCAAACCCCCCCCGTTCATTGTTTCGTCCCTCCTTCCATCCCCTGATTCGCTCCTTTTCTTTTTCCACCTGCTTGGAGAGCGAAAGGTGTTGTATCTGATTGTCGCTCTCCTTTTCTCTCTCTCTCTCTCTTCATTGATGCCTTGATCTGTGTCGCCCCCTTGTTTATCATTAGCGAGTGGGACAACTTTCGTGATGAACGGGTTCGGCGACCACGGCCTCAATGAGGATGCGTTTGGGGAGAAGTCCGAGCTGCAGGGCGGCTTAAAGACTTTTGACGCGTTTCGTGAGTATTCTTTTCTAGCATCACACCGGAAGCAATGGCACCCTGCCTAGCTTGCTAGCCAGTAACTCCCTAAGCGCCGACGCATTTTTCCGGAAAACTGACCACGAACGAGAACAGCCAAAACCAAAACCTCCTACACAGCCCCCTCCCGCCGCGGCGGCCAATGGACCGTCCTCATCCTCGTCATCTGTACAATCTTCTCAGTCAACGAATTCCGGACTTGGCTCCGCGGCACCGAAACCCACCAATTCAGCGTGGAGAAGGGCGTCTCGCACGACCTGCAACTCAACTTGGACATCGTGGTGCGCATGCCCTGCGACACCCTGCACGTCAACATCCAAGACGCTTCGGGCGATCGCATTCTGGCGGGCGAGCTGCTGCAGCGCGAGCGCACCAGCTGGCAGCTGTGGATGGACAAGCGCAACTCGCACCACGACGAGTACCAGAAGCTCAGCCAGGAGGACTCGGACCGGCTGGCGGCGCAGGAGGCAGACGCGCACGTCCACCACGTGCTGGGCGAGGTGCGCCGCAACTCGAAGCGCAAGTTCCCCAAGGGGCCCCGGCTGCGACGCAACGACGCGGTCGACTCGTGCCGCATTTTCGGGAGTCTCGAGGGGAATAAAGTGCAGGGGGATTTCCATATTACGGCCCGCGGGCATGGGTATCAGGATGCGCAGGGGGGGCATTTGGATCATAATGGTGCGTTTTGGCCCTCGCTGGCGCTGTGCAGTTGCACACATCTACCTCCTCTCAAACCCATTGACTAACAGACAAGCAAAGTATTCAACTTCACCCACATGATCACCGAGTTATCTTTTGGCCCGCACTACCCCACCCTTCTCAACCCCCTCGACAAGACCATCGCCGCCACCGAAGCCCACTACTACAAATACCAGTACTTCCTCTCCGTCGTGCCCACCATCTACTCCAAGGGCGCCACCACCGCCGCGCAACAGATGTACAGGGACCCCAAAGCCCTCGTCAAATCAAACAAAAATCTGGTCATCACCAACCAATACGCCGTCACCAGCTCCGCTGACATCCTCCCCGAGAGCCCCTACTTCATCCCCGGCATCTTCTTCAAGTACAACATCGAGCCGATCCTCCTACTGGTGAGCGAGGAGCGCTCGAGCTTCCTGGCGCTGCTGATGCGGCTGGTGAACACCGTGTCCGGCGTCATGGTGACGGGCGGGTGGCTGTATCAGATGGCTGGCTGGGTGGGTCAGTTGGCCTTGAAGAAGAGACGCGAGAAGTCCGAGGGGGTGTTGAATGGGCGGCATTTTGCGGAGGATTGAGTTGCCTTGGGTTTTGTTTCCGGGGGGCGGCAGCAAAGTGGGTGGGGTGGTGAGTTGAGCTTCACCCCACGTTATACATATCATATCTTAGGAATTTCTCGGTTTTGGAATGCAATCTTTTTAAATGTAAGTTGGGGTGTCCTCGGTGGAAAGTAGGTATTTCTTGTTCTGCCAGCAGAATCCCACCACCAGCCAATGCAATTCTCCCAAATCAGGTCAGTGCAATAGACTAGGTTCCTTATGAGGAAGGCGGCAGTCTCCCCCGAGCGCGCTTCTGAACCAAACAGAGAGGGAGTTGCAAATTTAGCCCTGACTTTCCTCCCACTGTACGTCTACATGCCGCTTATGCCTCGAGTCACTTTGCATCATAATCACTTCCATCCTCTACTTTGTAATTAGACTCATAAGAACAATGATCTCGACATCAATCACACAAGGTCCGATGTGGTGTAATGGCTAACATCGCTGTCTCTCACACAGCAGCTCGGGGTTCGATTCCCCGCATCGGAGTGATTCTTTTGCTTTTTGTTTTTGGATTCATTCACTGTTTGCGTAGCCTGACATCAACGAAACAACAACAAACCAACATCTTGGGGACAAACAAAACCCCCTACTGGTCACTAGTTGGGCTAGAGAGAGACGGCGAGAATCCCATCCAATTCTTGTGTTTATGTCGCATCTCGCTCTGCAGGTGAGCTGCACTCCGATATGCAGAGCACAAGCAATAAACGACACCTTGGTGCATGGAATCGAACCCCGAAGCTGCTGTGTGAGAGACAGGAAGATGCATGTTGAAATTGTTATCTTTGTCGCTTCTTGTCAGGCGTTATACTTACTGGATAGGATAGTACTTTGTGATTAATGTAACACAAGAATTAGTAGCTAATTTAAATAGTAAGTCAGAACTTATGCATTGGCCCATCGATCATAAATAGATCTAGTTCAAGGTAAAGATCTGAAACCATAGTTCTGATCATATACTAGCAAGTTGTTGTACCTGACGATTGCTGAAATCAGGAGGGTTTGAGGATATAACGCAAACTGTAAATCCGTGGCCAGGGAGTGTATCACATATGCGAAAGTACCAAAAAGCAGCAACGAGCCAGATCCCAGTGTCCAAGCTTCACCCATATTTTGGCAATGGTAATCGTATAGTTATAGTAAAGTAATTGTCTAAGGCATATCATCCAACTCCAATCCGACCTCAAGCCGGGAAAAACAACAATATGAGCAACCCATGCGATACACGGCATCATCCAGGGTGACAAGACTCGAGATTCTCTCCGAAGTAAAGATAATATAGATATACAGGTTGGGAAGGGTCAACTGTCCAGTTAAAGTTCTCACCCACCCAACAAACACCCCGAGTCATCACAGACAATAGGAAATGGTGACATAGGAAAGATTTGCAACAGCAAAAACAAAAGGCTGATAACATATGCATGCAAAGATTCAAGCGAAAGGAAAAAGGGCCCGCAAGGTCATGACAAATACCACGCAAACAAGAAACAAACATGCTTCTGGAACGAGAAGTTTGCAGGAAACTGAGAAAAGTCATGGGGAAAAGCATGCACATGCTCGATTAAGGGTATAAAAGTAAAAAAAGCTCTTGGTTCGTTTGCTCTTGTATGCAAGCTCTTCGAACAAAGTCTCGAAATCTCAATCATGACGAACGGGGACACGCAGAACCTCCTATGTGCGGGAACCCGTTTATGCAACCTTGGTAATCAAACAATTATTATTACAGATATGCAAAGAAGTGCGGAAGAATGGGGAAAAATCTAGATGGATTTCCCGGTCATTTGGTCCTCTGTAGTCGAGTCAGTCTCTTGTAGGTTCGTGGTCCCTGTGGAATCAGAACTAACCAGGCTGGTCGCAGCCGCCGCGGTCGCAAGGTCGGGCTTGCCACTGATACTCCTAGCCGCAACACGGGGCAGAGCGGATCCAGGGGTGCCAGTGCTAATGCTCGTGTTTCGCTTGGCGGGCGTCGACGGCGGAATCCCGCTCACAGTCGAGTGACGCTTTCCAGCGGGCTTGACCGGGGAGGTGCCCGAGGCGTCCCGAGTGCGGGCAAGAGTGGCGCTTTTCAGGCCGGCCACAGGTGGCTCGGGAAGAGGACGTCCTAGAGACGGGTTGGACGAGATAACCCGCTTGGCTGGGGAACTGTTCGTCAATGTATATGTCCTCGGACGTGATGCAGGCTTGATACCCGTGATGAACTCGTGACGAAGCGCGTCTTGGGGATTCATGCGACGGGTGGGATCCCACCGAAGGCAGCGGGCGATGAAGTCAAGGAAGGCTTCATCGTCGCACTTCAGAACCTGCCGCAGCTCTTTGGAGCTGGGACGACGTCGTCGGCCCTTTGAAGAGACCGTGAGCCTTGGTTTGCCCAGGGAGTCGAAGAAAAGCTTCTTGCGAGTACTCTTCTCGATCAAATGCTTCTCCGGAGGTCCAAACACCTCCATGATGCAGGCAAGCTGTTCCTGCTCATTCTCACCCGGGAATATAGGGTAGCCTGTAAACAGCTCTGCGAGGATACAACCCACACTCCACATGTCGATGGGCATGCCGTAAGACATACCGAGAATTACTTCGGGAGATCGGTAGAACCGACTCTGGATATATGTATACACTTTCTCGTTTTCGAAGCAACTGGAGCCGAAATCAATAACCCGAATGTCGGAGCTTAACGGGTGACACAGCAGGATGTTCTCCGGCTTCAAATCACAATGGATGACTTTCTTCGCCTGCAAAAGCACCAGCGTGTTCAGCATTTGTTTGGTGAAACGGCGAATGAGTTTGAGAGAGAAGCCCTTGAAGTCGTGAGCCTTGATGAATTCGTACAAATTCATTCCTAGCAACTCTGTCGAAATGCAAAGATGACCTCTGAAGTAGAAGCTCTGAGTGAAGTTGACCACATTGTGCCGACGTTGAGGATCCCACTCTTTCAGTTTCTGAAGGAGGTTGACTTCGATCAAGGCTTGTTGGTGGAACCGTTTCTTGTTCCGAATGATCTTGACTGCAACAAGACCTCCCGTCTTGTGGTCAATGCATCGCACCACCTGTCCGAAACTTCCTTTACCCAGTACATCAATTACCTCATAGCGGTATGCCAGATGGTCCCCAATGACGATATTGTAGTCACCACGGTCGTCGTCGTAGCCGAAATTCGCTTGCACTGATAGATCACCAACATGCTTTTTAGCATTTTGAGTGCCACAAAAGTAGATGTCCTTGAAGTCGATGATCTCGCCTCGCTCGAAGATGTTCAGGTTCGCTATTCTCAACGCCTGCGCAGGGCTTACACGCTCCTTGGGACTGGCTTTGCGACGCAACTCGTCAAGATTCTTGGCGGCAGTCTCAAAGTCTTTGCGTTTACTGCCGAGTCTACGCATCTCCTCGTCGGCAACACGAATATCAGGATCAACGTTAGGATCGCTGGTTGGCGGAGGAGCTGGCGTGGAGGCCACGCTGGATTTGGCCGAATTAATGATTCTGTGGACCGGCGAGAAAATCGAGCTTGCCGTGCGATGCTGCACAACAGGCACATCGCTGTCATTGGAATCATTGGAAGGGCTCGGTTCCAAAGCGAGGCTCTGTTCGCTGCTGAAGCTAGGCTTTCTGAGTCCCTGGCCAGAAGCTTTGGAGATCGAGGCTTGACGTCGTGACTTGAGATAGCTTGGCTTGAGCGTAGGGCTGGAGGTATTGACGCTAGTAAGGTTGTTCCAAGTTGAGGAAGTAGGGATCTTCGGTGGAGGCATTGGGTCATGCTTCACAGGATCGTTGCTGGCTTCAACTCCGGATTGAGTCTTGGAGCTACTCCGATGCCGGGCCATTGTGATTTTGTTGCGGAAGGATGAGCTCGAAATACTATTGCTTTCTGGGTCAGAGGGCGTGGAAAGTTGACTGATCGTCTCAGCTGATGAGAAGGCAGATGACTGTGTTTGCGGACGGGACACTGCCATCTTGTAGGACTGAACTGCTTTCGGCGAATGATCGCCACTGGCCTTCTGCTTCATATTCGTGTGTTCACTGTTACTCTTCGCCAAGTTGTACGCAACGTAAGGCGATGCCGTCCTCGCATTAGTCGGCGTGTTGTCAAAAGCTGCAAGCGCGCTGGAACTGCTGGCAGTTCTCATGGCCGAGGCGGTGGACGAGGTACTGAGCGCGAAGTGTGACGTACTGCTCCTCGCTTGTGTCATTGGCATAAGATCGTCATCTTCAACCGTGGAGAAGAAGTTGGCCTTGGAGGCAGTCAGGGGCGTACTCGGTGTCTTGGACACGATCTGAGCAGAAGGTGTGTGTACTTCAAGATCATCTTGAAGGTCCTTCAGCGCCTCGATTTTAGTCGTCATGGGCGTGCCAAGAGGCAGCAGATTCAAAGGCGGTAACTTCAAAGGTTGTAGATTTCTCTTCCCAAGAAGCGCCGTAGTCCTAGGTTTGGCTTCAGGGGTCTTCATAGCCCGTGCCTCTCTTGGCTTGGGCGCTTCCTCCTCGGTTGCATGTGCGGTCAAATTCGTATCCGCTTCGGGCTCCGGTCTAGGCTTCGGCGCTGAGTCCATATTCAAGCTTGCCTTGCGAGGAGTGACATAGTTTGGCGGTTCAAAATCGCCTTTAGGTGATTCATATGCCTTGGGAATCGCAGGAACAGGGGGAACCTCCTCGTCAGGCGCATTCGGTTCGGAGCGAGTCTTGGGAGTGGGTAATCGGGATGTTGAGGAATTGTGAGAAAGCCTGTTCTGCAATGAGCCAGCCGAGTTTCTGATAGAGTTATAGGTGGTGGTCGATGAGAGCGACAAGCCGGAGCTGTAAGACTTTCGATTGGGATCAGGGGTGGTTCGGGTGGAGGACGGGGTGACGCTCTTTCGGGGTATGTGCGACGGCGATTGCGCGGAGGAGCGGGGTCGGACAGGCATAGGCTCCGTTTGAGTCGGAGGTGTATATGGCGTCGGGTGCGCGGAGGGAGCTGTTGACATACGCTTAGCCCGACGCGCATCGGTAGGGCTTATGGTACGGGCTCCAAGACCATGAACATGCGGCGGCATAACCGAAACTCGTTTGCAGGATGATGATGGAGTATTGACGGCGGCTGCCACGTTTTTAACTGGGGTGCGAACAGCATTAGTCGAAGGTGAGCGAGAATAGTCTGCTGGGCCACAGGCTGTCAAGTAATTATCGTGAGGCTCTCGCAGTGGTGGCTGAAGCGACTTGGCCTTGATACTTCTCGCGTTGCTGGAAAGCTTCGTACCTTCGGTTCGACTTGGTTCAAATTGTTGCGTGCGTGGGCGAAGATAGCTGTTTTGCTCCAAGCGACTCGTATCTGCACTCGCCTTCCTCGCGGACAAGCTCTGTCTCCTCCCTGTGACTGTTGACGGCATTGAACCAGGACCAATGGACTTCCTCGGAGCGCGCGAAGCGATCCCATTCGCCCCTGCTTGCTGAGCGAGGCTTTGCCGACGGCTACGACCTGTCGTAGATGTCGCTGACGGGCGAGACGATACCGATTCGCTGGACGAATTGACCACGCTTTTCCGGCGGATCGAATTGCTCCTGGACCGTGTAGCCTCCCCGTTGTTACTGCCATTCGTCCAACTTGGCTCGTATCCCGAACCCGCAGGTCCAGGCACGGGGAAGTACTTCAATTGTGAATCCCCCACAAGACTATTCTGCATGTCGTCAAAGTTCACCGGAGTGAGAAACTCTGTACTTTGGGAGGGCATTTGATTATAGTCTGGCTTTGCTAAATTCCCAACACTGGTCGATCGCAGGCTGATGCGAGAGGTGTTGCTTTGCGTGGACTCATTTGTGGAATCGATTGAGGAGTTTCCGGAGTGAAAGAACGAACCTGGTGTGTTGCTGCATGTCACTGAGGTTAGCATTTGACCGACTGACCAGGCAAAATGAAGCTGGAGGTAGAAGGTTCGACAATTAAAGTCAAAATGGCGGGAAGGCGGGAGGGGGGGGGGGGGGGGGGGGGGGGGGGGGGGGGGGGGGGGGGGGGGGGGCAATTGAGAAGTTTGGAGGCGAATATACCTTGTCCGTGAAGGATCCTGCGGTCGTGGGCCTTGCGGCGCTTTTTGATCGCGGATTGACAACCTCCTCCGGGTCATTACACTGGTTCGGGTTGGGGCAATAGATTTGGACGAGTGGGACGAGGCTTCGGAAAGGAAAGAGGTCGAAGAGTGCTTTTGCAACCGTCTGCGCGTGGGTCCCTCTGTACAAGCGAGTGACAATGGGTTAGCCGTGGTCAACAAAGAACCACCTGCAGATCAGAATCACAGTTCGACTCTGGGTCAATCATATTTACCTTCTGGGTATGAGCCGTCATTTCTCGACGGGTTCGACGATCTTGACTGTACTTTGCGCAAATGCCCCTTTCCTGGAGTTTCTTGAAAGGATGGATTTTCGGGCATCATCCTCAAACTGCGACCGGGAGAGCTCCGGACAACAGATATGTAGACCGACCGGAGACCAGAGGTTGGGAAGTCGAATTAGCGGGGGGTGGAGGGGATGCAAGGGCAAACCCAATCGCAATGGCATTCAGGAGAAGAAGGCGTGTTATTATTTTTTTTTTCGGTGTCCAAACCAAGCAGAAACCCTGATCAACACCGTCGCGCGACCCATCAACGGTTGCTACCGGTCCATTGCGGGGGGTTCATAAACAGCGGTGTCTGCTGCGGGCTGGGCGACGAAGCAACCTGGACACGGTTTAGACTGACTCGCAAGCACAAATGGAAGCGCTGAGAAGTTTGAAGCCGTCCCGAAACCCCTTTTCAGGGGAGAAATGCAGAAGAGAAGACGGTGGGGGATGGAGGAGGTTCTCTGCAGAGAGGAAAATCTGCCTGGGGCAGCAGTAGTTGTTCTCTGCCAGAATCTTGGCGTTGAAAGAAAGTTACGTGTATGTATACCTAAGCAACATCCACGCCAGTGCAGAAAGTGCAAGTGCACCCAGAGAAGAGAAATGAATGAAGCGGAAGGTGGAAGAAGGAAAAACAGAAAAAAAAAGAAAGAAGAAAGATATCAATGATTAAGGATGATAAGAGAAGATGAGAAGGAAATGTCAATAGGGAATATCCCCTATACTTCTCTTTGCTTGAGACAGTAAGTGGGGGGGGTTGTGGATGGGAAGAGGAAAAGAGACCGGGCGAGGATTGGATATGGAAAAAAATAATAAAAGCGCAGTAAACAATTTCAAGACTGAGACTGATGATGATGTACCCCGTACTGTAACCCCCTTGCTCCTTTTTTCCCTGCTTTCTACAAAGTAGTCCATATAGCTGCAAACAGCCCAAACACCCACTTGATGAACTTAACCACTTTGGCGGGATCTCCCAACCATGCAGAGCAGTGGTAATCTATCCCATGGTTCCTACCGTCCTACGTATTTGTTTTAATACTACCCAATACCATACAAGCTTCCGCCCGATAAGCTTGAAGGGAAACTGACCCCCTCCCAAAATTCTGGGCATCCAGCATGTGCTTCTGTACTGTACTTCAACTGAGGCTGCAAACTTGACCTCATCTCCTCCTTCCATCCTCCTTCCATCGGAGATGCGCTTCTCACTAGCCTCCACCCCAGCAACTCTTACCTTGTTGATGGACCATCATGGATGATACTATTGCCGAACCCATCGTCAATCGCGATGAACCGATACCTGTGATATTTTCTGACAAGCAAAAACATGGTACAAAGCACTCGAGACCTGGGGGACACAAGCGATCAGTCTCGAGCGTCGGGCGATCTCTGCAGGACAGGCTGTTCTCTAAGTATGTACTTTCGTATTGTAGAGCTCTCGCAGCCTTTCCGCTAATCCATCTCTCCAACAGAATTCTAGAGCAGGTAGTGCCCACGGAAGATGCCGATAAGGAATTATGGTCTGGCGGCGACAAGACTTTCGCCGCAGACCCCAAGCGGCCAGCGTTCAGCCTCCCGGTCATGGCAAATAACTTTCGCAGATTCAATGCAAGGTACAACAGCACCACCACTCAACACTAATTTCCTCGAAGTACTAAGGCATGGTGCAGAATCGGAATTGTCTTCACGTTCCAGATCCAGGTTGAGCGCCTGTTCAGTTGGAAGAAGGCCTCCCACACGCTTTCATTTCTCTTCATCTACTCCTTCATTTGTCTCAACCCGCACCTCTTCGTATTGGTGCCGATATCGGTTATTCTCTTCTTCATCATGGTGCCTGCATTTCTGGCGCGACATCCCCCGCCTCCTTCAACATCCACCTCAAGTATTACACCTTACTACTCGTATGACGGGCCGGCCCTGGCACCTGCCAAGACCATTAAGCCGGCTTCAGAGACCTCGAAGGATTTCTTTCGCAATATGCGGGACTTGCAAAACTGCATGGCAGACTTTTCGGACGCTCACGATGCCATGGTGTCCGCGTTTGCTCCTGTGACTAACTTTTCGGATGAGAAGCTTTCGTCGGCAGTCTTCTTGTTTTGCCTGCTTGTCGCAGCTCTACTGTTCTTGACCGCGCACCTTGTACCTTGGCGACTTGTCTTCCTGGTAGGCGGAGACTTAGCTGTGCTCTCCCTGCACCCGGGCTTTCAAGACTTCTTCCAGGCTATAACAGCGGACCTCACGCAGCAACCTTCGGATCCTGGTTCCATGGCAGAGAAGCAGCTCAGGAGCGCTGCAACCGCTGCGGGAATTCCACTGCCCGCTTCCTCCACCAGTGCCATGTCTCTCGTGGGCTCCTTAGCCAATATCTGTCTAGACTCAGACACCGAAGAACGCGAAGTCGAGATCTTCGAGATCCAGTATCGCTCTTTGGCGCCGTATTCCGAATCTCAATGGGACCATTTCCTCTTCAGCCCAATGCCATACGACCCACTGTCACCCCTTCGCATTGCAGGCGATCGTCCCAAAGGTTGCCGGTTCTTTGAGGATGTCCAGCCTCCAAGCGGGTGGGCATGGAAGAGTAAGAAGTGGGAGTTAGACCTAGACTGTCGCGAGTGGGTGGTCGAGCGCATGATCACAGGGGTGGGCTTTGAGGTACCTGGAAGCGCCTCTGAAGACCAAGCAGCCAATGGAGAAATCGGAGGCTGGGTCTGGGATCTACCCCCTGCATTTGTTACAAACGACAGCGCTGTGGCGCCTGGTCTGGAAACCGATGCCTTTCACGATCATTCCCACGATGGGAAGGGCTCTCTGAGGAAGAAAGGAAAGGAACGAGCCTCGCAAGATTATGAGGAGAGAGGTACGACGGGTAAGATGGGCGAGTGGCGGAGAAGACGCTGGATCCGTATCGTACACAGAACTAGTATGTCAGCTGGCCAGCAACAGAGCACAAATGATGAAACATCCTGATGTGAGAGACACGGGATGATTTAATCTTTGAATACTATTCGGTCATTTCCTCCGAAATTGAGATCGACACCATGCATGACCGCGACGACCTTCTGTTGAATTAGCTTTGAAAGGTGCAGCACTCTTATCCATAATTACAATACATATGATCAGTCCTCTCCAAAGAGTCGATTCAATAAAGCACTGCATTCTCTTTGGTTAGTAGGTTCAGGCACTGAAATAAGTTAATCTGTCTAGAGGAAGTGAGATGCTCGATAGGTCCGTTTTCGAACTCTCTGCCTGAGGCATACAACATAGACGGCGCGATTTGAACCGAGGATGAGTGATACTTTGGTAGCACAACTTTACTATTAAAGATTTAGAAAAGTTAGTGTATACTATACACTTTCGTTGTGTATCATCTATGTTATCAAAGAGGTCTTCTATACACTACTGAAGACTTAGGAGTAAGTTAATCAGTTGAAGAATAGATAAGAACATAATTGCTTATGAGATTTGAAGATTTAAGACTCATGTAGGATTCCAAATAACACTCTTTACGTCGATATCCTTCTACGGAATACTCAAGTAAGGTCATAGGCTACTGGTATAAGTAGCTCTGCATGGTCCACAGGTAACTTATCCAGTACAATCAAAGTAAGAAGACAGTATATACTCGTGGGTGACTACAAGAGAACCACCGGACATGACCGTATCTCTTGGTTACCCTTGTACTAGAAGCGTTTGATGTTCTTTGAAAGGTCTCGTTCAGGTTCCCTGTGGGACTGGTTCACATGCTTGGCAGCAAGTTAAACTGTCTTCGGCATTGACACACAGGTATGAGACCCTTCCGGATTTTGGATTCACGGGAGACCCGCCTTCCTCAGGAGCTGCACGTACTTCGCAAGGAAGTACCTGCAGATTGACCTGAGGATTGGTTTCTTTCATTCGACCAATCCTGGTGCTAGAATCCGGTGGTGAAGTCATGATACAGGCTGTCATACGAAGGGAGTTGGATCATAGTATCTAAAGAATTAACTGATCTATTATTTGATAGTATCTATATACAGTATCATTATATCACAGCAGGTAGATAAGTCATTGTACAAATCTCGACTCCACCAACACCATCCCGCCCGGGAAAGAGAATTAAGGGACAAAGAGCAGCACATACGTCTGCTACGACTCTCCAGGATTGACTAGTAAAGCTCCCGTGCAGCGACCTCCAGCAGGTTGTCCGCCCCCAGAGCATTCTGCGTGTAACGGGCATTAAACTTCAGGATCCGCTTGACCTTGTTGAAGCTCTGGACGTTGAGGGGAAGGGGCTCAGTGCTGAGGTACCAAGCAACCCCTTCACTGCAGGGAGGAGTGGTAAGGGAGCCGTCATACTGGTAGATCCCGTGGCTGTCGAGGTGGGCAGTCAGCGCGGCGAACTCTAGAGGGCCGGTTTCCGTGAAGGTGCCCGGGGTGGCGATGTCGTCGATGTGGGCAAAGACGGCGTCGAAGAGGGGGAAAGAAACCCCCGTCTCAGAGAGCTGGAAGACGAACCCGACGACGGCGATGTTGCTGTCTGCGTGGTGTAAGCTGGCATACTTGACGGTCCCTGGGAAAAAGGGGCGGTTTCTTACCGGAGTCTTCGAAAACGAAGTGGGCCTCCATGGGGAAGTACTCCTCGTTGATGCGGTGCTCGCTCGGGGTGTGAAAGTGGAACTGAGCCAGCTTGTACTGGCTGGAGTTGCCCACCGAGAGAGTGCCGTTGGTCAACACGACCTCCAAACCGGATCCGAGGTTTTCAAACTTGAGTCCGGAGGCGGCTGGGATGTCGAACTGGAGGCTGCCAGTGGGGACATAGTCGATCTTCGCGGTGACGATGTCAATGGGAGATTGGTGCTTGCCCTGGGAACAGGCGGCGTTGGTCTCGTTGTTCAGACCATACCATGCCAAGGGCCCTCCGAGGTTGGTGTAGTTGAAGGAGTTGACGGCCACCAGCCCGTCGGCAGCTCGGGCGAGGAGGGAAGTACCCCGAATGCACGAGGCACTGGCAGTTGCCACCAGAGGAAGGAGGTTGGAGAGCTTCATGGTGACTGTTCTGCTAGCTCTGTGCTTGAGTGACGAGGACTTCCAAACTCTGGCATTCTGCAGGCCTTTTATAGCCTGGCAGCGTCAACAGCATTTCATCCCCTTTCGTGCTCGGGTGAATACACAGAGATCTCGATTGATTCTCTTGTAGATTTACCTAACTAGGTTCGATCAAGATCGCCCGGATCCCGCTATATTTGGGTCATCGCTACCACCGCACCGAGATCCAGCGGTAGATAGATATGGATTGTGGATGGGTCGGTGTGGGTGCATCTCCGCTAACACGAGGGCATGTTCAATTCAGCGGCACATAACCGACCATGACTTAATGCAAAGAGGGATAGCTTGGTATGAGCCGGTGACTACTAGTATACTTCAGACGGAGTTGGTTTCCGATGATCGCGGCTCCATGTTTCCGTGCGTCTCGCGATTCGCTTGTTTACCGAGCCTGCGGAGCCCAAAAGCTTCGGTGTTGTTCTAGCGTTCCCTGTCTTCCACACCAGAAATTGGCTTGCATATGCCATATCAGGAACAATTCATGCAGAGCATTTCTACTCCACAGTTGAGTCGAAAAGAACGATCAACCAGACAAGCGAGGGCTTCGAAGTAGTTCCTCTGAAAACTTAGCTGAAAAGATAGGGTCATCGGAGATGTCCACATCATACCTACACAGTAGTCACCGATTCAGCTCGTCTTATTCCACGTAAGCCGGACAGAGTTGGAACCGGCAGTACTAGCCCATTCTTCGAGAGGGTAAACGCATCTGTTACACCCCCCGATAGACAGGCGATTCCTGATCAGGCTACTGTGAACATATCCAGCCTGGTGTTTACGAGATTCGAGTGGGAATAGCAGGAAGCGGAAGATTTCCGTAGCACTCCCAGCCTAGGATGAGTCGCCTTGAACAAGGGCTGAAGTGTCTGAACAGTAAGATGATGTGCTTGATGGAGAGGTTGAAGTACGAGAAGGGGGGTTTAGAGTCTCAAGGATACTGTAGTGTTCTGCACACTAAATGAATCTGAAGTATACTTTCGCAAACTATGTGCTATGTAAAAATATCTGATAAAAATCTGACCAGAGACTAGTCATTCAATTCCCAATCCGATGTGAAGCGTGGGACTAATTGAACTCTGGTATGGAGTCGATAGGTTTGATCATAGCAGACAGGGCCTTTGTCTGCTAGCATAATAACAGAAGCAGTGGGGTCGCTGAGGGGTCCTTCATCGCAGCCAGACCCCTCTAGACATTTCATATTCTTCCAGGTTCACTACGAGGTATCGAAGTCCGCCAGGACACTCTGTCTCGCATTCTATCTTTTTCCTTTTCTCACCACCCTTTTGAGTTAACCCCCAGGGAAGAATTATTCTTGTACATCACTTTCTACTGAGAATAATGACAGTGCGAAGACCAGTACTTGGGACTTTTATGCGCAACAGAAAGGGTAGACAGCGGTAACAGGCATGAAATGTTTTTGAATTCCACCTTCAAGCTAGGCTGGGGTTGAATTTATCGCAAAGTCCGAAGATTGATAGCAGACACTTAGCGGTGCCTAATAAGTTCTCTAACAGAACTGTTGCCTTTCTTCCCTTCCGTCCTCCAAATACCCGCGGGTGTTATCTTCCCTCGCTTCTTCAAACTCAACGCGTTAAACTTGTTACGCATGCAGGAAGGATTGGCGGAGCCCCAGAAAGACTTGAATGGCTATGCCACATCGTCACCTGCACACTTCATTTGTTTATCATGCGTGGTGATATTTAGTAAAGCCCCATAGAGGGGCTTTTGAACATGCTCAAGAATCTCTCCAGGTACTCCTTTCCAGAATCAAAGCCATCACACTCGATCGATCTGCTGGGCTCGAATCATGAGGATTCGTGATCCGTTGAGCTCTTTCTCTCCAGATATCACTCGGGAGATCATAGTATTCATCCCGAAATCAAGGACTATCATTCAAGAGTATAGACACCTTCTCATAAGCCTCTATCCGCAGTTGGTACGAGCTAATGGCATGCTACAACAGCCAGGCGAAGCCTTTGAAACCATTATATATACTATGATATCATGCACACTATGCAATTACGCCCGATTGGCGAAGTCCGCACTTGACCAGAGCCACAAGCTGTTGTAGTACCGAGGTAAAGGTGAAGCATAGTGCAGCACGCTGAATCTCCTTAACCAGTATGTAATCCTCATCTGAGGTCTCTGGATTTTCATCCTCGGAAGACAGGTTCCCGTCCATCGTTGGGAACAGTGTTGAACTTTGGTTTGGAAGATATTTCGGCAAGAAGCTCGCCTTAAAAATTGCAACTATCCTGTCTTTCATACTATCGAGGCGATACTTGAGATTCAGCCATGTGGTCTAGATGTCAATCTATGTTGAACCTGGCCTTATTTTCGTTGTAAGCAATGCTGACATTGGAGCCCGCTAAGAGCCGACACAGAGCGCTCACGTGATGTACTCTCAAAAGCGGCAGCTCCCGTATGGGGCAAGCCTTAATACACCCGTGACCCCGCCATGGACCCGTCGACTCCTACTACTACTTCTTTCTTCAAGTTGTCACTCGTTGGGAGCAATCCAATGCTGATAGATATGAAAGATGGAGCATCAAACTCCTGTCATTGGCTATGGGTGAGTCAGCTCTCCATGCTTAGAAATTCAGCTTCTTGAATGAAGGATTCCTGGTGTTGACATCTTCCGCCACAGGATTCACCCAATGCCCGACCGTCGCTCTGTGCTTTGGAATACTTATCCCTTGCACCAGCGGCCGTTATCCTGATCATTGCACTGAACCACGTACTCTCCCATGGGCCTTTGACGAAACGTCCAAAATGGACAATCCCATTCGTTCAGGAGGAGCCAGCATCAATAGAATTGCCCATTGAACGGCCGCAACAACGGGTCGCATGGGTTGCAGCCTTGTTTGCCATCTCACTGGTTGGCTTCCTAGCCGACCTAACCAGCGTCATTCTTAGTGGTTCTGCCATCAGTATCGCATTACCTGTATCCTGGGTACGTGAAAGAAAAGCAATGTTCTGCAAGAAGCATGCTGACACGGCAACCAGGCTCTGGCGGCTACCGTGATTGCAGTCGTACGCCCGAGATCATGCCCCGCATCTTTGCTCGCCTTCTTTACCATCGCATTGGTGGTTGAATCCGCATATCTCATCAACAATGACGTGTATCCTGTCTCTCGCCTTTTCACTCGCCATGTAGCTGCTGCCGCAGCCTTGGTCGGGTCTATGGTCATTCTTGCAATGCCCTTTCGTAGCCATAGGCTCACGCAAGACGACATCAGCAAGGTCGGCCAATTGCCATCCAGCGACTTCCGCAGTCCCGAGGACAACTTGCGCCTTTGGCAGTTCTTAAGTGTGTCCTGGATGGCTCCACTGATATCAATGGGCAAGAAGAAACAACTGCAGGAAGAAGATGTTTGGTTCCTGGGATACGAGTTCCAGCATCGTAGGCTGCATGAGAAGTTTCGGCAGCTAAGAGGCTCAGTTCTTGGACGGTTACTTCAAGCGAACGGAATTGACGTGCTAATAATAACATCCATATCTATTGTGCAAATGCTTTGTGGTTGGTATTTCCATCGTGGTTGGGCGGCGTGTGGCTGATTCACCATGCAGATTTCTCTACCCCTGTCTTGCTTCAGCAATTGTTGCAGGCGATGAAGGATCGAGGGACTTCGAACAGACCGGCTCTGACTTATGCACTGCTAAGCCTGGTGCTGCGATTGGTACTAGCGCAGGCTCAGGTACTCAATCTGTGGTATGGGAGACGTGCCTATGAGAGGAGCCGAGGTGAGATGATATTGATGGTTTACGAAAAGGCACTTTCCAGGAAAAATGTCTTCGACCAAGAAATCATCAGTGACAAAGAGAATGACACCGGATCCACCGAAGAAAGTGGCGAGAGAGGACCGGACTGCAAACAGACCAGATGGTGGTGGCCATTCCTGCGCTCCCAGAAGTTGATGCCAAAGGAGAGGATCAAGAAGACAGCATCCATGGGCAAGATCTTCAATCTACTACGTGGCGATGTTTACGAAGTAGCCCAGAGATTTTGGGAAATTGACTCCCTTATTGACAAACCACTAGGGCTCGTCATCGCCACTGTTCTCGTCTGGAAACTGCTCGGACCGTCATGCTTCTTGGGCGTGATAGCCATCTTGGTTGCGCAGACCCTTAATGCGTTCATCACTCGTACACTACTGCGATGGGAGCGTGTCCGTCGCTTAGCAACCGATGCTCGACTTCAAATATCCTCTCAATTTGTCGAAGCCCTGCGCCATCTGCGCTGGTATGGCTGGCAGAACCACTGGCTCCATCAGGTCATGGACGCCAGACAGTCTGAGTTAAAGCTTCGAATTGTTACGAGCCTCTGGAATGTCCTCATCCGCTTCATCAACACCCTAGCTAGCGGTCTCTTTCCTGTGGTTGCATTGTATGCTTACACGTTTCTTGCGGGAAACCCGCTGCGCATCGACATTATCTTTCCTGCCCTTCAACTGTTCACAATGCTTGAGACTCGACTAAGGGATATCCCAAGTCTCATTACCGTGCTCATAAACGCTTCTATTGCCATGGAGAGAATTGAGGACTTCATGGCCGAACCTGACAAAGAGAAAACGCGGAGTAGTGAGGATCGAGCCTCTGTTATCAAACTGGAATCATGCACTCTTGCTTGGCCCGGAAGAACATCACCTGTGCTCTCTAACGTTAATCTGAATGTGCCTCAAGGCCTGACCGTTGTGCATGGTAAAGTGGGCTCCGGGAAGACGGCTTTGCTTCAAGCTCTACTGGGCGAGCTGGATAGACTGGAAGGAGAGTCTTACATTCCAAACGAAACGGTTGGATTCTGTGGCCAGACGCCTTGGCTACAAAGCATGAGTATCAGGGATAATATCTTGTTCTCTTCACCGTTTGACGAGCAACGATACAAGCTGGTGCTGGACGCCTGCGCCCTTATTCCGGATTTATCCAATTTCAAGCACGGTGACCTATCTTTCGTGGGTGAGAATGGTATCGGCCTCTCAGGAGGGCAGAAAGCACGAGTGGCTCTCGCACGGGCAATGTATAGCTCGGCCAGGGTACTACTACTGGACGATCCTCTATCTGCTCTAGACCACAACACAGCAGAAACGGTTGTTGAAAAATGCTTTCAGGGCCCGCTCATGCGCGATCGCACTGTGGTTCTCGTAACTCACCGAACTCATTTAGTCGGTCACATTGCCGATCAGATAGTCCACGTTGAGAATGGGCGGGTCGCCGTGGAGGTCAAGCAGCATGGATCGTCTGACAGCAAAGAAGATCAGGAAACTACCCCGTCTGGAACCGCAGAGACCCCCATTGAGGGTGGGGTTGCTCCTGAGGATGCAACTGCTGCGATTCCCACAAAGTTCATAGAAGAAGAACATCGAGCGGAATGGGGAGTGCAGGCGAGAGTCTATTGGAAGTACATCCAAGCTGGCAAGTACCGGTGGTGGCTCGCCCTCTCTGTGGTATTGACAATCTACCGACTTTCTTCCGTGGGCCAGTCATGGTTCCTCAAAGAATGGGGAGAGGCGTACAAGCAGATGCTGCTATTCTTTGAACACTCGAATCTTAACCACGTGTCTTCTTATTCAGAATTGACAACCACATCAGCAATGGCAAATGACATCAATTGGTCCCCTCGCGACCCATTCGGCAGCTTCCCAGCACCAGACGAGAATGTCAAACCGTGGCTGTTAGCATTTTTGATCATCACCAGCTTCCAGTCCCTGATGCTCTTGCTTGCGCAGCTTCTCATGCTTGTGATTGTCTATTGTGCTGGCCGAACACTGTTCCAGGAGGTCATGGTAAGAGTGAGCAATGCCACTTTTCGTTTCTTCGATGTGACACCGGTGGGCCGACTGATGAATCGATTGACCTCCGACATTGGCGTGGTTGATGGGAACATCAGCGAACAGTTCCAGATGATCGCCTTTCAAGCCATCACTTGGGTATCTTCAATTGCTGTCATCGCGACCGTGACCCCGACGTTTCTGGGCTTCTCGCTCCTGCTCACTGCGGCCTTTGTCCTCATCTTCCAGCGCTTTCTCCCCACTTCGCAAAGCCTGCGGCGTCTCGAGATGGTCTCATTAAGCCCATTGATCTCTAACTTTGGCGAGCTATTGCATGGCCTGACAACTGTGCGTGCCTTCCACGCCGAAGATCGCTTTCAAAATCGCGTCATCGCCGTCGTGGATAAGTTCCAAGGCATGGACCACTTCTACTGGTCACTCCAGAGCTGGTTGATGTACCGCTTCGAGAGCCTGTCTGCTGTTTCCACCTTTTGTCTTACTGTCCTCGCTCTGTACACCAGCGTCAGCCCCGGACTAGCAGCTTTCGTCCTCATCGCTGCCAATAACTTTGTGACCTCCACCCATGCCCTGTGCAAGCAATACGGCCAGCTGCAAATGGACTTTGTGTCAGTTGAGCGGGTCGACGAACTGCTGCACGTCGAGCAAGAGCCCGCCGGGACGATTGATCCACCAGCCTCGTGGCCCAAATTCGGGCAGGACATTGTCTTCGAGGATGTGACAATCCGTTACGCGCCGCACCTCGACCCCTCCCTCCGCAACATCACCCTGCGCATCCCCGGTGGCTCCACGACTGCCATCATTGGTCGCACCGGCAGTGGCAAGTCCACACTGGCGGTCGCCATGCTCAGCGTCGTCCGACCCGAATCAGGGCGTATCCTGGTCGACGGCCTCGACATCACGCAGGTCACCATCCAAGCCCTCCGCTCCCGCGTCACCTTTGTCGCGCAGGATCCTGTCCTCTTCCCCGGTGATATCCGTCTAAACATCGACCCGACGGGCGAGTACTCCGACACTGAATGCGCCGAGGTGCTCAAACGGGTTTGCAGCCGCCATGGATGGACTCTTGAGACCCAGGTTGAAGCTGGAGGCCGGAACCTGAGTCAGGGGGAGCGGCAATTGATCGGGCTGACGCGGGCGGTGCTCCGACGGAGTCCCATTGTCATTCTCGATGAAGCGACGGCGTCGATCGACCATGAAAGCTCGTTGGAGATCCAGCAGATCCTGCGTGAGGAGATGAAGGAGTCGACAGTGGTGACCATCGCGCATCGATTGGAGGCTATCAAGGATGCGGAGTATTATATTGTTTTGGATAAAGGAGGGGTGGCTGAGCAGGGATTCGTTCAGAATATGTAGACGACGTCGTTGCATCCAATGATTGGACTTAGAATTAAACAGCTTATGTCTGCATTTGTACTAGGTGTGTACAGAGACCAATAAGACGAGAATAAGAGGAGAAATCAATCTTCACCGATGTCAACAACCTGAGTCCGAGTTAGCAGGGGTCCCATTCTTCGATCGACGCGTTGCTCGGCACCGCGACTCTTCTCTCTCTTTGATAATGACTAGCTCCATATCGCCATCCCCATCAACACTTCTGATCATCGACTCCCAGTCGACATCGTTTTTGGCTGATCAGCTCATATATTTGTATCCTTAGTGAGCACCAAACATGCCTCCGGGAAGACATCTCCTGCGTCTCTCAGAGGTATGAGCCTTACAACCCCCGCAGTATTTGGCTTTGCACCTCTGATGGGTACAATATATAATCCAGTGGGGTGCGGCCAAATGTGGTGAATACATACACAATATGGGGTATGTCGGGTTTAGGGCTGAAAATGACTAACCGGGAAGAGGGGTTTCAATCCGGCCGATTCATCGCGATTCCATCACCTGACATCATCTGCTGCTATCTTCCAATTACCATCCCAGGTCCCCTTGAAAGAACCTCGTCCACTTTTCCTTTCACTTTCTACAACCTACCAACGCCACTCACTGAGACTCTAACACTATGCGCAGACAATCCTCCGAGCCGTAGGATTCCCCAAGCGCGAGGTGGAAGAGATCCCGCGCCACCAGAAAGAAAAGTTTCGCAGCCAGTGCTGCCTTCCTCGACTCGGAGTCGGATTTTCAGCCGGTCAAATGGAAGTTTGACAGACAGGGTGAAGTAAGACTCGAAGCAGTTGCTGAGCAGAAGTCCAACTAACACTTCAAGAAGCCGCAAGTAGTTGATCATGAAGGAATAGAGAAGCAAGTAAAGAGAGGAAGGAAAGCGGGAAGAAAGAGTGGGGTTACAACTCACTGATAGCAAGATCTCTCATTTCCAACTTCTCCAGTCCACGACCAGCAACGTGAAGATGAGTACCTAGTACCAGAACCCCCAGTGGCTCTTGCGTAACGGGATGCTCCTCCTCCGAGGAGGGCCATTAGACTACGGTATTCTGTGGGATCATCGAATGGAAGCCCACGTATACCGGGAATCATTGGCCGACAACAAAAAAGCCTTTTATTGGCATCATCGTCGCCTCTTGAGTCCTACTGCGGAAGGCTCACAATGTGATGGAAACATGGATGAGAACGGTCGATGATGTGAGGAGGATTTGGCGGATCATCTCGTGCGGCACATTTCGTGAGAGGCACGGATATAACGACCTTCCCCCACGCTGGGTCGTTTGAGGGAACTGGTCGTGGGTGAAAAGACACAATGAACTCTGTGGGTATATGGTAATCGGATCAGGCACCCCCCTGGCTGTAAACTTGATGATATGGCTTTGCTAAGGCAGGAGGGGCAGCTTTGCCGAAGATGGTGACAGATTGGATTCTTGCTACGGGTCTACTGACTACGGCCGTAAGTCGCAGGTCAAGAAAATAGCAAGGAGTTGAACTAATATTCTAGTGAGCTTGTCTACTGTTATCACTTATTGCTTGCTCTGGTCTAGTGCACGGAGTGGTTGCTATGAACTGAAGGCTGTACTGAATATTCTCTTCAAGATGACAAGTGATGAAGACCCTTGATATCCAAGATTGATGTTCATCTGCTATCTATATATCTCAGCTTCTGATATATTTAGCATAATAAGAATATCAAGAGCCACAAGAAAAACCTCGATTGCTGGAAATGCTCTCACTTGCGCCAGGCCGGAAGACTTTGACCTGGAAATTCTTTGACCGTTCATGCCAAACCGATAACTCCCGTCTTTCCAGCAATCAATCTTATAAAAACAACTCTTCTAATTTCAAAAGAACCTGCACAGAAGAACCGTTTGTATCAGCCCAAATCTCCATGCAGTCTCAGACGAGGACGGGAAGAACTCACATTCTCAATGTACCTCACCCCCACAATGATCCCATCGCGATCCTGCATCCCGTTCTCATACCGAAACAGATTATCCTCACTGTGATCCATACAGCAGATACAGGCCAGCACGACCCCGGTGTACTGCTCCCCGACCGCCGCCGGCAAGGCGTCTTTGCACATCGCCACCAGTTTGTCCTTGATATCAAACGCGCCGGCACGGGAATCTTTATTCTTCAGCTCTGCGCCGATATCTAGATCCGCAGACGGGAGGAAACAAGCGTTGTCTGTGGTGTTAGGGTCAGGGCGGACAAAAGACCGCCACAGCGCGATCTCCAATAGACACACGCCCAGGCTGTAGATATCGTGGCGCATCTCGAAGATGTCTTCGGGTTGCAGGCCCTGGCGGGACGGGTGTCGGTAGAGGTTCTTCTCCCACGCGAGGTCGCCGAAGCGGTCAGTGTGGCCTTCTGCGCGGCGGAAGCGCTCGAAGCCGATAAGGAAGGAGGGACCTAGTCTATCTGATTGAGTTCTCATATTGGGGTTATGGTGGTCGGGGGTGGGCGGAGGAAGGGTCGGCTCTGGGTGTGAGGGCGTCGCTTTGTTTTCGAAGATGAGAACAGTCTCCGGGCGGATGTTCTTGTGCACGAAGCCGGCGGCATGAACGAACATGACCGAGCGGGCGAGCTGCTTTGCGAGTTGGACGCGCTGGGTCAAGGAGGGGTTTGGGGCAAGGGCAAGGAGGTGGTCTCGTAGGGTCCGAGGGGATGACAGGCCCGGTGGGATTTCGAAGAGAAGGTAGAATTGGGCGCCCGTTCCGGCGGCTAATTCGATCACGCCCTCGCATTTCAGGAGGTTGAAGGCCTCGGGGTCAATGTGCAGCAGGAGTCGCGCGAGGTCGCGCACTTGGTGGCGTGCAATCGCGAGGAGGTTGGGGGTTGCGGAGACCTGGGCTGCAGCCAGGTTTGCTGAGTCGAGAAGGAGCCTTTTAGCACCATCCGTCGACATATAGGCGTCGGTTCCGGCGATCGGGACCATGTTCTCCTTGATGGGCCTCGGATCTTTGAACATTGATTCTCTTGGCTCGGCTTCTTGAGCGGCAATTTGTTGAATTGTGTTCCGCATGCGAGCCAGTCGCGTGGATGGCGATGCAGGAGCAGAGCGCGGCTCGGCAGGTAATCGATGCTCTAATTGTCGATCGACCTCTGGATTGGCAAGGCGTGTGATGAGATACCATGAAGGATCGAATTTCCTTTGCCATTCCTCCAGATCGGAGACTGTCTTGGAGAGGTGACGCTTCAGGAGGATTACCTTGAGCTTCTGTGGCATATGACCCGTATCAAGATTCTGTCTCAGCACCGCCTGAAGACTTGTATCGGTGATAATGAGCTTGTCTCCGAGGTGCTCGAGGATGTGATAGTAAAGGACTTGTAGTGATGGTTGCAGACTGGGCCACAGATTCTCCAGAGATTGAACCTGGACTTCTGTCTTGACCCAGAGGCCTTGGACGGTGAGGAGAATCTCGTCCAACTCGGCCTCGAGGTTCTTGTACTCGCGACAGAGATTGACCAAGGCTTTGCCGAATCTGAAGGAGTTAGTCTTTGGTTAGATAAGCGACCTATAACGAGGCAGGAGTCACCAACAACATACTTGTGAATGGACTCAGTCACTCCCACCACGGCAAAGGCAAAAGAGACAGTTTCCATGATCGTAATCGTGATAAAGGTCTTGGAACTCAGAGCATTGTTCAACAAGTTGCTCGAAGGGCTGACGCAGGCCGATCTATATTCCGTGCGAGATTTTCAGCCTTGCGCTCCTATGCATGATGATGTAAATGTCCGCACACATGAGGCGGAAGGTACAAAAGGCCAAAATGACAAATGAGTACAAGTAAGTAACTACAAAGTACATGTTTGCTCCTACAAGCAGGACAATCTATTTTCCGCCTATTTGCCAAGTGACTGCGCCACCCAAGACTACCACCCAACTCCAGCGCTTACAGAAAACCAGAGATCAAACTGGTGCTGGAATCTCATACAGCACTAACAATGGATCTGCAGACCATTGATGAAGTCATTGCACCATTCAAGCTCGAGATCAAGTCTCACGGCGAACGACGCCGCGAGATCAGCCTAAACGCAGACTCAGTCGGGAATTCTAGCACCAGGGAGCCCCGGTACACGATATGGTCCCGCAAACATTACTTCACCCGTGGAGATCGGGTCTACGGAAATGTGTACCTCGATCAGAGTGCCGCGGGGAAATTGCGTGTCGTGAAGGAGATTGTCCACCCCCATGATTCTGGCAGCGCGGACCGGGATAAAAGGCGCTGCACCGAGCTCGAGATGATGGCCAGGGTAGCTACGGTTTTGAGGTAGGCCTAACCCACTGTCTGAATTTATGGTCTTGCCAGTCAATTGTATGGTCAGTGGAGAGAAAGTGACTGACTTGAGGGGCACTCGCGCGCACGGTTTCCCCTCAGACCTGATCAGAAACGCTACTTCGTCGATTTTTTGGGCTGGTTCGAGGGCGAAGATCGGCTTGGTCTGGTCTTGGAATATTGCCCTCTTGGTGATGTTGAGCATTGCTTTGCAGAACCGCTGCCAGAGCAGATTGTTAGGATAATGACTGCGCAGATCCTAGAAGGCCTCGCTATTCTGCACAGGCTAGGGATCACGCACCGTGATATCAAGCCGCAGGTACGTTTGTACTGTGCACTGCAATATAACACATGAACTCGCATGACCCTTGAAGATATTGTTACTTACCTCGAAGCCCCCCCACAGAACATCCTTGTCTTTCAGAAAGACCCAGTATGGGTAAAGATAGCGGACTTCGGAATCAGCAAGCGCAACAATGGTCAGACAGACCTCAGGAGCAAAGTCGGCACTGAAGGGTACATGGCTCCCGAGATTCTGCTAGATGAGACGAAGCGAATATCGAAATACTCTAATGCCGTTGATATGTGGTCACTTGGGTGTCTTATCTACTACCTTCTCTCAAAGAAAGTTCCTTTCCCGAGTTTTCTCAGGCTCAAGGAATACTACGAGGGGTTTGGGGTATTTCCTGATGACGAGCTATCACAGAGGGGAGTCGGAGAGTCAGGAATAAGCTTTATTCGCTGCTTGATGGATTCCGAGCCTGAGAAGCGGCCTGTTGCTTCTGCTCAGTTGGCGACACAATGGAGCATAGTCGGTCCGGAGATTGTAGCCTTAACTCGTGAGCAGGATCTGGTTAACGTCTCCGGAGAAATAAGAACCGCAACCCCAGCAGAAACAGCCCACACTACAGCTAAGATCCAGAGTATAGTACCTGCAAGAGAAGAGGAGCCGGTATCAGATTCGCAGCTAGCCGTTGTCCCACAGCCCGAGCATCCTCCTTCCCCAGCAAAAATATTACAACCCGACCGGCAGATAATTGATCTGACAATGGTATCACCCACTGCCTCTATCACACTGTATCACTCTGAGGTGCCTATCTACTGACGAATGGCAGAATTATTGGTCGTCCGAGCTCCTAAGAATCACCAAAACGCCCCATCTACCCGAGGCAGAGGATCGGACCCGTGCGCTGCTTGAATCCGACGCCAACCCGAACGCCATGCGAGATGGCTACACGCCGCTCCACCACGCCTGCGAGGCCGGCTCCCCAAAGCTCGTCCAGCTTTTATTGCAGTATGCAGCTGATGTACACATCCGGACCCAACCCCACGGCGAGACCCCGCTGCACTTGGCGACGTATCGGGGTGATGCGGACTCATTTCTGAAGATTTTGCACTTGCTTGTGCCGTGTGGGGTGGAGGTGAACGCAGTAGACAATGTTGGGACTACGGCGCTACATTCAGTGGTAGCCCGTGTCGGGGGTCCTGGTGCTGTATCAGCAATCGAGGCGCTGATTGCACTCGGGGCCAGCACGGAGATCAGAGGCACGGCGAGAGCGGTGACGCCGCTTCAGTATGCAGTCGCGTTGGACCGGGAGGAGAAAGCGGCGGCTTTGATTCGAGGGGGCGCAAATGTCAACGTTGAGGATAGGAGTGGGAGGAGAGTGTTGCATGAGGCAATTGTATCGCGGAAAATCTCAGCGAAGTTGGTTGAGATGCTTATCGAAAAGGGCGCGGATGTCAATGCGAAGGATAGCCAGGGAGTGTTTCCGATGTATGAGGCTGTTCGAGCTGACAGACCGGAGATCGTTCACCTATTGGTCAAACACGAGGCTGACACTATCCTTGGATCCGAGAGCATAGAATGGAGGCTGCAGTGGATGTTGTTCCAAAGAAAATTGCCGTGGCCTTTGCGAAGATGATTTGTTACATTGTCTTGCATGTTCAGGTCGCACACAGTGTATCAGGTTTTGTGAGCATTCTAATTGACATACTCTCCTCTTCAAGTCTCGCCACCCGCCCCCAGCCTCACCGCACCGCCAGCATATCTTGATACTTCAAATGTTTCGAGCTCAAAGTGCCGCTGGCCACAAGCTCTCTTGCATAAGTAAGGTAATTGGATTCGGACTCTGTAACAGACACGATTCCACACCGGTACTGCAAGTGCCGAAGTGATCTCGTCGAGCGCCAGACCCTTTGTTTCTATCGTTGTGAGATAAACCACGCATGTTAAGAGGATTTGAAGGCCTCTGATATTGTGTGGGACAGATTAGGATAGCGAATCTTCAATTCTGAAAGGGAGAAGACGTACAACAAAAAGGATATGGGAAGTCGACCGTAGTCGTCAAGCTCGGACAGGCTACTACGAGAAAGACTGAACTCTGAGAAGTAGTATGCAGTACCAGCAGCGCTGCACCAGGCAGTAGTTTGGCTTGCTGCCATGGCACAATCTTGACTTTGTCAGAGGGCGGTCATACAAGGGGCAGTTGCGGGGGCTTACCGCGGCCTTCAGAAGATAGCTCAGCCACCAAGACTTGAGGGACCCATCCTCCTGCTGCAATGGGGACAAGCAGAAACAAAGGGACAAGGGAGGATTCGATCTGATGCCCAAATGGGGCTAACAGAAAGTTGACCAGCTTAACCGAGAGAATAACTGCCGCGACTAAAGTCATGCTGATCAAGAGCACAGGTCGACGCCCGATTCGCTCAACGTAAATCCTCGAGTAAAAAGAAGAGATCGCTGCAAATAAAAGACAAATTGGCATAACGACTACGAGAGGAATCACTCTGCGCCTGTCTTGCAGAATCTTATCGAAATCCCTGGTCCATGCCATCGCCAAGTGGACCAGGATGCGGAGAATCGTGTCTGGTAATGTGACTAGAATGCAGACCACGAGGGCTTGTGTGGTTTCAATCGTCATAGTGCGTTTTCTTTCGGAGAGTTTGGTTTCCAGGATCTGGGATTTGTAGATCCGGTATAAGTCTCGGCTGGCTTGGATGCCGTTATCCCGATATTTGGTCAACACTTTGTGAGCCTGGCGCATCTCACCTCTCTGACCGAGCCAGTAGGGCGACTCTGACGAAAAAAAAAGCACCGCGAGAATACCAATTAACTGGCTCATGATATTTGCGCAGATGGAGCCGATCCCGTCCGTTGTCGCTCCGTTGGCGAGAAGTACTCCGTATTGTTTAGCCCTGCGCAGTTAGTGACGGCTGTCAAGAAGATAAGACAGGCCGCATGGTGACTCACAGTGAAAAGGTGAGCAAGATACACCCACGCGAGGCATGGGGGCTGATTTCTGCTAGGTAAATGGGAATTGCACATTCAAGCGCCGCCCACAACGATGCCATTGCGAGATCCAGCAACCGTGATCCCTTGGTGATCACCACAACAATAGTAGCTGCCAGTTGCAGAGCCGCGGCAACAAAGGCTACCTTACGACGTCCAAAATAGCTGAGGGCGAGGATTGTATACCAAGGACCTACGAGTGTGCCCAGACTGTGTGGAGAAGACCACCAGCCCAGGGATTCGGGAAGCCGTAGAAACATGGCCTTGCCATACCCCCTATATCGCGACACGAATTGTCAACTTTAGCTCGGTCCCCTGGTAGCAAAATCAATGAACTCGGCCCGACTCACATGAAGACGCCCCCCGCGCAAGAAAGGCGTGGATAGTCAAGCCACCAGACAGAAGCAATCAGTTTCAGGTTGAGTGGGGGCACCAGACGCTCAGCCTTGAGAGTCTGAATGTCCTCGTCCGTCAAGCCATTGATACCCTCAATATTATTCGGATCGTCGAGCAACAAAGCCCCGATGCGAATCTGGTCCCGGATATCGTCCAGTTCATACTTGGTGACGAATTCGTCCGCATCTAGGAGGACTTGTCGGTTTCTCGACCCTAGGCTGTTTGTTTACTTTCTGTTAGCCTGCCACATCCGTAGTCAATGGAATTCAGTGCTGATTAAACCAACCGAGGTAAAAATATCGGTACGTCACTAGGTTGTCTTGCATCCTGCTCGTCGAGTTCCATCTTGGAAATGCTCAGAGTCTGTTGAAATCTCGGTAATCACGATCGGTCACTTATTAGCGGAGCGGAAGGCAAGAACTGTTGTATGTAGAAGTTGAGTCCGGAGCAAAGGTGCCGGAGAGGGGCTTTAACTCAGACTAACGCGGGCGCCTGGGGCTGACACTCCCATATACAGTAAGCACAGAATCCTATGCCTAAATGCTAGGCACAGCCTCGTACCTTATACGTCCTATAATTAGGTCTGACGTATACCCTTGCCAAGTCTACGCAGTATTGGTCCCTCCAGTGCATCGTGTGTGCCTGACCTTACATCAGCATCTTTTCCTTGCTGCCATACCTGTAGAGCACTGCGCCCTATCTTTGCCGCTGAGCTTCGCTCAATTCCTAGGTGCACAAATCATAAGCTAATCATGTATACATCCAGTGTAGTGTACTGATATAAAGGTAAGTAACGGGGTTCCGTCTGTAATAATAATCGCTAAGCTACAAAATCCTCCAATACACAAATGCAGTAGAGACGAGCTTTCTGATGAATCACTCAGTGTAAGAGTACGTTATAGATTTTTTTTCCCAAGCATGAATCTTCATAAAGCTGGAGATAAATTTTTAAATTATGGATTAAAAGTCTGTAGTCGGCCAAGTCAACAATCTCAGCTTCTTTACTACTACCACACTATCCCTGCTCTTAGCAAAACCGGCAGTGAATATTGCTTATGTTAGCTCCTGTGAATATTCCTCTTTCCCAGGATTATCTTGTCATTGACTATCAATATTCACCCTTAATGTCTAAATAGTCTCGATTTCAGCTACCGTTAATATTCACCGATCATATTCTCAATAGATAGATCGTCTATTCATTATTTCCTGCTTTGTTCCCTCGTCCACCACGTTTGCGGTCTCCCCGCCATCCTCCTTCTTCATTCTCACTCCGCCCGGATTCTCAGCATCGATCGGTGTCCCGAGGAAGTCGCTCGAAGGACTGACACGACGAGGGGGCATTGATTCGGTCTGGGGCAAGCGGATTCTGGTCGCCACGAAGCTATTCGCAGAGTCTTCAGTCAACTCCTTTCATCCAACCTTTCATCTCATCATCCTTTGTCGTCGTTCCCGTCTCCATTTCATGAAGCTTCCACCCTATCATCCAATCTTCTCGTGTTACAAATCCTCAGTACTTGGGTCTATGGTTTTTTTCTTTATGTCCTATTGGAAAAAGGCAGTTTATTTCAGACATGTGGCGCTCATCGGCACCTGCTCATTTCTTCCATTGTATACGCACCTTCCCTTGTAATTGGAAGGGTAACGTTGCAGGTTGTATTCGATTGCGATGACATTGAGCTATGCTCTTCTCTTTTCCTTTTCTTCTCGCACCCGCGCTCCTTATTATCCTTATTCCATGGAATTACTTATTGATATTCGTTTTTGATGATCGATAACGAGTTCCTGAAAGGTCTGGGCACTTACGTCGGCGTACTCCTCGGGATCTACGTCGCCTATCGCTTGCAGCGAAGGTTGAAGCGGTGGGAGCGTCGAGAGGACGGATGGGAAGGGGATGACCTGGACGAAGGGAGGGCACCGGACAAGAGCTGGTACCCAGAGCGGCTGGTGTCCTCGCGGTGCCCAACCGACCTCCAGAGCCTGGTCAGGCAGTTGAAAGACGAAGAAGAGAGACCATTTGCTTCTTTGTGCTTCTGGGTGTGTGGGAGGGCAAATGAAGGTTGAGAGCATTGCAGAATAGCAGTGATGCTAGTTGAGACGTTGGTCGTGGTGCTGCGTTAAAAAAGATTCAATGAGGCGTTCTGACTTGTACACAAGTTTCGGACCGATTATCAAGGATAGGAATATCTTGAGTGTCCCCTTCACTCACTGACCCGTTTCTCCGATACAGGTCGAAGGTCAAGGCGTTGCCATCACCATGCCATTGAAAATCCTCCTTATCGTTTCAGGGGACATTGAGGTGCTCAACCTCCTCGGATCAATTGAATAAACCAAGTGTATCAGACCCTTCGAAATCAGGACCACGAGAGATAATCTATCGTCAGCAACCCACTGAGAAAGCATCTGTCTACAGCCTTCATTCAGGTCTCATGAGGCGATGGAGCTGTTGTCAAACCAGCCCGTCAAGTAAGTGTGGAGGAAGACACCTAAACGGAGGTACACGACCAAATTCATGGTTGGTCGTCGATTCTCGAGGCTTTTGGCTGAGTAGAAGAAGTGGAGTGTGAGGCGAGTGGTTAGACGGCCCAGCCAACTAGGCCATGGGTTTTGGTCGATTGCTGACAACGTCGAACGAACTGAATGCAATGCGACCAAGCCGGCAAGTGAGTCATGATCGCGATGATGACTTCTTGCCTTGCCTGAGGAACAGGGAACATTAAAAGGCTACTAGATCTTCATGTAATTAGACATTTGATTCGAGCTCGATTCATCAATTGCAAGCCGGAGAAACCTTGCAGACATAAATATATGTTTGTATGAAGACTCCAATCGCCGTAAATCATCACATATAACATTTATTCGTAGGTGATCGACCGAAGCGGGACCGGGCCTATATCACAATGACGACCTTCCGGCATGAGCTCCGTAAAAAAGCTTCAGCTCAGCCCAGCCGAGGACGTGACTCACGATGGTAAAACATTCTTCGTCTCAGTGAGTTCTTAGCATTAACCCTACACCTCACGCTTACTTATTCTTACAAGCCAAGAAAATATCCTGAGCGGCCTAACATGGCCTCTCTATTGATCACGCTGCCACATGGTCGAGATTCGCCCCACAAGGGCTTCGTTATCTGCTATATTGTCTGGACTCTGGTTTGTTGTGGCCGGGAGTCTGTTTCTTGGCCTCTTGATCTACCACGCCTTTCCGGGCATGTGCCATTCAAACTGCGACTCCGAGTACTCCCCTCGCAAAATCTGGCAAAAAATCACCTTGCAGATTTTCAACGCCCTCTGGTGTATCTACCACTTCGGTCTAGCGCCCTTCCATATCTGCGATATGTATCTCTGGTGTCATTGGCGACTGGGCTGCTCACTATATGCTCGCCAGACGGCACTAGCTGGACTGATCTACAACAAAGCGTCGTGGTTCCGTCTCAACACCCAGGACGCAATGCGACACTTGCCTTTGTTAAACAGCGACGCAGATGACTCGGTGGAGTGGGAGTCGATCGGGCTAGAAGACAATACACCGGGGCAGTCGAGTGTCATGCGTAGCCTGGTCTTCCAGGTGGTATATACGATCTACATGTGAGGATTCAGCCGTTTCAGTCGGTCCGCCTGATCGGACCTTTTCTTCATACTGATGATCATATTCGACACCATCGCGAGGGTTATACTCGGTTATCAAAGCGGGCGGGTTTTCGCACGCAGCAGCGACTTCCCAACACTGAGGCGGAAAGCGCAGCCAAGCCATGGACGTGCCAACCCTGCTTTCTTTGCTCGTCTCATACAGCGGCCTCGCAAATCAGCAGAAGTCAATCAGCTTCGTCGGGTAGAAGAAGGAGTGCGTACTCGGGAAGAGAGTGGATATCTTGCAGTCGGCATGGGACTGGATACCTATCTACTTCCTGTGCCTTGCTGCCTCAGCCTGACTTCGGCGAGGTGATGATGATGATGATGTCAAAGAGGAGTATGAAGTATGAGACCTTTACTTGGACTGTCTTGCTGAATAAATGTCGATAGATTCGCTCTCATTTCAATTACATCACTCACTGCTTGGCTATGGTTTGCATACTTAATTCCATAGCTGAGTCTATGGGGCTGATTCGAGCTCCATGCGGGCTGGCCCTACCGCGGATTCTCGGGCTGTTGTGGTGCTCCAGCTGCCAGGGGCACTGTCCCGTTGTCTACTGTAGACCCCAGTAGATGAGGTTTGATAGACTTATTGTCTTGGTAGCGTTTGGTGAGATTCATCCCTCAGGCTAACATGTGATGGTTTCTGAATATTTACAAACACGATCTAATCTGATTGCAGAACACAAACCCACATAATCCATGACATTCTCACCTCACTGCCCCATCGCCTTTTCCCTAACAAACCACTCAAAGCTCAAAGAACATGCTTATCGACCGTTTCCTGCAGCTCATACTCACTCCCATGCAGAAGATGAGTAATCTCACTCGGATGAAACACGTTAAACACAACCATAGCCATGAAGATCAACACCGCATCCAAAAGATACAAACATATCTCGTGATGAAGCACGTACCCATTATTACCCTGCAGGTACTCAACCAGTCGAAAGACCGACCGCACCATAATCAAGAAACTGGTAATGTACAGAATGTTGAGGTGCTTCCTCCAAGGGATCGACGGGTCGCGGCACCGCGGAATAGGGTATTTCTTCAGTTTCCGGTCGAACGCCCCGGCCGTGACGATGAAGAAGCCAAAGAAGAAGATCTGCACGAAGAGGCCAGCGATGATAATGTGTTCGCCGATTTGCATGCCAGAGAGGCTGCCGCTGGATTGGATGCCGCCTCCTGACAATGTGTTACTATATATAAGAATATATGGCAGGTCTCCGGGAAAGAGGAAGGGGGGGGGGTTCTGAGGAAACCTTACCAGCACCTTGTAGAAAGAACGAGAGTACATCGCCTGTGACGAAGGTCTTGGTTAGCCACCTCTTCGGGAGAATGGCGTGGGATTCTGCGCGTAGAATCAGGATGATGCGTCCGAGAAGCATGTAGATTGAGGCTGCAAGAAGGGCCGGCGCGAGAAGGAGAAACAAGGTTTGAACGAGATAGGGGCCTAGGGTCCAATTTGGAGATTCGTGACTAGACATTCCACGTCCGATGTAGCCGATTATTTCGACTGGTATGTACAGTGAGCATGCTGTGGGGTGGCATTGCGCCGAAGAGTCTGCTCACATATGCCCCCTATTGTGAATGGGATGAAGTGCCATGTTTGGGTCCGAAAGAGTTGGAGAATATGCCAGATCGTTGTGATGGTGAATAGAATGGTGAAGATAATGGCGTCAGTCATGCTGGGGTCGTAGCGGTAGAAGGCGAACACGACTGCATCGTTGTAGTTGCTGCTGATGGTGCTGTTCATTGTCAGCAATGTATGGGATTTACGGCGGGAAAGGTGTGCTGAGCGAAGATCTGTGGTTTTTTAACAGGTTATATATCATGGTTGTTGGGAAAACCACGGATATAAACATCCTAAGGCAAAGAAGCTCAATGAAGGAGTCTGCTAGGGCTGAAGTTGTCTGGGCGGGACCACTGGGCTCGTATATTCGTATCGCAGCATGTTGCCGCCTACGCAGGACTTTGAGTGCAAACATCCATTATTGGACCAGCTACCTAAAACAAAGAAAGACATCTCATAGATACACAGGAGTGGTACCATCACCTATGCTGCATACCGGTCATAATATTTTCCCGACTTGTGATGTATAAGGGTTCAGTCTTCGTGGTAGTCAGTAGACCACCAAGTCCCACCCTTGGCTACTCCAACACCACCCAGCGGAATCTGCTTGCATCTCTTGCGCGATAGATTGCGCAAGCAATCATTCTTGCTTGTATGTAGTGAGAGATTCTTGTGACTCGGGATGTTCTTCCTGCCTTCTTCGCCAACTTCGTCGCCAGAAAAGGAGTGTGCGGCTATGGATCTCTTGGCCTTCCGTAATGGCCAAACGACCGAAACAAGATCGCGCTCCGATACAGACTCACCACCATCGGAGTCATCTGTATCTCTTTCTCATAACTCACCAGACGCGCTCGTCTTGTCGTCAACTATGTCTGACTCTCTATCCCCATCTGAGCCTGCAGCTTCACATCACCCGGGACACGGTCCGCTCACAGCAAATGAAAGGAGGCGTCGCGTCCGTCATCATAAGTCTCGCAGAGGTTGCTTCACTTGCAAGCACCGAAGAGTAAAAGTCCGTGACATTTTCAGCTACTCAAGCTCGTAGAAACTGTACTAAACAGTTCCTCTAGTGTGATGAGGTTCACCCTATTTGCGGGGCATGCGCATTCCGTGGCGATTCGTGTTCTTATCCCCCTTCCGTGTCATCGACGTATGCACTTTCTGGTGTCGCATGTCACATACCAGTGTCAACATTCTGACATCTCGTGCTCAGTTTCCGAGTCTTGAAATCTCCTCAAATCTCCTCCTCCGTCACAGATCCTCTGCAGCCCCTGGACTTTCGTCTCCAAGAACCAGCCGCAGAGTCACCTTTGCATGATCAAGCGATCGGCTTGGCTGATCTACGTCTCCTAACGAGGTTTATGATATATACGTCGAAGAAAATGAGCTATCATCCCACCCGCCAGCATGTTTGGGAGCAATTGATCCCGGATCTAGCGGCTAAACATGAGTACCTGATGCATTTACTCCTCGCTCTGGCCGGCGAGCACGTTTTATATGAAGCTCATATGCCTAAGTCTTTCACAGAGGGTGAAGACGACCGCCAGTCTTCATCACCCGCCTACAGCCAAAGTGAGCTTGAGCTTGAATATCAACGCGTCATTCAGCATCATCAGAAAGGTCTGGCAGGATTTCGTCAGGCGCTGGCTGACATGACACCCGAGACGGCAGAGTATGTCTTTTGTGGTTCGTTGCTCATTGTTGCTATCTCCTTCGCTTCAATATCTACGAGAGAGCACTATTGCACCGCCTCTGGGTTGAACAAGTCCCACAGTGATCGGTACCCTTATACCGACTGGCTCCACCTCGTTCGCGGCCTGACAAGTGTTGTCCGCGAACACTGGTTCACCCTCAAGTGTGGACGACTGCGGATGATGTTATACTATCCGCATGCCAACGACGACTGGAAGGCGGATATGCCAACCGTCTCTTCAACGTTTCCCCGGTTGAAACACGCCCCGCAGATTTTTCATGTCTTTGCACAGGGTGCCTGCCAGGCCCTTGATATGCTCCGCGCTTTTGCGACTACATTACCTTCTTTTAGAAATGCACTATCCCCTGGTGAGGAAAGCATCCCAACACCCAGTCAGTCAGACGCCGAACCGGAGCATCCAAACGACTACCTACACGCCATCGCGAGATTAGAAGAAATCTATATGCGCATACTTTACGTCCTGCGATTCTCGCACAGTGATCGCAACTGTTCAGCATCGCTCGACATTAAGATGGACATGGAAGACTGCGCCGTTACATCCTGGCCGACCATGCTCTCGACACGCTTCTTCGACAGCCTTTCAGCCGCAAGTGAGAGACTAACGACTGAGGAGGGATTTTCGTACACCATCCTGGCTCACTTCTACGTGGTCTCGATCATTTTTCGGGACTTGTGGTACCTTAGCAGTGGCTTTCGCTCAGAGATTCAAAAGGTCGTACGCCTTGTAGCCCCACTAAGAAACCCTGCACTGAGCGCTCTACTCGCGTGGCCAATGGAAGTCATTGCGGCATGCTGAATGTGGCTGTTGGGACTGGCCTCTTTCTACTCTGGAGAGCAACTTCCTTTTTCCGTTTTTCTGTCAATTTTTCTCTTCTTTTTTCTTTCTTTCTTTCTTCTTCTTTTTTAGTTTGAGACTTTAGTTTGGTAAGTTGTGATTTGACTGGGCTGTGGGTATTCTGCTTGACGAGATCGGATCGAAAAGGTTGCGAGGTTAATCTATTTTCAGTCGTCCCATGGTTCGGCAATTCCTGATCTCAGGGGATACGAGGATACGAGGATACGAGTAAACGAATGCACGAGCAGTGCTTTCGGCGTCTCTAACAAGCCTGTCCCGGGTCGGTAGCCCCCCACTACGGCAGGATTTTAGCAGCTATTCTGCTTATTTCTCGGTTGGCAGAAGTCAATTTTGCGCAGAGCGGCGACTATATCCTACCATAGCCTCACACTTCCATTGCCCTAAACCAATAGCACCTAGTTCGAAGCACCGTGGATCTGTCTCACGTCTTGGTTAGTCTCAACAATATCACAGTGTTAGATTCTCGCAAAATGTTGCGTTCGATGGCTCTTTAGGCGTGGGCGCATTTCTCGAGACATACAGCCATTTCCACCATCCTTTGCCTCACAATCGGCGGGCAGCAATGATATTCCTCAGCATTGAAGGACAAGATAGCACCGCACGATTTTCTTCTGGGACCCAATCCGCTAGTGAACGGTTCCCGGAGTGACCGGCTCGCTTACGCGGGGGATCTGGATATGCCCAGCAGCGCGGTGTTCGGGAGTACCCATGGCCTTGAATATATTAATGAGTTTAATGAGCTTCTGGGGTCTTACCAACTGACCCCGGGGTTGTTCGTCCCGAATGTCAAAATCCTGTAAATTGAAGTCCAGAAAAACCAAAAGCCTTCAAACCAAAGAAACCCTCTCGCCCAAGCCCGCCTCCCCCCCGGCAGCCCGCTTCTGACCCTCCAAAAACGACCCAGGAAACACAAACCCCAGCACCAACCCCGTCGCCGCCATCAGCAGCGCATCGAAAATATACAGCAGATACTCGCGGTGCATGATAAACCCATCATTGCCCTGCACAAACTCCACGACCCGGAACACCGACCGCACGAGGATCAGCGCGCACGCGAGGTACAGCGCCCACATCAGCCCGCGCCACGAGACCCGACCGCTTTGCGATCTTCCCATGACGGGGTTCGCGGCTGCGCAGACCCGCAAGTGGAAGAGGGAGACTACTAGGACGAAAAAGCCGAAGAAGAGGAGCTGGATGGCGAGGCCGGCGATGACAATGTGTTCGCCGCTTGTCATGGCGGCCTGCGTGCCGGCGGCCATGTAGCCGCCTCCTGTTCACAAGGAGTTGGGGTAAGTGGGAGAGGAGAGAACTTGGAAGTTGGGACTGGACGTACCTCCGCATTGGAGAAGGAAGGAGATGACGTCGCCGACGACGAAGATTTTAGTTAGCCATTGGACGCGGATGAGAGAGGCGGATTCGGCGTCGAGTTGGACGATGAGGCGGCCGAGGGTCATGTAGATCGAGGCGGCGAAGAGAGGGGGCGCGACGAGGATGAGCATCGTTTGCGTGATGTAGGGCCCCAGGGCGTGGGTGTCGAAGTGGGAGAAGATGCGGGCAATGTAGCCTGCGGCTTCGACTGGAGGGTGCGGATGTTAGGATGTTGGCTTTTGGGGGTTGAAGCTATTGAACGTACAGATAAGCCCGATGAGAAATGGGATGAAGAAGATTGTTCGGTGGCGGATGATCCGGTAGAGGTGAAGGATGGCGAGGACACAGAACACCCCGGTGAATACTACGGCTGCAGCGATAGAGGGAGTGTAGCGGTAAAGAGCGAAGTACCCTGCATTTTGCTCTTGAGCGGCGTCTGTCATGACTCTGGATAGTTGTAAACTTGTATCGAGAGTCCCTGTGTGCGTGTGGTGTGTGCGGTGTCCTGCCTACTGCGGCAAACAGTGAAGTTCAAGAGATGGATACTGTATGCTCACTTATGGAGCGAGAGGTTAAAAGCGTTGCTTTTAAAGTCAAGTGGAAGGGCCCTTGCCTGGTGGCGGAGTAAACATGAGATGGTAACATCCCAGGTAAAAGCTCAATCTTGTCGTCTAAATGCCCAAGTAGCAGTCATTGATTCGTACCTGAATTCCATACTATAACTACCGTCAATTGCCAGGAAGTGGGGCCCAAATTAGGTTATCGGTGGAGATCCGAACCCTGAAAGTAGAAAAGCCACCCGCATACGAGCATACGAGCCTACGAATATACGATTTACGAATATACGAGTCAATGGGTACCCAGTAGTCAAACGGGTCAACAACGGAAAGCCCGAATGCGAGACCCTCTCCCTCAATATCAAATTCTCAACATGAACATGACCTAGTCTCGGGCACGTAGAAAAACACCAAGCATCTTCCGCCATGCACTGTGGAATATTATTGTTCTAGGGAGTTGCACGGCTGTCACAGTAGTGCTTGGGTTTACGGATTAGTTCTCCCCCGTGCTTTCCGACCGGGCTGCTGTTCATGCCGAAGTTCTCCCTCAAGAAGCAATCAATTGCCTTGGGTTTGTTTCAATTTTTTCGTCCTACAAGGCTTTCCAAGTCGTTATGCAGGCCATCTCCCACCGACTACAACAATCGTTGGTGATCATGTGATCTGCTCCGGCTCCTCATCTCTTCGCACCGCTAGACTCCAACAATCAAGCATCATCGACCTCATCGTTCTTTCGTGCGACCTAAGAATAATCTCCAAAGGACAGGGTGTACCTGTATGTCTGTGACTCGTTGGTGAGTCATGCCTCATGCTCCTTTCCCTCCTCCGCCTCCTCCACCAGCTTCAATGACTGCAGTACCTCACTCTTCCCCAGCTTCCAGCCAACTGTGCCTACGGCAAGTCCGGCGGGAGCTTTCTCGTCCAGCTATCAATATAAATATACAGTGGTCACCCCTTCAAAGACCACTGGGCCTATTTTCAATGTGCGCTTAGGCACCGACCCCCAGCTGGGAGTCAGGATCCACGCGACCGGTGATGTGAGGCGGCTTTATGTTCGAGATCGAGCGCGCCCATGACCCCTGCGTACGACTTCGAACATCCTCAACGAAGAGAATCCCTCTCGAATGGGTCGGCGGTGCATACTGCAACGAACAAACTATGCTGAACATGGAGAGTATACACTGGACGGATCTCCACTGTGTCCATGGGAGGCCAGTTTTCACCGGGTCAAAGCTCTTGGAAAGAGTCTGAATACTACTCATGGGAGTGTATGTCATGGGATGTCTAAACGCCGGTGTTTCGCTTTATCTGTCAATTTCAAGTGTGCTAATCATGGATCTTAGATGCCGGTCAGCGGCGTTGGCAAGAAGATCACTCCGAGAAACTGCAGTACATGGATTATTGAGTCCGCGGATCAGCTTGTGGATGATGGTATGTTTCGGAGGGAGGTCGCGGTGCGATTGAGCAGTGATATTAGTCGATTATAGACCTGGGTCATGACTGAGCACATCACAGGAGTATGCTGGTATCAGCTGCTATCTCTGGAAGTAGTAGTGCCTGAGGTTCATGTAAATCATGGATGCAGTCAACAACAGGTCTTCTCCTTTGTGCTCCCTGTCGCCAAGGTAATCTCTCTGAGTTGAGCCCAGAGCGCAGATATACTCACCTTTCCACAGGCCATTAGCGTGGCTGAGATGAGATGATGGCCCACGGTCGAGACGGGTTTTGGACACATGCTAATGGTGTGCACAGTCTCGAGACAACCTGGCTGTGTGGTAAATGCATGGATTTGTTTCCTAGCCCCATGAGAACCTGTTATACGCTGTGTATGGCGGAGAAAAATACTCAATTGCCTCAGTGCATGGCTTGATCTTGATCAACCTTGAAGCTCTGATCCATTAGGCGTTGAGCAAAGAATCAATACAATCCATTGCATTGTCCTAAGCGAGGTATCGACGACGAGACATCTTGAAAAGGTATTAGCCTGGTCAAAAAAGCAAACGAAGCAGCCAATGAGTGGTAGCGTGCCGATGATGCGGCTGAGGTTCCCTATTTATAGTGGGCTGAGTCGAAGCATCATGATTCTTGATACGAGATTGGACAGAAACAGAATGCAAGCTCGACTTCATCTGCCTAGTCCACTTAGGCTCTTCAGCTGAATATTTTGCAAGCGGTGATTTGACGTCAGGTCTTGTCTCTGTCTAGCGCCATGCAGTCAGACTCACTAAGAGCAGCCGGCACGATAGACTAATAACCCGCTCGGCCCACGGCAAACGGGCGAGGCCAGAGCCGCTAAATCCCGTCACCCCCGCGTCTCCTTCGGGCTTAAAATTCTCAGGGATTCGAGATCAGCACGAGTTCTCTTCGCCATGCAGTTCCTTTTGCTTCATAAAACAGGCGCCCGTCGTCAAGGATCATACCATGGGTGCTGGTAGCGACAAGACCCTGCAAGGGGGCCCCGGGCTGCTTTCTACCTGGTGGGATCGATTCCGTTATACGACCGTTCCAATATCAAACAACACACTGCAACACAAGCAGCCCCGATGGAAGAGCTGGCTCCCTCAAGGTCTTACACAAGACTCTGAAGCAGGACGAGAAGGACGAGAATGGATCAAGGGGGCCGTTATCTGCACCTGGATCACGGCGACGATCCTGACACTCAACTCCATTATGCTGATTGTGGCACTCGCCTTCGCCTATCGCCAGTCGAGCAACCAAGGTCAATTTCAGATGGTTGAGCTCTACACGGGGAAGTGTGCCTTGGCAGAACACTCCGCGACGGGCATACATGTAGGGATCAACGTGTTGGGCACCATCTTACTTGGGGCCAGCAGCTACGTTATGCAATGCCTAGGTGCACCCTCTCGCTCATATATCGACCGGGCGCATGCACGCTCGCGCTGGCTGAATGTTGGAACCTTTAGTTTTCGCAATTTTGCGATAATGAGTCCGAAACGCAAGGTCTTGTGGGGGCTACTGCTGCTCAGCTCAACTCCAATTCATATGATTTACAACTCGGTCATCTTCTCATCCATTGCGGAGCTCGACTCCGGGAACCTCCTGATTCCGCACGACCTCTCCTCGAACGAGTCCTTGGTCAAGGACGCGGCGAGCCGCAAGAGTTTCCGGGCCAGAGTTGGCCTTGATCCGGGGACTGTGCAACAGCGGATCTTCGATGGCACTTTCACCAACTTGACAGACAAGGAGTGCTGGGCCACCCGGGCCGACGAGGCATTGTACAGTACACTTATCTATGTTGTTGACAGGAAGTACTTTCACAATACGAGTAGTCTGTGGGTAGACGGGGCAGAATTCGCCTCCTCCGAGAACTACTACCCAGTGGAACCCGTCTACTGGAGCTATCGCGTGTGGAACTACTCTACTGTTGCGGACGGGCATCCATACCAGTTCAACTTTGCCGACGATTCGTTCGAAAGTCTGTGGAACCCCAACAACAACACCAATACAAGCGCTGCGTTGCAAGCTGATGTGATGAGTCTGCTAAGTTACAATTCGCAATACAATCCGACTCAAGGGGCTCTGCGTGAGTACTTGGACACCCCCTCACACTGGCAAAACAGCTCCTGGGCGGCCGCAACGACATTTGAATTCTTTAAAGAAGGCGACTTGGAGGATGGAATATACCCAGAGGTTCCTGTTTCGCACTGTCTGGTGGATGAAAGCAGACAGCGCTGCCAGCTGCTCTTCAGTCCCCCGATTGCAATTGTCGTCATAATCTGCAATGCCATCAAACTGAGCTGTATGATGATAGCAGTCAGGACCAGGCGTAGAGATTTACTTTTGACTACAGGCGACGCGCTGGCCTCATTTCTCACTCGCCCAGATCCAGTAACGCGTGGTCAATGCCTGCTCTCCCGCGCAGAGGTGGCCCGAGGACTCCGATTCTGGGGCTCCTCTGCACTCACTCCCGGTCGTGAGAAGGAAGGGTGCTGGGTGCACGCACAGAGCTCAAGCCAAAGCTCTAGCCCCGCTCCTAGTCCAACCCCTGGCCAGAGCACGGGATTTCTGAACTACCCGTTAGACAACTTCCTACTATCACCATCCGCAGCCCAGACAACCACCGAACTTCACCCGAGACAGCTTACTGCGCGCAAGAGATGGTACCAAGCTGTCAACTGGCCTCGCAGGGTAATTGCGTTATTCTGGTTAGTCATCGTCGACGCATCGACCCTCTGCTACAGAACCAGCCCCATGCAGTTCCGACATCACCACTAACCAACTCCTACATAGCTACATATCCTGCATAGCAGTGAGCTTTGCCCTTCTCTTCCATGGCATCGGTGCCGATACTTTCCAGGAGGCCATGGCCATCGGCTTCAGCAAGTACTCGGAATCTTATTTGGTCAACATGAACACGACCAACATCCTCGCCCTGGTACTGCTAGCCAACACGCCACAACTCGGCTTATCCGTGCTCTACTTTCTGACAGACGGCGTGTTGACCTGCATGCTTCTGGACGCCGAGCTCCAGCGCTACGCCACGCGCCGCCGCTCACTCCGCTGCTCCTGGCCCAAGGGCCAACAACGCTCGACCTACTACCTGACTCTGCCTTACCGGTACAGCGTGCCGCTGCTGGCCGTTTCCGCGTCGCTTCATTGGCTGCTATCCCAGAGCTTCTTTTTTGTGTATATCCGGCGGGTCGATATCACCCAGCGGTTCATAGTGGATGAGGCGCGGGGGTGCTGCTACTCCCCGTTGGCGATCTTCATCACAATTTGGGTCGCTGTCGCGGGGCTGTTCGTTGTGGTGGGGCTCGGGTTCCGGCGGTTTGAGAGCGGGATGCCGCTGGCCGGGGGTTGTAGTCTGGTTCTGTCCGCGCTGTGCCATCCGGCTGAGGGTGATGAGGGCGCGGCCGAAAAGACGGTCATGTGGGGTGAAGTCTCAGGAGATGCTGATGCAAGGGCACGGAATGACAAGAGAGGAGTCGACGAGAGGTTGGTGGAGGGGACGGAGGAGACCTGGAGAGGGACGGTGGAAGGATATGCACATTGTTCGTTTAGTTCTTTGGAAGTGATGGCACCGCGCAGGGTGGGGAGGTTATATGCCTAGGTAGCTTGTGTTGTACCTTGTCTGTATCTCAGGCGTGCCATTTTCTTGGCTGACTTTCCCCTCATTTTTTAAGACCTTCACGGAAATTCACCCGGCTCTTATCAATGCCATGGACAAGATGAGAGATGATAGTGATCCAACCAATTTTATTTTTCACATTGTCGGACAATCTTCTGAAGACGGTCTAATTCCATTAAAGGAAATCTTGATCCAGGTATTTAAAAGATAGAACCAAATCATGAAACAGCGAGGTTTAATAGAACTATGTCCTATTAATTTTTCAAGAAATAAGATCAAAGACAGCCGGCAGCAGGTCGAAACATAGGCGGCTGTATTCAGTAAGTTCGGAGATTTATATACAGAGCTTATTAGTAATAATAGCTGGGTTTTATATAAGAACTACGAAGTAGCTTTGAATAGATAAGAGAAGAAAAAAGCAACTTTGGTGAGCTTACGGGAGTAAGTAGAAAGTCTAATCTAATATCTACTCTTGGATATATCCTCTGGCACTTTCAGCAATCCAATACTATGCGTCAGTAAAATAGATCGAGTAAAATTCCTCATCATACTCAGGTTATTAAACTTGTAGTTATTTCTTGTTGTAGCAAGACAATTTCAGTTGACTGATCTATCAAACCTTGCCAGCGCTCCATTCAATGAGATGAGAGATATTAATAATCAAAATCTGTTGCAGTGGTGGTTGAGAACAGTGTGCTTTTATCTCAGCATTAATGATCAGGGCCTATCAACTCGACATTCCGAGAAACATCTGGCCAAATGTCACTGCGATAGTTTTTTCAGAAAAGGATCTTAAACATGAATCTCAAGATTTCACGTACGATCGATTTTCCTTGCGTTCTGGCTATAATATATAAGAAATAAGCTATTATAGTACTAGTAAATACATAGATCTAGTTAGAAATTAGCTTTCTATATAATTTAGAAAATAAGTTTAGATCTCTTCTTTATTATTAATAGATTCTTGATAGTATTATATTTACTATCATTTGCCAAGACGATGTCTTAGTTGTCATGCAGTGAATATCACGTACTGTAAGCGCTGTTGGTGCCTGTCGGGTTTACGGGATGAGGGGGATGAGCTATTGTGTAGGTACTGACTTGGAAGTCATTCTGACGGCAACAGGTTCAATAACTTGCTGGGAGCTTGTTAGGTAAACTAGAGTCAGTTGTGGTTAAGGAACAAGCCAGGTCTCGATTCTTTCCTTATCTGGCTTTACGATCTTTTCTCTAGAGTCAAAAATGGGAATGGACCCAAAGCGATAGAAAATATGTCAATAAGCAAAGGCTCACCATGAGCCACAGAAGACAGAAATCGACACCTAGTCGCATCATTTCTGGGTCTAATGCTGTTCTCTCAATAGGAGAAGGAAGATCAAGCAATAAAAAAAACGCACAGAACAAGAAGAAAAATCCCTCTGTGAAGAGCCCTAGCCTAATCCCAACACATCGACAGATATCGTAGGTAGTATGACACTCCATCGGGATGCATAGATGCTTGAGGTGCCATGATGTCTAGCCCGTCTGCGACCACACCGGGATTGTGTGGCTGTAAGGCCATAGCGGCCGGTCATAGTATGAGGGTATATGGTAGTAGCCGGCATTGAAGTAATGTGGGGGGAGGTAGTAGGCCCAAGGATTGGAGTACCTTGGGTGAGAAAAGTTAAGGTGGAAGTAGGGTGGGTAGGCGAAGTAGAACGGGTTGGCGCCGTCACGATGGCCAAGGCGATCCTTGCTAGTCTCATCTTGTGTAAGCGAGTCCGCCAGGGGGTTGGAGTCGCTGCCGCTGCCCCAACCCTGAGTTTCTTCAGGTGGGAAGAAGTAAGGCCCGACGCAGTGCCAATACTGGTTCTTCGGAACCCGGTGGCCGATCAAGACCGTCAACCTCTCCCATTTCTTGATGAGGCGCCACTGGCGCTTGAGGATTTTCTGCTCTTGAGATAGAATATACGCCTGAAGAGTGTGGTCATCTTGTGGCGGAGCATCCCGTGGATCCTGCGGCGAGGAGGGGAAGTGGGAAGCGTAGGGCCGCTGCCGCTGCTGCTGCCTCTCGGATGCAGAGTGGGCTGATGCGTCCAGGATGGGGGAGGGGAGGAGGATTGGGGTGGAGGATGTTGATGACTCGGTGGCAGAGGTGTTCGTGGATCGCCCCTGCTTGCCTTTCAGCAGTGGACTGTCACAATCACTTGCCCATTTGTTATTGGATTCGCTCTGAATTCGATCGTTGAGCAGTCTTAAGAATTCGCCATTCGATAAGAGTACGGGACTTGTCGTCGCTAGGACGTCGGACTCGATGGAATCTGCTGCGGATGGTGTAAGGATTGAGGCCGTGGTCGTGTCAGACTGAGGTCTGGTTCTCGTTGACATCGAAGACTTCACAGACCCCTCATATACCAGAGCCCACTCGTCTTCGGAGCCGTCATCACTGCCCCAGGGAAACCTTTTGGCCACGTGGAACAATTCATTGTCGGCGTCGTGCTCGCTATATTGAGCCGTGCCAGAGGACAGGGATGTCCGTCTTGATGGGCCAGTCGATTGAGGCTGCACACTGGTACTCTGCTCAGGGCCATGGATATTGGTGTCTACATCCCGGTCAGAGCAGCCAGCCTCGCATGCATCAGGTTGGATAAGCATGTTCATAACTTCCTGATACCTGGCGTTCCTTTCGGCTTCTTGCCTCCAGTACTCGTCCCATATGCGCTTTCGCTCCGGGTCTGAGCAGACCGGAGAGGGAGTCGATGCTTTCATCTGAATGGGCACACTTTCCATCTGCTCAGGGGCACGCATATCAGAATGGTGACCTCCGACGTCTTTGAGCTCGCTGAGCTTGAGCGTAAGTTCCAACTTGTTCAAACATTCACGACACTTGCATTCTCTCTCCGCTTTCCCCTTCAAGTGCTCGTTCCACATGCGCTTTTGCTCGTGGTCTGGGCACATGGAGGCCCACGACAAGGTGCGAGAGATTGGTAGTGACATGTTTGCGGATTCGATGATGATAATTTGTCACTAGTATACTTGTCTGAAGGTATCAGGGTGGTTGATGGGGGAGAGGATGTCTGTTGCTGCGTTGGAGAGGCCAGGCAATGACAGCAGAGAGGGCAGGGAGAGTGGAAGATTGTGAGTCAACGCGGAGCACCGGAGGAGTGGAAGCATCAACTATAGATGTCATGATGATTAGGGCTGGCGGAACGGAGGATCCGTCCCGATGTCATCGGGGCATAGGGCTGCAATACAGCCTAGCTCATGAATGGCACTATGTGTCACTGGCTTAGTAGGTCAGGGTGGTATGTATCCCCCATCCGTCCAACGGAAAAGAAACCCATCATCCTGTCTCTTACACCGATCCTGCTGTTCCTCCGTCTGCCCCTCCATCAACCCACCCCGCACTCGTCCACTGGATCTTGTCCTTTCAAACAACGACTCCAGATCAAACCAATCACACAGTGACTTACCCCGCCCCTCAAACATGATTCCGCTATCTCGGGTCATTGCACACATGAGGCCCAGCGCCTCTGGCGCCTCAACCATTACCTCCGCCGACAAACGCGATGGAACCAGTCCGCAGGGTGAGAAGCACCACCACCTGCCCACGAAGAGTCTCGCCGACCTCAAGAAAGATATATCCGGATTCTATTACAAAAGCGAGAACGGAAGCGCAGTATGCATCTCTGTTGCTGACGATGCTGCCACCCTTGCCTTCAGACGAGATCTACAAGCCAAATGGTTCACCGCCATCATCCAGGATGCGGCACGCAAACAACTTGGAGGTGAGGGTGGGAGACATGCTTCCACCTCCCATCATCTCGACGCTGCTACCATCGCGTCAAGACCACCTTCCCCCTTCTTCGACGACGTGGCCGTAGACGAGTTTCAAGACTGCCGCAATGACCTGTCCTCCGTGGAGAATGACTATGTATGGGTCAGCGACAACGACGACGACTTTGAGTTCGTGGAAGTGGACAAGACAGATCTGGCTGCAGAAAGCCTCAGCTCATCAGGTGTTGTGCTTGAATTCCCTATTGAGACACCCGGGACCACCGACCCCGCAGCCCAGGGAGAAGAGTCTAACGCTACGACCAAGGAGAGCATCTCGTCTCCTACCACCCGCAAAGCCAAGTAGAGCAGATATGGTTTGACGGACTGGGACCTGTGTTCATTCTGATGAGAAGGGGTGTTGCTCTTTTGTGGTCTGTGCTGCTGTTCATTTGCGTTTCTGCGCAGGCTTGTCATTGGCCTTTGCACAGCTTTGCTTGCCTGCTTGTCGTCTACTTGCTCTGCATCTTTGCTTTTTGTCTTTCTTTCGTGTAATTCGTTGGCATTGGCATTTGCATCGGTGTATATCCCCTCTCACACTGTTGTCTGGGTCATTTGTGAATTTTACTTGCGAGCTGATTCGGGCTTTTCTCGTTTCCTGTGCGTAGCATGCCCAGCGAGAGATGTTCGATCACTTTGTATGTATTCGAGGAAGGTCAGGGAGGAAAGAGCCGCCATATAAAACTCGAGAAAGATCTCTAATTCCCCATCATCGCTCAGAGTAAACCCATCATCCCATCTTAGAACAAGCGTATCGACAAGTGTCTGCACGTCCACGGGCGGAAGTGATATCGGTTTGAATCGCGAGGAGTCGGTTGGGGGTTTGCACTTTTTGTGATCGCTTACTGTAAGTAGCTGTAGTGAAACCAGATCAGATCGTCTGTGACTTCCATTGACCGGCTCTCCGACCCGGTTTAATTTGTCATCAGTGGCTGCCAAATAAGAAATGCTAACAATAATTACATATGAACTGAGGGGGTTGGAGGAGAAACACCAGCTGCGTGGGTTCTGGCAGCCTCTCCCAACCCGAAACAGTCATCAACATCCCAAGCTGAGAACCACAACGACTGATACCACGAATTATGTAAGTCAATTGCATATAACTATCAAGACACCACTACACTACTCCTCCTGATTACCGACACAGTACCATAACAGAAGAAGTCACCCTTTCTTCTCCCGGTCCACCATCCCATCGACATCCACCTCAACGGCCTTCCCCTGCTCTACCACCCTTCCCCCCGGAAGCCCTTGGGCACCCCCCGGCCCTGTAAAATGCTTCCGCCCGGTACTCATCCACGTCCCCAGCGCAATCAAGGCAATCACCCCAATCGCCGCGCTAGTGTAGTTCATCGACTGGTCGGTGACCGGGTACGTCGTCGGGAAATTGAAGGTAATCGACGCAAACAACAAGAACAACAAGCCCACCACATTGAGGGCGATGGAGACCGAGGAGGGGAGGGCGAACGGGCCGGTCATTTGTCTGTTGTGGGAGGTGATGAAGCCGAGGAGACGACTGGCGAGGGCGGTTGCGTAGGATAGGTCTATCAAAGTCTGTTTAGTAACTGCTGCAGATGGGAGAGAAAAGGAGGGAGGTGGGGGGGGGGTAAAAGCGGCAGACAGAGGAGGGGACGTACAAAACCCTTCCGTAGAGATGGCGATAACCGTCTCAAACCCCGTACTCGTCCCGAAATCAATCGCGTCCAGCGCCAACTGCACGACCAGCGTGAGCAACACCGCATTCACGGGGACCTGTTTCGTCTGATCCACCTTAGCGAGCCAGGTGCTGCAGGGGAGGCCGTGGTCGCGCGCGAACGCATACACACAGCGGGACCCCTCCGCGAGGATATTGTTGCCCGCGACGATGACGATCACCGCAATCAAGCTGGCCAGCACGCACGCGGCGGCCTTGCTGCCGGTGGAGTCGTAGAAGATCTGGATGACGGGGACGCCGGTGGCGGAGTTGGCGGTGGCGTCGATGTCGCCGATGCAGAAGCACAAGACGAGTAGAAATGCAAAGCCGGTGAGGGCGCCCAGGACCACGCTCAAGATGATGGCCTGCGGAGCTTGTTTCGAGGCCGACTTCATCTCCTCGGTCATGTGCGAGGGCGCGTCATAGCAGCACATCCCGAAGCAGGCCTGCAGAATGCCGACGATGGCAGCCATCGCTCGGTCCCACCCGGTGGTGTTTTGGAAGTTGACGAACACGAAGGAGGCGGATTGTTTATGGTCGTTGGTCGCGAGGAGGACGATGATCGTGATGAAGAAGGCGGAAATGTTCCAGATCAGGATGAAGCGCGCGAGGCGGTTGAGGAGGTGCGGGCCCCAGATGTTGATCGCGGCGGCGAGGAGGGCGACAAGGTAGGCGACGAGCACGGTCTGCCAGCGCTGGATCTCGTAGCTGGGGAAGACGAGGTTCGCCATGCCCAGGACGAACTGCGCCGCGATGGAATTGTTGGTGGCGCCCATTGCTAGGAGACCTGTTTGGGAAAGAGTCAGTGAGGGTGGGGAGGGCCCGCAGAAGAAAAACAGGGAAGCCCACCGATTATCATGAACCAGCCTGTCACATAAGACAGTCCCCGCGCGATCTTCGGGGGTGCTAGGGCTGCAACCCAGGAATATTGGCCGCCTGCCACCGGATACATCGAACACATCTCGGCCATGGGGATGGCAACGGCCAGCGTGAGCAAACTGACTCCAATGAAACTAAACACCATGACCGGAGGACCCCCGGAGGTGACTCCCACGATGAAGACACCGCTGAGTGCCGTCCACCTAGTTGGGTCAGATTGAGCAGTGAAACGAGGAGCTGCGGCGGGAGGCATACGAGGTAACCACGCTGAAACTGAACCCAATCATGCCTAGCAGTCCAAATGACCGCTTGAGCTCTACATATACCACCGTCAGCTGGCAAACCTTTCCCGCAGAGATCAGAGACCAACGTACCCTGCTCATATCCAAGATGCTCCAGACGAACATCCTCTCCCGTGGATGAGGGGGGCATCTGCTGGATTTCATCGTCTTGTGCAATCATCGTGACTGATGGTTGTGTACACATGCAAACTGCAGAGGCTTGTCAGAGCGTCTAGAGAGGTATTTATCCTCAGTAACATACGCTGATAGACGACATTAGGGCAGCAACTGCCGCGTGCCGCTGAAGCTGGGGAAGCGATAAGATAACCGGCACTTGCCCGCAGCTTAACCCGAAAGAGAAACTTCTGGCGACAGCGTCATTTGTGTTGTGTAAGACCCCCGGCCAGCTTGATAAGCTTATCACAACCAGGAAAGTCCTTATGAAATGCAGTTTTCCTGGGGGTTGTCTCATTGTGGTGTTCTGGAGTCGTCTATTTGCATGGTGCCACTCGCAGGTTCAGCCCGGCCACGACCGAAGCTGGAAGAAAGCCCCTTGCTTGAGTGTACTGTAAGAGTACACCTGTGGTAGCATTCGCCACTTAGGGACCCACCAGGAATGCCCTAAACGAGATTGAATGCGGGGGAATTGTCGATGAAAGAAGTGCCTGGCTGGTGGCTGGGCTTTCCGACCACGTCACGAGCATACTCACTCATCCATTAATTCAGCGTAGTCTTAGAGATCGAATCTGGTTGAACTCGGTATGCTGTTGACTACCCGACAGTCACCCTATCCTTTCGAGGTATATTTGACTGAAGTGGCTCTGCATTTGGCCAAACTCCCAGATGCCGCCTTGATTTTGCCTTGAAACACCAGAAAGTCTCATCCCATTATCTCTATTATGTACCATGTACCCAAGCCTCGCCAAAAGCAATAGCAATGCACCCATCATCTCAATTCATCTTACCACCTCAATCCCAAGAAATCCTATGACCAAGATTAGCATCACCCTCCCAACAAGAATCAAAAAAACTTACCACAACATAATCCCCGCCCCAGCTGCCACAGCCAAGAATTGCGTGATCATGTGCTTCACCTCGGTACGCTTATCCTTCCCACTCGTCTCCAACAGCTCCGGAATGACCGAGACGGTGCCCACGTACAAGAACGTCCCCGCCGTGAAGGGAAGCAGCATATCGCCCCAAGTGAGGCTCGTGCCGAGGAGACCTACCGTCGAAGCGGAAGCAGAGGAGGTTGCAGCAGCAGCAGAGTTCCCACCCAGCTCTTGCACGGCAATTCCGATGAACGTCCCCAGGAAGGCACCGATCGCGGTGACAAACTGGGCGCCCATGGCTTTGCGTTTCGAGAACCCCGATTGAATCAACAAAGCAAAGTCGCCGACTTCGTGAGGGATCTCGTGGAAGAAGACTGCGACAGTGGTGGTGGCGCCGATGGTCGGGGAGGCGTAGAAGGAGGAGGACATGGCCAGGCCATCGGTAATGTTGTGGGTGAAGTCGGCGATGAGGTTGAGGTAGCCGCCGAGTTTGATGCTGGGGGAGGGGTTGGCCGCAACACTGAGCTCGGCAGATGAGGTGGGCGATGTAGCAGCGGGTTTACGGTTCTTCAGGGAGGACGGGTCGGTGGTGGCCGAGCTGCTGGTGGTCGTGGCGGCCGGGGAAGGTTCATTGTGGGTATGTTCGTGAGAGTGAGAGTGGCCCTCGCCGCCGGTTGCAATGCGCAGAGCCTTGTCCATTGCCACAAAGGTGAAGAACCCGACCATGATTCCCAGGCCGAGGAGGAGATTGCGGTTAGGTTCAACCATCACGAAGCGGACGTGGTCTGAGGCGTCTTCGCCGAGGAAGATCTCGGGGAGGAGGTTGAAGATGGTGTCGCCTAGAAGTCCGCCGACGGCGAAGGCGACCATCACGGAGAGGGAGGAGGGGTCGATGTTCGGGGGGCAGAGCGCGAGAAGGAAGTCTGAGGCGAGTGTCAGCTGGGTTGAGTTGCTGTACCAAACATAGAGGACATACTCGGAGGTCCGGAGATGTAGATGGTGGCCAGAATCGCATTGACTGCCGGGCTTCCAGGGAAAAGGACCGAGAAGATCTTGGACATCAGGCTGGTGGTCTGGGGGCTCGTAGCGCGCTTATGCTCATTCAGGGACTCAACCAAGGGGCAATTCTAGATTCGACTCATGTCAGACACAATCAATGAAAAGCATCAAGCCTCTGCATTCCAACAAGACAAACGAAGGCAGAACCCACCTGCAGCTCCTCCTCAATCTGCCCAACCGACAGCTCTCCGACGGAGATAGCATCCTGGGCAACAGCCAACGCTGAGAACAAAACAACACCAGCAGCAAGAGCCAAACCAATGCGACGCATCGGACGCAAAGAGGGAAGAACCATGACAGCGACAGATTCCAGCGGGGTACTCAAGGCAGGAAGCGGAATTGGAGACAGGACATGAAAGGCTGACGGGGCTGGAAAATAAATAGTAAGACCGACAGACCCTTAGCGGAGAAAGCGGCGCGCGTGCGTGTGCTTTGGATTCCCCGATCTCCCTCCGTCTCCTGCATTTTCTTATCGATCCGTTCCCGCGCAAACACGCCAAGACCACGTGCAAACACCTTCGACTTTTCGGGAGGCCGATAACTTTTTTTTTTTTTGGTTGAGCAAGCAGGAGGGACTCTATTGCTCCAACAACTATCAGCCCCCCGCTGCACATAATTAATACATCATGACCAACGTGCGCCAAAAGAGAAAGAACAGGTCCGGTCTGCCCAAGGCCAAGGCCAAGCGCACCGGCATCCTGAAGAACGGCCGCAAGAAGATCAACGTCCTGGGCAACGCCATTATCGCCGAGAACTGGTACGAGCGAATTCAAACCACCACGACGAACAAAAACTCCAATCTCGCAACAACACAGCTAATAATCATGTTTCACCCATTAGGAACCGTGATCTGACCCTCACGCAAAATTACCGCAAGCTTGGCCTTGTCCACCGCCTGAATGCGCCGACCGGTGGTTCTGAGAAGCGCCCCACGAAAGACGGCATCGAGCGCGAGCGCGAGGATTCCCTACACATCAAGAGCAGCGCCACTGCTGTTGCCCAGAAGAGCGCCACCGGGGAGATTCGAGTCGAGCGCGATCCCGAGACCGGCAAGATTCTGCGCGTCATCCGCAGCGGCGACGAGGAGATTGAGGTGGCGGGCCGCAAGCACAAGCGCAACAACCCGCTGAACGACCCGCTGAATGATCTGTCCGGCGATGAGGGCGAGGCGAGTGCGCAGCAGAAGAAGCAGAACAACGACAGTGATATTGTTCGTCAGCTCGAATTGCAGGCCGATAAGGAGAGCCTCAAGGTGGCGGCCAAGAAGCCCCGGCACCAGAGTAAGAGAGAGGAGGAGTGGATTCTGCGTCTGGTGGAGAAGCACGGAGACAATTACGCCGCCATGGCTCGTGACCGGCGACTGAATCCGATGCAGCAGACCGCCGGCGATCTGAAACGGAGAATCGCCAAGTGGGAGAAGAGTCGGTCATGATCTGTTGTTCTTTTGAAAATTCATTCATCTGCATATTGGCGACTATGGCGTTGATCTCTTTGTTTGGGGGGTTCTTGGGCTAAAAGTGTCTGACATGGGCTGTGTCCGGCTCTACTAAACTACTTCGCGGTATACCAGTTTAGTTGAACAAGTTTCATTTCGTAAACCTAAGTTCTTCTGCTTCCACCCAGCAACGATACCTATAGTATAGTACCACTTCGAGTCGGTAAAACTACATTTTGCAAGCAGCCAGCCACAACACCCGTGTTATCACTTAGAACTCTCTTGCGGAGGAATAGCCAGCGGATGAGCATGTGAGGGGATCGAGGTGGAAAGACAGATGTAGAGGTGGAGAAAGAGAGTAGATGGATGGGAAGAAAAGGAAGAGTTGAGGGGTGAAGGGTGTAAATGAACTGCATTAGCTGCACTATGTGTAGTCGATACTCAGTAGTCCTTAAGACAGAAGCTGCGAAGAATCTTCAAGTAATTTATACTATATTAGATATAGAGTCAATCCGAAGAGCAAAAGACAGTATCTTTTTCGAAATGACTTATAACGTTAAATATCTCTAAGACTTTAGATATAGTCTAAATGATGATATAAATGTAATAAGAAGCTGGTTTATCTAAGCTATATGGTTGAGATAATTCTTTAATGACTCTCTTAAGGACGACGGGTATCTATACTATTGTTCAAGCGAAAGGATGTAGCTCAAGTAAGAAGTAAATGGTTATAACTGTTGGCGACAGAACTCATGGCTTCTAGTCCCAAAGGATAGTACTTACTCTGTAGAATCCGAACATGTAGTGTTCGGTTCGCTTGCTCTGAGATGGTGCCACCAAGCATCTGGCCAACGGCTTCACTCAGAGCATCAGACATCAACATTCAGCAAACTGTCGGAATCTACTCTCTCTAAGCTAGGAAGAAAAAGACACGAGATAATCATCCTATAGACTCTCTAGGAAAAAAACAACAGCCAAGGGGGAATTCTAGTATCTACCCATCCTCTACACTTGAATAAATACATTCAAAAGAAAGCCCAAGCAAGCGCTAACATAAAACGCCCACCCCATATTCCCACAATCCCAATTCCAAAACCAACCACAAGCCCTTACTAGCCCATATAAAACACCTCTACCATACCCAAGACCCGATGGTTTCAAAAAAACATACTCGCTTCTCCCTCTAGACCCAAAATCACCAAGAAAAGCTCTCCTCAAACAACTCCACCTTCAACGGCCCCCGTCCCTGACACTCCCTCACCGTCCTGCGCACGTCATCCCCCATCGCCCCAGGCCCACAGATGCTCACCGCCATCGCGCCGACCTGCTGTGCCATCTCGACTGCTAAGATGTCCCGGAAGCACGGCTTGCCAGTCTGCACGTTCACGGGGACTGAGGGCGGCGCGACGGCCGCCCAGGGGGAAGAATCAGACAGGAACTCTTCAGGGCTGGTATCTGGGCGCGTCGGGGAGGCATCACTCCCAGCACTAGAACTGTCCGCACTGCTCACGCTAGTGCACGCGCTACTGCTGCTCACGTAGATTTGCACATTCAAAGAAAATTCCGGGAACTGGAAGTAGGATTCGGCCTTGCGGAGGGTAGCCATCTGAAGTGCCGGGTGGTTGAGGAGGGACGTCATCCAGGGTTGTATCCAGGAGAGATGGTCTTGGTTTTGAAATTAGTTTTACGCTGATGAACAAAAGAGACGCAAAACTGACCTAGACTCCGTACTACCCAGACCAGGGTTACGCGGCGGACCGCCTGGGTCTGCGAGGTGATGTTGTTCACGAACTCGTGGAGATACGACATCGGGTGGGTGATGCCGATACCGCCGGCGATGAGGAGAACGGTACCGTACGAGGCTAGGGAGTGAAGACCACCTGAACATCATAAGTGAACGGTTCTGGAGCTACTGAAGAACGGGACATACCAAATGGTCCCTCGGCGAGCGCAGTAGCTTGGAACCTGCCATCACACGACTTGTGCACCTTCGACAATAGCTTGCCCGTAAACCCGTCGCGGCGCTTGATCAGGAACGACATGGTGGTCTGCTGGGGTCCGCCCAGCAGACGGTTGATCGAGTCGTTCGAGCTCCGCTTCTCGGTCATCACGCTGCGGTCCGAGGCCGTCCAAGCAACAGAAAACGGGTGCGAGGTCCACAGACCCAGCGAGGGCAGGTACAGGTACATGTACTGGCCGGCTTTGAAGGTCCAAGGCCGCGCCAATGCCACACTCACGCGAGCCACGTCTCCCGGAAGAAGCTCGACCGTGGCGGTGGTGCGCTGTTTCCCGACGTTGCGCCAGATGATAATAAACAGCCGTGCGGCTCGCTGGAGTAGATATGATTAGCCAGGCAATGTCTTTGACCAGGAAGTAACGATGGCTTACGTCGAATCCCCATAGAATCAACGTTACCAACAGCGCCGTCTGCTGCGACATGCCACGCAAGTGGTACCACAGTCCGACCATAGATGCAATGGCCAACAGGATATGTAGATGCAGAAACGCCTCGTAAAAGGCATGGCGAAGGGGCGAGATGGACTGGACGAGGATGGCCGCGAACGCGATGAAAGCCTCCTGGCCATCAGTAAAGTGTCCGCGCATTCCGATGCGAGTCGACTTACCGTCATACCATACACAAAGAACGGAGTGTTCCAGACAAGATGTGTCACTGCAGATAAACCTCCCACTAGCCATCGTCAGCCTAGAGGTCGCCACCACTTCAAGGATTGCACTTACACTCCTTCTGTCGAGGGATAATCGACAAGACAACATGCACTGTTGACGCCACGACGACCAGTCGCCCGGCCCAACGATGAATCAAATTGAAAGTATCGAACTTGATTCCCAATAACGGAATCAGAGGATTGTTGCGACCCGCAGTGAGGATCAACCCGGGCAAATTCAAGACCGCGAGGGTACCACTTGTATATTGCAGCTGATACATCACCTCCCCCCAATCCGCCCACCAGTCCACCGTTGCGAAGAAGAACCCCACGTTTAACGCCATGTACAATGACAAGAGAATCGCCTCCAGCCGCAGCGGGATAATCCCCATGTGACAGCTTCCCAACCTGAACTCGCGACTATGACGGGTTGACAGCAGCGGCGCATAAAAGACATGTTTGTTGAGCGTGGCAGACAGTGCATTGCTCTGCGCATACCGGTCCTGGTCGTCATCTTTGCTCTCCAGAATCCGACGTAATCGCCGCCGATGTTGTAATTGTGTGTACATGCTGCCAAGGAAGAGCACAAATACTCCGCCAGCAAAGACGAAGACTGGGGTCGCCAACGAGGCCTTCATCGGGGGATGAACGTCGCGGAACCGCGGTTGACCCGGCTCGTGGTAGTCTACCCCCATCTTGCGTGAGCTGTCGAGATCGCCGTGGTAGAAGAGTTGAGTATGTGCTGAAGGAAGGAAGCAGAGACGGAGCGTGGTGCACTTTCGCTAAGGATCAGCAAAAGGCCGGACATCGAACCAGTGCTCAAACCGGGAAAGCGCCAGCACCCTCTACATATACCATCTCGGCCTTGGGGATTCTAGATTCATGGCTCTCATGACGTGGAGCAGCTGCATAGGCCTCTTCATAACTATGCCGTCATCCATCGCTCTTTGCGCCTATGGAGGGGAGCCATTCTAAGGGCAATGATACCCAGCAAGAGAGCAGACTAAGACTGCTGCTTCAAGCCCAGCGTTTTCATGCAACGGGAAGGCATTGCAGCAGAGTCTCGCTGTTCAGAGAGGCATTGCAACCTCAGAATGTGTGGGGGTTGAGTTTCCGTGGAATGTGTACCTCCCCGTGATTCGCCGGGGACGACTTGGAGAGCGTCGGACCTGGCATAGCGGACAGGTACGCACATCCGGCAGATTTCCCGGTCAACCTTAACCTGCTTAGCCCGTCTGCAAGCATTTGGCATCCGTCAAAAGCTTAGGCAGCGAAGGGGATGAAACACAGGCGTGGTTGCGGGGCGATGGAACGGCAGCGCCGAAAACGGACGGGAATCTGCGTGTCTGCTGCATCCGCCCTCCGCAACCCTTCCAAATCCTCATTTGCAGCTCTGCCTCTCTGGTTGCTGTATTTCAGGTTTCTGTTGAATGTAGCCAAGTTGACTTGTAGCTATGACGTTCCGAACTGACGACAGGGCGCTGTCATAACATGTCATCCAAGCTGAGGGGCATCCCAGCTGCGCACCAGCTATCTGCAATTGTCCCGCTAGTACCTCAATCCAACTCACTACTCAGGGACAAAGGCACAGGTCCATAGTAGAGTTTGAGACAGTATGGCTAGACAGTATGGCTGACCAGCCTGTCTGTCCTGCTGGTTGCAGCCCCTTGCGGGTGGATCGAGGCTGCCCGCATCCCTAGGCTAGGAGTTCACAGACTGGAAGCAAACGATTGACGTCATGTAATTGAGACTCGGCAGATAAGCTCAATGACATAAACGAGCTGCGAAGATCTTACTTCGATCAGGTAACATTCTTGCATCGTGTGCGCTGTCTTTGGCGTGGAAGCCATTGTAACGTCGGGAGGGAAACGCATTGTTTCACCCCGCTTAGGGCAGCCTCTGCAGAACCTCATGTCATCATGACTAGAACCACTTAAAAGCAGCCAGTTCTAGGCCCCGTTGATCAGAACCCCTCCGATGCCACGGTGGTTTCTGGTTCTTACAGGTAGGGTGAGGAGTCGCTTAACCTACTATACTGGGCTTTCCGCTAAGCAGTGCGCGCTGCTGCCTTGGACAACGCTTGCCCCTCAAAGCTCTGCGTCATAACAAGGAAGGCTGGCAAGGCAACTAATACAAGAACAGATTCGAATATGATGTGATGCATGTTCATGACTTGAATGCCGTCAGGGGTGAATTGCATTGCGGCGGAGAATTGATTGACATTGCCGTTCATTCGCGAACCAGAGGATTCACCATGCGACAATAGCCTAAGGTCTCACCTTAAAGGCAGTACCTGAACCCTCAGCCAACATGCTCACATTGTATGCACCCGGGTGGGTTGGCTGTAAAGTCAAATCCGATATGGATTTTTCTATCCTGGACGTTCCGGAATTCAGAACAAATGCGCCAGGGGAAATACCAGAAAAAAGCTGAAAACCATCTAGGCGGATATCAGTCCAAAATGCACGGATGGTGGTTGTACAGATACTCTATTGTATGGACGGCCAAAAAAAAAAAAAACATGTCACTGCAAGAAACTTTCCAAGTTGCGTTAGGCGACAATATGTCGTAAGAATGAAGTGATTAAGCATTAGGAAGAACCAAGAACAGGGATAGAAATGTGCCGTGGCCGGTCCGATCCCAGTGGAAAAAAAGAGGTATTGATTGCATAATCCGAAAACATACGACTCCAATAGGAAAAAAAACCCTCCATTTCATTTATCCCTGCATGTGAGCAGTTTGCGCCATTTCAAATAAAACAAAAAGACGCATACATGTTGTACTGAATCGAGTGACATCCAGCAGTGGCCAGTTCGTGAGATGTAACGTAACGGTGATGTTGTAGAAAGCTTGTCATCGGATTTGCAAGTGCGTTCGGCAACTGCTTGGCTCCAGGCTGCAGCCACCGCCATCTTGGATGGAGAACAAGGCTTGGAAGAGAGATCAATTGCTGTCCCGAGCACGTGGCAATTAAACCCTTCTCGAGCGTCTCTTTTTCTTCTTCTCCTTAACCTGTTTGGCTTTACTCTTCTCCTCCCGAACGGATGAATAGTCCGCCACATCAACGCCGGCGCTGTGGCACAAAGATGTGCATTCACTCTCAATCACTTTCACAAGCTGGGGAGTGAAGCCATAGAATGCGGGGTTGTAAGCGTTGCGTGCCCAGTACATCAATTCAGATGCGACGCGTCCAAGATTGGGGATGGACTGGGGCGAAACTGCCTGCTTCGGGGAGAAGCGGGGTTTGTCGTGACCTTCGTCATCGGAGCACTCCGAAGATGGGGTAGAGCTTCTCGAAGCGGGGGAGGAGGGGGAGGACTCGGAAGACGACAGGTAATCGGTATCTGAAGCGAGAACATGCAACAAATGGTAAACCGAGGCGAAGCCGATCAGGGTCAAGTCCACTGGGTCAAGAGGCAGCTGATTGAACCATGTGATCGCTTTCTGGATGGTGAAGTTTGCGGGGAGAGAGGTGTCACCCGTGGTTCGTGCCGTGAAGATGGCCGCAATCATGGCACAACGGACGGATATGGCGATCTCATCCCGCACAGAGACAGGGAGCGACGAATCGAGGAAGTTCGAGGCCTGACTCTGCATGCTTGTTCCTTTCTCTTTGGGTAGCGCTGCAAGGACCGCTCCAATATTAGTAGCACGATCCTGATCAAAGAACACCGCCTTCATTACCAAAGCGCGCGTGTGGGCGGCAGAAGGCTGGGGAGCAACGTCCAGAGCGATTTTGATCTTGGCCTTGAATAGATCACGGCTCTTCTTCGCATCCGGGCCACCAGAACTCGCCTCAAAGTATCGAAGTAAAGCCCGCTGCAAGAGATGGCTTGACCACCAGGCTGCCAGAGCGTCGAGGGAGGACCGAATGGCCGGGTCTTCCTCAACAACGTCAAGAAGAGCCTCATCATCATCTGCCCCTTCTTGCGTAGGACGATTCCAAGTAAGATTCGCTGCCCGTTGCACAACGGTGTCAATCATGACCTCGTCACAGTCGAGCTGCAGTAGAGCCGCCAGATGGCTGGGCAGAGCATCGGGGTGATCCTTCGGCATAGCTGCATGCATCTTGCGTGCAAGATCCCACTGGTAGCCGGCCAATGACCGAGCAATATCATTGGAGATGTGGAAGGTCCACGATCCGGGAACACCAACTCGCCATAGTAGGATACGGCAATGGAGTGCCTTGAGCATCATCCGCATTGGACTGCGAGGCAAAGTTCCGGCAGCAAAGATAGTAAGCACCAGTCTACTCTTGCTGATTTCCGGGTCGCCACCAGCCAACTGCGCATCGATGGCAATGTCCCATGACTTGACTCGGCCCCTGTCGTCCTCTACGGTCACTCCGGTGATTGAAGAGTAAAGCTTCCAGCCTAGGAGGCACCGCAACACATACTCGAAGCAACGCGATGTCACCACGTACCACTCATGGAAGAAGCGGTGGCGGGGAACACCGACTTGTTGAATGCTTGTTAACCACGCCTGACGTCGGAAATTGGAGGAGGACAGAGTAGCATCGGACATAGCCGCAGTCTTGGATGACCCGGGTTGACTTTTGGGCCCGGCGTTGAAGAGGTAGACAAAAACCACAAACGCACTGCCAACGACCAAGGTGGCGAGAACCAGGAAGTGCGAGATAGCCCGTGCATGCCATGAATACCAAAAGCTGCGGGCCATTGCCATCCAATAGTTAATGGTGGGGCTCTGTAGGCCACTCCACAGATTGACGGGAACAGCCAGCAGGCCTTTGGCGGTGGAATCGCTCTTCTTCTCGCTACCCATTCCCTCAAGAACCATGAGACCAGCGAGGGCGCCAAGCATGTATTTGTTGGGATAATAGGACCGTTTCCGACCTCCACCACCTTGAGTAGACGCATGGTTGTTGCCGCTGCCGCTCGGAGATTGCATGTATGAATGTGCGAAAGCATTGTTCTTGGCAGCCGCCTCGTCTCTCAGGCGCTTGAAGGCATCTGGCACCTTCATCATGCCCTCGGGAGGATGTAGTGTCGTAGGGGAGTGGTCACTGGGCGAGTCCTCAACCTGCGAGAACACACTAGGCGATGAGCTTGCTCCCGACTCGGTGTAGTTGCTGGGTGATGAGACGGAAGCGGTGGATGTGATCACCTGTTCAGCAGCTTTGTCTGCTAGGCGAAGTCGGTTCTTGAGGGCGGTGTTCTCCTCTTCGAGTCGTTTGTTTCGGATTTCCAGGTGGCGAATATACTCCGTCGCCTTCGATAGGATGGAAGCCTTGTTCAACTTGCCGGCAGGCGTGACGCCCTCGCCTTCGTCGTCGTCAATCATGTTGCTAGCTGCATTCTTCGAGGCTCGCAGGCTGGGTACGCTGTCTCGCAACTCTGCAATCTTCTCGTTAAGATTGGCACGATACCGCTTTTCAATGACATTGTGTGCCCGCTTCTTAGCGGGCATCTTCTTGCTGGTGGACACGACGCCACTAATGGTTGAACCATCGTCGTCACTGCCCGACTTGCGCTTGCGGGTGATTCCGTCGGGTGACAAGGGCGAGCCTGCCACAGTCGAAAGCGTTGAAGGCATCTCTGCTCCACTCGAGTCGCCTTTCAAGTTACACATACTGTTGATTCCTTGATCGAAAGTTGCATCAAACGGGAGACTGGTGCAGTCGAGGGAAATGTCAGGCGAGAATTCTGATTTGTTGAAGAAGCCTGTGCTTGGATTGCCCGTGGAGGAGTGTGGTGAGGTGAAGGCTAGATCGAAGGGTGATTGGGAGAGCTCCTTGACTCCCTCTGCGAAGCCTTGATCATCCCATCTCATCCATTGTGTCCAATCTTGGGGGGGTTCATCCGTCAGAGACTGAGCGAACGACATTGACTCGGCCTGAGAGTCTCTTGAGTATCTTTTATTAGTGTTTGGGGAGAAGAGCTGGAAGTCGCTCCCCATGGTGGGCATTGTCATCTTGTCCAACGGCCAAAGCCGGGACCATAAATTGCAGAGTCAGTCCTGGCCGGTGGGTGACCGCTAGCAAAGCTTCCAAGCTTCGGCCTGAATCCCAGTCAGTTGCATATACGACCAATTGACGACCAGGTTGGCAACCAGGTTGACGACCAGGCCACAGGTCTTGACCACGTATGAAAATGCATACCTGGAAAGAGTGCGTGGTGGTGAGCCGGCTAGGTACGGAATGAAGTCGATAAAAGGCGAACAGGTCCAGCCAGCGCTAAGCAGGCTTAGATTGCGACAGTGGAGTAACCCAGGGACCTTGCGTGATGGCAGTGGGAGGATGAAGACAGTAGGGACAGTGGAGGGTGGAAACCAACAGTCTATGAGAGCGGAGAGAGGTTGATTAGGAGGTTGCAGGAGACAGGAAGGTGAGTGAGCAGAGGAAGGTGAATGAGGATCTGACTAGCAGAAACCTCGTGAATGTCTGAACATGTGCAGGGGCGTTTTGTTCCCCTAGGATCTTATCGAGCGGTTGGTTGGAGGGGGGG